ATATATACAGTATACGCAGTATGACGTTTTCTCACGTCACATCCCAAGCCTCACTTAGGTTCTGTTGGGTGAATCAGTTTGTAAGTTATTTCGTACTTTTTCACTTCACACTACCCTATCACACATGAACCCCGGTAGCCTGAACGGCGTGCCTAGGATTCCAGTCTTTGTTTGGCCCCCCGCCCACGTCCCGAGTGCAGACCTCGGCGGATTAGCTGCGCTTGCTCCACTGGGTAACTAATATACGTTATTTACTACAACGCCTCAACCCCGGATATAATTCCTTGTGCTTTCACTGGACTGTGGACCGTCGACCTAAAGCTTACTACCCGAATCCCCCGGGTAATCAAGCAGAAAAACGGGAAAAAACTACTTCTTTACAAGTTGACTTGAGGGGGGGGGGGGGGTGTTGTGCCAGCCTGTCCTGCAGGCCGATGAACTGTGCCAGATTCCCCAGACTGCACGCCCACGAACTGCTTGATTAGACACCTGTCTGGCGCTGCATGAGAGTCCCCCGCATCGTCCCCCTGGCACGATGTAGCGTGAGACGGCGATATAAGGCCTTTCTGTTCTGTGGCTTGCTGACTCGTGGAAGCCCGTACGCCCGCGAGATATAGCAAAACATCGTGAGACGGCCGAGGCTGGGTCTCTCTGGCAAGCATGCGCACCGAAAACCGCTGCCGACGCCCACAGTTAATATCTGATATCCTTTTTAATCATGATAGTAATGGCTCTGTTGCTTTGTTTATCGCGGGCTGGGATTGTATAACTAATGGGAGTGAACAGCCTTCGCCCCCTTGCTGGCTGTCCCGGGGCCTTGTGATCATCCCCGCCAGCCCAGGGACGCTCCTCTGCTCGACTTCTCCAGCTTCTTCGTCTCTTCTGGCGGCGGACTGAGGCACGAACTGGCTGATGCTTGACCGAGTCCAGCCGTGGCGGCCGCTTGCTCGCTGTCAGGGCCATCCCGGTCCGAGGTCGTCTAAGTTATCTCTGGCGACGCTTGTTTTCTCCTCGCTGCTGGTTCATCCACTAACTAGTTACTAAGTAGTAACGAGCTGACCATAGGCCACGGCAGTTGGGATGGAGGTCACAATTCACAGGCAGCCGCCTGGCCGCGCTTCGAGCTCGCCTGTTACACCGGGCGGGCGTTGTGATCGCGCCTCGAGCTCGTTCGATGCTGTCCGCTGCCTGTTGGGAGCTGCGAGCTGCGCCGTGTGGGAGCACAGAGGGACTGCAGGCCCACGGCATGACCCGGATCTGCTGAAGCTCTGCCGCGAGCTGGCCAGAAGGAAACAAAACAAGATACCCCGTATAGCACAGAGTGACAGGATGCTAGTTACGTGCTTGGCAGGAAGGGCCAGTTTAATGAGGCTTGACACGGCCCGAAGATACATCTGCTCAGCTCGATCCATATCAGACCCAGGCAGGGAGGGAGGGAGGGGGGCCAGGCGAAGGCGTGCATCTCCCCCCGGCCGGGTCTGCACTCACGAGACTGCCAGGACGGCCAGAGCAAGGGCAGGAAGCTATTCAAACGTCCGAATGATAAGACTTTTAGCGCTGCCATGGGGGGAGGAGGGAGGGTGGAGGCAGAAGCCGGGGGGACGGTGATGAATTCCTCTATAAAAGCCCTCTGGATGCCCGCCTCAGGATACCCAGAACTCTCAAGCAGAGCTCCTCAAGACGAACAACGCTCTCTGACCCCCCATAATACCCTTCTTCTGCCCCCTTTTTTTTTTCCTGCTTCTTGCTGGTGAACCGCCATCATGCACGGTCTTTTGCTCGCCGGGCTTCTGGCCCTGCCCATGAATGTGCTCGCTTATCCTGCCGAGCAGCACGCCAGCAACGTCCTCAGCCGCCGTGGCGTGGACATCGAGTCCTTCCGTCTGCCATTGAAGGCCAAGTACATGGACAGTGAGGCCACCGCCCAGAAGATCCAGGCCATGTCCTTCTCCAAGGACGATGACTACGTCTCAACCGCCACCAAGCTGGTCAAGAGCACATTCCCCAAGTCCACATTCCGTGTCGTTGATGACCACTACATTGGCACCAACGGAATTGGCCATGTTCACTTCAAGCAGACTGCCCACGGCCTTGACATTGACAACTCTGACTTCAACGTCAACGTAAGTACCTTGTCCTTAGCTACATTGTCATTGAGAAGTTTGATATTTAGAGGATGATTTATGGAATGGCTATGGCTAACGTGCGTCTAGATTGGCCGTGACGGCAAGGTCTTCTCCTTCGGAAACTCCTTCTTCACCGGAGAGATCCCCAAGGAGAACCCAATGGTCAAGCGTGCATTCTCTGATCCAGTCAAGGCTCTGAAGGGTGCCGTCAAGGCCCTCAACCTCCCAGTCAAGTCTGACAACGCTAAGCCCAAGACTATTGCTGGCAAGGAGTCTTTCGAGTTCATGGGAACCACCGGTGCCCTCTCTGCTCCCAAGGCCAACCTCGTCTACCTCCAGAAGGAAGACGGAACCCTCGCCTTGACCTGGAAAGTTGAGACTGACGTTGGTGACAACTGGCTCTTGACTTATGTTGATGCCCACAACAGCGAGACTGTCCACAACGTTGTTGACTACGTTGCCTCCGCTGAGTACAAGGTCTTGTAAGTACTTATCTTCCATTCACTTATATATATAATATATATATGCTTGGGTAGAAACAGGTCTAACGGCGAGATAGTGCCTGGGGTCTCAACGATCCCACTGAGGGAAACCCAACCTCCATCCGTGACCCATGGACTGATGCCTCTCCCTACACCTGGAACTCTGATGGCATGTCCAAGTACCCAACCACCCGTGGTAACAACGCCATTGCCCAGGACAACCCAACTGGCGGTAGCACCTATATCAACAACTACCGCCCACAGAGCCCCAACCTCATCTTCAGCTACCCATGGAGCCCAACTGCTACTCCCCCATCCTCCTACAAGGACTTCTCCATTACTCAGCTCTTCTACACTACCAACCGATACCATGACCTTCTCTACTCCTTTGGCTTCAACGAGGCTGCTGGTAACTTCCAGGTCAACAACGGCAACAAGGGTGGTAAAGGCAACGATTTCGCCATTGTCAATGCTCAGGATGGCTCTGGTACCAACAATGCCAACTTTGCCACCCCACCAGATGGCAGCCCTGGCCGCATGAGAATGTACAACTGGACTACTGCTCGTCCCAACCGTGATGGCTGCCTTGAAGCCGGTATCGTCATCCACGAATACACCCACGGTCGTAAGTAGCCCACCACCCAAGACCTACTACCCTGTCTCCTAACCATTCCACCATTGATCCCCCTTTGCCTTCTCAAACACCATAACTTGGCAATGCTGACATGCCGTCGCCTTCTAGTCTCCAACCGTCTTTGTGGTGGTCCCGCCAACAGTGCCTGCTTGAACGCTCTTGAGTCCGGTGGTATGGGTGAGGGCTGGGGTGACTTCTACGCCACTGCCATCCGTCTAAAGCCCCGTGACACCAAAAACACCAACTACTCCATGGGTGCCTGGGCTGCTAACAACCCCAAGGGTATCCGAGCATACCTGTACTCCACTAACCTCCAGACCAACCCCTACATGTACACCTCCGTCAACAGCCTCCGTGAAGTCCACCAGATCGGTACCGTCTGGGCCTCCATGCTCTACGACCTCATGTGGGCTCTTATTGAGGCCCACGGTGGCACCTACTCCGCCAACCCAGTCTTCCGCAACGGCGTTCCACAGGATGGTCGCCATCTTTCCATGAAGCTCGTCATGGACGGCATGGCCCTGTAAGTTCACACGTCCATTGTATTCTGTAGAACTCCAACTAATATATTCCTATAGCCAGCCATGCAACCCCAACTTCGTCCAGGCCCGTGATGCCATCCTCGATGCCGACCGTGCTCTTACCAACAGTGCCAACAAGTGCACCATCTGGAAGGCCTTTGCTAAGCGTGGTCTCGGCTACGGTGCCAAATATGATGCCCGCAACCGCACTGGCAGCAACAAGCTCCCACCAGGCTGCTAAATGCATTCTCTTATTCTTCTATGTACATAGTTTAGGAGTGCGTCTGTATATAGCTTATGACGAATTTATATATGTTCAAGTTCATCTTGTTTATCGGAGGTATGGCACTGGAGATGTATGACCCTGTAGAGTAGACGATGCAAGTCTGCTTTATACAACAGTAACACAATACGTTTGCTATGAAAGTAGCTACTTATTATACCCTTGCGGTGAAGACAGCCAATACTGGTCAACGTTGAACATTGCCATGTGTAGTCAGGATAAGCATCAATCAATTGCCGACGGCGTCCAGCTAAAATTGGGTTATGTCTCCACTAGTCTAGATACGTTTGAATAGCCAACGAATCTAGATGCATCCACTATAGAGGCGAAGGCGGTTGCTTGGTTTCTCTCTGAATAATCAACTAGATGAGATAAAATGCCAGAAAGTTCCTCTCCTTATTGTTAGGAAATCGATGTAACCGAAACGATAATCAGCACCAAGAGATATTTCTCTAGGCGAAAAGATCCTAACCCACTTAATTCGAACTTCAACCCCTGTACTTCTGGCCGACGCAGCTTGGTGCTGATCGTGGCATGTACGGGGGTGGAGGATCTGTCCGAGTGGAAGGCATTGTTGTATATGTTTTCGGAAAACCAGTTATTGAAAATGCAGGGTAGGGGATGGAATATAATTGTGTGGACGATTTGCCAATATAGTTTGGTTATTGCAATATGGTTTGTATGTCGTCAGATCCAAGTCAACTGGCAGCATAGGAACTCTGCCAGTGGCACATAATCAGTTAACATTTACCCGACGGACTATGTTAAGAGACAATTTTTGCAACTGAGGAATATAGTGTTTGTCATTATTGTAGAGGTAATGTACATGTAGTTTATGCCTGTTGATAAAAATATCGATAGGAGCTTTTTTTTTGAGAGACATGCGCTTATCGCTGATGGTGTTATTATTGGGTATCATATTCTTTCTGGATATTAGTAGAGGGTATCAAAAGCAGAACGAGTGAAATCAAATTCTAAAGATAGCTGTCGTGTCAGTTGAGCGGTTCCCATATGCCTGCTAAGACTCGAGCAAAGGTATCGACTAACCTATCAAAACGTTATACTCAACTCATGGCACAGATATCGATTAGTAGCCGATTTAGAGGCACAGAATAAAGCACACGGATCCTCTGTCGATTAGGTTGGTAGTGTGGTCGATATTGTATGCCGGGCAGGTTGGGTGTAGAGCTCGTTGTACGGCTAGGAAGCATCGTTGGTGCGGATTCATCTATTCATGAAGCAGAGAAGTCTATTTCCCCGTATTATATTTAATTTGTTGCGGATAGGCAGTTGCCCGACGGAGAGGCACGCCTTATCATCGGAAATCAGCTCCAAGTCGCAGCTTGGGATCGGACTTGGTGGCATCAGCATAAGTGACGCCGATGGTCGTTGTCTTCTCTATCCCCTCCAGTCTTTCCAGGTTATTGCGGTCCAGACTGCGTCCTTCTTCCATGATATAAGCATCACCGGCGTAAGGGGTACTCGTCCGGGAGCCGCTCTCTAGAAGTTGGGAGTCTTCTATCCGCTCGAACTGTCTACTGTGTCCGTAGCTAGACTGATGGGAGTGAATCATGGTAGATCTCTTGATAGAGCTACCTCTTGGCCTAGTTCCAGACCTGTTGGGCGTCATTATCGGCCTGAGAGTGGGTATCGAGGTCGCGATGATGACCAGGTATGCCTCCAGTGTCCACCAGATGGCGAGCTGAGCCATGGCATAGGTGATATCAGCCTTTGCAGTGATTGCTCTTAACTGGACTGTCTTGATGATTGACGCGATCATCGCACTAGTATTGGGGCTGGTTAGCTTGTCTATTCACCTTGTCTGTATCTTTTGTTATTAAGGAGCGTGGATAAGACATACAAAACACCTAGTCCCATAAGACATGAAAGGGATACCTTTTTCCTCCACTCCATGTTCAGATTCCAGAACATACTAGCAGGAAAGGCCGCAAGCGCAAGATCAACTGCCGAACATACCGCTGTCGTGTTGTAAGTATCCATACTCTAGAATAGAATATCAAAGAGGCGCTCACCTCCCTGGAAGTATCCAGTGTTCTGCTGGACTTTCGGGGGCCAACAGCTGCCTGGAATACTATTGTTCCAGAACTTGCTTATAGGCCGGCATTGGGAAAAGCTGATGATCACAGTCGCAATATCAACGATAAACTGGATCCATATCAGGCTCCATAGCATGCGGCTGCGCCATTTAATAGGCGGAAGGAGACCGAGAAGTAAAGATGCATAGGCTATCCGTCCTATACCAGGAGACATGATGGAGAAGAACTCGCAGAGATAGACCCATTTCACAGAGTGCATGATCCCTTCTTCCGATAACTTTGCCATATGAGTTCCCAGCCCCCAGTGAGTAGATATGGTCAAAAAAACAGAATTCCCTATTCCTAAGGCCTTTTTTTCCCCGGTCAGTAATGCCCATCCCTTGAAACGATCCAAGTGGAACTCACGTAGGCAACGAAGATGAGGGCGTCGTCTATGGTAAATTTTCTTATGATCCTCCAACGAACGTAGCCTCTAGTACCAACAACAATAGACGCGAGGCCAGCAAACACCCAGGCAACAACCAGGACGGTTGTCCCCAGATAATCTGGCCCGGACATGGCCATCTTGGGCGGTTATAGACCGATCTTGACGAACGACAGACAGAGAAAAGAGCGAAAAGAAAGGAGAGATCCCGATCCCGATAAAAAAAAAAAAAAATCAAAAGGAATGAAGCGACTCGAAATATATCAGTTAATCTCGAGGGCAAACGAAAGCAGCTTGTTAACTATCGCTTGGATAGTGGACAGCCTCGAGGCGCTTCCCCGGGTTCCAGTGACGCAGGAGTGCCTATATAGCGGTACAACTATGCACAAGGTAGCATTTTAGATCAGGCTGGCGTATCCGCAAGGAGGCATTGTCCGGCCGTCGTAAGTAAGCATCCGCTCCTGAAAGGCCCCAAAAAGGGCGCAAGGGAAATGGATATCACTGCGGGAGGAGTGAACATGACATACCACGCGGTATCATCCATCCATGTCAAGTGTCGAGATACACGCTGCTCAGTGGCCTGACGATCAAGTCCGGACAGCCAGGGGGGTCGAGTATGCCACTCGTATATGTCCTTATCTTATTTCTTAGTGTCAGGGTGAAGAATATCGTGCCGACTCCCAGCAGGGTCCATTCTGCAGAGTTATATATATACAACCAGACCGAGTGATACGGCTAAGAATAGACAAAGTACGACCGTCCATTTGTGTCTTTTCTTTTCGTTTCTCACTCGCCATCTCGGTGACCAAACGTTCCACGGCTGGCATTTGCTTTCTTTTTTCCAGGCTTCTTCCTCTCCTCCAATCTTCTGCGGGCCTTGGGGGGCCTTGGTGCAACCTGAGGGATCGGACAAGGCATGGAATGGCAAGATCCTTGCATGAACAGCCTGCACAGCATGTGGAAGGTCGAACAGTCCTCAGCCCCCCCCAAAGAGCAAGCAAGTGTTGCAGACAATTATCTGGAGGGTGCTGGTGGCGTCGACGGGCCATGCAAGGGAGATCCTCAGCTCGTAGTTAACGACACGACGACGGTTAATGATAGCTAATTAGCTACCAGAGGCTGAAACCGGCCACTCGCTGGCACGATGCATCGATAATCAGCAAGCAGCCGAAGGGGAGAGACGAAGGCAGGGAGACGCCGGGCCCTTCGGAGCCTGCTGGGATGCGCCGTTTTGTACGTAATATTTTGAAGCCAACCATGCAAACCACGCACTGAGAGGGGCCCAAAACCGTGCCGGAGGGATCAAAAAGGTCGCGGCAACTCTTAAACTGCTCCATCCTGCAGTGTTTCTGCCTCTGGGACGGAGTGATTCTTCGCTTAAACGGCCCTGGGGAGAGGGAGCTTTTGGTCTATGTCCTGCACCATGGACGATAAACCGCCGTCGGATTCTCAGGAAGACGCACCGCCGCGGCAGCAACAGCGTCAGGGCGAGCAGGATGTCGAGAGCGCGTCGTCGAAGCAGCCGGACGAGGACTGGTTCGCCTGGCTCCAGGTCCTGGGCGCATTCTGCTTGAATCTGAATACATGGTACGTCGGCTTGTCGGGGCGTTGCTAGTTAACTAAGTCTTTAGTGTAACTAACGGTTAACTAAATGTCGGACTCAGGGGCCTCATGAACGCGTTCGGGGTATATCAGACCTACTATGAACTCGACCTGCTCTCGTCAAAGTCTCCGTCGGACATCTCCTGGATCGGCTCGACCCAGGCGTTCCTCATGTTCATCATCTCCATGGTCGTCGGGCCCGTCGTCGATGCAGGCTACGTGAAGACGCTGCTGGGACTCGGATCGCTGCTCACGGTGCTGGGGATGTTCATGACCAGCCTCTGCACACAGTACTGGCAGGTCTTCCTTGCGCAGGCGATCACCATGGGCCTGGGATTCGGCTGTCTCTACGTGCCAGCCCCGGCTGTTGTGTCGCAGTACTTCAACAAGAGCACTGCGCTGGCCATGGGGGCGTCTTCGGCTGGCAGTGCCATCGGTACGTGGACGTTCTGTAGTCATACGCTTATTATACTTATATACGACCGTTATATCTGACTGTGATACTTGAACCAGGCGGAATAATATATCCTATTATCTTCAGCCGTCTTCAGCCCAAGATCGGGTTCCCCTGGGCTACTCGTGTGATCGGGTTTATCATTCTGGCAACCCAGCTGTTACCTGTCTTTCTGATGAAGCCCCGGTCTGTCCCAACCAAAAGCGCAAAGTACAACGTGGTAGACATGACCGCGTTTAGAGACAGTCCCTACATGCTGCTCAATCTGGGTCTCATCTTCGGCTTCACGGGTCTTTACATCATCTTTTACTATATCCAGCTATACTCGCTCGAGGAGACGCACATCTCACACGCCCTCGAGTCATATCTCCTGGTGATTATCAACGGGAGCTCTCTGGCAGGACGATTGATACCTGGGTTTTATGCTGACAGAATAGGGTCCATTAACGTGCAAACGATCGTCGCATTTATCAGCGCCCTGTTGACATTTTGCCTCATTGCAATCAAAAGTGCAGCCGGACTGGTCGTTTTCTGCATTATCTATGGATTCTCTGCCGGTGCGTTCATGGGGTTACCTGCTGCAGGGGTTGTGAATCTCTCTGCAGACAAGAGCAAGATAGGCACCCGACTAGGGATGACATTGGCCGTTGTAGGATGCGGCGTACTCGTAGGCAATCCTATTGCCGGCGCCATTCTCAATGGACGCGGGGGCTGGGTTGGACTTATTTGCTGGTGTGGAGCTCTACTTACGGCTTCAGTCATTAGTATGGCTGCAAGCAGGGTCTCAAAGGTTGGTTTTGGCCTCGGGCGAGCAATATAATAATAACTAGTAATACTCTGTCTATATCTTAATATCCCGTAAAAATCGGATACATAACATCTATTCATTATCACAAGGAAAGAAAAATACACATACATGATGACCCTCACGAGTTAGTTAGATTTATCCGTCGGCCATAATATCTTTCCGTCTGGGCAAAACTTGAACCGGTCAATCATCTTGCCCGGAACTTCGTCTTCATGCTTGAAACAAGCCGTTCGGTCTCTGGCCCATTGCTCCAGCTTCTTCCAGTCCTTACACATCCTGACCTGACCCGCTCCTGTTCCTGGAGGATTCTGAAAACCAGCGTACCTTGGCGTATCGTCTGCATTGCACATAACATCCTGGCGTAACTGGTCGAGGCAGTGCTGAATATGAATAAAGGCGACCCGCTGAGGGATGCCGCGGTCTGCATTCCAGGTATATCGGAAGATGGTCCTCTAGAAGAGCAATAAGACAGGTTAGCAGGCGAGCTAGAATGTAAGCTAGGAGGTCGAGATTGCCATGACTGACCAGACAGTGCAGGTTATGATATCCCTGCAGCAGATACACTCCTTTATCGTCGTCCCATGGGAATCGCATAGCATGTGGAAGGCCTTTCTCAGACACATATTTCTGCGGCAGAGCGACGACCCCTGGATCTCCGCTTAATTCCTCCCAAAGATGCGCAACATCGCTCGCATTTTCGGCGACGAACTCGGTAGATTGGTATATTTGTATGGGGACATTTCTTTCTAGGCCAGCTGGAAACGGTCAGTAACATGTACTATTAGGAAAACAGTAGGGATTCAGTATTGAAATACCATAATAAGAACCACGGTCGCAATTTGAATTTGATGATCTAGTATGTTTGTATAGGTAGAAGCTGAGAGCTGCGTTCAGAAAAACCAACCCTGCGATAATCGCTGATAGTATCAGGATAACTGGTCTCTGGGTACTTGGGTTTTTGAATTCTCTCAATGGCCCATCATGCTCGTTTTCTGTTGAATCTCTCCGCAGAGGGTGGTAGCTCTTGTGGTCGTCGGACATTGTTGTTGACCGTCTGACATGTATGTCCGGTGAGGCTATCAAGGAGTACGTAGAATAAGTCTGTGAGACGGGGGTTGGCCGCACTTATAAGTTTCGTGTTAGCATTATACCTTGTGCACCCGTTTGCCGGAACCCATGTAACTATTTCAAGAAAGAAAGCCTCATTCTACAAACGTTTCATATGCTACTCTATACCCAGTTGGTTGACATATGTCAAATGTAGTCATGCTAAAAATCACTGAAGAGACCAATCTATATTTGCTAAAAATTTCTCGTAACTGAAACAGAAAAATTCATAAAACCGTGCCACCTCGGACTACAAATTATGTGGTAGAGTCCATAGCTTATATATACGTAGAAATATGAGAGCTTTTAAGCATTGTCTGCATCAACCCAGGACTGATCGACTTTGGCAGGGTAGACAACGGCTTCGTCTGCGTCTTGTACAGATCCTATATCGACTTAGAAAGACAGACTTTAGAATGGATCTGGAGAGTACACTTACGAGCTGCCACGTCGGCATCAACCCAGGACTGGTCAACCTTTGCTGGGTAGACGACGGCCTCGTCGGCGTCAGCGACTTTGCCTATCAGCCAAAGTTAGTAATTGGGACAAGACAGCCAGGGAGAAGCATGGAGGTCAATACCGCTGGCAAGAGGGGCGGCGCTGGCAACAGCAGCCAAAAGGAGAATAATCTGGAACTTCATCTTCGGTGGTGTTGAAAAGTGACGATGACTTTGATCTTGCAACTACACAAATCAGCGCTCAGACGACCTGATATAAAAAGGAAAAAAGGGCATCGAAGGGGATGGAATATCGCAGCTCTAAAATACCCCGTGCTTGAGCTAGTATTTGGCCGCTTAGCCGTGTAACCGCCTGCAGCAACAACCCAGGTTTGCCTTGCATAAGCAGCCCCCTGTCCGTTGGGTAGGATTTAAATTACGTTCTATATTTGTATGGCCATCCCGCCTTCCCCCGGCCGAAGTACACATTCATGTACCGTCATGTGCTACCAATACCTCGGTCATCCCTGTAAGCCAGTATGTGGTATGCCTATTTTCTGGCAGCATAAGCGGTTTTGTCACGCCATGTCCTACATGGAGAAGGGCGCGAGAGCAGTCAGAGCACCAGGATACTGCTTCCAACAGCCTTGCAGCGCAGCAGGGCCTGGGAGTAACTGTACTTGCTGATCGCAGCAGGACACCGATGTTTCTTATTGACAAAACAAAATGCCCCGCCAGTCTCTCCGAACTCCGCCACAGCTCGTTGATATCAAATCCAACACCGAGAAGCTGTTTTCTCTGATGTTTTAGGTACCAAAACCGTCACGGGTCTTGGCGGTGGATCCAGCTGGCCCCCGCGCGGCCCGAACTTGTGGGTCTAGTTCGAGGCCGATCCACACGCCGGAAACCAATAGAAATCGAAAGATTGAGGCCGACTGAGTGATTAGCGGCCTCTGACTGGCTGCATTGGTGCAGACAACCAAGCGCCCGTCGATCGTTTGCCATTTCCAGCGAATTCCTGTTGGTTGTTGGTTTTAAGCTCAAGTGGGGCGCGGGGATCAGTGGGGTCAGGATGGGCCGCTTTGTGGCGCGGGCATTGGCTGGCGGGTGCAGATGGGAGGGTGAGGGAAGACCTGGAGAAGACCAGGGCCAGGCAGCGACGTCGCATCGGATGAAGGGATGACGCAGGGCTTGACTTTGGGACTTGCCAGCAGATTCCTCGCCGGTCGGCCTCTAAAGGACTACGCTGCAGGGTGGGCGCATACAGAAAACGCCCATCGTTCCACCCCCGATGCTTGTTCTATATTTATACATCTTGACTTTCGCAGCGTATACCCAAAAGATATTTCCTTATACGCAGCTGATAAGACTTCTTTTAACGAGAAAATTTGGAAACATGCCTGGCAGATCAATCTAGACTACTGACCTGCTGGTCGCTAGTCTGAGAAGCCCTTGCTATTACTCGCTCGTCGTTGTTCGGCCCAATCCTTCAGAGCTGTGTAGTCTCTGCACACCCGTTCATTCCCCCATCCGGTAACTCCACCTAGCCTCGTATCGACAGGCTCCAAGGTTGAATCGGCGGCACACATCAGCCCCTGACGCAGGTAATCGAAGCAGTGCCGCATATGGGGACCGATGTGGTTGTGCTGCTGTTCATCGCCGCGACGACGCGACTGCAAGGCCCCGTAGTAGCTCTGGTGGATGGACCACTTCGTACAGCATCCTCGGGTTAGCACATTTTTACATCATCGTGTTTTTCAAGTTGACTCAGAGCCAACGGCATTCGCACGTACCAGGCAATGTAGTTGGTGCACGACAGACAAGGTATAGATCTTCTTGCTCCCTGCAGGAAAACGTACTGTGCCTTGGCCGACTGGTTATCTCGGAGACAACACCATGCTCGATTAGCGTCTTTTCCTTGACTTGACGGATATTTGGGATGTCAGCAATTGCTCACTTGGAACAAGGGAGTCCCAGGCTGCCAGTGTGCCGTTATCTATTCGTGGGTCTTCACCAAAAGTCCGATTATAGGTAAAGATTTCCTTGATGGTGCCCAGCGAAATTTCAGCTGCCAAAGAAGGATGAGCTTCTGCAACATGTGCCAATCGAAGTAGATGGAGGGTAGGGTCCGATGATGTATACTTACGGTTTGAGTATTGGACACAGCTCCCACAGCCAAGAGGTGACCTTCCAATCAACGCTCCTATCCCGGCAGACACCGCAGCGATAGCGAGTAAAACTATGTAGTTGCTTAGCGGATACTGCCTCAGGCTGGACAGCACCCCGGGCGGCGGGGAATTGTTGCTGGCCACAGGCTGGTATTGAGGTTTAAAATTGAACAACTCCATGATCCGGGGACTCGCAGCGCTTGTGAGGCGTTCAAGCAGGCAGGATAAGAAGTTAATGAAGAGACATAAATCCTCCGGCCAGCAGATGAAGATCTTTGCGAGACCTTGGGGCTCCTAATCCTTTATGGAGCCATTTGTTAATTCGGCTGGATTTGCTGTCACACCGTTAGAGTTTTCTGGCTTGGTGGTGGTCTGGAGCTTTTTGATACGGGCAGGACGGGTGGCAGCGGGAAATCCTCTGAAGGATCTACCAAGCTTGATTGGACAGATAGCATAATACCTGTACGGAGTACCCAGGATGTAATGCAGAAGGATCTGGATAATTTTGGTAAAGCTTTGGAAGTTTGACTGTAAAGCAGAATAAGAAAAGTGTCAAGCTTGAATATCCCATAACCGGACCGAGTGCATTGCAATGTGGTACAGCGGCTGTCTACTGCATTGAATTCTCCTGGACACCCCTGTCTCGGACGACAACTTGATCGAGTGAGCCGATACGATACTCAGCAGACTGGAATTTCTTCCAACGTCCGAAAGCTCGAGCAAACAAGTCTAACCGGAAGGGGGGGTTTGTACCTCAACTATAGATGTTCAGTCTTGCTCAGGGAGAAGCATGGCGCAAAAGGAAGCAGGAGAGCATGCGGTCGAGCCGCTTCTTAGGGGTGATGAGTCCCTGAATTGCGCTTCGGAAGAAGAGTTCAAAGACGAGTTTTCGAGATTTGACCAGAAACAGAAAAGGCGGATATGGAGGAGGATATTTCCATGGCTGTTGCATAGTTCGATAATAGTCGTATATTCGCTGGTTATTTTTGCTGTTATACTACCCAGACTCCAGAGGCATGTTTTGCAAGAAGGAAGAGAAGAAAATCGACCACATCTTCCATGTCAGTCCATTTGACTATCGATCGTCTCAGTTGGTCGTTTACTGACTTGCCGAAAGTACCAGATAGACAAGGCCTGAAATGGGAGTACCGTCGGTTCCCAACAAATATCGTGAACAACCCCTTTGCCGGACCTCCTCGTGAGGATATGGAGCAAGCATGGCATAAGTTTTTGCGAAGTAAGCCTAGTTATCAAACTCGAAGGCTTGCGGACATGAGCTGACTCCTGTTTTTGGTCGAGATTAGATGACAACATCCGTGTTCCTATCGGCTATCTGAAGGAGAAGAACTTGACTTCAGTATATACCAAAGATCACTCAGAGGGTATTGCATCATTGAGTGTATATCACTCTCTGCACTGCTTTGGTATGTAGGAAATCGGGCAATCGGGGTAGTAGTGTATGTGTCGATGCTAACAATTATCCCGTGGCATAGAAAAAAGTTCAAGCGCATGATGTTCAAAGAGCATTATTATGCCCAACAAGGACGAAGAGTCCCATGGCCCGCGAAATAAAGCACGCCGACCACTGTGTGGAATATATTCGAGAATCCCTCATGTGTCAACCAGACCTGTCCCTCGTCACCTTCCGCTGGATCAACAACACAGCCCAGCACGAAGACCCGACGGAGTTTTACCCGACAAATTTTGATAGAGAGGGTGCGGGAGGTTCAATGGCAGCAGCCCGTCCAGCCCAGAGAAACGGCGAAGCGCCCGAAAGCTCTTTCATCTCGCCGTCAGTCTCTGCTGCTCTAGCGGTGGAACGTAACCATAACTAACTCGTCGACCAGCCTTGTCGGGCCTTGTGTTCGCATCTAAGGGTGTAACTCCAGATTTACATGGTGTGCATGGCAGCGAGAGGCGTAACTCCATGTTACTGCTTCGTATAACCAGCATCCCTGGGGCTCGGGGTAGGGTTCTTTGTTCCCACGGCGCCCAACACGGCTCGACGGGCCATTCGTATTGCCTGCTCGTTGGCTGGCGAATCCAGGGGGCCTGAGATGGGTCCGGAGTCCGGGCCATTCGAGCGGATAAGCCCGATCTTAAGGGGCAAATTAAGGATGTTTAGTAGTTTGTTCGTTACAGGGATAAAAGCTACCATAGTTAAACCCGCAGAGCTAAGGCAACGTCAGCGTTGTAGTTATCTATGAGCCCAACTATGAGCCACGAGCGCAAAGCTGGTTGAGATAGGGGTAGCCAGCTATCGCAAACACGACACACAGTTAAACCAGTATTCAATATCACTATTTCGCCTTCTCGCCATCCAAACTACCTAGCTACGTATTGTTGACGATGCTTGGATGAAGTCATGACATCATCTCAATATAGACACATAAACCCCCAAGTGGCATCATTATGGCTTCGCAATCTTCACTTAACTACGACATCTCCCCGACCTATCCACCTTTATAATTTGTAACTCCTACAGTACTCTCTACCAACAATTATCAATAACTATCACATCCAAGCATGGATACTGAGGACTGTCACCAAATATGCACGGCGATAGAAACAACAACTCGCCAGTCAATCATGGCCTTGATCCCTGGCCTGGGAATCTTCTCTAGACTGCCCTATGAGATCCGCGAACTCATCTGGCTGGATTTCTTCCCTGTAGATCAGGAGGACGAATTGACTCCCTCTCAGTCGGAATACATGGATCTCAGAATCCTCCTTGCCAGCAGCAAACTGTACCAAGAGATCTCGGACGTCATCTTCTCCAAGACACGCATGGTTATCGATCTCTCCCCGTCTCCAGATTCTGGGAAAGAATTCCGGGGTGCTTTACGCCTTCGGAGGCCCGTGCGAGATGGTATCTTCTATGACGGACCGGCATGGACACTCAAATGCCGGGCGAAATGCAGAGAACGCCGCTTCGACTATTTCCCTTTCTGCAAGTTAGCCGCTATTGACATCCATATATCTAACCCGGAAGACGAAAATGGATTTTTCTGGAGGTGGAGGAATGTTATCGGTACACTTGAACTGCTCGATACTTCACTGCTCCCGCCTATAGTCATTCAACTGCAGAAGGGCAAGGAGTTGAGTCTCCATGATACATATGTCAATTGTGCAGGCTATGATCTAAATAACTGTCAAGTATTGAAGCAACTGAAGTACAGAAAACGCAAGATGTTAAGCTGGGTAGACACTTGCTATGGGTTATCCCCTTACCCAGATGGGGGCTATAATTCCCATGGCTGGTACGTTTACGACATACTAGTTTTGCCGTTCTATAGTAGATTGCGAGGTGCTCGCTCGATTCGAGTGGAGGTGCATTGTGATGAAATCGGGCGAAAGATGAACTGGACGGTTATACGTGTTGCTTATGGTGTATTCTATAGAAGGGTTAATAGAACCGACCCGTTCACATCTTACCTCGATGAGGAGTGGATCAACTGCCGGATTCTTTCCCAGTACTATTATATACATGACTGCCTGGTTTGGGGGCAACTGTTAGGGAACGGGAGAATGATGCCCTTCTTTTGGATTGGGTGGCATAGCCGGAACTTGAAAATTATCGCCCACAAGCTGGCGGAGCTGGTTACTAAGTTCCTTGACTGAAGACTCGATACGGAGCCGATTCGAAAATTGGTGTCAGGTGGTAGATACTCTAGCTTCTCGTCTATTCTAGTCCAACTGCCAGATAACATCTTGTGGTTATATGACTGCCGGGTATGAGTCTTGTCGTGCCAACCAGGTATTCGGTTTACCAAAGTATTCGGCTCCATTATGAACTTCTCTTCGCTCCAGGTCAATCCCCTTCCTGCCATTCCGCAAGCATCACAGTCGCTATGGGAGCTTCTATTAGATCGTTTGTAAGCGTCAGATTTCCGTAGATATGTAGGTCAATGCGATAAATTCCACCATATGACCAATAATAGAGCGGCATTGGATTATAATACTCTTCTCATACCAAGTTTATCGTATAAGAAGTTTCTCCTGGGGTAACAGCCACGCAAAGGCAGTCCTAGTCTATGCCAGAGCTGGCCCTCGAGATAGAAGTTCTCAGTTTCCTGGTCGGTACACTCTCTGATGTCGAGTCAGAAGTGATCCACTGTCAACTCTCAGCCGGGTCACACGATAAGATAAAAGGCGAATACAAATAAAGGAGAGCAAGTGACCAATACAGACTGCAGAGTAGAAGCAAGATAGGTCCGTTAAAACAAGGTTGTCACTCCCTCTGTGAGAGTGTTGAAGTTCTCAAGGATGAGAGAGCTGATGCACGGTCATCCAGTTCATTCATACAGCGTTTAGATCCCGCCACCACGTAATTGATATAGGCAAATCCACACATTGTTAGGAGGACGAGAAAGGCTGCAAACAGAGAGAAGTCAGAATTAGCCGCACCAGCCGAGCGTTTAGATCACGTGCTTGATTAACCCGCCCAACCTTGTCGCAAAAAGTTCAGCGGCTGTTGTTGCCAAGCGCCGGCCCACAATCAGATTTTGATACTCAGCTCCAACCTCCAACGCTGACGGCTTAACCACAGGCGGGGCGTCGATATCGTGAGCGCACTGCAGGTAAGTAAGTTTGGGTTCCTCAAATTACAGCATAACGCATTGGAATAGCACATCAAAGATGCTTCCTCTGTCCTATCCTTTTACCGTGATGGGCCAAGGTTGAACAAGCTCTAGATGTTTGCAGCAAGCTTCTCACACACCTTCGCCTTGCCTCGGCAAGTGGAGAAGGTGTTCATATTCTAATCAAACATTCTGCTAAACTCTCAACATAATACTTGCTTGAGATTCCGGTTCGCTTCCTGAAAGGTTACATCTTGGCAGAGTGGCTAGGGAAGGCAGTGTGCCGGCACTTACTTGACCTACGGCATACGGAGTAGATCAACACATATATGAACGTTACAGAGTTCCTTAATGGGGTCTATACGCCTTGCGACAGCTTGTCTCATCCTGGAGGATGGATATGCATGGGTGCTGTTTGTAAACTAAACATTCAGGGGATCACCAGCCTATTTGCTTGATGATTAAGCTCCAAAGAAACTGGTGGACGAAGACTCCGTATAATAGGTCCTTCATGAAAGGTATACCGTGATGGACTAATATGCTCCCCAAAAGTTGTTGCTACCATACAGGGGATGGTCCAGGTGGTTGCTAAATTAACGATGTCATCTAAAAATCGCCATTGGTTACTCGAGAAATATCCATGGATCTAGTGGCTGGATTCTTCATGTATGTGACGAAGCCACCGGTAATATATATTTATGCTAGTTAGCTTGTATTGGTGCAGCCTGTCAATGTACTTTTGGTCGCCATAACCTAGCCAATAATTTCCGCTGTTGCTTTTAGACTTAGGTAAGCTCTTGCTCTAGCTCCACTGATCTGATTGTTCAATTTTTTTGGACAGCCACAATTCACACTTCCAACGGCGACTATTGGACTGGCCATTTTCAGTGTCACCAAACAACCAGTTTGCATGGTAGATCCAGTCATGTCGTGAATCGACCCAAAAATAAGTCAAGGGCTCAAAATGTAGCCATGCGGGGTTCATCTCTAGAAATATGACCATCTCCCTCTTCACCATAGTTACTCTTCTCATGCCGCTCTCATCCTTCTCTCGCAACCCGTTTAACTAACCTCGAAGCTGCATTTGGCCATGATCCTATCTCGCCAAATTGCAGCATTTGCTGCATTGATTACATCTGCCTCTGCTTCGTGTTCATGGAGAACCTTTTTGGAGCCCTATTCCGCTAGCAGTGCTGGACACGTCCCGGTGTCTACCTTCAATTACACTGGTGAAGGCGGCCCGCTTCACTGGACCGGCCTCAATCCCATTGCCAACTGGCAGTGCGGCTACGATTCTACCCAGTCACCCATTGCCATAGACTCGCAGACCATCCGATATGCACGCAAAGGCACGGTCAAGATAGATATTCCAACCGCAAGGATGGCAGACTTTGAAAACCTTGGCTCCACCGTTGAGGTGCCTGCTAGCGGAAAGCTCACGGTCAAAGGCAAGGTCTATAACCTTGTACAATTTCATTTCCACACCCCAAGTGAACATCGAATTGACGAGGAATACTCACCTATGGAGATCCATTTCGTTTTCCAAAGGGGTAAGGAGCCACATATAAATTTACTCAATCTCAAGACTGTGTTGGCAACTAACCCACTAGTAGTGAAGGAGAAATCCATCGCCGTCGTTGGGTTTATGGTGGAGCTATCGCCGTACGGACGTTCTACCCCACTGTTGACCCAAGTTTTTGCGAATCTACATAAGATATCAACTCCCGGATCAGTCACCAAAATAAGACAACTGGACTTCTCCAGTGTGGCTGATAGCTTGCACAAGAACGATATTTTCACCTACACAGGCTCACTTACAACCCCTCCATGTAGCAACAAGATATCGTGGTATATTAGTGCCGCACCGCTTTCTCTCGACGTGGTTACTTTCAATGCCGTCAAGAAGGTTGTCAAGTTCAATTCCCGATATACCCAAAACACACTGGGGAGGGTGAACTTGTTGGAAGTCGCAGCAGGTGATATTGGGTGTGCAAAAAGCCAAATGCGTGTTCAATCTGACCCGTAGGGAATCATTGAATCAGTTATGTACATCATCAGATATGAGGAACCTAATGGGAACAGTCTCATAACTTCGACAGCGACGGCGGCAGTCACACAAATTAAGTTTACTAGCGCCGCCGGTAAATAGTGTACACGTGACTGAATGTGTCAGGTGATCTCATTCTCCAAATTCACCAATCAGGAGCTTCAATTCAGTCAGAGAACAAACCTAAAATTTGGGAGTTTATCATTATCACGTGACTTACTCTTGGCAATCTTGCCTTTAGTAAAAAAAATAAAGTTACCAGACGAGCTTTGCAAGCCATCAGTTATATGACTTTGATAACAATTTGAGATACAGGAGAACGCAGGGTAGCCAGTCTTTCTACATAAACCCCTGGCTTTTCCATGTTGCTTCGGCAAAGTCTATTAATATATCTCGCCCAATATTGATGTCTGTTTCCTTTTTAGTCTCTTTGGACCGACGCAACATTTTTTCAAAAGGTAATATTATGTTGCCGGTGACTCTTGTCACGCCATTTTCATGGACGGCACAGACCTCCTGTACCACCGTGCTATTTAGATAACAGTGGCCCGTGATGGGACGGTGCGGTGGATGGTGATGCTCATGCTCCCAGCGCTGGAATGTTATCAATGGCTTGTGCCTATCAATTTTTGCTGTAATCACAATTAGGGTGCAAGACCCTTCAGCCTCCAGCCACCAATGAGCATCCATGACCAGCTTCTGTATACTTTCAGATAACCCAATCTCGATTACTAGAGTAGGCCATTCTTCTCCTTCGATGAAGAAACTCCCGTCTGGTTGCTTGGTCGACCTTGTATTTGCCCGGCTTGGGCTGTTCATGCTTGCCGCACCACTGGGGATGTAGACTTTCCGTAGCCCCATTTGATCTATGGCACTCCCTATGTGAATGACAAGGTTCTGGGTCAGGATTTCGTGTGGCTTAAAAAGCATGGTTTCGGCGACTGCTAGGCTTTCGTCAATATTGATGGCGAACCGCGGGCCTCTGTCACCGTAGAACCCGTCCACTTCTGTGATAAAAGTAGAGGGTATTGCCGTCACTACAAGGAAGGTGCCTTTGAAGATTTCTTCGTAGCATTCTGATGCCCGGCTCTGGATTGCAGCTTCCAATTCTCTCATATTGGTATATTTGATGCACGGCGTTCCCTTGGGAAGCCCGACCAAGAGCTTCGAGCCCGTCCAGGGCGGCATGTTTCTTCTTTCGCAGTTCTGCGACCCTACTGAGTTTCTTCACGGTGTCCGATCCTGGTTATTCGCTTCAGCAAAGTCGACATTGATATTTATATGCTTGTAAAGGTAAAGGAAGGTATTATCCATTAGATGTATTCATACCCATTACCCAAAGCTTATTATGACGTCAAATCTGGCTCATAGTCTGATTAACTAACTAGTCCATCGAGTGTGGCATTATACACTGCCTATTGATGATTTTCACTGAGTAGTTTTGTGCAAATCAAAATACATGCACGTATTGCAGATCGAAGAAGTCGTCGGTACCCACATAAAATGGGTCACTGAATCAGATACCATTAGGAACAGGCCATCCTCTTTAGATTGCTGTCTGAAATCTAGTTATCCAGCTAACTAGTGAACAAGAGAGCTTGGAATGAGAAGTTCTACCTATGCCTGCTGCTAATTAACGTTGCAATTGTGTAACTCAATTTGAAATCACGCCTTAGTAGTATAGTTGCCGTGTCTATGCTTCAGCTCCTCGAGCTCCTCGGCAGAGAGTGGTTTACCCATCCAAGATGAGTCTGAAATGGCTCTACGGCGTGGTGTGGTCCTGATGCCCTCTAGGCGCTTGGTAATGGCGTTGAGATCTACTCGAAGATATTTTGCTAGGAAGGTACCGATCTCCGTGTTTTCGTGAGTGCCTATAAGAGCGCTGGCATCTTCACGGGAAGAAGCATAGATATTAACGTTGACAGCTGGCGTTGCCAGATATTAGTGTGCTGATCACAGCAAAAAAGTAATAGAATTAAAAAAGGGACTTACCGGTGTGGCCACCAGTCGACCATCCAACCTGCGCCCGCTGGCTGATCAATTCAGCAAAACCTTTCTCTCCGTTACGAACAACAGAGTCAATTTCACGATCGGATGCATCGTGAATTCCAAGGCCCTCCTCCACAAGCCGGCGAGCAATGGTGCGGTCGCCACCGTGGTTTTCGAGGACTTCTCCCAGATACTCGGCGGAGTGCGAAGTGCTGTTAAGAATATTTGGGCGCGCTCTGCCAGCTGACAAACCACCAGTTTCATGGTCCGAGGTACTGATCAGAATTCCGGGGGTAGAATCTTGCTCGAGGAATTCCAACACAGCGGCAAAGGCTCTATCAAAGGCAACGACCTCGTGGACTTGGGCAGCAGGATCATTTCCATGGCCGGCATGGTCAATACGGGAACCTTCAATCATGATGAAGAAACCTTGGTTGCTATCACGGGTGGCATCGCTCAATGCTTTCAACGCGGTACGCGTCATCTCTTCAAGGGAAGGGTACACGTTATTCTGATATCGACGGTCAATCTCAAAGGGGATGTTGTTATCAGCGAAGAGCCCGAGTAGAGGGAGCTTGGCAGCAGCTCCTCCCTTCAAACCATCAAATCCCCTACGATCACCAACATATGAGAAGCCTTTGGACTTGGCAAGTTTGATAATGTCCTTGTTGTCATCACGGCAGCCTCCGTTGCTGCCTGGAAGGAAATGGCATCTCCCTCCTCCTAGAAGAAGGTCAAGTTGGCGGCCCAATGGGTGGTGTTCTCCGATTTCCTGCTCTGCAATCAAATCCTCGTAGGAGCGGGAGTTGGCATGAGCAGCAAAAACTGCAGGGGTTGCATCGGTAATTCTAGTAGTAGCAACCAGACCAGTCTTATATCCGGCAGCCTTTGCACCTTCTAGGACGGTGCCACAAGGGGTGTGGTCAGGCAGGACAGCGATAGCACCGTTGTAGGTCTTCTTTCCACAAGAAAATGCAGTGGCACCAGCCGCAGAGTCAGTGATTGGACTATTGGAGGATCTGGTACGCGACTGGCCGATCAGGTGGCCGTCTAAATAGAGGACGCTCTCGGTGCCAGTCTGCCACTTGCGGAAGGCTCGAGCCATGTCGACACTTTGAGGGCCCATTCCATCGGAAACCATGAGGATGACGTTTCGCTTTCCAGCTGGTATATCCCTGCGCTGCTGTTCACCGACAGACTCTGATGCCTGAGCCTGGGGTAAAACTGCCATCACGGTGACAATGGCAATTGCAGCAGCAGCGGCAGTCTGTGACCAGGTAAAGCGCCCGGGGCGACGCGGGGAGTGTTGATTGGGCGCCATTCTGTAAGGGAACTGCTGGTCTGGGGATCTCCGAAAGAGAAAAGTCATAGAGTAGGTGAATGCTGGAAGGCGGCACACTCAAGATGCTGTAGTCGACTCATTGTTGTATTCCAAGGAGGGTGAGGATATGATAGAGCTTTATATACTCATGTATTTCCACAGTTCCCAGGCTGGTCCATTCTGCCAATGGAGGACTAGGGTCCCTTGATGATAGACCTTGTCTATCACAAGTCCACGTGCAGCAATAATCCCTCGATTGTTGACTCTTCAGCAACAGTATTAATTTGAAAGACAAGGCAGATTCTGCTTGCTGCCAGTAGCGGTGGACATGGTTACTGAACAAGACAATGCCCTCTTCGAATTCTGTATCTCCGGTCTCCAAGGCATACTTACGTGGATAATACCCTGCCATTCATCAATACTCTTTAGGCTTTCCAAGGAAAAAAGGAGGGGTACTATTCGCGCCTAGGCCGGGCAAAGCTCCCTTCTATGGAATGAGACATAGACCATGACCACAACTCCTTAGAGATGCCGAGTCTTGCAGGGAGAGTGAATGGTGTTACTTAGGGCCTATGAACTGATTGACGGCTGCCATGAAGGAGATTGATGAGCGCTTCGTCCTCGGCTCAAGAACAGTTCTCCGCCCTTGGCGCGCTGGATCCATCTTGTGGGGAGCTCTTGCGTATATCGCGGCCATAGACGGGCAGAGCAACCAAATATGCTCCACACGCCTATTTTACCACCTCATGGCGTCTACCAACACCGCGACTGGCGCTGGGCTTCTGACTTGTAAGACATCTCGCGCTGACTAGGGGGAGATCTCCCGAACTTATTCTCGGTCCATTTCTGACGAGGTTGATATCCCTGTTGCTTGGGTCGCGGACCTTCGTTAGTGCTGGCTTGGAACTCCGGGCCTAGAAAATTCCTTACAGGGTTGCACGTCTGAGACTGTGAGTGATAATTTCCGGGTTCTTAGCACCAAACTGCAGCAATGCACACGATGGCGAGGGAAGGGCCTATGTATGGACATGCCTTTGAATGGACACGAAGATGCGATGAGGTTGAAAATGACGTTGGGTTAAAGTGGATAGTCGATGGTTATTATGACGTAATCACTCGCGTTGGGCCTGAGCTCCAGCAGCTCCCAACCTCCAAAACATCAAAACATTCAAAAGGTCGAAATCTTCATCATCACCACTGAATATCCGGAGCGACGGAAGCCAAAAGGACAGAGTGCTGCCGGGGCTATGGACCTGGCCCTTGAGCATGCCGCAGACCTGTACGCCTAACAACCGGCCTTGTCGGCACAATGTGGGTTTCGTGCTAAATGAATGCTAAGGCGCCCAAGAGCTCGCTAGCTGACAGTTATTTCTTCAATAGCTCCGACAGGCCACGTATATTGTTCCCAGCACCGGCCAGCGTGTACACGGCATCCCTAATCTATCGGCCGGACATGACGGGGACGATGAACACACTCCATTGCTGCAGAGGAGCCCTCGCGCTGAAGATGACAGACCGGAGCGTGCGGGTTGGATGCACCAGGCAACGGCGACAGCTGGCAGGTTGCGTTCGTTTATGCAGTCAGAGACAGGAAAAGGCATTTTGAAGTGCAGTCTCGCGTACCTATTGGGTTCGATGGCGACGTTTGTCCCAGTGCTTTATCGATTTCTAGGCGACCAGTCTGGTAAGCATACTGTTGCGACTGTCACCGTATACTTCCACCCGGCCCGAACAAAAGGTAGCATGATGGAGGCATTCGTACTGGCTCTCATCGCCTTTTGCTATGCTGCCTTTATCTCGATCACCAGTATGGGTGTTTCGGTGGTCTTTCAGGACGGGCTCCACATGCTTCCCCTCGGTCATGTTATCATCTTGATCGTCTTCTGCGGCGGTGGCCTCGGCTTCATTGGATGGGTAAAACAGAGACGAGGTGACCCGCTGGTCAATGTCGCATGCTCACTTGCTTCTCTAGCAATCATCACTGTCATGACGAAGGAGGGATCTGTGCAGCGAGGTGACCTGTCTTTTGCTAAAATCAACCAGGTCTTCAAAATGGTTGTCATGGGAGTTGTGGCGACAATGACAGTTTGTTTTGTAGTATTTCCTATCTCTGCAAAGAAGAAACTACGCCAGAATATGGTTGACATGACAGACTCCCTCTCTGATATGCTGGAGATCATTACGGAGAGTTTTATATATGGCGCATCAGGGCTTGAGAGCAGCCTTGAACAACGACCTTTCCTTGACGCGTCATGCAAGAACAAAGCTGCATACTCGAAGATGGAAAAACTTCTTAAAGAAGCTAAGTTTGAGCACTATGTTGCCGGCACTGAGGCAGAATACCGGCTTGAGAAAAAATTAGTCCGTTGCATCCAGGACATATCCCAGAGTATCGGTGGACTTCGAAGTGCTGCAGCCCTTCAATTCAATATCCTGAACCAATTCCAACAGCCGCAACAGGATATAAATACCTTTGACACATTGCGATTGCTACACAATGGATCTCCTCTCCGTCTACTCGACAGGCCACTTACGTCTATTCGTTCAGATGGCCTCCAGTCTCCACCGTCTGGTGCTACAACAATACGCTCTCCTGGATGTCCTCAAACAGCAAACACACCTACAGAGTTTGTTCAAGCCCCCGCAGACATGTTTGAAAGGTTCATTACTCACCTTGGACCTTCAATGGTATTTACTGAACCCTTTCTTATATTATAAATGCTAGAACGCAATGCGACTAACCATAGCACATTATAGAACTCTTTGGCATATACCCTAAAGGAAATTCTAGGAGAACTCCCTTATGGCCCAGCCCCGGATTATAAAGTTACGGTTAATAATAAATTTCGAACAAGCCTTGAGCGCGCACTTGACCTATACCGGCACGCTAGAAATGATGCTTTGAATATAATATATAGCCAAAAGGATTTAATACTTGCTAAGGGAAAGCCACTTGGAGTTGAGGCGGACTTAGAAGAAGTTGCAGCTAGCTGTGGTCATTTCAGTTTCTCTCTCCTAGAGTTCGGCGAACAGCTTAAAGAGTTTCTCAGCATTCTTGATCAACTTCAATTAGAAGCTGACGAGCGCCCTAATGGAAGAACATGGCGTTGGATCATGCCATGGACTTCGGATCGGGAACAAGATGAAAATATAGGATCACTTGATTCTGGTTTGTTCCCTCTAATATCACCTATATGCACTGCCTTGTTTCCTAGCCAACTAACTTGTGCGTAGTAGACCCATTGGAAGACAAAAATAAAAAGGATAAAGCAATTGACGGCCCTTTCGCCAAGACCACTCTCAGGTACAGGCTTTGGAAGGCACTGCATGTTTTTCGACGTGATGACACGAAATTTGCTATTAAAGTCGGTGCCGGCGCTGCCATATATGCGCTGCCCTCATTCATGCCCGAAACCAGGCCAATATACTCTGCCTGGAGAGGGGAGTGGGGTTTAGTATCTTACATGCTTGTATGCTCAATGACAATAGGGGCATCGAATACCACTGGCTACGCTAGGTTTCTTGGCACATGCATCGGAGCCATTTGCGCCCTTGCTAGTTGGTATGTTGCAGAAGCGAATGTCATCTTCCTTGCTCTATTCGGATGGGTAATGTCTTTTTGCACTGCATATATCACGATAGCTCGAGGCAATGGCCCTATGGGGAGGTTCATCATGCTTACCTATAACCTTGTTGTCCTCTATGCATATGCGTTAGCTAAAGAGGGCGCTGACGACGGCGTGGACGAAGGAGGCGAAGATCCTGTGATTACTGATATCACTCTTCACAGAGTGGTTGCTGTGTTTGTCGGTATACTGTGGGGCATCATAATCACCAGGATTATTTGGCCGTCCAGTGCAAAACGGAAACTCAAGGACGGTTTGAGCGTATTTTGGCTTCGTCTCAGTGTCGTCTGGAAACGTGACCCGCTTTCTACCATGATTCAGGGAGGACCGGCATCTCCTTATTTTGACGTGCGGGAAAGGATCAAGCTACAGCTCTTCCTGAACCACCTAGACTCGCTTTTGGTGTCAGCAAGGTCAGAATTTTCGTTAAAGAGGCCATTTCCTGATGCCGAATATAAGGTTCTTGTTTCCGGGTCTAGAAGGCTGCTTGATGCTTTTCAGGCCATGAATCTTGAGATAATGAAGAATCTTACTGCTTCCGAAGGTGAAGCGGCAATGTTGAGATACACTTTGCGGGAAAGGATGCAATTATCTGCTAGAATAAGCCATTTGTTATCAGGTATTTACCATCTTTACGTTTATGCCGAACTATTTTCTGGCCGATAATTGGGAATCTAACGTAACAATAGTTATGGCATCTTCAATGAAACTGGGATATGCGTTGAATGAGGTTCTTCCAGACACCGAACATGCTCGAGATCGACTTTTGGCCCGTCTCCATCATTTCAGGAATGATAAACAGGCGTCTCGATTGACTACGGATGAAGACTATGCTCTTCTATATGCATATGGTATGTTTTGAGCCTCCCTTCTCGTTATCGATAGAACCTAATAACTCACATTGGTATTCTTAACAGCACTCGTTACTGCTCAACTATCAAAGGAGATTGTGGTATTAATGCAAGGCGTAAGAAAGCTCTTTGGAGTTATTGATGAGGATGCTATTACTCTTCAGTGATGGTTCGGTCTCTCGTTCCACGTTTACTGTTTGACTATATACCCCCTACTGCAAGTTCCTACTTTATTTCTTTGCGAACATACATTCCCATTCTTGCCATTCTTTGCGGTCAATCAATGCCGTCTTCTCCCTAGCTTCTATGAAACTTATCAAATATCATAACGGTAGTTAATATAAACTGAAAGATTTGTACATAGCAAAAAACTTAAGAGCCGAAAACCCCCCGGCCCTGTAGTCTTATCCCAGGATCAACAGCACAGGCATATATCCATTAGTTATATAAGAGGTATCTGTCCTGCTTACATAAGCCAGCCCCTTTCAAACGCCGACGCCTTTTTTTCTCGCTGCGGCGACGAGACAAACCATCGACTTTGGCTTCAAGCGAGCGAAACTCCATCAGGCGCATGTTAGGCAGGGATAAGTGCCGGGCAGATATCGGCATATTCTCTGTTATTTAGATGAGGGCCTGAGCCAGCCTGTCCTGGCCTCGCGCGAGCGCCTGGCCACCTCGATCAATATCAACACCTTCACCATGCAGATCGACCCTGCGGCCCTAACAGGGACGACCGACTTTGCGCCGGCGTCTACTACAACCAAGCCTGTCCCGACTGGCCCTCCGATTGCCCCGAAAACGACTAAAGCGCTCATATCGGTTCCGCGCCTTGATGTCGAACCTATTTATACCGAGCTCAAAAGCGCCATCGGGGACGGTTGGTCCGAGTATAAGCAGGCAATCACACTCTTCTTGCTTGGTACGTCGAAGCAGTGATAACGTCTATTCCATGAGGCTCGGTATGCTTACCATATTTCTTTCTGCTAGGACACCTTAATCAGAATGAATTTACTCTTCGAGCTGCGCCATTGCTGGCCGTTGACCCAAAGCGCGAACGACTTCACAATAATTTTGTCTGCGCGTTGCTGGGAAATCTGACTAGGGACCTTCCTGACCATGGAGTTGCGAGCTGGGTTTCCGCAAATGACAAGCCAACAGTGGTGTCAAAACCGGCCTCTGGAGATGCCGCTGAACAGCGCCTCAAGACAGAGGTCATGCAGCTTCCGCCGAGAGATAGGCGAAGATTAAAAGCGATCCCAGAGGTAAGCATCCCACTAGGAATGAAAAAGTTTTTGGCCGGTTGAACCTGCAGTTCCGCTGACGTGGTAATTATAGTCTGATCCAAGTACTCTTCCCAACCCTCTCGAGGAATACCAACTGGCAAGACAGATCAGGCTTCCGGACCAGGTGCCTGCGAGTGCCGGCGGCTTAAATAAAACAAGTATGACCTGCTGCTGTCAATTGCTTCTATTTTCCAATCATTATCTAACGGTTGATAGACTGGGAGCTTGAGATTCGTAAACGATATGCCCAACCTCTAGCATCAGAAACCGGAGAGTTTCCTGACTCCGAATCAATATATGCGCGCATGACACCTATTTGCTATGAGGAATCCATATCGAATGGAGCCACTTTCGCATGCGCGACTTACATGGCTATTGCGACTGAAAATTTTGTAAAGACATTTCTCTCTAATGTCTTCGGCCGGACCAAATGTAATGGCCCCTCGGGAACTATAAATGGAATGACGACAAGGAAATACCGCCGCCAATTAGAACGTGAAGAAATGGCATTTACACGAGGAGAGCTAGTTAGAAATACCACCAACGGCCTTCTCCCTGTTGAAGCAAAGGAAGCGAGCAATCGCCAACCGTTGGGGCTACGTGACCTCAAATTGACCCTTGACATCGCGCCTGGGGCTCTTGGACACATGCCCCTTATCATTAGCCAGATAATGGGGGGTTACCTTGAAGAAGAACTTGAAGCGGAAAACCAATGTTACATACAAGAGGCCAATATTGCTACCGATGGCGCTGATCATTTACCCTCTGGAGATGAGATGGATATCGATGAAGATCCTTGGGACTGGGATGGTGCTACGGCTGCGGACCATAGCCAACTCAATTCGATTCTTGATGAGTGCCTTTCTATGGCATCCTGATGTACTGGTCTGGAGTCAAGAGGTGCATATTAATTGGCGCAAGCACTGGTTTTCTGGATTTTTGAATACTATTTTGTCTACCGTGGAGTTGTGTTTCAGGATGATTTGCATTGGAAGGCTGGGTGGTTACGCAACGCTAAAGAACGTATTTATTGTATCTATACATTCATTCCAAGTTCACAAATGACAGCGGGCTCACTGTCGGATATATGTGTGAAGTATTTGGTGCATTCACTCCGTCTGGTGAATAGCATTATCGCTCATAAGAAGCCCCCGGAGGACTCTTTTACTGACCATTAGACGTGACAACTTTTACAAGTAGGTATCTATAGATGAAATCATTATGCTGTACCCTATTTACCCCCTAACATAGAACTCCAGTTTGCAAATAACAGAAACGTAGCCGGTGACATAAGTATATAAGAAATAGGCGGCGTATTTGTGAGAAATGATCCAGCTATGGTCAGCGACTTTATACCGCATCCTATTCCAAGCGATTGAGTGTAATCTTCAAGATCTCTTCGGTGGTTTTATGGGCATTAGCAGGATCTTTGCTCACTGTCTGCCAGATTTCTCCATGTTTCGGTTCCGTAGCAATGCATTTTGTTAGGACATCTTCCCGCTTCTCCTACATGAAAGATTAGGCGTTAGCAAGACTGAACTCAGAAAAGAGAAGCTGCTGAAAAGAGGCAAGGACTTACATCTGTTCCATGCTGGAGAAGGAATTTATAGTACCATGCCCAAACATCTCCCAGATCACTATTCGCAACGATGGCCTTTTCAAACCAGGTCATGGCTTTCTCCAACCGTCTTTCGCCCCAAAATATACGAGCAACGGTGACAAAGAGAATAGGATCGTTGTCCACCTTCTTAATAGCCTCCAAGCTTCGAGGTTTCCGGTGTGTGCGAGGTTCAAGGTGCCATATGCTTTCACTCCACAAAAGTCCTGAATTCGGGACTTCTTGCAGAGCCTTCGACATAAGGGATTTAGCCTGGCTCATATTGTTTGCTCGGCGTTCTACCCTGACACTCTCGGTCCAAAGTTCTGCATTCTTTGGAACAGCAAGTCGAGCACGATCCAGTACTGATCTGGCCTTTACAACAACGCCAGCTTTCTCTTCTAGCCTTGAAGCAAGGAGCCAAAGCGGCACTGACTTGGGGCATGCTCGGGTCCCCGTTCCGTATGCTTCCCGAGCTTGCTGGATTTGTCCGTCACTTTCATAGATTTGACCCTTAAGCATCCAAAGCTTGTCTGCTTTAGGATATAGCTGTAAACCCTGGTTGACCAAATCCAAAGCATGATCCCTATTGCCGAGCTGGCGCTCATAAGCCACACTCTTGATCCAGACCCTGTCTGTACCAGCCTCTCGCCGAGCGGTTGACAATAGTTCTCTGGCCTGTTCGATTTGATTAGTATCAGCCTCGAGTTTCACTGCCGCCAGCCAGATATCTTCATTGTTGGGGTTCTGGTGGAATGCCCGCCCAAGAACTCGCCGTGTATTGTCAATCTCGCCAGCCTGCCACTTCTCTTTGGCTAACTGCATCCATAGTTCTTCAGATCGAGGGCAGGCCTCAACGGCCTTCTCAAGTAGCTGCCAGAGACTTTCTTTGGTACCATGGTTCCGCTCTAGATCTGCCGCAGCAAGCCATACCGACTTTTTATTGACAAAGATGCGGAGTGCATAGGCATAAATTGCCCTCGCCGTCTCATATTTCCCTCTTGCAATACTGCCCTTCGCATCTTCCATCCAGATATCCTTCCTATCATCGTCTTCGTCAAGACCCCACCCCAATGTTTCTCGAATAATGGCATTGCAGGTAAGAATTGCATCCTCTTCTTCGCATTTTTCAGCCTCGACAATCCATTCTTCCCTCTTCGGCATGGCGGAGTCTCTAGCAAGAGATTGGACGGCCCTTTTCATAACGTTTACTTTATTTGCTGTTCCCATTTGCTCTTGTAATCTGGCTGCAGCGATCCAAATATCGCGACTGGTAGGAACAGCTTTACGAGCTGCGTTGAGGACCTTTTGGGCATTCTCAGGTGTTTCCAACCGTGCCAGTGCCAACCATAGCTCAACGGAGAGAGGTATTATTTCAGTGGCTTTAGCAAGTAGTAGGCGTGCATCCTCTGGGTTCTCTTCCAGGTTCACGGCCTCTTTCCAGATGGTGACTGACTGGGGTACGTGCAGAATGGCCTGTCTCAGGACATTTTTCTTGGCTCGAGGATCAGACTCCAGTTTCATAGCTTCGATCCAGAGTCTAGTTGATCGATCATTATTTTTGATCGCGTTTGCAGCGATGATTTTGGCGTTATGGTTATCATTGAGGCGGATGTTCTCTAACCAGACATCCTCACTTTTCGGACAAAGTTCACAGCCTCTAGCAATGTAATTTCTAGCGGCTCCAATGCGACCCGCAATCTCTTCTAGACGAGCAATAGCGATCCATCCGGGAGGATGTTTTGGGTTTGTTTTTGTGACCGACTCTAGAAGTGTCCGCACACGTTTGATATCTCCGATCTCTACCTCACCAGCCTTCATCTCGGATTTTGTTAGGCTTGTCAGGTAGCCCTTCGGATCAATCGACGTTGCACTGCCAGAGGCAACATCTCCGTTCGAGCCTTCGGCTGCTTGATCTAAGCGAACTTGAAGCACCTTATCTCTGGCTGCACCAATGTCTGCAAAATTGGTAATTGTGCCATCAGCATTTTCACCTCGAGGAGCGTATGACTCGGTCCCGTCGTCGTTGATGGTAGTGCTAAACTCAGTTGAGTCTCTGGCGTTCGCTATGACACTGTCTGGTACAGCATAGAATCTCTGGCGCATATTTTGCCTTGCTCTTCGGTTTTTGCCTGTGAGATCTCCAACTTCGGGAATATTAGCCCAATCCTCATCCGAGACTGAAGCTAATGACCGCTTGAGATCTGCGAATTGTTGTTGTATTTTAGGATTTTTTCTCTCGTACTCTTCCATTTCCTGGCGTTCCCGAGCTTCCCTATTATAGCACGATGTGGCTTATGTTGGTAATCTGTTCAAAACGAAAGGGAGTTCTAGGACAAGATAAACTATTGGGTTCTTGCACAGACTCAAACTGGAGTGGAAGGGGGATTATTGAACATACCTTCTCGCTTTGCGCCTTTTGTCCATCTTCTCATCCACAGCCTGGTACACCTGGTCCGCTTCGTCATCATCTCGGTCATATTGACCATAGGCGAATAAGCCGGTCTCGTTCTCTGGGTCTTGATACCGGTCATCATCGTCTTCCTCTTTATCTGCTTTCCCGCCCTTTTCCCCCCGAGTTGAAGCACCATACGCAGTCGGAGGTGCAGTACCCAGCAACGCAGCCCGCTTCGCGAGGGCTTCCTGTATCTGTTCTGGCGTAGGGCCTTCCCGCGCTGGCCCAAGATCAGACCGGGTCGTAAAACCAGTAGCACCACGGCCCAGTCCAGCAACGTAGTTTTCGGGCGCCGGCTGGCTTAGGAAATCCTTGCGCCCTGACATCGTCGGTAACACGGGGATATATGTAGCTGTTAATGTAGTTGATTCCTTGTTAGCTTCAACGAAGCTCGAAGCTGGACAGGCATCCAGTAAACCTGAGCCTAGGTGGTTTCCGATGGGCCCGGGCCCGGGCATTTATATATCTACGGATAAATATATTTCCGTGCCGTCAATTTTTTTTTTTTTTTTTTCAAACACAAAATTTATCAAGGGCGCCGGCAGGATAAATTCCAAGGCAGATAGATATCAGTGAGCGGGGTTGAAAGACGGGGCCTGACAGAACAGACAGCTCACGGAGAAGGTCAAAATGCCCAAGGCAAAGCATGGGAAGCGCAATAATGCGGCACAGGCGAGCAGTCCCTATGCGCAGGCCGTCGCCAAAACCAAAGCAGCCCACAACATATTCCGCATGAATACAGATATAGGCCAGCACGTCTTGAAGAATCCTGGAGTAGCTCAGGCTATTGTGGACAAGGCAGATCTCAAGCAAAGTGACGTAGGTTGTACCGTCTGCTGCTTTGGGATACTCCAGCTAATCTCAAACTGTAGACTGTGCTAGAAGTCGGACCTGGTTCTGGAAACTTGACCGTCAAGATCCTGGAGAAGGCCAAAAAAGTCATAGCCGTGGAGTTAGATCCAAGGATGGCTGCGGAACTCACAAAGCGTGTACAAGGAAAGCCGGAACAGAAGAGACTGGAAGTCCTGCTTGGAGATGTTATGAAGACGGAGGTTCCTTACTTCGATGTCTGCATAAGCAACACTCCATACCAGGTATGGATTCTAAATTACCATCTGTCAGACTGTGGGATATAAAAAGCGCCGGCCACTGACTACTGGCGTATAGATTTCTTCCCCATTAACCTTTAAACTGCTAGCTACGAACCCTGCACCCAGAGTATGCATCCTCATGTTCCAGCGTGAATTTGCAATGCGACTGTTCGCAAAGCCGGGGGACAAGTTGTACAGTCGTTTGTCTGTGAATGCGCAAATGTGGGCAAAAATAGATCATATCATGAAAGTGGGCAAAAACAACTTTAAACCACCGCCTGCTGTCGAATCTAGTGTGGTTCGCATTGTCCCGAAAGTCCCACGACCGGATATTAGCTACGATGAATGGGATGGTCTTCTTAGAATCGCCTTTGTTAGGAAGAACAAGACGCTGAGATCTAGTTTCCTTGGAACTACTAGCGTTGTGAGTATGCTAGAAGCTAACTACTGCACATGGTGTGCCCAAAACAATATCCCAATTGATTCAGACCTCCTGGATGGTGACCAGCAGATGATCACTGAGGAAGATGATGACCAAGGCGAGGAGGAAGATGAAATAATGGAGGTTGATGATGAGGATGACGTTCCTGACTTCTTTAAAATGGAGAAGGTCCAGACAGTCTCCTCCAAACCTGGCCCCACGAAACGTGGAAAGGTGACAAATCTCGTCCGAGAAAAGATCAGACGGGTTCTTGAAGATGATACCAAGCTTGCGGACAAGCGTGCCCGGATGTGTGACGAAGGGGAATTCCTGAAGCTTCTTTGGGCATTCAATCAAAAGGGCATCCACTTTAGCTAGTTGAACATCATTGTTCATTTCATGAATACGCCCCAAAATGGTCTATGCAGTCGAGTGGGGCCTCTCTACAGCAGCGCCGCCTGACCTGAGATGCGCACTTGAATCTTGAAACAAGCTTTGCCATATGAAAGCTTCGCTCAAGAGCAGCTCTATATCCTTCTCTGTCCACTCTCGCGTTGGAAGTGCCTGGAGGAACATCATAACCTCCTAACCCACTGTCAGCATGTGCCATGGAAGCTTAGCAATATCGGACAAGACAAACCTGAAAATCCATCTTCAGCAGCTGCTCCGACCACTTGACGAGGAATGCAGCGCAAACATATAGGTGAAACCGTGAAAACCCTTGCTCCTCTGCCTGGAATTCAGTTAGCATAGTCCGTTGGGGTCTAGGGCTCTTCGAGGTACACTACCATATATGTATCCCACATCCTTATTGTATTTTTGATGCTGATTTCCCGCATAAGTAGACAATTCATCCATCGAAAGCTGAACTGCATGAACTCGACTCCCTCGTTCTCGAGGTGTTTGGTCAATGCTAAGTCAATGCGTCTCGTGAGGTCATGAAGTGCATTAACTTGCCTGTGTATACCAGGCTGTGCATAAATATAATTATCTTGAATGCCATCAAGAAGTTTGGTCAAGCACCAAAACGAGTCTGCTTCGACAGCATTGATCACTGGTTGCGGTAGCTGTCCAGGATCCATACCTTGCTCGATATCAGAATCCGTGATATATGAGCCCAGAAAAACCTGCCAGAATGGAGTGACAAGATCATTTATCCCTTGGACATATCCGCTTGCAGGATGTCGAATTGCCCAAACATAGAGGATTCGCTCGAGTGACCGTTGTGTTGCCTCGTAGGCATAAAGGGGTATATGGGGGTTAGTCCGTGGGATATCAATACTGATTTGATGCCAAATTGCCTCATCAATCCCTCTCCCACCACCTAAATTTGGAGTTGAGGATGTAGCAGGCACAGCTTTCGAACCAATAGACGAATTACGCTCAAAGGCTTGCCGTACGCCATCGAGATATTCCTTTCGCTTACGCTCTAGTGTTGAGACACGACGGTCACTGTTCGCGGGCAAGTACCCGAGCAGTAGTTGCCAGGTCATTGCTCTGACTTCTTCTGGGATACCTGACCAAGCTAGATCACGGAGCTCAGGCAACGATACGGTACTTGATTGGAGTATCCGTTTGAACTTGTTCACTCGACTTATTCGAGTAGAATGAGCTTCTGTCTCCTTTGCACTAGCTCCAGGTGGCGGCGGGGAGTGATTAACTAAATTCAATGAATTTGCGGGATCTGTTATATCATAATTAGCCAGTTAAATAGGATAGCAATACGCATAAAACTAAACATACCCTTCAATATATCTTTATACTGCGGTCGGAGTATCTTGCCCTCTGATTTATTTGCTGTAGGATAGGTTAAACTAGACCGTTCCTCCGCGATGTCTGCACTGTTCGCTCGGAGGCGCATGCCGTGCATACTGGGAATCAAGGTTGAAGCCTTTACATGGCTGCTTGGTTCAGGAGTGGACTGGGTTGTCTTCACGGGAAGGCTATAACCCGGCGATGGCTTGGCGCGTTGTCGGCGCATGTTGGTAACACTTGGAAGTCCGAATTCGTCCTCATCGTCCTCGTACCCTATTTCATCACCGTCATCGTCATCATCTATATCTGGCACTGAGCCTCCAGATCCTTGGGAAAGGAAGCTGCTATATGGGTGCTGTGAAGATAATGTTCTTTTGGCAGTTTTTCCACTGTTCGCGTCACGGACCCTGCTTGAGCTGGGTGACAGCGAGGGCCGCGACGGTGTGGACGATCTTGAACTAGGAGGGACACCCCTATGCCAGTTCCCAGGTCAGTATTAGGGTTCGTTTTCATATGACGTTTTAAAACAGCTATATCAGCAAAGGGGGCAGGGGGGGCAGAGACATACTTCAACATATCTGTATGGGCGTAAGAAGCTCCGACAACGGTGTTTTGGTTGAACGGAACATGGGAGCTTTGCGGCCGAGAAGATGACGATATTGATTTCCAGAAAGGGAGTCCTCCTCGACTATATAGAGAGTCAGTGGCTGTTATGTGAATAAGAGGAGGAATGGCAGTGGCGGTGGGGGCGGGAGTCGATAACGTACGAAGACGTATGGTCTGTGGATTATCGCATGTTATCAGCTTATCAGTAATATTTGACTCCATGGCAAAAAAGTCGCAGGTAATAAAAGGAGAGATATTGATCAGGAAATATGGGGTAAGGCATCTCGAGTCACGGACCGACCTGAACCATTTCCTGTGAGCTGTTTGTTAGCTTGAAAGAGTCCCAGCAGATGGGGGTTGTCATATAGCTAGCAAGCTGGCACATACCTGCGGCGTGTGGTGCTGGTCTTGTCGCCCCTTTTTACTCGACATTGTGGCGGCCAGCAGGTACGAAATTAATACAGGGAGAGACGTCTAGGCGCCCGCTATGCAACTCTGCCTTGCTCCAGCATCTATCCTCCCTCGACGGCGGCGGCTGTCAAGCTGTCTGGCTATCATCTTCGCACAGCTTTTGTCGTTGACGTTGATGTCTTTTTAGTCTCTGAGGGCTCTGCTTAGTCAGCCAAGCCACCCTCGAGGATGAAAAAACCATCCAACCTCGCCGGCTTTCTCTGCTTCTTACACCACCTCGCACACGCACAAGAGCGCTGCCTTGCAGCTTCAAGATATCGCGAATAACAACCTGAGCTAACGAGACTTACGCAGCGTATCTAGCAGTCGGCTGCAGTCTGGGGTTTTACGACTTTTCAGCCTCCTTTCGGTTGCTACTCGAGGAACCATGACTGAGCCAGAGGACCTCGAAGAGGATCTCTTCGCTGACCTGTAAGCTGCTCTCCCTTGCATTATTGCTGTTTTGGATTCCCCGTTACTACTTGCTTGAGCTTGCATGTGGTAGGTATTCTGCGTTTCTGACCCGCTGGATAGGTATGATGCCGATGAGACCCCGGCAACATCTGCGCCTCCCGCCACGGCACAAACACCGTCCCAGCCTCCTCCTACTATCAAGGCAGAGGTAGCAGATACGTCCAGTTCTACACAGCCTGCCGCGACTCAGCAGCAGCAGCCTGCTCAAGAGCAGAAATCAGAGCCACCATCAACCCAAAATGGTGCCCAGGGAACACCCACAGCTGCGGACACTAGCAGTGGTGGACAGGCTTCAAATGAGCCTGAAAGTCAAGGGACAGGTATAAAAGAAGATGGGTAAGTTATGCCTTTGACTGTTTTGAGTTTCATTCCCGCTATATTGCCCATTTTACCATACTCTTTACACCATCAAAGCCAATCGGCCAGTTGCGTCGGTTGCCGCTGGGAAAGAATTTAAAGGCTTCATGAATCTACTTGGATCGTGGGTAGTCCAATTTTCCAGGGTGGACAATATTTTATCTATATGATTTTCCTCCTTTATCTGGAAGAAAGGTCGATAAATATCCTCAGTGACTCGCGCCAAAGATACGAAACGCCTCTCGCTGCCCGCCTATGCATGGAATATGAATTCGATGGCTTTTAAAGGTCGAAAATGTGATGTGTGCGCGGATTATGGGGTCACACATAGGTGGAAGGACATCCTTGGTTTACCCGGAACTTTCAGCTGAGCTTGTGACCCTGACATGGCTGCTGCGCAGTTCTCTATTTGGACATTTATTGGAAAGGGGTACCAGGGGCAAAAGAAGGTGCTAGCCATAATTCGATGGGGTTAATCAGTTCAGTGGCTGAAAAGAGATCGAGGGTATTTCATGCATTAAAGCCTCTGCACGATTCCGCTGTGGAACGACTATAGTATATCAGATACTATATATCTTGTCGGTATATCTTGATAGAGCAGTGCAAGAAGCAGTTATTTACTTAACTGTCTTCGATGTGGAATATCGAACATTACCTAGCTTCGGACATAGAATCAGGCAGAGGATTATCGGAAAAAAGAACTTCGAAAAATTCCAATTCTCAGTTTATTGAAGCTCGACGGGTGCACAATTCCATATCCCACAAAGACCAAGACCAAGAACCACAGATCAATGAACCCTGCACCTAGTTCCGGCATGAGCGTGTGATGACCGTCTGAAATCAACATCACATCCCCCTCGACTGTAATGCGCCCCACAGCACACTGAGCCCATCATTTGCGAGAGCTATCACAACTCTCCATACTTTTTACATGACCACGGAGGGAGGAAAGTCGTTATCAAACTTACGAGATTATCCATGGGAATGAAGTCCGGCTAGCATACGTCCCCAACAACCCCTGGCATTCACCAACCACGACGTGTCCATCGGCGCAACATAGAATCTCGACTGATCAGCGCCGAAAAGTTATCAGGCACAGAAGCTCTCTTGTCCCTTTCGGTGGAATTTCATTTTTTTGAGGGCGCAGCCACGATGTGCCGACTCTTATTTATTTCTTTTTTTTACTCCTTTGTCATTTTTACACCTGCATCGGACACATGCTACGCTCTCCATGCATACCACACATAGTGAATCTGGGCTAATACTATATATTAAAATAGTAAAATGTTTATTGGTGGATTGAACTGGGAGACTACAGACCGTATGTACAAGTCTTCTCTCAATAGTGAGCTACACATGCCGTGATGTGCGTATCTGACGATATATACTTTTAGAATCTCTCAAGGAATATTTTTCCCAGTTTGGAGAAGTCCACGAATGTACTGTTATGCGAGATGGAGCGTCCGGTCGATCGAGAGGGTTTGGTTTCCTTACATTCACTGACCCAAAGACTGTAAATACGGTTATGGTCAAGGAGCATTATTTGGATGGTAAAATTGTATGACTTTCTCCCACAACATCTGCTATCTTAACCAGATCTTTTACTGACCAATTTTATAAGATTGACCCTAAACGAGCAATACCTCGAGACGAACAGGAACGGACCAGTAAGATTTTTGTCGGTGGAGTGAGCCAGGAAGCCACCGAACAAGAGTTCAAGCAATTTTTTATGCAATTTGGCCGCGTTGTAGATGCGACCCTCATGATTGACAAGGATACTGGACGGCCTCGAGGATTTGGTTTTGTTACCTTTGATAGTGAAGCTGCTGTCGAGGCAACTCTCTCAGTCCCTCTGGAGATTCACGGGAAAGCAATTGAGGTGAAAAAGGCTCAACCCCGTGGCAACCTCAGAGACGATGAGGAGAGCCGGCGGTTAGGCAAACGTGGGTTCCGCGATGATCGATTCAAAGACGACCGTGGCAGTGGATCCGATTCAGGCCAGCAAAGCAATACCCAGAACCAAACAAACATGGCGGGTGGCATGACACCACAGATGATGGCTCAATATTGGCAACGGATGCAACAATACTTTGCTCTAATGCAACAGCAAATGGCTTCTGCTCAGGCTCAAGGCATGAACTCAGCCATGGGAGGCATGAACCCGGCTGTTCTCCAACAAATGCAGCAGATGCAACAGATGCAACAAATGAATCAAATGAAACAACAGCCAGGTGCTCAGCAAGGAGGAATGCCTCCAGCCTCCCCGACACCCCCCAATGCACAAGGGATGCAAGGAATGATGAACCCCATGCAACAACAGATGCAAATGCAACAGATGCAGCAAATGAACCAAATGCCAAATCAGGGCCAAACAGGACCTGGATTCACAGGTGGCGGTATGGGTGGCCAGATGGGAGGAAACGTTGCTGGCGGCCCCGGCCCAACTGGTCCAGCCGGCACCCCTCCAATGCCTGGAAACTTTGCAAACAACAGGGGAGGTCCAGGATATAACGCCCAGGAACAAATTGCATTCGAACAACAGAAGTATGAACAACAGCAAGCTCGACGGGCGGCTGATCCACGGACATTCCCAGGATATCAGCAAGGCAACCAATCCTGGGAGGGGATGTATGATGATACCCCCCAACCTAACCTCCCAACTGGTCCTCAGGGTATGGGCCGTGCTGGAAGCGCTGGAGGGCCTATGGGACGGGGTATGTCTCCCAATGTTGGGAATAAGCCTCCGCAGCCAGTTGCATCGCCTCAACCGCAGAGTGCTCCACCCGCAAATGCTCCTACCGGCCCCCGAAATGCTGGAAGGCCAGGTGCTAACTATCGTGGAGGAGGCCGTGGAGCCCACCGAGGCTTCCATCCCTATTCCCGCGGTTGAGTTTGATACCTTGCTTCTTTCTATGCCATGACTGCACCTTAGCCTGGATGTTGGAAAGAGGTTCTCGGTGGAGGACAGGTATCCAGCTTCTGCTTTTGCAGACTGGCGCACCCTATCCGTCTAAGTACCTAGGCTCAAATGCTCTTCACAGTATTCCTGATGATCAGGGTTTGATCTAGTTTTATGCTGTCTATGTTTCCTGTCTCTTCTCCCTCTTCATTGTTAAACCGGGGTCGTGAAACTTTCCTTGGGGAACGGTGCCTTTTCATAGTTACTGTTCTCTTTTTCTTCTATCAATCCCCGCTTTAATGGCTTAAATGGTGGCCCATATCTAGTTTTCAACTTCGTCTTCGCTTTGTGTTATTCTCAGCAACAATTATAATCTCATTGTTGAATAAACAAGAAAATGGAAGCGATTGCCTAGTTAGCTTTTTCTCTTTGGCTATGTAAGTACTTTCCTACGAGTAGTCGATATTATATCAACTCCCTAGGGAGACAGCGTTAGCTATAGATTTCTAGGAATTTGAATGCGCAGTGTCTGGCTCCAATGTGACCGTAGCAGAATAAATTGAAGTTCAATTATTACATCCACTCTCCCGCGCCCCTATCTAAACATATTCAACTCTGCTAGAAATGACAATATATAACAAGGCAAGCAGTTATGAACGGAACACAAGGTTGAATAGAAAGAGGGGTTCGACTTTATCCATTAGAAACCAGACTTCCATCCCTAGCCTAGAATTCAACTCCAATACGCCAGAAACAGAGGAAATGGTGCCTCAGATATTTGGTATGTAGGCCTTTTTCGCCGAATAACTCCCAAGGTTCCTAAAAAAAGTAACGACACGCATCTTCCTAGCTTGCATGAAGCAGGACTTTCGGTTCAAACGTTGTGTGATGAACATACCTATGTACAAAGTAAGGCGGTGTCAGAAGTATGAGTGAAAGGAAGAGAAACGAAGAGAGTAAATGAAGAAAAAGCAAGGAAAAGGGTAAGAAAGGGTAAGAAATAAATGGTAAAAGAACATAGAAGATGGGGCCTGGAGTCCAACACAATAAATGTGAAGAAAACTTGTTAGAATAAAATGGTTAGAAGCGAAGGATAGCAAAAGCAAAAGGAATGAGGAAATGAATGTTTAGTGTTTTGGCTTTGCAGGCCTGCGTCGGAGTCCGAAGTCTTCTTCTTGAAGTTGTCGAATGAGCTTTATGCTATCAGGATCAACGTCGGCTTCTGCGAAACTAGTTCGGTCGTGTGCCCTCCTTGAGGATGGACCGTGGCCGTCGTTTGCACGGTGAGACGATCCGGGTCTCGAGGAAGACTTTGACCTGACTGGAGAAGACGGGGATAGGCCTGAGGCAGAAGAACGGTCCTTAGATGAGCGCTGCTTTTGTCCATCTGCAACTTTTGTGTTGAGGGAAGGGTAGCGGGATTGGTGATAGGATATAGAGGTCGGGGTATGAATTGATAAAGGCTTGTCCGTATTTCGATCTCCATCTGCAGCTTTGCCCTTTTCACCATCCAACGAGCCAGGAACTCCATCAATATCATCGACTAGAGACGTAGGAGGAGACACAAGGCTGCCAATTGGGAGTACGGACTCTGAGGCAATTGGATGTTCAGAAGGAGCTTCTGCCTCCGAGTTCCCAGCTGGAGGAGACGAATAAAGAGGGCTGTCTCGCGGGAAGTTGGACTTGAGAACATGCGCCTTGTCTTTTGAGCTGTCGATCTTTAAATCTTGAGTAGAATCTGTATCATTCTTCGTGCGGGAAGATGTGTCTTCTTCACTTCGTGGTGACTTGTTCTCACCGCGCTTCTGCTTTTTCGGGGGGCTTGGTTTCTCATCTTCAGGACGTGAACGTTTTGTCTTGGGTTGCTCTTGGATCTTGACTGGGTCAACTCTACCGGCTTCATCATGGATGCATCGGCGCTAGTATGGATTAATACGTGTGTTTATGAGTTAATAAGAGGGGGGATATACTGACCTTACTCTTCCGACATTCCTCGCAGGCCTTTATTCTGCCTTTCTTACTAGAACTTGATGATCCAGGACTTGTTTCCTGGGGTCTCTTCAAACCGTTTCCGCTCGCGTCCGGAGGATTGGAGCCAGAAATGCTTTCCTGGTGTGGTATGCCATTGCGATAAGGTAGAGAACCTGCATTTGCTCTATCCGTGGAATCGTCAGGCCGTGATGTAGTGAGGGTCGTGTCTCCGCCATTTGCACCGAGAGAAGGATCCTTAACAGTTTCTTGATCGGAGCTAGCATCGAGACCACCACCCTCCTTGTGACGACATTTGATACGGCGTTTTCGGCAAGGGTCGCAAGCAATTCTTTTAGGGCCGAGGCTTGTAGCTTTAAGAATCTGCCGTGGGTTGGCTTCCAAGCCTTTGTTTTCAGCAATAGAAGGCCTGCGTGATTCCTCAGCAGGTGTTCCACTGCTAGAAGAAGCCGAGACCCCTCGCAGAGGCGTACTAACTGCAGGTTGAGATCCTTGATCAGACGGCTTCTGGGTACTGTTTAGTGATGATCTCGACTTTTGAGAGCCAGTCATAGCACGCTCAGACTGTTTGCGTGGTCGAGTACTTCGGCGTTTATCAGACATGTCGACTTTTACATCCATGACGATTGCTCCGGGACGAGTCCACTGAGGTGCAGGTTCATTGCCCCGTTTCCAAGCTACCCAGACCCCGAATTTCTGAGCGATATCAACGGGGTCACCTTGGCCTTTGGGAATAGACCTGCTGACAGCGTTTCTCGTTTCTTTCGTGACACCATCGACCTTGTAGCCGCCTGCAATCAATGCAGTTCTCAGAATGTATTTGGCCAATTCAGGAAGTCCGTCAATTTCGCTTTGGGAGTAGAATTTGGCGTTATAATAATCCGACCCTAGCTCCTGACTGGCAGCAAATTCCTCTGCTTCTGGGTGGTAAACGGGGTTTTCACGATGGAATTGGTAGTTCTCGTCTTGAGCAAAAGCATCCTGAAGCCGTGGCGGTATCGGGTCATCAGCCAGATATTTCAGGACAGTTAGCCACATAATCTTTTGGAAAAATGGATATCGGAATTTCCGCGGGACTTTGGCGTCCTTTTCCATCTTCGTGATCTTGAGCTGCATCGCGTAATTCATTCTTGTCAAGAAGTTACCGCCTATAACCAGGCTGTCTTCCGGTGTCCAAACAGCATGAATCCAACCAGAGGGAATCAGCATCGTGTCACCCTCGGAAAGGTCTACTCGATAACACTCTTTTGATTCTGTTCCGAGAAAGGTGGTGTCTTGAGCAGGGGAATTACACCATTCGTCGTACTTTTTCAAATGTTTCTCCTTGGGAGGGATAAAGAAAAAGGTCTTCTTCCCCTTGAGTATGTGGTAATACACCGATGAGCCGCCGAAGTCGATATGAAAATCTGTGTAGCAGTCGGCAACGGACATCAGGCAGTAAAACTGGACCTTTGGATAGTCTCCAAGAGCCTGCTGTTCAGGTGGCCACACTGAGTCCTGGAGGTCAAGTTCGCGAACCACACGCGGACGCCGCAGGAGCCGTCCTACCGGAGACTGTGAGACTTCAAGACTTATAACATTCTTGACCATCTTGGTGGAGCTAGTATCGTAATAATAATCCATCCATCTTTGCATAGTCCACTTCTTCTCTTCGCCTTGCTGAGATTTAACGTCGATGACCTCGATCTTTTCCTCTGGTCCGTAGATCTCACCTACAGCCTTTACTGTAAGGCCCTTGGGAATGACCATGTCCAGGAGATCCTGGCCGCAGTCAATAGCCTCCTCATAACCGTTATCTTCTGGTATGCTTGCGTCGAATTCTTCTTCCGTAGTAGCTTCGTGGAATTCGAAACCTGCGTGCGAGTTCATATGAGCGGGAATGACAATCGGCTCAATCATGCCAGCTCCGCGTTCGAAGTATGAAGCAGTAACCAGATCGGGCGGCATCCTAGCGAAGTGATCCGGCAGGAATGTTATAGTGCCCTGCTTTATGGCAGCAAGATGGATGTTTTCGTTCTCTTCGGAGGGCGGTTTCACAAATCCTTGGTTAAGACCTGCGTAATCGATAGCCGTTCTAGGACGAGTGGACTTGCGAACGAAGGTGGTTGGGCCGTGTACTGGGCGACATTTGGTGCAGATGAACTTGTCCACGGTCCGTATCTCATGGTCGCTCTTGAAGCCGCAGCAGACAATATGGAACCACTGGTCACATCCGTCACAATTGACCCAGGTAACCTCTGCATCGTCTCCTCCGACCCCAGCTGGGGCACGATCCCGGTTACATGCCGCACAGTTCGTCTGGCCGGCAGAGCTGCCATCTTCGGCTGCCTTTTGTTTCGATCGTGGTTTGGGTTTGGTGGGTTCCTTGTCTTGAGACGGTTTAGAAAACGGTACAACGGGCGTCTCTTGGCCCCATGAAGGAGTAGGAGGAGCAGAAGGAGTAGGAATATTCTTATACTTCTTCTTCTTCTTTGCAGGCTTCTCTTCTTCCGGGTCGTCTTCAAGCGCAACCCCCATGACAGAGGGATAAAGAGGCGAGTCAGGCATAAGGCCGTTCATGGCTGGTCGGGAGAGTGCGGCAGCGCCATCTGACTGAGATCGTAGCCTAACAGGCGGGACGCCGTTTGCACTTCCTGCCATCCCGGGCCAGGCGGTAACACCTCTGTCGCGCATGACATCGCCATGGTCATAGGCAGCAACTGCAGAGGCAGGGCCGCGCCACAGATCGGTGTTCCAGGAGTGAGGAGAGTTCTCTGTAGTGACTCGGGACAGAGGAGTGATGTGAGGGGAGTAATGGGGAGAGTTGGTCGGTCTGGCGAAGTTGAGCAGCAGCTCGGCGTCTGTTGTCATGCTGTCGAGGGTGGAGACATGGCTCGTTGCTGGCCTGTCTCCGAGTCTTTGCCAGCCGGGCGAGTGCGCCTTTTCAGACTTTGCTCGCTTCGACGGTCTCTCATCGATGTCCGGAGCAGCTCCCTGACGCCCGAGAGGTGAGATGATGGGCTCATCCGGTCCATCGTAGGTGAGAGGAGAGAAGGTCGGGCTGGTGGCTAGCGCTATTGTAGCAAGAGTATCGATGGTGGACCTGGACCTGGCGTGTCCGCCGGGCCTGCCGGGAGACTGCTGCTGTTTCTGCTGGTGATTATGGTGCTGCTGCAGCGAGTGTTCTGGGTGTGGTTGCTGCTGTTGCTGTGGTGGTGGTGCTGGTTGTTGATGGTGGTGATGGAGAGACTCGACACCCCGATGACTGCTGCTGTGTCTCCGTGCCTCGTCCACAGACGGAACAGACCCATCGCCGCTGGCGCCTGGTTTCCCTAGACGGTCACGACGCGGAAGCGCAGCAGGACTGGCCGCAGCGGCAAAGGAGAGACGGGGGGAGAGCGGCTCGATCGCATGGCGAGGAGGGGAGGGAGTGCGGTAGTGCGACGGGCGGTTGGTAGGATGGACGCCGAACGAGGTCGAGGGCGCCATGGCCGGGCAGGCAGGGCTTCTGGCGGTGCACACAGGGACAGGCCGAGCTGGAGAGCGAGATCAGGTCAGGCCGGGTTGCAGCATCGGCGCGTTGCAGGCAGAGAGGCTGTTGATGGCGGGGAGTTCTCGAGGGCGGACGGTTGGCTCGACGGCGGCCGCAAGCATCGACGCAGCGCCGGCGGCCTGGCTGGCGAGGTTCTCGGTTCGTATCTGGTGTATCTGGTGCTGGCTGCAGGACGGCCGTCAGCTTCGATGCAGGAAGACGCCCATCAGCGGTCGGGAGCGAGCTTGGTCGGTGGTGCAGCGGCGGCGCGAAGCTGAAGTCGGTCGTTTTTGGTTGCTTTGCGAGTTCGAAGAAGAAAAAAAGACAAGAAAAGACGAAGCCTTTGGATGGTACGGTATTGGGATTACGCGTTTGTTACGAGGGTGCAGGTGAGAGTGTGTGGACTATCGTAATTTAAGTGGTAATACAGATACGGAGGCAGCATGCAGGTCAAATATCCTCGTTTTACGCTGCGAAGAAGGCCGGAAGAAAGGAAGAAAAGCGCTGAGAGGGCTGCGGGATGGCTATCAGTGCTGTCTGGTAGCCGGGGAGGCCACTGATCGATGGGTGGTGGGTCAAGGGGTACCAATTTTGCATTTGATATCTGGGGGCTACCAAGAAGATTCTGATATTGAGCGCAGGTCAAGACTGGTATACATACACAAATAGGCAGTCAATATTGGGTGGGAAGACCTGTTATACTACCATGGACCTGGCACGGGCCCGCTCTTCCACCGACAGCTTGTCCACCACGTCGCCGTCTGCCTGCGAGATCTCCTCCCACTCCTCCTCCTCCATGCCCATGACCATCACTATCTGCGTACACCGGGCAAAGGTCTCGCGGTGACGGTACCGGCCTGCTCTGCCGCCAATGCTGCCTCCTCTCTCCCCAGCAGCGGCGGCAGCTGCATCATGGTGGTGGCCCTCAGCCACGTCCACTGCAGCGGCTATTATCCCAGTGACGTCTCGCTCTAGCCTGGTGGTCCCCAGGGCGTTGACGCGGCCGTGGTAAGACCAAAGCCGTTTTTCCAGCAGCCTCGACAACGATGTCAGCGTCACGCCGAGCAGTCGGTCAAAGGTGTTGGCGGTCAAAATGCGAGCGATTGGCAACATGAGGTCCCGCCAGCCAGCTGCAAACCGCTGGCGGACCAGGCCGTGATGGTGTCCGGCTTCATGGTGCATCAGGGCGTCGTCTTCAGCGCCTAGGCCTACTCCGTACGCTCCATCCTCTCCTTCGCCGTCCGGAGGCTGGTACTCGGCGTCCCGGAAGGCGTCTGCAAGGATGGGACGAAGACGGGACTTGAGCACGTTGTTGAATATGACTTGGATGCCATCACCGATGAGATCCTGTGCTTTAGACGTAAAGGTAGCAGACAACGACCGCAGCGTACTCAAGACCACCTGAGCATCATCAGCAAGCGGGAACAGCATTGATATCCGGGGTTGAGCGCTGGCATCACTGGTTACGTCGCCCCCCGTATCTGTGGACTCCATGTGCCGTTTCACGATACGCTCCAAGTAGTCGACAGCAACGTCTAGGTTGTTGACGAGCACAAGAAAAGACACCACCGTAGCAGGGGGAGGCTGGCCGCCTGGCACAACGGGCCTGGGGTGCGTTTCGTCTCGCATCTTGCGGTGTACCATGCCGATGAAATCAGCACCAAGCACTCGTGCTATCGTAGGCACCACGCTGCTGACTGCCGACCGCTGGGCTGTAGCCAGCGTCTGCTGTATGACTTTGTTCACGATGTACATGATATCATCCACCACGGATGTGATATGGGGCGGATTAGACACCAATGGCTTCCGAAGGTCCAAGGTAAGATCAACAGGCGACTCATCCAGCTGAAAGGCCTTTTCCACCGAACGACGCAGGAAGAAGGTTGTCATCGCGTTATACGGTGACAGCAGCTTGGTATCTACCTTTTGGGCTAGGGGAGAACCCGTCAAGAAGGACGGTAACTCTAGCTCGTCCTCACCATCGCCATTTTCCTGCGGTCTGATATTAGTATCATCCAGTATTAAAACAGTAGTAACCATGATTAAAAAGGTTACGTACCTTGCATTTACTAGCTAGAAACCTTCCGTAAAGAGACCACCGGCCGAGCATGATTGATATCTCGTTTAATATGGAATCAATCTCTTTCATATCAACCCCTTCATCTTCACTGTTCCGCTGCGCCGTATCCCAGCTCGCCGGAGAATTCGACCGCGGAGTACCAGCACCCCTGGCGGCCGGCAGGAAACTCTGGACCAAGAACGTAAATGCATACGACTTTATATCGGTCAGTTTGCGGTCGACATGACGCTCCTCTGCCCATGACTCCAGGATGATGCCCCCCTGAACATCCGCCTCGACCTGTAGCCGCTCCACCACTCGACCCATCTTCCCCGGGCCGTAGTGTCTTTCAACCAAGGCTCCATGGGCATCCACGATCTGAGCAATGTGTTCGAACAGCCTGGTCAGGGCATTGGCGTAGAAGAAGTCGTCCTTTGCCTGTGCTCCCCCCGTCCCGGCATTGAGGTTCGAGCGAGCTCTTGCAGCCACTCCCTGGCACACATACCGGCCATACACATCAAGGCCAACATCTGACTTGCCGATTAACGGGAACAGCTTGAAGAACCGAGTGATCTTGGCCCCGTCATTCTCCTTCACGGCCTGCTCAAACTCCCGTAGAAACAACGCACAAAGGGACTCGGCCGCGTTCGACAGCGTCACATTGGGGGTATCTGGCACCTCCGTCGTAGGCACAATCTCCGCAGCAAAGGGACTGTTCACCACTTCCTCCGGTATCTTGAATGCGCGGTGCATGTAGGAGGCCGCCATCTCCCAGTTCTGCGAGGCCCCCATCGAGCCCGCAACACCCAGCACGCAGGCCTTGAGCTCCGCAACCTGCCCGACCATGTCCAGTATCGATCTGACGCGAGACTGCTCGAGATCCAGCTTGCGGACGGCGCTCGATAGCGAATGTGCAGACGAGGCCGCCCCGGACAGCATCTCATGGCTGATGGAGCGGGTGGTGCTGGCCTGCGTCCCCAGGTGGGCACGCAGCAGATCGAGACGGCCGAGTTCGCGCGAGAGATCCTTTTGCGAAGCCACCAGGGCATCGAGACGGGCCGTCACCAGGGCTTCTCGGTCCTGCAACTGCGAGAGCGTCGCTTTGATGGCCGCCACGGAGCTGGCGTTGTAAATGTCGTCGTCACCGTCGCCGTTGCTGTGGTCGAGGGTGCCGCCGGGTCTGCTCGTGCTGTGGCCGTTGGCGAGCTCTGGCGACGATAAAGGGCCGCTGCCATGGCCATTGACCTGGCTCACCGGCAAGCTGGCCATTCTCTGCCTGGTTCTGCGGTAGTCGGGCGGTTGGTGGTTGTTCGCATAGTATGTTGGCCTGCAAAGCGTTGGATATTCGGAGGTTTCGATGTCCACAAAACACGAATGAGGAACAACTTGGTAGCCGAAGACGCAGACACTACCGGCTGCACCTGAAGCGGGCGAGATATTGGGATTAGATATACCGGTGGGTATTTGCTATTACTTCTACCTGCTGTCTACGGCGGTTATTATACCTGGCTAACGTCTGTTGTAGGGAGATACTGGTTAGTTGAGAGGCCTTTCAAACACACCCACCTCCCCCCCGCCGCCTCAGCCGCCTGATACACAGCTACCATCGAGTAAATCGAAAGAGATACCATACGGTCAGACCAAAGAGAAGACGAAGAAAGACAAGGAGAACGTGAAATGGGGGCAGAAGCCTCCAAGATGGTAGATGATAGTGTCCCGCCGGCGACGCTGGAGAAACGCAGCATCGATGGCATCGTGAAGTACATCAAAGAGAAGAAGAACTGCAAGATAGTCGTCATGGTAGGGCTGCAACGTTGCTAAATACGAGATAATAGACGCTGACAAGAAAGCAGACTGGTGCTGGCATCAGTACGTCTGCTGGAATCCCCGATTTCCGCTCGCCAGACACCGGCATCTACGCCAACCTTGCGCGCCTCGAGCTGCCCTACCCCGAAGCAGTGTTTGATATCTCGTACTTCCGCCAGAACCCCCAGCCATTCTACGCGCTGGCCAGGGAGATGTTTCCGGGCAAGTACCGGCCTACAGTCACCCACTCGTTTATTCGGCTTCTTCATGATAAAGGGCTGCTTCTCAAGCTATTTACGCAGAATATTGACTGTCTCGAGAGAAGGGCGGGTGTTCCGGGAGATATGATCGTCGAGGCCCACGGCAGCTTTGCAACACACAGCTGTATAGACTGCAAGGCAGCCTACTTGGACGAGCTGATGGCCAAGGCGATTGCAGACAGCGTGATACCGTCATGCAGTGAATGCCAGGGACTGGTCAAGCCAGACATCGTTTTCTTTGGAGAGGCTCTGCCAGCCAACTTCTTCGCCAGCCGACAACTCCCAGAAGAAGCAGACTTGTGTATAGTCATGGGTACCAGTCTGAGCGTGCATCCGTTTGCCAGCCTCCCGGGCCTATGTCGAGAAGAGACTCCCCGGGTGCTGATCAATCTGGAGCGAGCCGGGTCGCTGGGCTCACGGCCTGATGACGTCCTGATCTTAGGAGACTGCGATAGTGGTGTACGCCGTCTAGCTGAGGCTCTCGGCTGGCTGGACGAGCTGGAGAAACTATGGGCAGAGACGTGTCCAGAGCTCGGCAGCGGCAGCAAGCAAGTCTCGGAGCAGCAGGACAAGGAGCCGGCAAGCAAGGACGAGCGTCTCCATGATGAGGTCGACCGTCTTTCGGCAGAGGTAGAGTCGGCCCTAAAGGCGTCTCGCGAGCATGAGACCCGGACAAAGGCCCAGCTCGAGGCTCTCCTGGCCGAGGAGAAGGCGACGCAGCCTAACGCCGAGCAAGAGAAGCCGCCCGAAGACCAGCTGGCTGAGTCCATGGCCGCTCTCAATGTCTCGTCCAAGGAGGAAGACAAGATGCGGCCGGTCGATACAGATTGATATTGACATTGGTAGCTCGCTGTACGCTCCCGACTTACGACTTTACGACTGATGGCGGTTCTAAATGTATACATCTCTCTCTGTAGTCTATGATCCATCATCTTCTGCGCCTTTTTAATGTCTGCTCTCCGTCTCCCTGTCGTCCTCTTTGCTTCTTCTTCCTCCAGCTTCGCTTCCCCTTTGTCTCTGCTGAGTAACAAAAGCCCAACCAAGGCCAAAACCTCCCCACCACTTCCGCTGCCAACTACACCTACAACTACAACGACCAACATCATCACCGTCTCCAGTTACAACATTTAACTCAGAGACAGCAGAGGCCGCAGACGCATAGACTCGCAGACAAAATGGTTCCCGTTCCTCGCAAGCGGCCGTCCCGCAAGGGTGAGCTTTCCCCCGGCTGATCCACGCCCAGAGCCTCGCTGACACCGCATAGGATCCATGGTCGACATGCCCAAGGCGCTGCTGGACGAGATCAAGGAGCTCGAAGAGACCTTCACAGTCGACACGGCCAGACTCAAGAAGATCGTCGACCACTTCGTCAACGAGCTCACTAAGGGTACGTCCTCACACCCCGGCGGAGAGAGTCGCGGCTGACCGTCGGGTGCACCACAGGGCTCAGCGTTGAGGGCGGCAACATCGTACGTTTCCCACGAGATAAATGATACGAACAGATACGAACAGAATCAATTCTAACGGTTACAGCCGATGAATGTTACCTGGGTGCTCGGATTCCCTACCGGCAATGAACAGGGTACCTTCCTAGCCCTCGACATGGGCGGCACCAACCTGCGAGTCTGCGAGATCGTTCTCTCGGAGGAGAAGGGAGAGTTCGACATCACCCAGTCCAAGTACCGTATCCCCGAGGAGCTGAAGACTGGAACCTCTGAGGAGCTCTGGGAGTACATTGCCGACTGTGTCCAGCAGTTCATTGAATACCACCACGACGGAGAGGAGCTGCCAGACCTCCCACTGGGCTTCACCTTCTCTTACCCCGCGACACAGGACTATATCGACCACGGAGTCCTGCAGAGATGGACTAAGGGATTTGATATCGACGGTGTTGAAGGAGAGGATGTCGTCCCCATGCTTGAGAGTGCATTGGAGAAGAAGGTTCGCTCATTTGGCTATATACCCAGCTAATACCATATATAACTAACACCTAGCCAGGGATTGTCTATCAAAGTTGCAGCTTTGATCAATGACACTACCGGAACGCTGATTGCTTCCTCATACACCGATCCTGAGATGAAGATTGGCTGTATCTTCGGAACCGGTGTCAATGCCGCATACATGGACAACGCTGGCTCGATACCCAAGATCGCCCATTACAATCTGCCCCCTGACATGCCCGTTGCTATTAACTGCGAGTACGGTGCCTTCGACAACGAGCGTGTTGTCCTGCCCCTGACCAAGTTCGACAAGATCATTGACCGTGACTCTCCTCGTCCCGGCCAGCAGGCATTCGAGAAGATGACCGCCGGTCTCTACCTAGGTGAAATCTTCCGTCTCGTCCTGATCGATATCATCGACAACAAGGGCGGCATTATCTTCCAGGGCCAGAAGATCGATAATCTCCGAAAACCATACTTCCTGGACTCTTCCTTCCTTTCTGCTATCGAGGAGGATCCATTCGAGAACTTGTCTGAAACCCGCGACCTGTTCGAGCGTGTCCTTGGAATCCAGGCTACCAAGCCAGAACTCGAACTGTGCAGACGTCTGGCCGAACTTATTGGCACCAGAGCTGCCCGTATCTCGGCCTGCGGTGTAGCTGCAATTTGCAAGAAGAAGAACATCCAGTCCTGCCATGTTGGTGCTGACGGTTCTGTCTTCAACAAGTACCCCCATTTCAAGCAGCGAGGTGCCAAGGCCCTTCGTGAGATCCTCGACTGGGCCGATAACGAAGACGACAAGGTTATCATGAGCTCCGCCGAGGACGGTTCTGGCGTTGGAGCTGCTCTCATTGCTGCCCTGACCCTCGAGCGTGTCAAGGCTGGCAACTTGGCCGGTGTCCGGAACAAGGAGAACATAAGCCAGATGCTCAAGGGTTAAATAGAAGCTATAGTTATATGGATGGCGTTGATATTCATATAATTTACTCTGGAGGTGTATTTTGGTTGATAGATTGGTTTAATCCTCTTAATTTTGCTTTGAAAGGTTCTCTCCCTTTTCATTTTTATTCTAAATTCAACATGCAGTTAAAAATATATATATAGGCCCTGGATAATTGCCATAGATCTGTGATTCTATACTTTGGATATCTAACACCAACCAGTTCCAATTCCAATTCCAAATCTACTTCATCCATGGATCTCCCAGAGACGGATTTTGCCCTGTTCGTTAGCAACGGCAATCGAGTCCGAGGTTGGTGACACTGCAACAGAAGATATACGACCAAATGGCGTGTTGGACGTAGGCCAATTCGAATAGACCATACATGAAGGTAGATGAACTAGCCTGAGAGCATCTCTCTTCCACCGACTGGCCATGACCATGAACTGCCCGTCCTGCGCAAACACCAGATGACTGATAGGGGTAGTCAATTGGTCCAACACACGAACTGGTTTCGGCCGTTGCGGTACTCCTGATTGAACATCCGCCGCCTCATCAAGGGGTTGGTTGGGTTTTCTGCGAGCCGCAGCCGCAGCATCAGCCCAGGGCTTTCTGTCATAGATATTGACGATCCCGCTGGAACTGCCAATGGCAACCCATCTATCTCCTCCAAGCTCCTGACGGCCCGTTTGGCCTCCCAGACTCAGCACTGTGGTACCAACAGCACCTTCATCGACCCATCGAGCAATAATCCGCTTCTCACGAATATCCCATTCGCTGACTTCACCGTTTTTGCCAACCACGCACATTCCCTCGCCGTCACTCCACCAGGCAAAGTCAGCTACTCCTCCCCGGCCGTCTATACGTACCTGCGCCACCCATTGCATGGTATTTGCGTCAAAAACAATTATAACACCGCCTCCCTTTTGGGTCGTTCCTTCGAACCCGATCCAGCGGCCGCAGGGGGAGACTTTGAAGTATTCCATGGATTTGAGCTCGTGTTTGCGATCCGCGGGGCCAACGACCTTTTCAATCTTGCCTGTATCTAGATTCCAGACGTGGAAGAACCGTCGACGACCGGAACATAGGATACGGTTGCCAGTTGGGCGGTCAAATGTGCTCGTCCTTATAGGCGTATGGCGGATGTGTAGCGAGGTAAGCAGTGGATTGGGTGACGCTGAATCGGGTGATATGTGGTGTAGGAATAGAGTAGAAGCAGGTCCAGACGAAAGTAGTAAGGGATAGTGAGGGTGGAAAGATAGAGAGTCGATCGAGGACTGCAATGAATATTAGCGCGAGCCAACATATATATGAAGTGATATATTTTCTTACAGGCTGGTTCCCTCCAACGTCTTTCAAACGCTGGATATCCAACACACCCTGACGGAGCTTCCTCTTCCCAGCAGAGGTGGCATTGGCACTAGATCTGGTCAAGTCACCTATGTTCTGCAACAGCTTCGCCAGTGGCTGCGCAGATAAATCTTCCTCTACGTCATCCTCATCCATCGATAGGTCAGATGTATCTTCCTCTGTTTTCCGTCTCTTGGCTGCGGGACTGGCCCATTCAGGAGCAGGCTGGAGCCGTTCAAACTGTCTCCTAAGGCGAGCAATGTACTCTCTACCACCTATCACATCCTCACCCTCATGAAGCCGTAGTTTTCTCAATCTCTCATTATCAGCCAGGGAAACTCTAATTCGGTCATCGTCGCTATCCTCCCAGGCAGCAGGGACGTCTGGCTCCTCTAAACCTTGCAGTTCTTCCGCCGGCTGTTCGTCTTTTGATATGGAGACAACCGGAGCCGAGTCTCCAGCGTCAAGGTAGAATAGCTGTTACACCAGTGTCAGCGCAGTTCAACTGGTTAATTATATATCATGGATGAGACAATCATACATCCTCATCAGGGACATTTGCGAGGTCGTCTTCAGAATCACCGCCGTCTCCCAGCCCCTCTCTTGAGTCTGATCCCTCTGCCAAAACGAGCTCCTTCGAACCGGCCTGCTCACGCTCCTTCAGTGCACTATGAAAGCCCTGTGAGTCGCCGAACAGGATCCTTTCAAGCTCGTCTTCAGTCTCATCTTTCTCCATTATTTCGTCTTGTGCGATGCCATTGGTATTTTCTTCTTCGCCAGCGTCCACGAATGCGACTTTGCTGCGCTTCTTTTGTCGAAGTTTTCGTTCCGGCGCCATATTTGCTCGATCCAAGGGCAAAACTAGAATTAAACGAAAGAATAAATACAGCTATATCCTGCTAGAAGATGTATTCCGGCAAGCAGCTCGTGTTCACGAAGCTGTTCAGTCCGTTAAAAAGCTTCAACTTTTTCTTCATTATTCTATCAAAATTTTGATATTATTTTTAATTTTTTATTTTTTATGCCAAGACTTTTTATCTTTTCTTTTCTCAGCAAGAAAACTATTAATGCTTGAAGATGACATCATGTTTGAGCGACAGCGATATCTTATCAAGAGGGGTTGAATAAAAGAAATTACCCTGGGAGAAGATAATGTTTCTAATAATACATTATACAGTATATGTAATGATATATATGTATTGCTGGTGCAGGTGTGCAAAACAGAACAAAGGATAACGATGCTAGACCAGGCCGAACCGTACACGGGTATGCAAAGTGCAAAGTAAATAGCTGAACTTATTGCTAGATGATAGACCAACGCCGATTCACCAGTACATAAGAGTGACAAAACGAAGAAGCAGGAATCCAGGTTCGAAGATAGGGAGTGGAAACGATTAGGCGTGTGGTAAGGGAGGAGGCTTGTGGGAGGTGACTTTGCCGTTAGTAGCAGGCTTGGGGCTCCTCTCGTCGTCTGAAAAGATAACAGGCGCAGAATTTAGGACTTCGTCATCACTCGCCGGATCGTCGTCCTCATCATCAAGACCAGCAAGCAGAGCACTGCGGCGATGTCTGTCACTATTTATCGAGGCAGTGTCGTCGAAATCATGATCTTCCTCGTGTTGATGCAGCGGGTCATGTTCGGAGGCACGCTTTTTGATAAATATGTCGATAATGTAGTACTGCACCGCATTCATGATGACGGGGAAAAGCAGCATGACGAAGAATATCTGTACGGCGGTGTTCCCTTCTGTCCAGCGTAGGGCCCAGTCACCGACCAAGACAATGAACGGAAGCCAGTAGATAATGCATAGAACACAGATTTTCATAAGAACGAGACCGAAGAAGTAGATCATCGACTGTTTAAACCACCACAGCACTTTTGGGGGACGGCCGTAGTGACCCGACTCAATAGACTCAGGAGGGTTGGCCAGAGGGGTATACAGGGCCGCATGGTTCAACACTCGCAGTATGAAAATCAAAATGGGGATTCCAAGTGTAGTCTGCTTCATGTTAGTGAAAAGTATACTGATGATAAATATTGAGTGAGATAACCTACGTCTATTCCAAGATTGAGAAGATAGTAGCTGCAAGGATTTGTCTGTTTAGCATCCGGCGATATCTGGCCTGCCGAGAGCATGGAGGCAAGCAGGTTGACCAGATGCAACATCGAAGAGCCAAAGACCTGCTTCGATACATCGAATGCCCATACTTTGACTGGCCGCTGAGGCCTCTCCTTCCACCGCTTATATACCAGCACAAGAAGCGCCAGGGCGCCGAGTGACACCTGGATGACCAGCGCAAAGGGGCCGAGCAATTCACATTTACCGTTTCCTGCATCGCCTGGCGCATTAGGCGGGCCTGTAGCCGTAGCCGTAGCTGTAGTCGTCCTTGTTCTTGTTGCGCCGGAAACGGAGGTCATGGTAGCGGCGAGTAACATGGTGGTAGTGGTGGTATGGTGGAGCGTCAAGGTGTCGTGGCCTGCCGCCATGGTTGCAGACGAGAAGGATGGCGGTTCTGAAATTCCGTCCGTCAAGGCTCCTCCCGATCCAAATCGCCTCCTCCTTGGTCGTCCGTGGTGGGAGATGGATGAGAATTAGCAGTAGTTCACAGGGGCTGATGAGACTGCAGCCTACGGAGTACATAGGGCGGCTGAAAACCCGGACAAAGGGCAGCACGGGCAGCGTCTGATGGAGACCAACGCAGGAGATCAGCTGTGGCCATCAAAAAAGGGGGGGATTTTGTATCCTTTCCGTCTCACCCTCCTTGTGTTTCTCGGTGTCCTTTCTGCGTCCTCGTCGTTGCTGTTGAATTCTTCTGCTCTGCTGGAGTTGTTTCGAGATGGATTGGAACCAGGATGCCTTGCGTCACGTGTGGTCTGGGCCGCTGCAGAGTTCAACGTGGAAAAGCATTATTGAAGGCATATTTGAACGAACTACGAGACGGATGATCTGCGAGGATGGAAGAAGAAAAGTGCAGGCAATCAAGTACTGTAGATTATGGCATGAACTAGCCGGTAATAAGTTATATATCGTTGTTTTAACGCCATCTTCCGGCGAAAAAGCTGGAACTACTCCCTCGACTTATCCCTGGATATAGATGGAGAGATAAGAATGAAAGACCGGGAGCGTAATGAAAGTAAAAAGAAGAGGAAGAGTTGCAAAAAGAAAAAGGAAAAGAAAAAGAAAACCACCGGCAAAGTTAAGTAACCCCCAAACGCCTCGACCGAACGAACGCCTTGAACCGCTCTGCCAGGGACCGGGCAGAGATAACGAGGCTCCTAGACCTGGGCTCTTCCGAAGCAGCGGCCGGAGAGGACGCAGGAGAAGGGCCGTGAAGTGGGGTGCACAAGCTGCTGGCCACAAGGGCCGGAGCTGGGTAGGAGGGGGAGGAGAAAGGACGACATTTCGAGGAAGCGAGCAGCACCTGATCCTGGGGCGCTTGTAGTCAATCTATGCCATGTTGCAATTTGAGCCGTTCGAGATTCTCCTGGCGCGCGGCGAGGTCTGTTTTTGATCGGACCATCTTCTCTGGCTGGTGATAGAGGACTGTCTCTCTCCGTTAGTAGGGGGGTTGTTACATAGCCACAGAGCGATGTATTATAGGAGCCGACTGACCAACGAGGTAGCGGTTCTGGAAGTTGAAGCCGTTTAGTTTGTCGCAGGCCTGCTTCGCATCCGTCACGTCTTCGTAAACCACGAATGCGGTGCCCTTGGAGTTGGTTGCGATGCCCTGGCGTATTTGGCTGGTGTTCCGTTAGTCCATTTATTGCTCACACGACTCCATCGTCGTCTGCATCTCGACGCAGCCAGCTGTGACCTCACCGGATAGGGCCGAATTTGCCAAATAGATCGAAGAGCTCCTCCGCGGTTACGTTGTAGCTGCACGGCAGTGTTAGGATCGGCTGCTCTGGACGCCTCAAATAGGAGGGCGCATCATCGAAAATACCTGAGATTCTTCACAAAGAGGATCCTGTCCACGAGAGCCAAGTTAGCATCCAAGCCCGCCTAAGGCGTCCATCACTCTCAGGGGTTGGGGGTTGGGGGTTGGGGCCACTGCTGTCTCCTCCTCACGCACCTGTTGGCTTCCGGGGCGAGTTTGGCGCTACGGCTCATATCTCTCTGCAGTTTCTGCGTCGTGCTTATTCGTCTTCAGCTTGAGTGTTGCAATTATTCGAATCGTCCTCGTTCGTCGTTCGTAGTTCGTAGTTCGTCGCTCGTCGTGATTTTTCGATTTTTCTTTCTTTTCTTGTTCGGCGCTCGAGATGTTTTTCTTCTTCCTGCCTTTTTCGTTCGTCTTCTTCCTCTTTCGGTCGAACGCACTTGCCAGGTTTACTTTGCCTTTCTGGGAAAGCACGTGAGGCAGTCGCGCCTTCTCACTCGCTGGGTTAAAGTAGAGCCGCTTTAGGCAGCAGTCATGCTTAGTAAGGGGATGAAAGCGGCAGAGGGGAACCTTGTTAGTCAGATATTATTAAGGCTTAGTAATTCATTAGTCACTTAATTGGTCATAGTATTAGTCATATTCATTAATCATATATTAGTCATCATTCCATCAACTCCTCCCTCTTTCTTCCTCCCGCTTTCTTGCTTCTACAGCTTCAATTTCCGACGTCAACAGCTTCAGTCTTAAATAATAGCTCGCTAAATGAATTAAAAAAACCAGCATGATCGAGACCGGCGAGCAGATATCTCGAGCTCGACCCCAGAAGTTCCCTGATAAGCTCCATGTTCCCGCCACCATCTGTTATCATCCAATCGCTGGCCCGCTGGAGATTTAACAAAGAAGCTTATCGGCCCTCTGACGCCCACCGTTCCATGGATACGATCCTCGTCATTGAACGACCAGCCATGATAAACTAATATGGCGCGCAGGAACAGCAGCCTTATCTCTCCCGAACGGTAGATCCGGGCTGGCGAGCCTGGAGTTCTTATCTGGCTATCTCACTCGCTGCCTAAGCCTATCTCGCCTGAGCTGCGCTACTCCTGCGCTACTGTGGCTAATTCTGGGGCTGCCTCAGCCGCTCCGTCGAGCCTGTGCGAGCGCCAGGCGATCCTTCGCGGGGGCTGTCGTGTGCCTGGATTTTGATATTCCCAGCCGATACCGCCTGCATGCTATACATGTGCAACCCCGAGGATACCCCCTTTTCTCAATTACGATTCTCCATGATTTACCATGCTCTAGGGATCTCTCTTCCATTCAATAAACAGCCAGGAGGAGGGGCAGACTATCTTCTTTATATTCTTTGAGCACCAAGTACAGTTAAAGTACCGGTATGACTAAGCTGTCCTCCCTGGATCTTCCGAGGTCGCTAGCAGGATTCTCCTAAACCTTCCGTGTTATCTATCTGAGCCTCCGAGCGAATCAGGGGCATATCAATATCAGACAATTTTTCAGTCTGATATCGACCTGATGCGAGGCCTGGTCATGGACTACCCTGCGTTATCTTACACTTCCCGCTCCTCAGCCTTCGTGGCTGGCCGTCCTGCCTGCCTTCAGATGCGTCTTTTTCACCGACCCGAGACCGAAAGGAGGACATTCTCTCCTTTTTATTTTGCCTCTCACCCCCTTGGTTGAAATGTCTTTTACATTCCTTCCATATTCACTTACTTCTTCTTCGCCGTTAAAGGGTTGACAACCTACGGCATTCACATATCCTGGTCCCATATCTACCCACACAAATAGATATATACAAACAATATCTACTTCTCCACTCTATTCCAAAAAAACAATACCAGGGCAAGTCGCAGGACCGAAGATGCCTGCTCCTTTTGCCCCTGATTATGCTTCCTATAACTGGACTGGCTCTCCGTCCAACTTCAGCCTCTCCACAGATCCTGTTCTAGGTGGTGACTCGCGTGAGTGCCTACTTTATACCTTAGTAGCCGGTTGTTTCCTCTCTCTAACACAAAAGTTCATAGGAGTTGAAAATGTCAACAAATGGTTTCAACCAGGCGACCAGGCCTATATCTTGGTAGCTTCCGCCATGGTCATGGTCATGGTTCCCGGACTCGGTTTCCTATACTCTGGACTTGCCCGCAGAAAGTCGGCTCTCAGCATGATATGGGCGTGTATGGCGTCTATGTCCGTCATCAGTTTCCAGTGGTACTTCTGGGGCTACTCCCTTGCCTTCTCTCCCACTGCTACAAATGGATTCATCGGGAATTTGCACGACTTTGGGCTCATGGCCACTTTAGCTACTCCTAGCCCGGGCTCTCCCCTTCTATCCGACCTGCTCTATGCTTTCTATCAGGTACGATACAGGGTGCCTACCATCTCTTTTGTTCGCATCAGTCACTAATATGCAATATAGCTCCAATTCTGTGCTGTCACTGCCGCTATAGTTATGGGCGCTGTGGCAGAACGAGGACGCCTATTACCTGCCTTGGTTTTCATTTTCTTCTGGGCTACTCTTGTCTACTGCCCGATTACTTGCTGGATCTGGAATCCCAATGGCTGGGCTTTTAAATACGGTGTCATGGACTATGCCGGAGGTGGGCCTGTTGAAATTGTCTCCGGTCTATCTGCCCTAGCCTATTCCCTGGTCCTCGGCCGTCGCCAAGAGCGTATGATGATCAACTTCAGACCTCACAACGTGTCTTTGATATTGCTCGGTACCGTCTTCCTTTGGTTCGGCTGGCTAGGTTTCAACGGTGGCTCTTCATTTGGAGCCAACCTTCGTGCTGTTATGGCTTGCTGGAACTCCAACTTAACTGCAAGCTTTGCCGCCATGACCTGGGTGCTTCTTGACTGGCGTCTTTCAAGGAAGTGGTCAATGGTCGGATGGTGCTCAGGTACTATTTCTGGTCTTGTTGCTGCCACTCCTGCGTCGGGCTTCATCCCGCCCTGGGCTAGCGTTATACTTGGAGTTGTCACTGGGTTTGTTTCCAACTACAGCACTAAGAGTAAGTCATCTTGCATTCAATCATTCACCTATTTTCTACGGCTTCTAGATTCTAACTTTTATAGTAAAATACTGGATGGGTATCGATGATTCTATGGATGTGTTTGCCGAACACGGAGTTGCCGGCATAGTTGGACTATTATTCAACGCCCTCTTCGGAAGCGATGCCATCGTAGGCCTTGACGGGGTCAATGTTGGTGCTAAAAATCCAACCACCGGAACCGCGGTTGGCGGCTGGATCATTCATAACTATCGCCAAATATACATTCAGCTGGCCTACATAGTCGCCACAGCAGCCTACACTTTCGTCGTATCCGCCTTAATCGCCTACGCTATCAATATCATCCCCGGCCTTAAGCTACGCGCCTCCGAACAAGCAGAGCTCCTTGGCATGGACGACGATCAGCTCGGCGAATTCGCATACGATTATGTTGAAGTACGCCGTGACTATCTTGCATGGACTCCTCAGAAGAACGACCAGGTACAAGACGCCAATTTGTCTCGAGCCAACCTCTACGGTTGTGGTGAACATAGTGGCATGTTCTCAAATCCTGGACAAGAAACTAAGAGTCAGCCCATTTCCTCCCCTATTCCATCAAAGTCTTCTTCTCAGACCAACCTCCAAGATGTGACTGCAGTGCCTTCGGTTGTCGGTGCGCCTGACCACCCTTCCGCCGAGCATGGCGAGACTGTTGAGACCGTCGATGTCGAGTTAAGTGAAAAACCTCGGTAGCCTTTCACTCAGCCGTTCATTAAACGTGTTCATGGAGCTTTACGATTCTACTCGAGATACCCTCTATTTTCCTACCATACCACCAGTCAGGCTCTTGTTTTTTTCAGCGTAAGGGGTTAGATGGCGTTTTATGAGCGTTGGGTTTCTGTCTTAATTATTCGTCGAAAACGGAATAGGTACCCTTATATATTCCATTTATTCTGAAATCACCATTATTGACATTAATAATTGCTGTTGTGATAAACCACCTTTAATATATCCGAACAATAGAATAGGTAAATGTCTGTCGCTCTATATGTATACATGCCAGCCACGAAGCCCAAGTATCAAGTATGCCTCCCAATTAATAAAAAAAGTAACGAAAAAAAAAAAAAAAAAACCTACAGAGAACGTAAGAGAAAAACATAAAGCATCTTCCTGATCATACGGCTTGTGTCCTCTATACGTTTCCGCTGTACCCAATAATAGAAGAAAGCGTTCCTGTAGAGGATGATGCCGGAACTCCCAAACCGCTTACTTTCCTCTTCCACAGGAGATACTTCCGGACTTCATCTGCCCAAAAGACAGAGCTAGAAATACATACCAAACAAAACAGATCCCAAAAACCCAGGCCTTCCGTCTGGAAGATTCCCTGTAGAATAGGCAAGTATATAACGCAGGCTTGGCCGAACAGAGATCCTAGAACGGCGTAGTTGAACATTTTATTCCCGGTCAGAGATATTTCGCCGCGTAGCAGTGACTTTGACTCGGATCGACAAGTGAGAGCATTGAACATATCGAACAGGACGAAGCAGGTGAACGTCATGGTAGTATCGCGGCGAGTGACTACACGAGAGTGGACCCCTGAAATCTCGTCGGTGTGGTCGGCCATTTGGTGAACATATACGGCAAGCGTGCCAACCATGATGAAGCATGCCGAGGTTAAGACACGGCGGATGAGATGTTTTGTAAGAACACGAGCATGTTTGGACCGCGGTGGTCGGACCATGATTGATGGATCAACTGGCTCGACTCCAAGGGATTGAGCGGGTGGGCCATCCATGAGAATGTCTGATTGAGTTGTTAGTGACGTAGTCCCCGAGATCGCGAGATACGTGCATCACAGCGTAAAAACTTACTGATCCATAAGATTTGCATGGCATTGAGAGGATTCTTGAAGCCCAGTCCAGTACTGAGCAGAACCAGACTTAACGCAGCCACACTGGTGCTCAACTGGAACGTGATGAAATTCTGAATGTTGTAGAATATTCCTTTTCCTTGCTCAATGGCTCGTAATATCGTAGAGAAATCGTCGTCCGTCAAGATCATGTCTGCCGCTTCCTTGGCAACGTCGGTGCCTAATTTACCCATAGATATGCCGATATCTGCCTTTTTCAACGCTGGAGCGTCGTTGACTCCATCACCTGTCATTGCGACAACATCACCGCGCGATTGAAGTGCTTTAACTATCTTCATCTTGTGTTCAGGGCTTGTTCTTGCAAATATCGATGTCCCGGAAATTGCCTGTGCCAATTCTTCAGTGTTCATATGGTCAATCTCATCTCCCCGAAGGACCGGTCTTGCGGCTGAGGAGGAATTGATAGGCATCCCGAGTTTCTTTGCAATGGCAACGGCTGTAGTTTCTGCGTCGCCGGTAATCATAATAACCTTGACTCCTCCCGCCATGAGGCGTCGGATAGACTTGTGAACATCCTTTCTAGGAGGGTCATTCATACCGACAAGGCCAGAGAATATGAGACCTGTGTAGCGCTTCTCGTCATTGCTTGCCGTATGCTTAGAAGTGGCAGCTTGGCTCCTGATCGGCCCGCTGGCAAAGCCAAGGACTCGGAGGCCTTCTTGAGCCATTGATTCCGCGGCTGCTTTGGCGTCTTTTCGCCGTTGCTCGTCCAAAATAATTTCGCGTCCATCTTTAGTAAGGTATGTGTCACATCTTTTTAGAACCTCTTCCACGGCACCCTTTATATATGCCATATCCGAGCCGTTGTGGCTGATGGCATTATCGGTTGAATTTGCACTTGCTACAATAACTCCCATCCATTTTCGTTCAGAACTGAATGGAGTCTCTGAAATCCGGCCGCTGATGACGTCGCGAACGTCATCCTCACCAAGCATATCTAGCATATCGAGAATTGCAACGTCAGTTGGTTGGCCAACCCACCGACTTTTCACAGCGCCCGAAGAACTATCCATCGTGGAAGATAGGATAGCAGCTGAGGCAGCAGTTGCTGGTGAATTTGCATGGGCCCTTGATAACCGGCTATTGTTCGCAATATTACCAACCCGCATAATTGTTCTCGCGGCTGGAGTAAGTTTGAGTGCGGTATGTTCCTTGTTTACTTCGAATGGCTCATCGTTATCAAAATGCCACATTTTTGTCACCGTCATATGATTCAATGTTAGAGTACCAGTCTTGTCACTGCACACGACGTTGACCGAGCCCAAAGTTTCCACACTGGGTAGTCGTCTCACTATTGCACCACGGTTGGCCATTCTCAGGACACCAAGCGCCAGCGTAACGGTCACAATGATCGGGAGGCCCTCAGGGATGGCAGCCACGGCAAGGGACACTCCAATCGTAAACATATCCAGCAATTTTCGACCTTGAATCAACCCAATCACCACGATGATGCCAATTACAATGAATGACATGTAGCTCAGTTCTTGACCGAGCCGGTCCATCGAAAGCTGTAATGGTGTCCTAGGGCTTTCAATATCCTGCAGTGAAGCTGATATACTTCCAAACTCCGTGTTTGGTCCGGTGGCTATAACAATTCCTTGGCCATGACCTGATCTCACCAGTGTTCCCATAAAGGCAATGTTATGTTGTTCGTTTAATCGAAGATCTGTGCCAACCGTTCCAGCGGCGGGCGAATCATAAAAGGGGGAAATTTTGCCATCTTGAAATTGCTTTGATGGCTGTCCTAGGGAATTTGAGACTTTGTGTACAGGTTCGTTCTCTCCCGTTAGATTCGATTCGTCTATCGTAAGATCTGCTGCAGAGGTAATTCGAACATCAGCTGGTATACGGTCTCCCGTCGAGAATATGATCAAGTCGCCCGGAACCAGAGTTGTAGCAGTAACCGTTGTTGACGCCTTTGCAGATGGTCCGGCAGGGTGAGTTGGCGCATTAGTAAGGTTGACCATTTCATACTCTTCCTCATCTTCCTTGGTTGTCGTTGATGGAGCGCCAAATCCAGTCGTGGGAACATTACGGATTAAATGGGCGAAATGGGGTACCAGTCGACTGAGCGCCTCCAGCGATTTCTCAGATCGATACTCCTGCACAAACCCAACACTGACGACAATGGTCACAGCGAGGGTGATACTAACGGCATCATCGTAGTTTTGCATCAGAAAGGAAATGGCCGCGGAAGCGAGCAGTAGAAGAATCAACGGCTCCTTAAACTGCTTAATGAATCGTAGCCAAAGCGGCTCGGGGTCATCATGGGGAAGTTCATTAGGTCCGTGTTGGAGAAGACGAGCATCGGCATCAGCAGGAGAGAGGCCGTGGGCGAGGGAGGTGGCCAAGCGGCTGGCCACTTCTTCTGAAGAAAGCTTAGAATATGTCGACGTCGTCACGGAAGAGACGGTCGTTGATCGGCGAGTTGGAGAAGGCGAACGTCTGCCATTTTTCGGCGTCGAACTGTAGAATGGCAGCGAAGGTGTGGATAGACCGGACATGTCTAGAAGGTATTCAGCGCCAGCGGTGGAATCTGGCAGCCCCCCTTCTCGTCCCCACTCAGGCTGGACCCTTGATATATCTTAGACAAAACGCAGAATCGACATAGAGTGCCTGCCAATGTGCCGGCTCGCTGTGCGGTAGTGAATTCTATGTTTTCAGCTCAGGGGCGTACCGCCGGCGTATAAATAGGAGTTGTGGTCAAACTCGAAGCTAAAAAGAGTCAATGAAACAGTATAACTTGTAAACACTGCGGTTAGACGCAGCAGTAGTGAAGAGAATAAGTATATAGAGCGTGCTCCAGCGATATCGACCTGTTATCCTCTGTCGTCGGCGTCGTCTGCTGTCTCGATGACCTTTGGAGCTGTTGACAACATATCAACTTGCAAATATTTGATATCAGCTTATGTAAGATGCAGCGTATGACCCACTAGTCACCTTTTTGGGATAAGGACGTAATAACTTAATTACAAATTCTTACGATAATACTACTAGTAATTTATGTACTGATGCCTGGTATTAATACCAGTATCAATCCACGTGACTATCCAGCCACCTGGTTTTTTTTTTCCCTCCTTCGGCGAAACTTTCGCCTTTTGGATCATCACAACGCGCTGCGACAGCAACAGCGACAAAGAAACAATAACAACGCCATCGCCGCCGACGATAGACCTCGCTGCTATCACTCCGATTACTCAGGGTAGCTGCTCAGAAATGGGATTCTGGACGCCTCTGTGAAATTTGGCTGCACTTCCACCTTCAGCGCGTTGTCCGGCAAAGTTTGTTATTCTGCTCAGAACGGCACCGCGCCCATCGAACCTACGACTCCTCCATAACCATCCTATGACTTGTGACGGATATTTGGCTACCCACCACCACCTCTTTGCGCAACAATATACAGATATATTGCTGCAATATATAGACTAGCCGTGGCATTCTGTTGCCTGACACAGCACAATGTTTTACTCAGAGACGCTGCTGTCCAAAACAGGGCCGTTGGCCCGCGTTTGGCTGTCAGCCAACCTTGAACGAAAACTCTCGAAATCACACATCCTCCAGTCAGATATCGAAAGCAGTGTCAATGCTATCGTTGATCAGGGTCAAGCACCAATGGCGCTTCGTCTTAGTGGCCAGCTTCTGTTGGGAGTCGTTAGAATATACAGCCGCAAAACTAGATATCTCCTGGACGACTGTAACGAAGCTTTGATGAAAATTAAAATGGTATGTCCCAGTGTTGACTCGCTTTTGAGAAGGTCGATGCTGATTACCTTTCCTATAGGCTTTTCGTCTAACTAATAACAACGACCTCCCCGCCACTGCACCCCTGCCGGCTGGAGGAATTACCCTCCCAGACGTCCTAACGGAGTCCGACCTTTTCATGAATTTGGACCCTTCCATTCTATTCACGCAGCCAGCGCAGGTAGAACATGATCCGAAGGGACCCCCCTCGTCTCTTGGTTGGTCTAGCCAGCTACTCTCGGATAGCACTCCTCAAACAGTCAGACCCGTGGAAAAACCACACCTTGAGGATGATACTGGCCTAATTTTGGATCTCGGTGAAGATGAGGATATCCCACTTGGCCATGACACAAGCATTGAAGTAGGTCGAGAGGCTCCGGCCCCACGCCCTGTCGGAGAAGATCTGTTTAGCGACGACAACCGCCTATACGATGGTGACCTCAATCTTGATCTTGGAGAGGATGGTGCCCCTCTTGGGAAGGGACCCGATGCGGATGTTACTCAAGATATCGACAATGCCATCCATATGGATGACGATATACCAATGGGCGGCATTGACGGAGAACTTGGCATGCCCATCGAAGAGGACTCGACTGTCATCCCCCCGCTTACCAGTGACTTCACCCGCGATCGATCAGGCTCGCCACTTTCATCTGTGCGATCTAGCGTTGTCCGTGATTTGGACGAAACGTTTGCGAACGAAGGAGCCATTCGACATCACCAGAGAGTTAAGCGAAGAAGAGTGATCATGCCAGACGCCGACACTGTTCTCTCTAGTGCTCAGATCAAAGAACAACAGGAAGACCGATCAAAGATTTTGATAGCTGAATCCATTCTTCCCCGGGATCCTGTTCTCCTTAGCCTGATGATGATGCAAAAGAACGGTTCTTTTGTTTCTAATGTCATGGGGGGTGCAAACACTGGCAACTGGGCGCCAGAGCTTCGTGGAATGCTGTCAATTGAATCCGTTAGAAAAGCAGGTGACTTGAAGCGAAAGAGAGACAGTGGAATTGCCGATATGGACATTGATGCTGGTGCCAAGGTTCCTCGACTTGATATTGAGGGAGAAGAAACTCTATTACAACCTGATGAAGGGCCAATCCTAGGAGAAGATACCACCTTGAACCTACAACCAGAAATCCAGGTTCCCGAAGATGAAGAGCATGCCAACCCCCGATCTGGAGATGACCATTTCAGCGAAGACGAAGGCCTAGGTCAACACCCAGAAGAATACGATGAACTTAGCAGCCTGGTTGAGACTGGCCCAATTTCTTTGGGAACCAAACACGCTGTTCACGTTCTACGGGAGCAGTTTGGCGAACCTCCATCTATTGAATCACCAACAAAAGGCAAAGCTGTTGTCTTCCAAGATCTACTCCCTGAGCTCCAAACAAGCAAAGCCGATGCTACGAAGATGTTCTTCGAAGTCCTTGTCCTTGCAACAAAGGACGCAGTCCGGGTTGAGCAAAGCAGCAAAGATCTTGGAGGCCGATTACGGATTAAAGCAAAACAAGGCCTCTGGGGTGACTGGGCAGAAACAGAAGCTGGCGGCGAGATTGCGCCTCAAGAGGTCGCGGCCGCATGAGTTTGCTGAGTTATTGTATTCGATATAAACTCTGATCAGTTTTGAACCCACACATCCCTATCCCCTTCCCCTCACAAAACCTCATTCCATAAGCACGTTCTGGGTTACATGAAGAGTAAATGTTGGTGTTTTGTCATTACATATTTTATTTTGCCTTGTTTCTTCCTGGGTATATGTCTGTTTGAGTGTTCTGCTACCATTTTAGAAACCTTCCTTTGGACGGATTTACGAAGGCCCAGAGCAGGCGTTTCGCGCCGCCTATGCGCGTACTGAACCCAGTCGGCGTATAGGAGTTATTTGAGCTGCAATGGCTAAGGTACGGAAGGGAGGCGGTTGAGAAACAGACACATTGGGGATTGGGGATATCTTTTACCGCGCGGTTGCGTTTTTTTGTGATAACCACTTTGTACTGAGTAACTAGCAAGCATAGTAATATATTTTGTCTCAACGGTTCTTCATCTTGGAAAATCTTTTCACCGGTTTATTTTTATCTCATGAAATCATTTTTCTTCCGCATGCCGCTTGCCTCATCTTGGCCGTGGCTGTATGGGGAAAAATCTGATGTGTTTCAGGTTTGCACCATCATTTACATTCTGATATCCTACCACTGGCCATCGCATCCTGGCCGAATGCAGCCTTGAAACATCCACCCCACTCGAACCCTGGATGAATAGTTCCGGCGGCGAGGCGTCTTCTATTATTAAAAGTATCGACCAAGGAAGGTTCAGCAAAGAGGCATCCGTTGCCACTCGTTGCTCATCGGTGCGCGCCAGATGAAGCAGTCGATGTGCAAACTGGCTCGTATCATGGCGTTGATCGATATGAGGGACGCGCCGTGATGGGTCCCGACTTTACAGGGAAGGAAAAGAGGGACATCTTTTTGGCCTCTCTTTTCACACTTGCTGTCTCCTTTTTCGAATATATCAACTCACCACCCACCACTTGAAGGTGATAGTGCCCATGCATCTCTACGTCTCTCCCCCTACTGCGAAAGCTCATTTCTAAAGGTGCTGGTCACTGCTACTCTCTTTCACTGTTTTTTTGTTTTATCTATATCCCAACGTACTTCCATTTTCGGAGCTGGACTCCCCACTATATCAAGATCTAAACACAATGTCTTCAGCAATACGGCATTTGATGAAGCTTCATCCTCAATATCTCCAGGAACTGGTTTTCCGTTCATCCTGCACGGTCTTTTCTCTTATTGCCGTGGGCTTTTTTTCGGGGTGTTTGCGTATTAACGAAGATGTCCCCGTTCCCCCAATATCCCCGGTAAAGGGGAGGTGGAAAGATGGAATACCAATTTTACCGGTATGGTGGTCATTTCTAGAGTTATTTATCCATGATCTCATGACCACTGTACTGAGAAGTTTTAGCTCGGGATTTCCATCCTGTCCTCTATTTACATTGTATACTACACCGTTATACGAAGGCATTCCCCCCTTTTTGTCGTGCAGCTAGCACTCGACGTGACAGTTTTGATTGGGCTGGTCCCAACTATAGCCTTGTCCGCCTTAGGCTCAGCCTTTTTGCTCTGGACACCACTACCTCCTGACGTTCTCGACATTGTCTGCAACCAAGAAAACAAATTCACCCGGCTCTGTTTCCCTGAACTATACAGACTTGGCTCCCTAGAACTAGCTGCTATCATTTTCTCTTGCACATGCGGGTACGAATCATTCTCTAAATTGATACAGGCGGGATACTTACGTTCTATATTAGGCTCTATCATTTATTTTTCACGTTTTATACGATGTATGCTGTTCGTGTCCACGGGTGGAAGCCGGTACACAAGAAGCGGCGTCGCAGACATCGACACCACGGTACCAAGGAACGCATATACGTGCACCTCGATGATCCAAAGACCGAGAAAGACCATCTAGCTTCCTACCTTCAAATTGTCAATGAGGTATCATATCCAGCTGTAGCAGCTACCAAAGACAATCGATTTTGAATACGGGGTTAAGGATGTCACTATCTGGCATATAGTTTGATATCATATTACCAGTAACTGTGGTTATGCTATATTTTCAGCATGAGAGGAGACAGCAATTGTTTGTATACAGTAACGACCCCAAAGTATGATGCACACTTATGAATAATGCCTCAGATGTTATATAGGAGCCACTACCTCGTGGCTCATCTCGATACCCGATATAATTTCATCAATAACGCCCCCTTTGTGTAATAGGTTCAGGTCACGGGTATTCGGTGGTATTAAGTAGCGGCTAGGGTGTTAGTATGCAGAGGATCAGCTCTGTAGCTTGAATATTCAGGATTTCAAGAGAATTTTGATTACATTAGACCAGTTACAGACTATGGTAGAAAATATATACATAAACACTACCACGACTCTTTTAGCTCCTAACTGCTGCCAATGCTAGATGGGAAAAATGAGGACATCAACTTCCTGAGCCTCCTCAGCTAAGCGCCGGGAAGTGGGGCAGCGCTTAACTAAGTAGGGCGTTATACAAAACTGCTCCGTTAAGACCCGCAACCTAAAATCCTCCCATCGACGACGTAAGATAGAGTATTGCTATTGAGAGAATAATAGTGTATTTAGAAATACACGGCTATTGGTAATAGACTGTTGGAAAGGCACTAGATGCTTGAAACTATAGAATTCAAGCAAATTAGGTTCTGATTAACTGAAGGTCTGTTGATAACTTAATTACTGATGACTGGCTTCCAAGGTGAGTCTCTGTTCCAGTAATTTCACATGGAGGTTTTTGTACATTGAAATAGCATGCCACTAATCTTGAGCAGCGTACTTTGTATATGTACTCCGGGAGTCAGTGCTATTTCCTTGTTAAGATACTTGTTCTTTCAACCAATGGCCAATCAGATATGACGTTAGTAGGTACTTACAATGACATCATAGGGAATTTTGGTTGAGACCTAGACATATATAAAGGGTTATACACATTCTAAACCACACCCAACATAAAAATAATCATTGTATGATATCAGTCAATACTATATTTGATCTTGTGTATATCGTGTTGCAATTACCATATAAACTCTCGTCATGTCAGGTCCAACCAAGCCAGAGAACTCGGGAGTTCGAAGTCAAGAAGGGGTCGTCTCCAGGCCTGAAGGAACAGACTCTGAGCCAAAGCCAATCACTGAGACAGTATCCAGTACCGAAAGAAATAACCCTATGGCCGGTAGAATGCATCATGGACACAGCGAAAGATCCCAATTCGAGCCGTTCACGAGTCTCGCCGACCAGAAGAAAGCTGGAGAGAGGGAGTATGGTTATGACCAAGGACAATCCGCTCCGGAAAACCGGTATAACGAAGATTATAGCTTTATGGAGAGGAAACCTGGAAAAAAGTCCTACTTTCGTGAACTCATGGAGAAGTATGGTAAACATTTCCGTATACCAGTTTCCTTTCTGCTAACAATACTTCTTCCGAATAGTTTCCGCTAAGGTTAGCTCCATCCCTCTGTATGGATAATACGCACACCTCATGGCAAAATTGGGTAATAAGATCATCCCTACCAGGCTGATATTCATGACGGAGTTTGCGGGCAAATTATATGTGTATGTTTAAATTATGGAATTCATAGGCACTAGGGATGGTATTTCTCTGAACGTTTTAGCTCTCATGTTCATTGCTTGACTGGAAGATTGGACCCTACACGTCAGTTAACTGGTCGAAGTGTACGGTACCCAAACGGTAAACTTTATTGCTGGAAAGTAGTATGTTGCCTGCTGGTACCGAAAAATCCCGTTAATTGGACTAAATGGCGCAAATGGTGCAAATGGGGTGGTGTAGAATCAAAAGGCGGGATTTTCTCAAAAATTGTCAAAATTTGTGAAACCCTCAGAAGCCATAACGGATGAAACTTACATTTTACCATGTGATGGCCATCGTTGGCTATTTTATTTTGAAACGGCGATTCTGATCCATGGGTGTGAGTTAAAAGGCCCAAAGTGTGAAGCGAGGTTGTACGGGGCCTAGTCGGCTGACATAGTGCACCCTGAATTGGGCCAATCCTGACCTCAGCAGTGAATCTAAAACCGGCAACCAAATCTCCGGACAATGCACATCCTTATCGATGGAATTAGTGTATCAGCCTTGATATAACTACATCTATCAGCCTCCGAATAAAAGGCTCGAGGATTCCTCCACCAATCAGTGATAAAATCTCAAGTTTGAGGATTCAGGAAATCTCAGCCCTGTCACCAAAACCATTTGCCTAGATGGGCTTTCCAGCCAGCCAGAGTGAGCGATGCGGGACTACAGCCTCAAAACATCTAGATCCTTTACCTAGTATCCAATGTCAGCCGCAGATAATTCCGAAGGATGTGCTGAATCTCAGCTTTCATCTTATTTCAAAGCATGACGCAATGCAGACATTCGGAACCAGGATACCTATGAAGCGGTAGCCTAGCACGCCCGATAGATACACAAGAGCTCTCTGTGGATATTTTTTTTGATCTTTTAGTAGAACCTTACCAACTTCTAATATAGGCATTGCCAAGGGTAGAACAACAATTGCTCGATAAAGGGAAAGCAGTAACTTGTTGGAGTGGTCTCTCTACCGATCTCAGCTACCCTCTAATGCTACCCTCCTTTCACTTTTAGTTGTCAGAGCGAATAGGCTTTGACAATTTTCAGCAAGGGGTACCTGTAGAACAGCAGTGATGACGATAATGGGGAATTGGAACCCCCTCGTTCATAGTGCTAGATGATATATAACTGAGTTTGCTTTCACTAGTCCCTGCAGGTGAGGGGCTTTGGCAGCCTCTCTCCAAAACGATCGCGGGATGAAGCAGTAGCAAGGTCTCTCCAGCAAACTGGGATTTCACCATGCATTTTAAATGCATCTACTGTACCCCGGGCGGACCGAGCAGGCCTTTCGACTTCTAGCTTTGGCCGGGGATATCAACCGACACATGCATGCGCAATTTCAATCCTCGGATCCTGGAATACACAGCAACGAGGACTGGATAGCTACGGCTAGAGACGCAGGGGAATTTCGTGAAGACGCGGGTTTCAATTCATAGCAGATAAGTTAGTGTCAATATCCCCAAAGTACACAGCCAATAGGCACTACTTACTCAACATCTTATTTAGCGGGATTGTGTCATAGAAACGGCGTGAAACATAACTAAATAAACAGTTAGTTAGTATGAACTGAGAGGCCGCCGTCGAAACAGGCTTAGGTAGTGATGTGTTTGTAGTTTAGATAGCGGCATTTTGGTATAATATTGGCAGATTATGCCAGTGAAGTACTGAGTTGCCGCTTTGGGTAATTCCAACGTCAGGCCACGAACTCCAACTTCATCTTCAACACCTTCAACATTTTTCCGATTCTTTAAACCTCCACAAGAAACACAAACAAGCCTCGATCTGTGGAACAAAAGCGCTCCAGGAGTCCGTATCCTGGGACGGCACAAGACCCATGGGAACGAGTTCATGTTACATGGGGAGCAAGGTGTGTGCGACTGTGGACGCATAGCCGGTCCTCTCGTCCGCTGCAGCGTAAGAGTAGCAAAACCTCCTTTGACGACAGCCACAGTACCTTTGCCAGCGGGTTGTGACCTCTCAGTTTGATCTCTACCACGGATCGGCTCTGCATAGGGACCTGTGCGCTCGGTTCGTCAAAGCGTCGTGCGGGAAAGGCAGGTCGCCGATTTACTTCCGTGATGTAACAGGGTGAACCAGGCATCTTCTCTGTTTTTTCACCCTCTTGCCTGAGATTCTCGATGCTAACTCTGGAGCAGTCCCCGTTGGTGCGTGGCATACGCTAGCTGGGGTTGGGTTCTAGGTTCAGCAGCCTGCACGGGGGAGAAAATATGGAAGATTGCTGTGTCGATCGAACCGCATGGTTGAACCGCGACTTGCACCCTGTGGACGAAGCCAGTCAAAAACCAACAGATGCATCAATACGAACTACTGTGATCAGACATGTTGCCAATTCGCGCGACAGTGCAGTTAGCATTTTCGGCCATCGAAAGCTGTCGAGCCCAGGCAATTAGATAGCCGATGCTAACAAAAACCCTAGAATGTCTAGCAAATACGTGTCCCTGTCTGGGTCGCCTTATGGATCGCGCCTACGGAGCATAGGTACAATATTCGTGGTGGCCAGCTGGACCCATTTCAAAAGAATGATGCAACCACTCCTTCACCGCAGTCATATAGAGTTAAATATTTTAACGGGGATGTTTGCCACTTCAGGGGCAGACATCTGCATCTCCAGACTTGAATTTGTCCATAACCGAAGACAGGTGCAGTGCTGTGGACTTACGGCGAGGGAAAATCCGAGAAGACCTTGCTAGCTGGTCGATATACAAACTCCTGAACGGGGACGTCTGCAGAGCAACACACTTTACCAGGAAAACCCCTACCTCGCGAGCAGCCTAAAAAAAAGACTGGGAAAAAGAAAGGACTAATGTTCATTTCTTTTCTCTTCTAGCGAAGCCGGCCGTTCCATCTTGGCGCAGAAGTCGAGTCCTCCGCCCTGCAACCACAACGGATATGAGTACTGGCTTCCTTTCGTTCAGAGACGAGGGAAGATAAAGTCGCGTGAGGAGAGCCCATCGGCCTTTTAGCCGTAAGTCGCTAACTAGAGACGACTAGCACTGGGGACATTGGTGGGGATTCCTCCACAAAGACCAAAGAAGAAGCCAGCCCGAAAAGCAGTGCGCCCTCGGAGACTGAAGAGAGGGAAAGAAAAAGTAAAGGGCAGAGAGGTATCAAGCCGAATTGACGCTTACTGGGCCTACGCTCTTATAGGCTCGAGAGTCGAACCGATTCTAAGGAGACCCCATTATAGCAAGCAGTCCTCATCTGCCTTGCCTTGGTGATAGTTGTTATCACAGGCAAAAAGTCATCAACTGCCGGTTGCTACCATATTCGACGTTTTTTCCCCACTGGGAAGAAACTTCTTGGCTCTCCTTTCTCTCCACGACTTTCTGACATCGCCAATATCAACGACCACCACGACGACCATAGACGCCGATATACTCTTCGCTGACGTCCCATATTATCTCCTTCGTTTCGATGTATCCATGTCAAGGTCATTATACGCTGCAGCCCGGCTCTCGCTCTTCAGACATCGCTGAGAACCCCAGCTTTCGGTTATTCTCCCATCAACACCCCAGATCTGGTCGACACCCGTGCTCTTGTACTTGCAGGATTCAGCCGCCAGCCTCGTCCTTGCATACGTGAAAATACGACGCGGATGAGAAAGGGTACCCTCTTTGGTCGAACGAAACCCCCGCGCCGAGTCTTGCTGTGTACTCCGCCGGTCAAACAAACCCCCTTCTGACTCTTGACTTGCATTGTTCGACTTTACAATACTGCGGTCTGTGCGCTGTGTCAGCTTTGCAAGCTTGGTTCAACGACTTCAATCGTCGCCAGCCAGCACGAGCATGTCATTGGCCTTTGAGCTCTGATCTCTGTTTGGATTGAAATAGCTTCAATCAGCTTGCGGTATTCGCGTTTGTCGCACGACCTCCAACTCGAGCTATACTCGCCACGGCCGCGTGATCCATAGCAGGCCCTTCCTCGACCTTCATACCTCCCAAAAAGGGCGTCGTTATTTTTTTCCCCTGCTGTGAAACCTCAGCTTGACCCTTTACTCGTGCATTAGCGAACCAGCCAAGGTTCGCCTGGACCAGTTGAATCCAGGGCCGTCGTCGTGGTACTGCGATCCCACATCCTGAAACTCACATCTCAAGAGGAATAATCGTCTTTCTCGCGCCAGGTAGACTATCACACTTGGACGGGGAAAGTTGACAAGACTTGGACCACTGAACGTGGGCATCGATCGTCCCGAAAAAGAAAAGTATCAAGCACACAGACTCTGCTCGTTGGACAGTAAAGCCTTCATCCCTCCCTGACAGCGCCACCACAGCTTTTGCGTCCCTCACACACGCTCTCACACACACTGTTTGTTCTGATAATACCCCCCGGCCACTCATACGCAATACCACGCCGACGTCCAGACACGTTTTCTTGGATTCCGGAGTTGGCGGCGTTTCATCCACGCTCGTCCTTCGTTTTGGTGCCTGTTCCTTCGGGGGAGGAGGCACCGTGCCGTTCCATCCCCAATTAAGGCCTCCACATTATATAAATAGCTATAGCGGCAGGCTTTTATTATGACGACTAGCTCCCGGGAGTGCTCAGATACCATGTCCCCGCACCAAACTACTGGCCAGGAACCCGACAACATGGCCGTCAATGGCGAGAATGCGCAAGCTTCATCTCAATATATCCAGAGCAATGAGGAGATGGCCGATGCTATTGCGACCGAGAAAAAAGCTTCTGCAGCAAAGGTGGCGAAGGACCCTTCAAGGCCTAAAAGGAAAAAAGCCAAGCGAGCTTGTTACGCCTGCCAGAGAGGCCATCTTACTTGTGGTATGTAGGCACTGTTATGTTGTCATAAATTTCTAGAACTAACTTGTATCTTTTTTTTTTTTTTTTTTTTGGCTGTATTTAGGTGATGAGCGACCATGTCAGCGTTGTATCAAGCGGGGATTCCAAGATGCCTGCCACGATGGAGTACGAAAGAAGGCCAAATACCTACATGATGCGCCAAATGAGGCGTTGATGGCTGGAGTGGGAGCAACCCTCTTTAACCAGAGAAATGCGGCACACAACAATGTCAATGGATCCAATATTTCACCCGGCGCTCCTCAGCAGATAACCTCGCCCAATTTTTACACCACCCAGCAGTCACCGGATTATAATGGCTTTCCCCAAAATAAGACCGAACTGCAGGACAGTACAGTAGGGCCTGATAATTACGCCTCCCAGTCTCCCGTTTCGCCCACGTATCAAATAGGTCAAGGATTATCAACCCAGGGCCTTTCTCCGTCCCTCCCGCAATCCACAAGTGAGACACCATCAGCCGCAAATCCTGCTCCCGGCCAATATAATTCGGCCTTTTTTGATCCTAGCGATCCTGCGCTGTTCAATTTTGACCTCGCAAGCATGAATTTTGGGAACCATTATGGTGCTTTGGAATTCGGAATGCTTGGACATATGGCGACCGGGGTAGGTGACACACCACCTAGCGATAGCGGAGCCCAGCGTGGTTCAATTGGACAAAATGGCTCCGGGACATTCGGCCTCACTGGATCCAGCTTTTCTGAGAGCCCTAGCAACCAGGCTCCCTATTTGTTTAGCGAATCTGGTATGAATGACTGGACGCAAACCGTGCCCGTCAATAGGAGGGGTATGTACGGTTCAAATGCAAATTTGATGGCGGGAAATATGTCGGACAAACCGCATGCATTCGCCATTGAAAGCGCCCCGGCCAATTTTGCTAGCCCTGCTTCCAACGAGAGTCCGATGATGACGACCAGCTCAGCAACAATTGAAGACACAACAAATTCCGGGGCATTCAACTCTAGACAAAAAGTACCTGTGTCTCAGCAGAGACAGCAGCCAGTTGTATCAACGCCCCAACTTAAGCAACAAAATCTGAACTTCGGCAGTAGGCGCAGACATAAGAATGCGTCGTCTATTTACGACAGTGTCAAGGACCCGTACTCCTACACTAGCGGATTCCATTCTTTGACGGCATTCATCCAGCGCCGTTTCTCTCCACAGAAGACCTTGCGTATTGCCAAAGCACTGGCATCCATTCGACCGTCATTCATTGCGACTACGAAAACTCTAAACCGGGATGATCTGATATTCATGGAGAAATGTTTCCAACGCACGCTCTGGGAGTACGAAGACTTCATCAACGCGTGTGGCACTCCGACAATAGTCTGTCGACGAACCGGCGAGATCGCTGCAGTAGGCAAAGAGTTCAGCATCCTCACTGGCTGGAAGAAAGAAGTGTTACTGGGCAAGGAGCCAAACCACAATGTTAACACTGGCGGCTCGTCTGGTCTGATGACAGGCTCAACGTCACGAGGGAGTTATACTCCAAGACCTTACAGTTCTGAGGTATACAACTCCAGCGCAACAGCTACGCCACGCACACAACCTGTCTTTCTCGCCGAACTGCTGGACGACGACAGTGTGATTGAATTCTACGAGGACTTTGCCAAGCTTGCCTTTGGTGACTCTCGTGGCAGCGTGATGACGACGTGCAAGTTGCTCAAGTACAAAACTAAGGCTGAAAGTGATATTCTCGCCGGCAGCAACGGCGAGGCAGACGCTGGGCAGAATGGTGAAGCCGCTGGTAATGAGACAAACGAACTCAACGGCATCAATAGCAACGGAGCCACTACGAACGGACGAGGACAACGCCGGTGGGGCAAAGGTGAGATTGCTGGTGAAGCTGGCATGAACCAACTTGGGTTCCGTGACGGCAGAGTCGAATGCAGCTATTGCTGGACTGTTAAACGGGATGTCTTTGACATCCCCATGCTTATTGTCATGAATGTAAGTTGCCTGGTTTTAGAAACATTGAGAGCTCGAGCCATAACTTACCCCAACTAGTTTTTGCCATGCATATGAAGGTTCATGAGAGTTACCTAGTTCGGAACGGTTTTATTTATTTTCTTGTTTTTCGTTCACCTCACGTTCATTCAGCTGCAATTATTATGACGGCGGTTAGGGGGGAAAATGGAGTGTAACGGAACGAAGGTATAACATACAGCTGGGGGAAAACACGGCGTCACACACTTTTTGGGCATTTGCAGAGCGGACCAACCGTCCCTCTTTTTTTTCATCTTTTCTTCCTTTTTTCTTCTCTTATGACTTATCCTCTCTATATTTCCGCCTTTCCCTTGAGGAGGGGATGCGTTATTCTCCTCCATGTTTCCTTCCCGTCCATCCCCAGCATCGATGCCGGGGAGACGGCCAAAGGGATTCACCCTGGACTTAACAATAACGTGCGGCGAACCAACCAACAAACCAAGCTTTTAGGGTCCTTGCTGGGGATCATCCAGCACCACGGAGATACAAAAACCAACCAATCTATCTCTTTGAAAAAATGTCTTCCCTGCCTCCTCGCCCGTATTTAACTAGCCCATCTTCCCCTGCGGCTGCACAAGGGAGTCGCAGCACCGACGAAGCCCGAGGTCGCCGACTAGCTTGAAGCTATCACCTTAGAATTGAGGCTACCAAATGATATATAAGTAATTAGTTATAGCTGCCGCGTCCTTAGTTTATATCTATTTCCTAGATCCTCGGCCCAGAGGAAGCACGATCGATTCTACGGCAAAAAGGTAAAATACCGAACTAGCACCCTCTCACAGACCGCAGCTAACTGAGAGAGCAGAGCTAGCTATCAAAGCCTAGCAAGCCAGCCAGCAAACCGTCGATAATATTAAGGTACACCACGAGTGACAATGTGTAGACCAGCTACCTGTGAGGTTTGCGGTTCGTTCTCCTCCTCTTCCATGCGCCAGAATACGAGAACGACAGCGGGGGAGGGGCAGCTTCTGGCATAACTAGCTGACAGTTATCTGATTTGAACAGCCCAGAAGACGTGGCGAGGATGCGGTCTTCACGTCCCCAGCGTTTTGGACAGCGTTCCCAAGGACGAATGGTGTACCTGCGTGCCAAAGAAGACGGTCAACGACCAGGAGTATCCGCCGATGGTGGGCAAGGGGCATAAGGAGGGCGAGGAGCCGCCAAAGCAGGGCGAATGACTATCCGGCCTCACGGGCTTCATCAAGAACATCTTTTAGAACATTCATTGTCGCCACAGCTACTCATATAGACGGCTTAAACCACTGAGATTCTCTTTCCGCTTCGTCTCGTCTCTTCCTCGTTTCTTCGTAGTTTTTGATAGCTAAGTCCTCCTGTCGGGTGTGAATCACATGACGGGAATTTTGATGGATATAAAAAGCACCTTGAAGCCTGAAGAACGACAACCGTTCAAGAGGAAAACGAAAACATCAGTAAAATAAAGGGACAAAAGGGAGAGACCATACGGAAGACAAAGCATTGCTCGGATAGCCGCTTTGTGCCTGATCGAGAGGCAGCAGGATGCGACCAGACGGCCCAAGGGATGACTTTGCCGGGCCCGATACAGGGCCAGAGTCCCCGTTCCCCATCCGGATGTCAGGGCCAGTGATCAAGGGCTTCGGAAGAGGCAGCAAGGAGGTGAGAAGAGGCCCTGCACACTTATGCTTTTGTCCGGCGCTTTGGCTATTGTTATGTATTGCCGTCTGTCATTTTTGATATGCGCCACTATCAGCCTGGCTTCCAGAAATACCCGTGGAAGGGGCCGCTAATCTCAATACAAACCCCGCTGAATCTTGATCATACAGCTCAACGTGCTTGATACAATACTAACGAGCCATGTAGCTTGGTATTCCTACTGCAAACATCCCAGCTGAGACGCTGTCAGAGTATCCTAACCTCCAGCTGGGTGTATACTACGGCGTTACGGCCTTGGACCCGGCACAGTTCAAACATACCCGCACTGAAAGTGATGCCGCTGACGAGCCAGCGCATACCGGCACTGACATCTTTCCCTGCGTGCTGAGCATCGGCTATAACCCATTCTATAAGAATACCGTCCGCTCAGTGGTATGCATACATACCCTGTTACTTCCCAGCCTTGATCGTCTAGTTAATTGCTAACTGAGTCCCAGGAAATTCACATCCTACCTCATCTATCAATGGAATCATCTCCGATTTCTGCTGATACATCCGGGCAACGTCCGCTATTTCATCATTTCCCTGATTTTTATGGAACGGCTCTTAACTTGCTTATTCTTGGCTATATCCGACCTGAGTATGATTACGTTAGCCGTGAAGCCTTGATTGATGATATCCGGATAGACTGTGATGTGGCCAGACGTAGTTTGAAACGAAAGGCATACGCTGTCTTTTTGAACGATGTTGACGTTTCTGACGAAAAGGCTAACGAGGCAAGGCGATGGCTCAGGAGGTTTTAGACCGTGTTTGATCGTTTATGAATTTTATATGAACATCGGTCAGCAGGCTTGAAGCGTGGTAAAAAAAATTTTTAAAAATTTCTTTAATTGTCTCTTAAGGCAATTACAAATGGTGACTATGAACTCTGTGCTAGCAGAGAAGGATAGTTGGAAAGAAGGGAAAATCGAGACGGGAAAGAGAAGCATAGAAATCTTAGGTCTAGTTTTAGGAAGAAGCTTAGGTGAAAAGGGGTATGCAATATGAGGACACGCTTTAATGCTAAGCAATAAAAAGAATGGACAAACACCACCCATTTGCTAATCGCAGATCACAGTTGAATGAGGTCAACCTCTGAGAAATCAGGAGGACTTCGACTGAATATGGCTCGACACTTGCCATCCAACGCCTGGTACTCGTTACTAATCCAGATGTGCTTCGTGAGCCGCTGAGTACGGAAGATCTCATCGTCACTCACGCCCATGTCATCTCGTGGTATCCAGATGACTGGGCGTCTCATACGTAGAGCCTCATGCTGGAATGCCCTTTGGACCAGCTGATCACGCTCCTCGGGAGTTAGATCCTCAAGTTCATCGTGGATACCTGAGAACAGGGACTGCCCGATAGCATGAGTTGCTGGGGCCTGTGACTCGGTGTCCATCGCAAGTTTCTTTCGTATAGCCCGGATAGTTGGCATGCTAGGATCAGAGCGTCCACCGAAGAACGGCGAGCGGGTGTTCGATGACCTGTCCGCCCAAGATTTGCGCCTCTGCTCCTTGGGTGAGCTGCTGACGCGGTTGAGTCGAGACCCGAGGAAGAAGGGAGAAGATGGCTCCTGCTGCTGATTATTACACATAGCACTGAGTTCGATTGAGCCGTCCTTCTCACCATCCTCACGCTGGCCATCCTTGTCCAGCTCTTCATCGTCCTCCTCGATTCCGCGTCTGCGACGTTGGGCACGAGCAAACTCTTCATCACGTTGGGTAGCCTCATCCTCCAGGGTGATAGGCAAGTAGAGTGACAAGGGATTGAAAGCTTCGTTTAGGAAGTATTGGAAGAGAATAGTGAGAATCAGGACGATTATCATGCAGATAGCCTGGCCTTCACAAGCAACCTCTTTCTTCTCGTCTCTGACAAGGAAGAACATTCCGATAAGGCAAATCTCCATGACATAAAGACCGGTAAAGAGCTGGTTTATAGCTCGTGGGAAGAGTAGCCCACCCGTATCAAAACGGAATTTGGTAACGTAAAGAGTGTTGTACCGATAGACAACCCAGAAAAGACTGAACGTAAGCACATTGAATACCATGATCAACGGCGAGATGATACAGTAAATCAAACCTGGTCAAATGTTAGCAGTTTTTCAAGTCAGAGAATTCAACAACAATAGAACATACCAATTGACGCCAATGTGGTGTAAACAGGGAAGAAAGTCCCCCATTGCATTTGGTTGAGATTGGTTGCCCTCGCCCACTTCTTCCTAGCGGTATTATCGAGGAGAGGCGCAAGAATGAACCAACTGATCAAGGCGAAGATCTGAACCAGCGCTCCCGCGCTCACAGACATGGCTTGTAGAACCATATAGGAGAAGAAATAGTTGCTAGCCTTGGGTATATTCTGGGCCAAGAGGTCAGGTACACTCAGGACGTTCTTCAGCGAGTCGATTATGGTTGAAAAGCCGGAAGATATTGAGACAACAAGGAATATCTGGACAAAGAGGAAGGCAAAATAGTAGTTTTGTACAGTGAGTTCAATAGCCATGCCTGTGTGGACTCCTTGATTCCGGGACAAGAATCGAAGGACTAGAGGCAGGAGTGCCATCAGGATTGAGAGAAAAAGAGGAGGAAGAATTCCCTGTATAGCAGATATCAACCACTGTGGAAGCTTTCCAAGCCATCGCAGCCATGAGAAATGGTTCTCTAGGTACGATAGCTGTGACAAGAGACCAGTGAAGGCTACGGGAAAGGCCCAGCCAATAACCATAGCTCCGACAATTAGCATCACACCAAAGGTTCTGATATACCGCTCCCACCATCTGATAGACATATTGTCCCATATAACGTCGTCAGGAGAAATTTCTACCATACGAGGAGTCATTTGTTTTGGGATATGATGGCTGACACTTTGACAGGCCATATGAGCTGCAACCTGGTGGTTGAACTGCACAAAGGCCGAATTCATTAGGGGAAACTTCTCGGGATGTTGTTGGTCGATCTCGATCTCGAGATTCAGTCGGGCAAGCTCTTTTCGACAGTGATATATGGTGTCGACCTTCTTACCTAGTAGCGGGAGCGAGGGCATCCAGTCCCAGCCGAAGATAGGCAGACGCATGGTCTCTCGGTCCTTTTCACGGATGTATTTTTTCCAGACGGGCTCACCATAGTCGTCCTCTTGGTACTCTTCGTTGTAAGCCACAGGATACTCCTTGTCGACGTCATATTCGTCCTTTTTCTTGCCATTACCGGTTTGTTCTGTATCAGGAAGAGCTGGGCTGCCACTGACATCAGGACTAGGCGAGGTCAACCGACGACCATCATCGTGACGGTCAAAAACGGTCCCATCCATGCCCATGGGGTGATGACTGGCCTGAGACGAGCTGGAGAGTCTGACATCTGCGTCATCGGCGACATGTCCCGTGTTACCCTGGGTATCTGCAGGGTGGTGGCCACCTGGACGATGAACGCTTCCGCCAATCTTCTTCAAGCCACCTACGACAGTGTGGCCTACCTTAGCACCGACTTGCTGTACTTTGTGACGTTTAGGTTGGAGGAGATCCTGAACAGTGTGGGCTGTCTGGTGAGGGTCCCCAGAGCTGACACCAGCGCCTTCAACAAGCTGAGCAGTTCTGCGATCGTTTTCAGCTTGGATTTGCTGCTTGGTCTCCTTTGACTGTTTCCCTTTCCTGGCTTCGGCCTTGATCTGCTTCAAATGAGCTCGCTTGCATTTCTTGATCAGCTCAGTCTGAGCGGACTCGAGAGTAAAGGCAAGCTGATTTCGTAGCTTGATTTTCGCGTTCAGCTGGTCGAGGTCCCGGTTAAGCCAGATATTACGGACACCTCCGGGGAAAACGTCGAACAGAGAATCAAGTGCTTCAACTGATAACCATCTGCTGGGGATAGAGGTGACCAGCACCGTAGTGGCTGAAGCACGTAGACGGTGCTGGGGAGACGTCAAATAAGACTGTCGTAGGCGTATATAGCCCCTGAACTCGTCGAAGAAGATGCCGCAGACGTAGACGACCACGATGACGGCAAGAATCAGGTGTGCCCAGTACCGCTGGCTGTGTTCAGGCCTGACATTCCCCCATGCCAGCTGATCCAGCCCGGAGACGTTGTACCGAGTCATAAATTCATGGTCTAGCGGGTCTATGGGGCTTGTGTCTCTGCCACCGACCTTGTTGATGGGGATAAGGATAGGAAGGATAACGATCGAGAGCGGAATGAAGATCTTGAGCAGCATCCGTAGATAACGCAGGAAGAAGTAGGCGTCCAGGCCACATTTCTTGATGAACTCCGAGTTCGACGTACGGAATACAGGAATAATCCATCGAAACAGGCCAGCTGGCGACGGCGCAGTCCTCTCTCGCTCGGGGACTAGATATGTGCGCGGTTGGCTATAGCGAAGATCAGCATCGTCAGCAATCAGCACCAGCCAGCAACGCCTACAAATACAACTAAGGAAGAGACTCACTAGATTCTGGTAAGCTTGCTCTTGAGGATGAGGAAGATAACGAATTCGACGGCGAAGACGATGATGGCCGTCGCGAGCGAGGCGAGAAACGTCGAGATCGAGATGCCGCTGGAGCGCTGCCCCGTCCCGCTCTGCTGGTCGATGGCGTCTCCCACGCCGGCCATCCTGCTGGTTCTCACGGAGACGAGCCTGGATGGAGCTGCTGAAGCGATCTGAAGTGCTGGTAAGGAGAGAATCGGCGTGTTTGCTGGGTGTTGCTAGCTGCGCATGGTGGTGATCTTGAGGTCTAGGGACGCAGGTGAAAGACGAAGCTATAAAGATAGTTCAATGGACGCAGAAATGAGAGTGAAGCAAAGAAGAGGGCAAGCAAAGAACTCTTCAGTCACTGCGAACTGGGCCAGCAGCAGGAAGATGTCTCTTTCGCCCTCGTCTTCCGCTTGGTCTGCGCTGGCTGGAGATGAAAGGACAAACAATATAAAACAACACGCCCAAGGATCCAGGGCAGAAGGAAATCACCACCAAAACGAGACCGCAGAGAACGCAGTTAAGGCTCGCCGCACCTCAACCCGGACGATAGCTGGCTTTTCTTATATCCTCAAAGCCCGCCATGACGATGATGGGACCGGCCTGTACGACGGACGCTGTGGCAAGTATGGTCGGTGGAGATGCCAGCGGTTATTGGCCTGCCCGCTGCAAAAAGCCCTGCAGTGTTCAAGCGAAGTACTGGCTCGAGAGGAAAAAGAAAACCTCCACAGGCGGCCGGGATGACATCAAAGGCGCCTGGCGAAACCTCGGCGGCTTCAGGTTGGGCCTGGTGGGCGGCCGGGCAGCGGCCTGAGAGGACGGCCGGTGCTGCAGGACAGGCGCTGTCAGTTGGTGCCGGCGCTTACACTGATGCAACTGTTTCTCAGGGGGTGCTCACTGCTGAGCCCCTCTGCTACGGCTACAGATTGGATAGGTACTGGTTACTGGCAGTGTTTGCTGCTGGCTGGTTCCTGGTCTGGTGCCTGGTAAGCCCTATTCCTGGCTGTGGCGGATGGCCAGCTTCGTCCATCACATTTGATACAGGCTCTTAACTAACTGCTTACCGGTGTAGGATCGTGTCTTTCATGCGATGACGGAGTACTACGAGTCACTCTAAACAATCGGTAACTACTGAGTAGTTAACGACTTAACCAACCTCACTAGCAACTTACTATTTGATTGTGGCTGAGGTGTCTGTGACCTCGGAAGATCTGCATATATACTGTGCACCCGCCCCATATGACATCGAGAGAGTAGGTTGAGCATGCCCGAGCCAATTCCAGAAGATGTCTCTTGTCGTAGAGGTGCTATCTTCGTTATTATAGCACAATAACTATTCATTCGGAGCCTCGAGAAGTGACAGTCTGCTGGTTTGTAGGCTCTTGCCACTGTTATCTGAGCAGCAGAATATGACGAAATCCATACAAATATTCTAAATAATAGCCGTTCGCTTAACACCCGGTCTCTTAATGTTCATTCGGTACTAGAATCGGCGCCAATATGTCAACTGGTTGTGCTGATTGACTGTCCTTGGATATCCTCACCCTCGCCCCCTGGAACTATGACGTTGATATACGAACTCTAAGATTCAGCTTGATATCCTCCAACTAGTTATGGGACGAATCTACCCCAAATTCTCGAGCTGACCATCAAGATGCTAAAGCCCATAAGTAGTCATTATGCTTCCGTTCCCTCAGCCTCTCAGTCCCCGTCAACCAGATAATCTCACTACATCTTACCTGCCAACCATGAAGTCACTCGCTGCGAAAGCTCTCCATCCACGGCGCCATTCGCTGCAGGAGAAGCGCCCGGCGCGATATAGCGAGCCGCTGGGAAATCATAGCGAAGTGCGCTTTTCATGGGATGAAACGGATCCGAACATTGTCATTGCTGCTGACAGCATCAGTTTCGATCCTTTGATATTCGATCAGTTCAGAGAAGAAGGCTTTGATACTGCATTCTTACCATACATGGACAGCCCCAAGAAGTTTGATTCTCAGCTTCAGAGCTTGCAGGACTCAATGGAGTTTGGGAATAGATACGCTATAGTCGGTGGGTCATCAGAACACTCTACGGTGCATCTGTGACATGATTACCTGATGCTAATAGAATCTGTCCTATTTCCAACATTTCACAGCGTATGGTGAAGCTGCATCTCTTGTACTGCAGGCTTGTGTGAAGCCAATGCCTAGACTATGTGCGGTCGTGGCATACTATCCCACTTATATACCCGCCTTTGAATCCAGGAGTATCTCCTCCCTTAAGCTCAAGATACATCTAGCTGGGCGGCAAGCAAAGTTAGGCAAAGAGAGATGCTATGTCTACGCCAATTCCGAAGTTGGATTTGCCCAACACGATCTACCACAATATGACCCAGTTACTGCACGACTAGCTTGGTCACGAACCGTATCCTGTCTCAGAGAAGGATTTGAGATGACTCCAGACCTAGAACCAACGTGGGAGAGACATCTTTTCATGAAATATGCATCCAAAGACCTTGAAGGAACTTTGGATTCTTATGCAGACGGGGCACGTATTAATTACGTCCCTACTTGCACTGGAGGTTAGCATATACTTGTGAATTCCTCTTTAACTGAATACCCAAATTATATACCTTATACTTTATATCTTCCATGAAATCAAGTTTAAATGACGTGCATTGTTCTAGGTATCGGTCATGATGAACTTCGTCGATTCTTTGAGGATGAATTTATCCCTCGAAATCCACCCTCACTACAGGTTCGGCTTATCTCCCGGACTAAAGGCAGTGATCATCTTGTCGACGAAATGTATCTATCCTTCCAACACACACAAGAGATTCCCTGGATTCTCCCGGGTATACCACCAACAAATCTTACCGTGGAGGTAGCCATTGTCAGTGTGGTAAGTTTTCGGGGAGGAAAAATATGTCATGAGAATGTATACTGGGATCAGGCAAGTGTTTTACTCCAGGTTGGGCTGTTGGATGGAACCTATATACCTCCGAGCTTCGATCCTGTTACAAATAGTATTAATGGTCTTCACGGTGTTGCCAAGTTACCTGTGAGCGATGGTAAGAGTGCGAGGAGTATCCTACAGGAGTAAGTGGACGGGAGTTGCCATAATATACCTGTTAATAGCATGTATTTGTAGCTGAAAGGGCTCTAGCTGCTACTTGGACATAGTGAGCCGAAATGATTACATATTTTCATATTTCCTATAATACCAACTCCGGGATCTTCAAGCGATTGAGAAAAATTACAACGACTCAAGTAACGGAGCGAGTTGAGATATCTCAGGGCTCACAGAATGCTTGCTTTTCATCGTCATAACACTGGCTTTCTGCGCTATTGGAATCACATCCTCTAACCGTATTTCTTGATCTCGTCCGCCTCTTCCAAGAGCAGCCATAACTACACCCAGTAGGGTATCACCTGCACCGTTGACACTGACAATATTACTCTCCGAGAGTGTTTCCTCTGGCGGGAACAAACGCATATAAACTCCTCCAACAGGGCTCTCGTCTATCTGTCCTCGACCAAGTATGTACGGAGCATACTCTTTCATGGTCAGTCGCTCATCCCCAGGCCACAATATCTGAGTCAACAGCACTCCCTGAGGACCCAGCTTGGTCAGTATGCATGGTATTAATGGGAGAAGCTGTATGGTTTGCTGAGGTATTCCCTCATTGACAATCTCCGCGTTTGTAAGTGAGATTAGACGGACCCTTGATCCGTTACTGGGCAGCTGGAGGGCATCAATTATCCGCCACCACTCGGGGCTATCAAAGTGGCCTGTATCTCGCGCTGCCGCATGCATAGCTGCTAATTCATATCGGTTCGGAGCAGCGAGGTCAATAACATGGCTATCTGGAGCCATATCAGTCGCTCTTATAACCGGGACGTGACTAGGTGTATCGTTCTGTCGGTAAAATAGCCTCGCGGCCTTTGGTGCGGACACAGGCTCCAGCGCAATTTTGATACCCTGGCGCCTGCAAAGCTGTATCCATTCGCTGGCGGCTTCTGATCCCCAATTTGCGTCCACAACAGCCCATGAAGGCGGCACCACTTGATTCTTGATCAACGGTTCCCAGTAGGCCCGGAAGTTCAGCTTGCTCTCGGGCAGTTCGAGGATACTCATATCTGCCATGGCGATCATTAAATCCTTTTTGGCGTCGTTGACGGCTATGTATTGTGCTGTTCTGGCGTCGGGAGCCGACGGGAGTAGCTGGATGCCTTCGGATTGGAAGAAAGGGTTGTATGCGTCTTGTATTGTGTCCAAGGCACTTCGGCCGCTGATATCGTCTGCAACCACGCTGCAGAACATCACGGAGCTCCCCATATAACTTGCTGCAAGGGCTACGTTGTGTCCAACACCTCCTAGAGTCTGGGTTATGATTGAAGGGTTTGAGGTTTGTAGCTTCGGTGAACCATCTGAAGGCCCATTTGATAGCGGTGTATAGTCACAGGCTAGGTCAACTGCAAGAGAGCCTGCTACCAGCAGCTCTGGCTCTTCTTGTTCAACTTCCTGTGTTGAAGGAGTATTTGTAAATTCAACAGAGGATTGGACACTATCTTGACTCTCTTCGACATGAGCTTGATTTATTGAAATGTTGCCAGCTACACTGCTATATCTAATAAGAAAACGAACATAACAATCAGCCTGCTAGTCCTCGTAGCCCCCAGTAAAGACCAAAGGAGTGCCAGCTCACCCATCCACATCTTTGCCATTTTCCGATTCCAGCTTTGCAAGCTCGATAGCTACTTTGGTGCCAACCTCTACGTTGTATTCGACGAGGGCTCTGTTTGTAGCCACGCTACGTCCACCACTGAGCTCTTCAATCTTTGCCAAGACGTAGGGAGTGTTGTCACTCCCCTGGATGCCTTCAATATGGGCAAGTTCAATAGCTCGAGAGATGATAGCATCCATTTCTGGCTTGGGGAACGAGTGCTCTTCTGGCACCGGGTTGGTGAAGAGCATACCAGACTTGAGCTGCAGCTGTGACTGAGCATCTGGAAAGAAGTTAGATGGAGCAAACTTGATATAAGATGCAAAGACTTACAGATGATAGCAGCAGCGTCCTGAGCATTCTGGATGACCCTGGGTGCTTTAATACCACTGTCACGAGTGAAAAATGCTGGGAAATCAATATCTCCCTTGCGTCCGTCTGCAAAGGCAGCAACAACAACACCTTCGGTCTCTAGATACTCAAGAGTCCGCTGGATATCTAGGAAGCTCTTACAGCCAGAGCTGACCACAGCAACTGGTGTACGGCCCAGTTCAGTGAGATCGGCTGGTACAATGTCAGTATCTCAGCCTTGTATCCTGAGTTTGGAGGATCTCACCTGAGATATCCATGGTAGTCTCTCCTCCACGGTGTACACCGCCTATACGCATATTAGAAATGCTCTGCAATAACGTATATAGTTAAGTAGATGGCCTACCTAGTCCTCCAGTAGCAAAGACCTTGATTCCTGCCAAATGAGCCAGAATCATAGTCCCAGCAATCGTGGTTCCGCCGTTCATCAGGCTTCCCCGAATGCCCTAGGATAAGGGTCAACATCAACGCCAGGCAATAACCACTGCGTACAAAAGCCACCCTTACAGCTCCACAGATGTATCCAAGGTCCCGGCGGGATACCTTGTGCACTTTTGTCCTTTGTGAGGTCGACGCGAGCTCTGTCAACTCCGTCTGATTCATCCCAACGCGAGCAACGCCGTCAATAACCCCAATAGTAGCTGGCACGCCGCCTTTCGATCTCACTATGGACTCAAGACGCATGGCAAGATCCACGTTATCAGGGTACGGGAATCCTACCGACATCAGTTAGTATAATCTCATTGGCTTGTAGCATATAACTAGGGCATACCATGGGTGTAGATGGTTGTCTCCAGCGCAACGACAGGCTTCCCCGTAGCAATTGCATCCTCGACCTCCTCGGACACCTTCAGAAACTTGTTTAACCCCGCCAGCGCCGGCCGGCTATACTGACGAGCAGCGCGCCATGCCGGCGCTCTAAGAAAGCTGCGAGCGAGCGCACTGCTGGCGCGCAAGACGGGCGTAGTAGACATGGCAGAGGCAGAGTAGAGCAACGAGACAGCCAGCCAGTGACCATATCAGAGACCTTTTTCTTCTCGTCCTGATGGTTCCTGCAGCATTGCCGTGCCTTTTATACTGATCTTCGCCCTGCTTTCGTCCCTGGCCGCTCGGTTGTTGGTGTTTCGACCGGAGTTTGCCCGGCGCCGCAATTAGTGTCGACTTGAAGCCAGCAAACTAACTAGTTAACTAATGGTCATGTATGTTAGCTCAACTATACGGGTGTCCAGCAGACAAGAAACTACACGACGACAGCGACCCAGCATCAACAGTATTTGCTCGATAAGTGGCAGGCCTCGAGTGGCCGTTGGACGCTCACAGTCGCCATGAAGCTGCTCGCCGCGCTGCTGCTCTCGTGCGGCCTCGTCTCTGCGACGGCCGCAAACACCACGGCTACAGAGCCCGCTATCCAGGTCCTTCCGAAAAACTTCAGGCCGCCGCAGGTCTTTCGGAATAACAATCTAGTGCGCATAATCAATTTGGAGAAGAGCTATGTGCGGGAGTCTATCAATGTTGTGGTTGAGAATGTCGACAAGCGGCCGCAGTCAGAGTACTATGTGGCCTTTCCAACAGACACAACCAACAAAGTCGGCGGCCTCGAAGGCTGGCCAAAGGACTCAGAAGAGAAGAAGAAGTTCACAGTCACCTCGACACGGCAGATTCCCTCAAGGTGAGCCCTATTTATTGCGAAAAAGGGTAGAAAAGAAAAGGGTTCTGACAGTTGGCTATAGCTCGCATCAATACTTCATCATACACCTCCATCAGCCCCTCGAACCGGCCGCAAAGCTGACCCTGACGCTGTCATACCACCTGCAATCCGCTCTTACTCCTATTCCTGCTGCAATTGAACAGGATGGCAAGCAATATCTCTCCTATACCTTCCCGCAGTTCGTGCCGTCCGCCTACACCACCAACAAGCAGAAGACGACCGTCAAGTTCCGTGGCACAGATGTTCCGGACTACACTCGACCTACCACTCTCAAGTCCGAAGAGGACCCTAAGCGTGAGGGTAGCACCTTTACTTATGGTCCGTACGATATGGAAGTCAAGCCGGGCACCAGTGCACCCATCACCGTCCGTTACGAGTACACTAGACCCGTGGTGACGTGCACTCGCCTCGAGCGTGATATCGAGATATCCCACTGGGGCGGTAATATGGCCACTGAAGACCGATTCTGGTTCAGAAACGACGCCGCCAAACTCACCAAGCAGTTCTCCCGAGTTGAATGGACCAAGAAGCAGTTCCACAACGCACAGAGCGTAGCCTTGAACCTGATCAGAGTGCCCCTTGCTCCAGGGTCTGTCAACCCTTACTTCATTGACGACATCGGCAATGTCTCGACCAGCCGATTCCTACCGGCTACAGAAACTCGTCTCGGCCTCTTGGATTTACGCCCACGTTACCCCATCTTCGGGGACTGGAAGTACAGCTTCAAAATCGGCTGGAATAACCCACTCTCCAGCGTTTTGCGGAAACAGAAAACCGGCTCTGGCGAGTCCTACGTCCTCAAAGTGCCGTTCATTGAGGGGCCAAAGATTCCTGAGGGTGTTCAGTACCAGGACTTGGAAATTAGAATCATTCTGCCCGAGGGGGCTGAGAACGTTAAGTACGAGATAGTTGACGGACTGGGTATTCCCAACCATATCCGTTCTGAAATTTCATTCTACAAGACCTTTTTAGATACCAAGGGCAGAACTGTCCTGAATATCTCTACTACCAAGGTTGGAGATGAGGCTAAGGATGGGTTCATCATCGTATGTCCTCCCCATCATACTCCGTGCCTGCGTACCCAAACTAACCATGGAAATTAGGTAACATACAACTATCCTTTCCTGGCTGCCTTCAGAAAACCATTGAGCATTTTCGGCGCTATCCTTGCAGTCTTCACTGCCGCATGGGTCCTGGGTAATATTGACGTTAGCATTAAAAGGAGGTAGACCATCTATGTGGCTCATTTTTATACCTTGAATCTTATTGTACACTCTACCATCTAGATTGCCCCTCACAATGAAAAATCATTACTTTTATGATATGTATTGGAATAAAATAGGTGAAAAGATGAAGTTTATTTATTGCTAACCAAAACACGCTGTCAACGCCAAAGCCGATAAGTGAAGTATTATCAAACCAAAACACATACATGAACACCAAGTATCAAAGTCAAGCTATATAGGCAACAGGTATCAAATCAAAAGGAAACAAGAAATAGAGATACAGAAATAGATAGAGGCGCTTTTCCAATAGGACTGTGACAGTGAGCATATATAGATGCACATAGATCATCATTTAATGCTTGTGTATATATATGAGTAAATCGATCAGATGCCAATGGCAAGCCCACTACTTACTACTGGCAATCACTAGTGTTCCGGTGTTGTTGGCACTTCCGCCAGGCCCAAACAGTCCACCTGCTTTGGCTCTTAGGGAGAAGTTAATGATGACCGAGACGATCACACCAAGACAGAGGATAGTTGGACCCCATTTCTCATGGTACACGTTCTTGACGTCTCGCTGCTTACGAATCTTATCGACTCGCCACATGTATAACAGGAAACTGTATACAAGGAGTAGACAGGCCATGACGGTGAACGCCCAGGCAGTGATGATGCTGATTTTGTCGTGCCCAAAGTTGAGAAGCGTGAGAGCAATCCCGCTCACCCAGATAGAGAATTCAAGCCATGAGAGGAACGTACGTTCAACGGCGAAGAACACCTTGGGCTCGACTCGAACTGGAACATGGATTCCTGCAATGATGTTAGAAGAGATTCAAGTGAATAGAATAGTTAAGAACAGCTTACTCTTGCCCTTAGGGGCTTTGAACCTCTTCACCTGGATGTCATCTCCTAGAATACGACGGTTGCGGCCACCACCAGCACCTTCGGGTAGCTCAGTAGGTTGGGGGAACGGGCGAAGATAGCTCAAGAACTGGATGGTATTGCGCCCAGCCGACTTGAGGTTATATTTGGTAAGCTTATAGTAGTACTGCAAGCCACCAACCTGTCTGGCCTCCTCCAACTCGTCCTGAGCATTAGATTCATCCTCGGAGTCATATAAGGGGTAGTCATTGCCACCAAGAAGACCGTCAGCGGCTATACGCTCTTCAATATCAAGAAGGTTGCCAGGAGCAACCATGTTATTGGTCTCATTCGCGGTATATCCGTTGGCCTCGTCGCCTTGGCTGTCATGGTACTGCATACCATTTCCAGCAGCACCGTTTGTCTGAGTGGTTACATCAGTACCATCTACCCGAATTCCACCTTCATCGTCAGAATCGTCATCCTCTAGCATGTCATCGCTGGTTGACTGGTTAGACTGAACGGGACGTTCTATACCAAATCCTGGAGTGATGGGCTTGCGGATATCAACGTCCATCTGGGGCATCCAGAAGGGAAGCAGATTGATACGATCTGGCATGAGGGTTGCGGTTCCATGAATGAATTTACTAAACTTAGGCACGGCTTCAACTAGATGGCTTGAAGTAAGCTCCTTAATCCACTGTGGAGGCTCTTGACCGGCTTGTGTCTGAAGCTTGACTTCAAGCACGGCGTAAGGAAACCGCTCAATATCTGCGGCGGGGAGCTGCTTGAATGGGTAGTCAATTCCAATATCCATTCGGCGCCAGTTCTGACCACAGCGTTGACGGCCATCGAGGTTGTCTTCTCGGATCATAGTTAGTTCAGTGTCGAGGGAGACGCGAACTCTGGCGTCGCCAGGAAGCTGGAAGGCGGTTCGATGGTAGAACGATCTGTTTACGGGGACGAGTTGCCGGGTAATAACACGGTACTGGATCTCTCGAGCGAGCTGCTCCCAGTCCGCGATCTGCTTTTCGCTCTTCTTTCCTTCCTTGCGTGCTTTTTCGAAGATAGATTCCACAGTCATACGCCCTTCCAGGTAGGCATTGACGTATTTCTCTTTAATCGGGAATCGAGCCTTGACAGATTTCTCTCCAGTCCAGTCCTCGCGATGTGTCTTACGCTCGACGAATATTTGATCATTCTCCATTCCGCCGTACCATCTTAGGCGAATGGCTTCAGCTCCTTCGGTCTTCTTCAATCGCCCGGTATAGAGTTCCCAGGTATCGGTATTATCAAAGTAAATTGAAGAGATGGCAGCATCACTTTCTTCGAATTCCTTTGACGCATTGAAGACAAGAACAGGCAGATGCTTCAAGATGATAAGCTTGAGCTCTGTGATGTTGTCTGGGTGGACCCAGTACTTGGTGGTTTGGCGGACAAAATTCTGTTGCGACCCACCAGCAGCGCTGTCTCCCTCCACAGGGTGACCTTTGGTCCTGACCAGATCATACAGCTTGGACAGTTTGACCACAAAGGCGTCGTAATTGTCCTTGAAAAATGGCTTTGCTCTCAGGCGGGTAGCGAAAACTGGTCGGAGACACCAGCTAGTTTGTTTCTATTCAACGTTGGCCGACTGATCAACAAATGGGAATAAAATACCCAATTGGGAAAAAGGAACACTTACATCGTGCTTTTTAATGATCTTCTGGAAACCAGTGTAGTTCAGCTGGGTATACTTTGCAAGATCATGGACGTCTGCAATAATATCACTGAGGTCTTCCTCGAGTAGCAAAAAGTCATCGTCGGAAGGAGGAGGCTGTCGGTTTCTCACTGACCCGCTGGTAGCGGTGGCCTGGTCCAGTCGCCCAACCACCTCGCTCACCTCTTTATCGCTGGCCTTGATCCGCCGAACGATCTCATCGCTCTTCACTTTCTGGAAGGTGAAAACCTTGTCGAGCTCGCTCTCCAGCAGAGCAACGAACCGTCTCTCGTCCTCTTCGGTCCATGGCTTGCGTTTTGGCGAAGGGTTTTCAAGCGTCGGTTCAGTCTCAAATGGCGTCTTCAACGCATCTTTAAGGTCCTCATAGGCAATGTAATGCCAGGCGTACTCTTTAATCAGTGACGAACGCAGCTGCTGCCCGAACCTATCGTCAAAGAAAACAGATACAATCAGCATTCAGGTCTTCTTCCATCTCGTCTTCCTCTCTTTCCAAGGAAAACAAGCAACGAGCGACGGCTGGGGAGAAAGAAACGTTAAAATACGGGGGGATAAGAGGGCAGCAAGCCGAGCAGACATACCTCATCGTAGCTTCGAACTGACGGCTACGAGCTCTCCAGAATCGGGGTTTCTCAACGACAGACTGCAAGGCACGGCGATGAAGACTGACGGGAGGAGGAGAAGGTCCCGGGAGAGGAGAGTCAACTTCGCCTGCGCATTAACACCAGGATACCTTGCGCTTGGTTGATTGCACCAAGCTTAGCTAGCTCCTCGCAGGTTCAAAGTCCCCACCGCCGCCTGTCGCCACCAGACGGGACGACTCAACACGAGATCGTGCAGCGAATCCGGCGAGACCGCGAAAAAAGAGGCGAATCGAAAGCGACGAAGAAGCAAAAGAAGTTTCTGCGACAAGCGGGTCAGGTGATGTCCACCAATGGGGATAAGGCTTTCAGTCACGTGAAAACAAGGTTGCCGCCCGGTGGGGCACGGGCCATAGTTTATCCGAGGCTAACTTGACGTCAATACTGCTTAGTAAGCACGCCGGCGCGTGTATAGGGCGTCTATAGAGTATACTGAGCAGAATGTACTAAAAGAGAGGTGTCAGTTGTTGCTGGGATATGGAAGGGTGCAACATAGTAAAAGGTATCATCTACTCTATGGTCTAGATAGTCCCCAAGACACGGCGAATGCTCCGCCTGGCACCCTCGCCAACAACATTGATCAGACCTTCAGTCTCAAGCGACTTGACAGCCTCCATAAACTCAGCCCCTTCGACAGGGACGGTGCCTTCGTTCAGCTTCCTCAGCACATCAGCCCATCGAGCCCCTGTACCGCGTCCGCCAAGCTCGTCTACTATTGCCAGGATGGCCTTTTTCATGTCATCTCGCAATCTTCGCTCTCGTGCAGTTGTACCTTCTGTCAGTAGGCTCATATCAATTAGGCCTGTGCGAGCATCTGTAGCAGCTTGCTTCAGGGCAGATCGGATGAGTCTGACTGCTTCTTCGACATCGTCTGCCGTTACTTCTTCAGAGAGTCTCATTCTTGCATGAGCCTCGGAGAGACGGATCATAGACTCCAGTTGGCGTGTAGTAGCAGTGATGCGGCGCTCCGCTGCTCGGATGTCATCTCCTAGCTTACGCATAGCAACATATGCGTCTGTAAGCGCCGCTCCTGCAGCGGGGGTGAGCTTGGGTGAAATGCGTGTCTTTGCATAGGTGATGTAACTGGTAAGGAATTCGATGGGCTAGCGAATAAATTAGTACACGTTTCACATATTATTTAGACGGGGAAGGGTCGAATCTTACCAATATCTCCTCAGACGAGCCTGTCTCAGGCGCGTCTTCTAGGTACATTCCTACCATATGCTTTGCCAAGCGACGATCATTCTGCTCGTCCACGCGGTCGAGGACAAGGTACACCAAGTCAAATCGGGAAAGGAGAGTAGGGGGTAAGTCGATATTCTGGGGTACGGAGAGATTAGGGTTGTATCTGCTTCCAATTGGATTGGCTGAGGCAAGAATACTAGTTCTTGCGTTCAAGGTGGTGATAATGCCAGCCTTTGCAATGGACACTGTCTGTTGTTCCATGACTTCATGGAGAACTGATCGGGTAGCGTCGTTCATCTTATCGAATTCATCAATACAACAAACGCCTCCATCAGACAGGACCAAAGCACCAGACTCCAACACCAGCTGCTTGGATTCCGGATCTCGAGTCACGTAGGCTGTTAAACCGACTGCAGACGAACCCTTGCCGCTGGTATATATACCTCGAGGTGCAATCTTATGCACATACTTAAGCAGCTGTGACTTCGATGTTGAAGGGTCTCCACAGAGCAGAACATTAATATCTCCTCGGTATCTGGGGTTTCCGCCCTTCTCGAAAGTCTTGTTTGTCCCTCCAAAAAGCTGTAGGAGGATGCCCTTCTTAACATCTTCCATCTCGTAAATGCTGGGGGCCAACGACCGAGCCAGCAATTCATACACATCTGGCCGAGCCGCAGTTTGCCTGATTTTCTCTTCTTCTTCCTGTGAAATCTTCCGCACTTGGTCGACTTCCCGGGCAACTTTTTCTGAGAGTTCCTGCTCCACTGTCGACGCATCAATTCCAAGTTTCTTCTTGTCTATCTTTTGAACATGCAAGACATCAACATAAGTCTTAAAAAGCGCTTTTGTGCTTCGTTGTCGCGGGTTAACTCGAACTGCGCTGGATCGGAAGATACCAGTGACCTCTATTCTATCACCAGCTCTACACATGTCCACCAATTCATCATATACACAGAGCGATACTGAATGAGGTGTTTGGCCATCTGGGATTGAGTCTGGCGTTTCTTGGAGACGGATGATTTGTTTATCGGCAAATCTGCAGCGGTTATGGATCAACTGCATTGAGTTCTGTGTATCACAAAGCTGTCGTGGGCAGCGCGTAGGTTCGGCAATTCTTCCCCGATCGATCTCAACTCTGACACAGTGGAAACATACATCGCATCGGAAAAATGCTGCAAAGTTTGTTAATATTAGAAGTTTACGGGTAAAATAGATAGAATAATATGTACCTTCTTTCATATCCGGTATGACGGGAGTTGCTCGGATGACAAGACCCTTTACACTTATAAGGTGGTCTAGGTCTATTGATCGTCAGATATAGGAGTAACATCTGGTGGGGAAAAGCTAAAACATACCAACCGGATCCAAGTCTCTCATGTTTGTAGACTTATCCAAGCCAAACGGAAAGACCTTGTATGGTCTGCTTTCAATATCTGCTAGAATACTAGAAGAATCCTGTTGAGCAGGGGCGTTACCATTTCCATCGGCGTCTGAGGTATGGAATGCAGGAATAGAGCTAGTATCTCTCGCAGCTGCCGCTGGTCTTCGCTGATTGCTTTGCCGCGCACGCTCTATCTCCTCCCCAGTCAACACAACCATGACATCCTTAAGGCATTGATCCATAATTGGGACTATTTCCTGAGGGTAATATTGAATATGATGCCATAATTTGATGGTGGGCGGAAAGGCCTTGAGATTTCGGAGATCAAGGTTGAGGCCATTGACACCAAGCTGTCGCATTTCGTTCAACATCCTGACATATTCCTTCTCATCTGCAGAAGAGCCTAATGCACGGATTTCAGCTTCAGTAGCACCATCGTAGATCATACGGTGTTTCCGAGCAAAGTTGTAAAGAAAGTTTTTGAACGATTCAAATGCATCAGTGATAGCTATATTTGTACCCCATATGTATCGTGTAGAAGTCCCTCCTAGAATGTCTGCCTCTGATGTGTCGGGGTTGAGGTTGGAGAATGTAGCATCAGACAGCGGCTCACGGTTGCGGACTGGCATACCGCTTTCATCCACAAACAATGTCCTGCGCCTGGTACCGGTGGTAGAGAACGCATCTGAATGGATATCGCCTCTTCGTGTAGTAATAGCATTGGGGTTAGGAGAACGGAGAAATAAGCCACTGCTGCTGGTGGGTATATCATTCCGTCGAGTTTGACTGTTTCCTGGTCGTCCTGGACTGGAACTCGACATGTACCTTATAGGCGAAGAGTCTATGTAGGAATTAGTACAATTAGACAACACTTTACATAGCCAACAGGACAAACCTTCAACTAATGGGCGAGTAGGCCGTGGAGTAGTGTCACGATCGCCTAGAGGAGAAGATGGCATCGGTGAGCTTCGGTCTGGCGCAGCATTGGCTGCAGACCCGGCCCCGGCTGGAGACGACTGGAAGAAAATAGGCGATGAGGATGGGACCCCATTGTCAGCTACTCTCCGGTTGCGAGGCGTAGTAGTCTGGTCTGGGTTGTTCTGAGTCTGGCGAGAAGGGGCGGGGCTGGAGATAACCACCTGCGGTTGCGCAGTGCCCCTGGACGGAGTAGAGTTAGCAGACGACTGCGATGGACGTCCACGACGACGAGACGACGAAGGTGTAGACATGATCAATTACAATCACAGTAAATGACATTCAACATGAAGTCATTCCGGTCGTGAAGCTGTGGTTGGTGCTTTCGCTGGCGAAGAAAGCCGGAGGTTCAAAAGATTTTGTTTGATGCGAAATCGTCGCGCTTCTTCTTTGGGACGCGAAGCGCGTTAAGTGGTGTATTAGGTAAGCGCGCGCCAACAAGCGCACTCAAAAAGACGGCCTCCGGACGATGAAAAGTGTCTGAAAAAGAAACGATCAGAATAATTCTTCTAATAGAAATAGAATTAAAAAATTTATTAAAAACTAAATAGAAGCCATAAATGCTGAAAAATACTAACAAAACAAAACACTAGAGAAAAAAAAAAAAAAAAAAAAAGGAAAGAAAGCCCAACGCGGGGCTCGAACCCGCAGCCTTGTGATGGCCAACCGTTATAAACTTGCCATAAGAGTATAAGAGTCACACGCTCTACCGATTGAGCTAGCCGGGCTGACTTGATGTGAAGGGGGCGGCCTACTTCCTGTTCACCAAATAAGCAAAGTAGGAGCCAAACACGTAGGGGGAACCCTGGCTACCTTGGATATCTTACGGCTTTAGACAACGATTTAATCAGAGTATCTACACAAGGGCAGTCTGTAGTTATCAACGACCCAGTACTTCCTCCTGACTCCCTCCCATTCGCCCTCCAGTGAAGGCACTGCAATGTCTGTCCAGTCGATATCAAATCCAGCCTCCATCAGGTCCATCTCAACCACCTTTTGGTACACATCATAGCTGATCTGCCTGTCAGCTCCCATGCCGTTGAAGAAACTCCATCGTCCCTCGGGCTCGAGCAATGCTATTACATGCTCTGAAGCAAAGTCGCGGAAGTCGGAGTACGACTCAGCAAAGGTATCATAGTAGATGGCGTCAAACATCACTCCCTCAGCAGCGAGTTTGGGTAGGATGTCTTGCCACCTGCCTTCGTGTATTGTCACTCCCTCCTTTTCATGCCATCCCTTGCTCTTCATATCTGCTACCACAGCTGGATGTGCCTCGATGATATGGTGGGCACTTGGTTGCAGAGTCTGAAGAATTCCGTCAACGATTCCCATGCCATGTCCGACATTCAACACTCTAAGTCCGGGCGAAGGGAGCAAGGCTTTGGCTGACTTCTCCATTATACCGGTTTCCCACGCCATCATCACTCCGTTCTTATCTCCATCTAGTAGCCTATTCTCCTGGAATGTCAATCCGGAACTCAGGTAATGCTCATTACTAACACTCGGATCTTGGACAACCCCTTCTCCAACTGTCATATCAGCAGCCTCAGCCGGCTTTTCACCTTCAGCTGCATCATTCCCCGCCTCTTTCTCTTCTGTAGTCCCAGCTTTTTCATCCTCATCTTCCAGCTGCTCGTACCCCTCCAATCTGTTCAATAACAGCTCTGCGCGCACTCCAGCATCAACCATTAGCTGGTACAATTCCGTAAGCCCGAGTCTTCTGGCCATACACCCGGGGGTTTCGTCATTGACATCCAAATCGTTCCATATAGCTCCCTCTAGAAGTAAAAATTTCACGGTCTTCACCCCGCCTTCTATCGTCTCCTGTTCACTCATCGTATGCTCAGCTGTATCGCCATTTGTTACATTGACCCTCTCAGCTTCACATGCTGCTATAGCTGCATGCAAAGGTGTATATCCTGTCTCTGGGTCTTTCGCGTTGGCGGGGTTCTCGTCCTTTTCATTGTTGCGGATCAGCTCACGCAGTTTTGCAACATCGTGCTGTGATGCGGCCAGTAGTATCTCCTGGGTATCAAGATCGACGTCGATAGAGTCAATGGCTGCATCATTTGGGTCTTCCATTTTCGAGGCCAATATTACCAATTAGCATACGGTAGAGTTGATGCTTGTGTAGATTTTTCGTTGTTGAATCAAACTTTGGGTTTTATTTCCACCTCTTGGCGCTAAAAAGTGTTCAACAGCCGAATAGTCAACTCTATTTCAACTTCACGAATAAACAACTATTTGATAGATGTAGATGGCCTATCATATCTACGATTCTGAGCTCATTATATACTTGCAATCTGAGTTTGGACTTCACACTTGGTCTATTTCACTGATAATACCTGAATATACTATGTCACCCATATTAATACCCCCGTCCCCAAAGCCCCCTTACTCGCTGCTTGGACAGTGCAAGTATAACAAGGGCCTCCGTCCTTCCTTCTAACCGCATTTTACCCTTCTCTGCACACCATGCTCTAGCAAGCATCTCGGCATCTCCGGTACCCGTGGCATTAATAACCATTAAATCAATGGCATCTTCTTCAGACGGTGTGCTCGTGTATTCCCCAAATTTTGTTGCATTATAAACATGCTGTCGAAAGAACCGATGCAGTTCTCTAAAGTGGACTTTATGTTGCTCTCTGTGGGGTCCTGATCTGCATTCTGGGGGTGAGATGAATATGGGGTTCGTCAGGCGCGTGTAAGTCACCAAGCCGCCGTTCACTTCCAATGGCTACGCTCGATTGGTATTCGATTGTCGACTTAACAATCCCTTGGTTTGAATCTTCTGAGGGTATAATTTCAATATTGATGGATTTCAGGGCAATAGTCTAGAACCGCTGGAAAGGAGGCTGGGGTGTTATCCATTGGTTTGGGTCGATTATGGACTTCATGTACTCGGAGGTCTCTTCATCCTCCTATTGATCTATGAACTTGAACTGGTAGTGGTAATAGGTTTGGTCAACGGCTCTATTAGATGTCCGAGGTGGGTATCGCAATGGAGGCACCTTTCTGGCCTTGAGACAGACATACCTAACCTCGACGCCCGCAGAAACCTGCTGTGATGATACAAAATTGATATGTGGGTAAGTACCTATCCCACCACAGATGGATTTGCAACCTGGATGACTGCTCGAAGCAGTGTCGAATGGCACCGAGAAGCTCGAGAACAGTCTTCCTGATGGCATCTTGTTGCAGTTCGATGTGTACAGTTGTGCCTCTCTGGCCAACAGAATTGAGGCCTGCGGACTCCCCCCCATGCTAGAAGTCGAAGCCTCTCAACTTCAAGTTTCGATCGAAGAATCTCGAAGTCAAATCCGTATTTTTTTTTTTTTTTTTTACCGCAATCGAGCACATCAAGAATTTCAAAGCTTGTCTTCCATAAGGCTATTACTCCAACGACAAGCCCAGCTACGTCTACCATCGTGTAAGGACAATAGGCCTGCCGGAGCTGCTGCTGGTATAAACAGGATAGGCAGATATGGCACTTTCGGTCAAACAATAACGCGGCTAGAAGTATCTGGAATTCCGGTCATCTTCCTATTTATGTCTCTTGGACCATCGCAATGTGGGTATAAGTTTTCAGCGCGATTTGATGCAAGGCTGGAGATATACTTGGTGGGACACAAGTATTATTTTTACACCCCTCATAAATATCCCGTTGGCTAGTTGTTGCTGACTGCTGTAAGGGCCACATCCAATTGTACTTTGCAATGAAAGTGGTCAAATGGCTAAACACTCAAAAAATCCCGGCCTGAGGTTGAAAGATTTTGGTTGTTGGCTTATGAAGAAAAAGGAGTGTAACGATAAGCTCACACCTAATCTTCTTCTCTCATAAGGCAATGGTTACAAAAGCGAACAGGGTTGTCTGCCTCAGGGCATATCTGTAGTATTCATGCAGCTGTATTACAGGAGATTGAGGAGATTTTGAACATGTAGTAGTAGAGTAGAATAAAGTGGTACAGGTATTTATACACAAGCTTAAAACGGAACCAAACTTCCTCCCTTAGCTCTGATGAGCGCCGCAGACCAGCTATGCAGAGGCTTCAGGAGACCGTGCCATGCCCAAGAACTTAATCAGACGAATCACCGTGAGCCGTAACATTCAGGCCCAGACCTTCGGAATCAAGGTACATCTTGTTCTTTCCACCAGCTTCCTGAAGGATGTGGGCAATATTTCTGGCGTTCTCGATCTTTCGTAGTTCAACATAACTCTTGCTCTTCTTGATGGCATCTCCGATAAGCTGGGCAGATCGAGCCTCACCCTGTGCTCTGACGACGGTGGCCTGTTTCTCCTGGCGAGCCTTGTCAACAATGAAGGCGGCTCTCTGGGCCTCCTGTTGGGCAACTTGTTTGGCTTCAACAGCAGCAGTGAACTCGGGAGAGAAGGCAAGATGCTGCAGAAAACAGTTAGATTAATTGAGTTATAGGAAGAAATTGAAATGAAGTAAACCATACCGTTAGAGAAACGTCATCAAGCATTATATTGAAGCGTGCCGCACGTCTGGCCAAGTTTTCTCGTACAAGACGAGCAACACTCTCTCGCTGTGTGATAAGCTGACTAGCGTTGAATTGGGCCACCACACTCTTCAAAACCTCGTTAACAATGGATGGAAGAACTCTCTCGTCAAAGTCAGTTCCGAGGGTACGGTAGATCTGTGGAAGAGCCTCGACTCGCGGTCGTGATAGCACACGGCAGGTTATATTGACCATCTGCAGATCCTTGGTGCCTGTGAGAGACGCAACATTGCGCGGTTTCGCTCGAACATCGTAAATTATAGGAGTCTCAAACCAGGGGATTTGGAAATGTGTTCCTTATAACATATTAGCATGGGTATATTGTATATTGAAGTGCCATGAGAGCTTGCTTACCTTCGTTGTATATCTCTTTCTTCACACCACCTATTCTTGTGTATTTGATTGCTCGGTGACCACCGTCAACTGCACCACATGCCACAATCAGCCCGTGTTCAACAAAATACCTCTCAATCGGCGAAGCATACCGTTAAACAGAGAATTTGAGAGCACGTAGCCTCCAAGTCCCAGCGCAATCAAGGCTCCGATACCACCAGCGGCTCTTCCGCCAGCCGGACCGCCAGCACCGAACCCTCTCCGTCCCTGCTGCTGGATAGCGGTCTGCAGCTTCTGCCAGGTCTCGCGAGGGTCTGCCATGGTGTTCTGATATAAAAGCGAGAAAGACCAAAGACGTAGCTGGCTTTCCTTTCAGTCCGTCCTGTATCTGCTTCTGCTGCTGCTTTCAGAATCTGGAGAAAGTGAAGAAGTTTAGCAGGAACGCGCGCTAGTCCCGATCGGGGAAGCTTGGGCAGACGACCAAAGTCGAACTTCTGCGCGACGCAAGCAAAAACAACCATCGACAAGACAACGCTGCAGGTCTCCAGGAAACGGCTGCTCTTAGGATTTTGTTAGTTTGGCGCACTGTAGAAAGACGAGAAGATGGCTCCAGAACGGTCAGGAAAGAGTGTGTTCCTCGGGAATATCCCTTACAGTGAGTATTGGCGTCGCCCTCGATTTCTCTTCAGCTTCTAGCATCTCGCGCTAACGGGTTTGATATCTTAGATCTTACGGAGGAACAGGTGAAGGATATACTCAGTTCTGCAGGGACGGTGACAAAATTCCGGCTTATGATAAACCCTGAGACGGGGAAGCCCAAGGGATATGGCTTTGCAGATTTCGCCGATGCAGATGCCGCCGCTTCTGCCATTCGCAACCTGAACGATTACGAAGTTATGGGACGGAAAATTCGAGTTGACTGGCCTCACAACAATGAAAAGGACTCGGTCCCTCCGGATTATTCGCAGCAAGCCCAGCCGGGTGTGTCGAGTAGCGCCGGGCAAGATGGGCAGAGCTCACAAGCTCCTCTGCTACCAGCCCTGCCCCCCGGCGCCGATTTGCCTCCAAACCTGACATGTCCCAACGCTATATCACAGACCTTATCCTCGCTCCCGGCTCCTCAATTACTGGACGTTCTATCGCAAATGAAATCGCTAGTCATGGCAGACCCCGCTCGGGCCACAGAACTCCTAAGACAAGCCCCTCAGCTTGCATATGCTATATTTCAAGCACTCCTTCTCATGAATCTAGTTGACTACAACACGCTAGGCTCGGTCGTAGATCAAGCATCCCAAGCTCAAGCAGCTCAGCAAGCACCGCCCCAGATGCAGCAGAAGTACCAACCATACCCCCCGGCTCCAGGCCAGGTTGCAACACCTCCTCTACATGCCACCCCTTTCGCTCCTCCACCGCAGGCTGCACCTCAGCAACAGGCACCTCCACCGGTGGCACAGGTTCCTGGTCAAGAAGAGCTACTGCAGCAAGTATTGAACATGCCGCAAGCGGCAATCGACGCTCTTCCGCCAACAGAACGCAATCAAATTATGGTATTACGACAGCAACTACTTCAAGGAGGAATGAGGTAGTTTACTACTTGCATATTTTTTTGATTGTTGAACTTAAAAAAATCCGGACGGCATAAAACGGTTAAGTATGCTTCCTTGTTATACATGTATAACTACATCAGCTATGACTCGATTTCTTTGGCGCAACGGCGGAATGGGCGGTTTTATACTCTGGCATTGTCATGATGGTGTTCTTGGAGTGATATTCAAAGGTTGAAAGCTAGATTATCATAATGCTACCTAGGTGCTTTTTGTGCATCTACTTTGATCACTATCACCATCCATACTCTGTCTATCTCTTCTCTTATGTTATATTCATTACCCTAACTTCAATAAAATGAACTATCCCTTCTGTTAATTTGAGTCTCTCTCTACCTACTTAATTACTAAACCTTTAGCCATGTCTAGCAAATAGCCCTGGCATAGTTATGTCCACGTGACCTTTATTTTCCTCTTAAAATTTGATATCAAAAACAACTTCAGCGCTATAAAACTTTATAAACAGAATTATCAACACAGCTAGTTGAGACAGTACTATTTATATGACTACTCCATTTGATAGTACTCGCTATACTTTCTCTTTTTACGGTTCATCCATCCAATAAAAATTAATTGGATTTGACTAACTGGGGACTTTATGCCCATCTTATATAGCATTGCGGCAATCCAACAGAGCTCTATAGATGACAATTGGTATCAAACTCATCAATATTTATACCATACTCTATAGAATAATTCCTTTTCGGTATCATTAAGAAGGCCTAGCTACTTCTTGACATCTTTATACCAAGATTTTGGAGACTGAGCATGACTATATATCCACATATTCTATAAAGGGCCTAGAGTCAAACATATCAACAATCATATTGTTATACATCCAAAAAATGATTTCATTATATGGGTTTAAAGGAGTATTTACAAACTGGAAACTGCCTATATACAATATCTTAATACCAAACACCTTTAATAATAATAACATTGGCAGCAATGAAATACTCTTAGTGTATTTCTATGGAGATCTCCAGCTATAAACGCACTACAGTATATGCTGTGCGCCGCATTATCTCGGCCTTTACATTGCTTTTCTTTTACTCTAAATCACATATCCATCTTGCTCATATCACACCTAAACCAATTTGTTATAACTCGAATTTTTGGGTGTTTACGCGCTGTGTCCCGGATCGACTATATTTCAAGGCCTTATTCTCTCTGCTCTCTGTCGGCATGGATATATCAGAGGAAGGCCGTTCGCCGAGAGAGACGGACGCGTCTAACTCGATATCTTCTGTGTCAAATAGCAGTATACCTTCGCCCCGAACCCCTGATACGGATATTGAATTACTTCTTGACGCGTCAATTGATTTTATTTTGCAAGAGAAACGCCTGGAAAGCCCTCCTAATATCCGTGAAGCTGTCTCAGAAGAGGTAAGGTCTCTACTGGAATCAGTGCCTCCCGAGATACTTAGAGGGAAGTATACTATTTTGCCTGGTGAACGACCAAAGCCTGGGCTCGATAGATCCCTCCCTCCGATATGCAAGATTGAAGATATTTTTGAAGACCTCACTGCCCAGGCTCTCAAGAATGGCTTCGATTCTTTCCTCAGTCATATTGGCTCCCGCGAACTACGCGTTGCGACCATGTGCTCTGGCACCGAGTCCCCTCTCTTGGCCCTGGAAATGATACAAAGCAGTATGTTTATCCCGCTCCTCCATAGTTCATGGGCTGATTATCCGAATTATAGGTCTTCGGCAGCTTACTGGAAGAACATTCCGCCTCCACCATCTGTTTAGTGCAGAGATAGATGCATTTAAACAGTCCTACATACAGAGGAATTTTTCACCAGAAATCATTTTTCGAGATGTCAATGAACTGGTGGCAGAGGAGGCGTATGTACTTACCCTATTGCAGATATATCTGAATAGATATTGACATCACAAAATAGGACTACTGCGTTTGGGTCAGTAAAAAAGGTCCCTACAGACCCTGACCTTCTCGTTGTTGGCTTCTCCTGTGTTGATTTTTCCGCTCTCAACTTTTACCGAAAATCACTCGAGGAGATGGGAGAGTCTGGCCACACCTTCTATGGAGTCATTCAATATATGCAAAGGTGCCGTCCGGCATTGGTTGTCCTGGAGAATGTTTGTTCTGCCCCCTGGGAGCAAATCAAGACCATCTTGCAAGAAATCGACTACAATGGCTATCATATGAAAATTGATTCTAAAAACTATTACCTTCCACAGACTCGGGAAAGAGGATATATGATTTGCATTGATCAGAGAAGGCTGGTGACAGAACCGGTGGAGGAGGCAAAGTCAAGGAAGTTATCTGCTTTTGCACAGTTAATGAAGAAATTGGAGAGACCCGCAAGCTCTCCAGTAACCCAATTTCTCTTGTCCCACGACGATATCCGCCTCCACGATGCAGTTAACGATATTTCTGCCAACTCAAACAAAGATCGTCAAGCAGTTGATTGGACAAGGTACAAAGCGCGTCATCTTGGGTATAGAATGAGAGAGGGTCTCGGAGATAAGCGGCCTTTGACTAAGTGGCAGGAAAATGGTACATGTCAGATGCCAGACTTCTATTGGCATGGGTGGAGCAGAACCCAGACGGAGCGAGTTTGGGATACCCTTGATGTCAACTTCCTAAGGACCGTTGCACGGGGATATGACATTAACTCTAAATCCCGCGTCATTGACCTCTCTCAGGGACTCGATAGAGAGTTGGACCAGAGGGCTTCCGGTGTTGCTGGGTGCCTAACACCTCGGGGGCAGCATTTCATTACTTCTAGAGGTGGCCCTCTTTTGGGAATTGAAGCTCTCGCCTTGCAGGGAATTCCTATCGACAGACTTTTGATTGGCAATGACAGCCAACGTGATTTGCATGACTTGGCAGGAAATGCAATGACCTCAACCGTAGTGGGAGCTGCTATCATCACTGCATTAACTCTCGGGTATCAAGCCTTACCTCTTCCCACCGCTCCTTGTGACCTTGACGATTCCGAGCTCATTACCCAGCAACGTTCAATTGCACCAAACTACACAATGGTGCCACTATTGGCGAACATCGCAGACGATAATGGCATCCCAACAGGGGAACTGTACCAGCTTAGCCTCAGAACCGCACGTCTCTGCTACTGTGACAGCCATACAGGGACAAGATCGGATATTATTTTGACCTGTGTCGCTTGTGGCCATACAGCATGCTCGAAATGTGGTAAAAATCCTCCTCATTGCTACAGGCCGGTAGAAACTGATGAGTTGAAGTTGCGTCTGCCTCCAATAGAATTTGAGACACAGGTCAAAACTCGACTGCCCATGTGCCTCCAAATCAATGGCTTGAGCGTCGATATGTTTCAGGACCTTCGAGAGCCAGATATGCCGCCAGATGTTAAGCATGCTTGGGATACGTTCATAGACACAATTGAACATTCTCTCAGCAATGTTTTCAAATTCCAGGGGGTAGTGAGACAAAGTAGCTGGACAATCACTTATGAAGGCACAAATTCGTTTCTCAAGCTTACTTGCACTTCAATCGGACTACAATGGCTGCTCTATGTTATACCTAGTAAATTAGAACCAAGCAACTCACCTCTTCGACAAATGCTAAGCCGACCCATTGCCAAAATGACGCCAAGTGGCAATAACTCATTTGATGGGACATGGCTAATTGGGTCACCGATTAGCTCACAATTTGACCTTCTCGTTGCAGGTGGTGGTGAGCTGGTCGATTCTTTGCCAGCCCGATCCGGCTTGCAACACCCAAGCTTTAGAAACTTGAAAACATGGTCTATTCTTCATATAGATGCAAAGGCTGAAGACATGAAGAACTTGGAGATAGACATCCGTGGCGCTTATGAACTGCTGCCTGATTGTGGTGCTGCAAGCGGAAGCTTGCGGAAGCGGCTAAATTCCCCAGGCAGCCCTGTTTATTTATTCTTGGATCCTACAGAAATTGGACCTCATCAGTTGGATTCTTGGATTTTCTCACTTGAACATGAGCGGCTTGGTTTTGGACAAGCACGCAATACAATAGCTGAAGTTCGGCCAAATTGGAACCCATTGTACCTCAGCCATGGTCAAGATATTGTTCCATGTTGGTACCGAAAGTGGAGGGAAACTGCGAGCGTTGCGTTAAGTGTCTACCGAACGTCGCCGCCTCCACAATTTTTCATTCCAGGTCCTTCGGAAGTTCTTGCATCATGCAGCTACACCTGTGATGGTTCTTATTCCACTGTACTTCAATGCTCAGTTCTAGCTGATTCATCGGATTTAGAAATTGTCCCTGGAATGGTGAAGAAGGAGAATTTACTGGAATCTGCTTCCATGCTCAAAAAATTTGGATGGGTATTACAGAGGGCAATTGGTATTAAGCAATTTGAGAACTGGGAAACACTCAAAATACCCTTTCCTGGTTTTAAACTGGAGTGTTTAACGTGTGCTCCTGAAAAACCTCGGCTAGCTTGGGCCCTCGATGAAAAGGATCGTGTATATGCATATGAAAACCCAGAAGATGCTGCCTCCTTCGAGAGAAGCATAAAGAGCCGCCCAGCGCCGTTCTTGGGATTTACAACTCTTGATGAAAGCTCGATCCTTCATCTTCAGATTTGCTTGAATGTCCTAAGCCTTCTCCACAGGGCAGCTGGTAACCTGGGTGTTAAAGACAATGTAACTTTGCAATGGCGCCTGTGTATAGACACAACAGGATTCATCCCCCGTCGGCTACTCAAGCTTTTGGAAAAGAATAACAAACTGGATGTACCTCACACTCAACCTCCAAATTTTAAACGACACCATTTACGGCAAGAACAACTACGTTCACTTCAATGGATGTGCAATCAAGAGAGCGATCGTGCTCCAATGTTTGTGGAAGAGGAAGTGGTTGAGGCTCTTTTACCAATCATTAACTGGAGGGCGGAAGGCAAAGCTTCGATAGAGAAGATGGTCCTCGGGGGAATTCTTGGAGACGAGGTTGGATATGGTAAAACGGCAATATCACTGGGGCTTATTGACGTAAAATACGAAGAAGATAGTGCTACTGTTCCAGCGTCTGTCAGGGGTCGTATTCCGATCAAGGCCACTATGATTTTGGTTCCTGGCCATCTCTTTGACCAATGGAAGAGAGAAATACATAAATTTTTGGGCAATTCCTATAAAATTCTGGAAGTCAAGACAAACTCCTCGCATGGTTCTACTACCATCCGTGATTTCGAGGAAGCCGATATCGTCTTGGTATCTACATCAGTTCTGAAAGGGACTGCATACTATGCTATGATGGAATGTTTCGCTGCTGCTCCCGAGCTACCCAAAGGAGAGGGACGAATATTTGTTGAATGGCTTCATGATGCCCTCAGTTCATTATCTGAACAGGTAGATCGACTTCTTACTTCCGGAGCCCTCTCAGTCTTGAAAAATATCGATGATAGAAAAGAGGAGCTTCGGCAAGGGAACGGCCTATCTAAGTACAAGCCTTCAAGGCGATTGAAAGGGCAAAAATTTCAAGAATATCTTAAGAAGATGCGCCAAGCCGCAGTTTTTACTGACCTCCATGAATCAACAGTGAAGGATACGGCAAATGGGAATATCGGTTCTATTTTTCCAGCTGTTGAACTTGGAAAACGACAGCGAGAAGCCTCCCCTGTTGGTCAAGTTACGGAGATACAGCAGGAGTCCAAAAAACCAAAAAAAGCTACACAAACCCGCAAGGACGGGGGAAACATTTCTGTTGAAATATTCCGTCTCTGCCAGTCTAGTACTGACTGGAGAAATGTTCGTTCTCCGCTGCTACATATGTTTGAGTTTAACAGAGTCATCATCGATGAATTTACATATTCAAAAGACAGAAACTATGCAGCTGCCCTAGCCATCTCTTCGAGGAAGAAGTGGATTCTGTCCGGAACTCCTCCTCTAAACAACTTTGCTGATGTCAAGTCTTTTTCTCCCTTCCTTGGTATCAACCTAGGTATCGATGAAGATGACGGCCGGAAAGTCGAGAACGAGAGATTGCGGACTATTCAACGCGAGAGAACAGGTGTGGTAATTCTATCAAAGGCCTTCGGTTCTAGGTTGCTAATATGAACAGAGGTGGAACAATTCCAGCCTTTAGTGACCCGACGGAGTACTATGTGGCATGAGAGGAGACATCAGGTTGCTCAGGGGTTCTTGGACAAGTTTATGAGAAAAGTGAGGCTCCTTTATTCAACAATATGAGTGGATGCTGACTTGAGTAGAACGTACCTGATATAGATGATATTCCCTGGACTGAGCATATCATTGGTGTGTCCCTATCAGCAGCTGAGCGTGCAGTTTACCTTGAGCTCTTCATGCAGTTAATGTCGCAGAACATGAGGTTGAGAAAACATGGACGCGGGCTTTACGACTCTGAAGAGATAGCTCGTCTAGATGAAATCACTGGAAACAGCAGTGGCCCGGAAGAAGCATTGTGCAAACGCTGCGCATTGTTTATCTACAATGACCCTACTTTTCCTTCCGACGCTGCATCACCGGAGAAACCAAATGAGATGAAACCGATGGATGACAACCCTCTCATCCATACTAGGCGCAAACAAATAAGCAGTCTTGCAGCAGACATTCTGTCCAGAGTAAGAAGAGGTCTTTGGCTTCGTGACCAACTAGACGAAGGTACAACGCATTTCGATAGGCTGTTGGAAAGTATCGAGCAGAATAGGTTTGGGGATTTACTGGTTACTGCTGGTATCAAAATGCTTTTAAAATGGGCAAAAGCAATATCTGATTCAAGCGATGGCAGCATGTTCTACCTTGCGGCACTTGAAGTAAGAAAAGCCTTCGCTTTGAAACCATTCATAAACTTGCTCGGTGCTAACTTACCATAGAAAAAGAAGAACCCAGACGACCCAAGGCCTGAATTCCCAAAGAACCAAATGGAGCTTATCAGTGATCTCAACTACTGTACGGACAGCTTGCGTCGGCTAGTTTATGAAACGATAGCTCATACTCGGGCCCTACGGCTATACCATGCTGTACGATGCTTCCAAGAACCCCCTCCAGATTCAAAGTTCATTTGCTATAGCTGCAGTTCAGAACGAGAAGATCCTCGGTCACTCTCTGTTTTAGGAGAATGCGGCCATACTACATGCAAATCATGCATTGAGCGTTGCCAGCTTCATGAAAGATGCTTACTAGAGGGATGCAGCGGAACAGTCCATGAATATCGGATCATCAAGTGGACTGACCTGTGCCACTCGAAGTGGCATACACCAACAGACAAGTTGGCAAAATATGGCGGCTCAAAATTCACAGCTGTTATTGATTTGCTTGAAGATACAGAGAAAGTCCCTGCGAACGATCAAGTTTTGCTCTTCATTCAATTTCCCGAGTTGATGGAGGCAGCATCAAAGGCACTAGAATCTGCAAGCATACCGCACACCGTTATTCAGCCTGGAGATCGCACCCCAACCAGCAAAATATCCGAATTTCAGAATGGCAAGGAGTCAGTCAAAAGCAAGGTTTTGATATTGAACCTTGGAGATGTTACTGCATCAGGGCTGTAAGTAGCCCCATCGTCATTAATATATGAACAAATCTCTAATGAAAGTGTGACTTAGGAACCTACAAAATGCAAATCATATCATATTTTTTGGCCCCTTGGTTGCCCGATCACAGTATGACTATGACTCCGGGATGGCCCAAGCTATTGGACGCTCACGACGGTATGGTCAACTCAAACATGTTCATATTTACCATGTTTTGGCCCTGAAAACAGTTGAAGTAAATATTTTTGAGCAGCGCAAGAAGCAATATCTTGCAAAAAGGGGGGGTCGGTTTATTATAGTCCAGAAGAGCGAGATCGAGAAAACGGATGAGGTTGACTGGAAAGGGTTCCCGCTGGAAGGTTCAAACTCAGAGAGCTATCAGGATGATTTTGACGATAAGTAGAGGGTTGCTGATTATATTTCTTTGAAAGCCCATATTTTGATGCCTCTTGTCTTAAGACTACAATCGACCCATGTTATACGTTTACATTTACTCTACTTAATCGGTATGACGGCCAGGTTTTTGTGAACGCCATATTCTCCAACAGCATGCTGTTATGAAAACATAATAGTAGCACATGAATTTGGGTTGTCAATTAAGTCCTTGTCTATTCAAGGGCCCGCTGCAAGTCGAAGGCAAAGTATATGACTGCATGACTGACCGGTACAAGATACTGTACAAAAAAGTGAAAAGGGTAGAAAAGCAGTATGGAAAGCAGAATCGCCTACTTTCAACTTGGAATCAGTCTCCATAAGGCTCATCATAATGAAAACACTCCTGGCCCGCACCTCATCCCAATTTACAATTCCCCGTCTTTTCTCAAGGTCTCATTCCCCCAGAGTGGCTCCGTCAAGCTTGTCAACCCAGCGCTGTTTTCACAAGTATGTCTGCCACTCAAGGGTCCTGGTGGTGGGACCTTTACACTGGACTGTGTTCCATTCTCAGCAGCAACGGCACTAGCTCGGAGAGCATCAAGCAGCTGGATAGTGGATTCGGGTGTGAGATCCTCGTAGTAGTCGTCGTTGATCTGAACCATTGGCGCATTCACGCAAGCTCCGAGACATTCGACTTCGAGAACGGTGAAGATGCCATCTGGGGTTGTTGCGCCGTGCGACGATACGCCGAGATGTTCCGTTATGGCCTTGACAATCTTGTCACTTCCACAGCCACCGAGCTGGCATGGTGTCTACGTGCGCATCAGTGTTAGAAGAGAAGAACGTCAAATAATGTCTATACAAGAGAAAAGGATGACGTACGGTAGTACATATCTGGACAAAGTACTTTCCGACTGGCTCACGGTTGTACATGGTATAAAAGGTAGCAACCTCGTATACTCGCATGGGTGGCATTTCCAGCATGCGTGCAACCTCGTTCATCACGCTGATGCTGGTATATCCGTGCTGCCGCTGTCCAAGGTCCAATAGAGGCATGACGGCAGCCTTCTTATACTGAGGAGGATAGCGCTTAAGGATCTCATCGATGACGGTAAGATTTTCCTGGGAGAACTTGAAGGGAATGGTTGGGTTATTGGTAGGAGTGTTTCGGTGCTAAATCCCCATAACCAGATATCAGTACCCATTGGACTTCATCATTGTGCACACTTTTCCAGTTAAGTCGGCCGAAGTAATTTGGGTCGCAAATAAGGCACTTACGACGTGGAGAACATCGCTCATGAGAGGCGATGCAGTTGTGAGTGTTCGACATTGCCGCGAAGAGAACTGTGGGAGAGACTGGCGGCCGGCCTGCCGGAGGGTGAAGGGGAGTATTCTGGAAGCCATCCCAGCAGACAAAGCTCAAGTCAACTCTCAGAAGGCCACTGGACGGTACAAACGCGGACAATGGCTCTCCTCGCTGCTGTTTTGTGCTTGAAGACGATGCTTGCGGTCGACGTTGAAGTTGATGATGGGTGATGTCGAAGAAACATGGGCGTTCGCTTTTTGTTCCAGCCAATTAGCGTGCGTAGAATTGAAATCCAGCAACATCTCCATTTTTTCGCTGTTACATAGAATTCAGAAAAACATGAGGAATCCGCCATTTCAGTGACCATGCGGTTTAAAGAGAGGACTCAGGAGAAAGGATCGGTTTGATTGAAGATAATAAGTATTTTAACTACCTAAAACTACTGGTTGATAAAAGGGATTCGTTATGCATCGCAGACCCATGGACAGACGTGGTGATTTAACTAAAGGCCGACGACTTCCAGGCCGCTTGGGATCTTTGCCTCATACTCAAGGATGAGTCTGATATCGACCGTCTTTTGCAGAGTGATCACCCACTTAATCTCGCCGTCTTTGTTAATGTGGACGGTGCCTTTACCCCAGTCCTTAGCCCTCTTGGGGTCAATGGAAACATCAGCTCCGATCTTTGCAGAATCTCCCTTGTCAAGCCCCTTTGGCTCAATCAAGCGGACTCGGATCCGCTCATCCTCGCTGACGGGGATTTGATCGAGGACGACCAAGGATACCGGCGAAGATTTGGTGTTGTTGATTCGGCAGACACGTGTGAAAATGGCGCAGTCTTCTTTGTTGAAGTAGCCCGTGGTTGCGCGTCTGACTTTGGGCTTGGAGTATATCACTTGGATAGCCGGGTCAACTCCAAGGTTGAGGTTGAATGGGACTCCAGGGTTGCAGTTTGGAATGGTAGCCTTGCCCAAGAAAGCATCGTCGACAGTTAGACCAGCCTTCCCTCGAAGGAGAGGGGTGGTCGACGTATTGGTCACTCTCGCCTTTAGGAAAGCCGCTGGCTTCAACTTTGGAATAATCACATGCGAAAAAGTCATGGAGGAGAGCTCAATTTCCGCAATTATATGCCGTCTGACGTGAGAGGATGGCTGCAGGGTACGTGAGCCAGGCACGTTATATGTGGTGGTAAGTCCATAGTCATGACGAGACGACTGCCTGAATGCGAGAACATTGGCTGATCCCTGGATGGTTGATGCATCATCATCTATCTGATCATCATCGTCGTCAAAATCTTCATCTTCGTCATTATTAGCTCCATCAGGATGGGACGGTGCCGCATTCCCAAAACCAAAAGCAGAGGTGCGTTGGTCGTTGTTGGCTGAACCACCGAAAAGCTGATAACGCGGCGCACTCTGTGCGTGAACTTGTTGCATCATCTGCTGTCCTTGCACCTGGTGTACTGTCAGTGATTGTCGTTCAGTTTCGTTGGCTCCAAAAGGTGCCGCAGAACCGAATAGCCCGCGTGCCACGGATGGAGGTGCCGCGGGCAACGGTTGTGTGGAAGAGTTCGTGGGCCAGGGAGGAGAATAGCGTACCGGCGCATTTTCATTCATAGACTTTGACTTTCTATATTGTTTTGCTTCTACGCCTTCTGCACTGGCTCTCAGCGCTCCGGTCCAGTTGCTCATCTTCTTAGAGGGTATTGTGTCGGTTGCGACCTCTACCTCCATTACCTCATGTTTCCTGAGCGCCACATTCCATGGCAACAGAATAGGGATATGCTCATCGACTCCTGAGAAGGTCGTCTGAGATGTGGAGAGAATAACGTTGGTATCTTTCCATGTCTCACAACTCCTGTTGTAGTATTCAGCCCGATAGACCAAGCTCCCAGATGAGGTTGGCGTGTTTAGCATCAGGTCATATCGTGGAGTCCATCGAGCAGCCGAAGTAACGTATGTTAACGATAGAGTTATGTCGTCGTTGATATCAGGCTTCTTGACGGAGGAGGCTGAGTCTCTTCTGTCCTGAGGCAGAGTCCCGTCGCCATGCCCTTCAATATGAACAGTAACACGGCCGGTATAGATATTCCAGAAGCTCGAGATATCAGCTCGGGCTTCTCGCTTTTTCTTCTCCTTCAATTCCTTCTGTTTCAATTTGGCCTTCCTCTCCTTACGTGATGGTTTTGCAGCGCGGTCTCTCTCCACCTCGAATCTTTCCTCCAGCCGCTCTCTCTTCCGTTCTAATTTCTCTTTCTTTTCGTTGAACTCTGTGATCTGCACCTCCGCTTTCTCATAGGTCTCACGCAAGTCGGATCGTTTTCTCTGGTAGACGTCGATATATTCTGCCACTTGGACAGCTTCAAGATCCTTTGCATGCATGCTCCTGCCATAGGAATCAAGAAATGCTAGGGACTGAGTCGATGATACCTTGTCGTTGTCGAGATAAGCAAGTTTGGCAGAGATTTCCTTGATCTCAGCTATGACTGAGTCCAGCTCTGACCTGTCGACGCCGAAGGTATCATCCGGGTCTTCTGAGTCAATTTCTTCTCCTGTGCTATCCTCGTCCGGATAAAGATCATCGAAGTCTTCGTCACGAAGAACAACCGAGGTCTGGATATCAGTGATAGTGGCAGGCCCATGGCCAGTAACTCGAAGCGAGTCAAAGTCGACTCTATTATCAAAACCAGAAATGATGATCTTGTTAGGGCCAGCCTATTGTCCACTATTACTAACGCATCGGACAAGAGCATGAATCGATCAATATTTGCTAGGAGTATTGACTTACTTTGATCGGCACATCAGCCAGTTCACGAACAATGGTAGCCCGCTCCGGAGCAAGCGTTACTGTCTTTGTTGGAGTCCCCTGAAGGGACAACTCGACGGTGTTTACCTCGTAAGACGACATGGCTACGAGTTTACTAGGCCTTGTAAGAGAGTAAATAGCAACAGTTTCTGTGTTTGCTGTGCTCCAATACTTGATGTATGCCGATATAGCAGCTCGACTAGGCAGAAATTAGAGGAATAGGTAGAGGAAGATGAGGAAGAAGAAGAGTGTAGGAGCTGAGATGCAGCAGAAGGCACTCGCTTATATACTTACCCCAGTGGCTGATGCGGCTCAACACTGCTGCCTTGAGGTTGAGATACGAAGGACTCCACCAATAATCGGCTTCACATGGGGAACAGCCTCACTGAGTTCATACAATGAATTTCCAACGTCACACTTCAACGTATAGAGTATCTCAACTAGATTTATTCGTTTCTCTATTATCCTATTATTCTTTATTATATTTTATTCTTATTTTTTCCCCCCTCCAGATTTATTGTTTTATTTTTTATATTTTTAATATTATTTAAACTTTCAAAATTGAGTTTATTCACGAATATATAATTACTGGCATGACGTAATCAAATTTAGCTTCACGTGACTGGGTTAGGCGGCCAAACGATCTGATTAGTTTTATAACAGGTCCATCCCGCATGAGCTAATGGTACATTGTATATTTGAACCAAGCCTATAGCAAATCCTGTATTTGCTTCCTATCATTATTACTCCTGTTTACTCGTAACCTTTATGGGAAGATATCTATGACGTAGTTATTACGTAATTGAGATTATCAAATCACGTGATAGATATCAAACCTTAACTGCTTGCGAAATCGATAAGAAAAATATCGAGATGAGCCCGAAGGTCACAACCGCTACGAATCCCGTTGTTAGATACTCCTCTTTGTCTTCTCTCTATTCGCTTAGTTGGTACATACCCTTGATTTTTTCATGACATAATTATTAAATACACATTTTCAATACTCAAATTTGCTCTCACATAAAATATTTTGCACAACCTACGCAACATATTGTGACTCAACCTGCAGATTATTATTGAAAGCTCCTCCAGCATATACCCATATCCTCAAAATTGTCCAAGGCTCTATTTAACTTGACTGTGAAAGATCACAAGGGGGTTTGGGTTGCGGCCACGGATAAATCCACTGTTTTTCGTGCCCTTTGCTCTATTTTAGAGCGCTGCAAGGGGTCCGCAGTCAGGTTACATAGCACTGCTGTCAGCCCATTGCCGCGGGATGATAATATAGTAACCATGCCCGAAAAGATAGACCAACGGCTTGATGGAAAGGTTACTCGGATATTTCCCGTCCATAGTTTTTCAGAATGCTCGCCGTGTCAAGATATTCTTGAGAAATGGGCCGTACAAGTCGACAAAGGCGGGCCAGAAGTAACAGCCCTTATTGAGGCCGCTGAAGCAATACGGACTAGTGATATTCCTGTAGCCTTTCCGACCGAGACAGTTTATGGGCTAGGTGCAGACGCAACTCGCAGCGGAGCTGTTCAAGGAATATACAAAGCAAAACAGCGGCCCTCGGATAATCCGCTGATCGTCCATGTCAGCTCTAGAGATCAACTAGAAAGACTTCTCATGGATCCAAAGCAGTCAAATGGGGCTATCAAATGCCGTTCTACATCATCTATTCCAAAAATATACGAACCCTTAATCAAGAGATTTTGGCCGGGACCTCTAAGCATTATACTTCCCAACCCATCCCATTTGCCTTTGGCTCCAGAAGTCACTGCAAACCTCCCGACCTTCGCTGCACGGATGCCTTCATCTCCTCTTGCACGACTTCTTATTGCGCTTGCTGACAGACCGGTGGCTGCACCGTCTGCAAATGCGTCTACAAAACCCTCTCCGACGACTGCACAACATGTATTTACGGATCTTCAGGGACGGATAGAAATGATTTTAGATGGCGGGCCATGTGGAGTGGGTGTTGAAAGTACGGTAGTTGATGGGCTCAGCTCGCCTCCTGCTATTCTTCGACCTGGTGGAGTTGGAATTGACGAGCTACGAACTTGTCCGGGATGGGAGGATGTTAAAATCGGGTATAAGGATGGGGCTCTACAAGGCAAAACTGCTCCCCGGGCACCTGGAATGAAATATAAACATTACTCCCCCAAAGCAAGAGTCGTACTTTACGAACCTGGTCAGGACCCCAACTCTGTTATGAACAGAATAATTGCCGATATCAATAAACAGCCCGAGTGGGCAAATGGGTCAGCTGCTATTGGTGTTGTCCGGACAAAGACCTGGAAGAAGGGACTAGGAGTCTCTCAAGTGTCGTTATCCAATGGTGAAAGTTGCGAAGCTACGACCTCCGCTATAGGTTCAATCCTTGATATACCTGTTGAATGCGACTCAATTAATGCGCCTTCACACCGTATCAATATGCTTGATATTTATTTGGGGCAAAATACCTCATCAATTGCACGGGGCTTATTTTCTGCCCTTCGCAGTCTTGATGAGAGGAACGTACCTGTTATATACGTTGAGGGAATATCAGACACCGAAGGGGATCTTGCAGCCGCTGTGATGAATCGCCTACGAAAAGCAGCAGAGGAAGAAGTCAAGGTGTCACATTGAATAGAAGATGGCTGGAAAATACACGGTTACGAAAGCACAATGAGGAATTATAGGTTAAAAAGCACTTAAAATATTATTTGACCGGTTGGTTTGCATATTTATGGGAATAGATACAAAGGGGTTGGTTGGCCAGGACATGGACATCAAGATAAATACACTCCACGACGTAATGATACTCGTTATTTAACCCTTTCTCAAAACCTATCTATATAATGCATATGCTACCATACGATAATGCAAGGCCTGTCTATTTCTTTTTACCCCCCTTAGCTGGCTTCTTTCCTTTGCCTTTCCCTTTGTTTTCCGTATTCTTGGGTCCAACACTTGCACTCGAGCCAGCAGCGCCAGCGACGGAAACGATAGTGAATCCGCCAACAGGCAATGTATTCATAACTTCAACATCCCTCCAGGCTTTGATGCAATCTAGCTCCATGGAAAGCAGCTCATTCGCATCTTTCGCTTTTTCATCAGTTTCCACGTTCGTCTTCTTAGTTTCGTCAGAGTCACTCATACGTGCAGCTGGTTTCTTCCCACTGGACCCTGACTGTATAACAGTTGCATCGTGAATCCATTTACCAAGGATATCTTTAATTGCTTTTCCCTTCTTGATCTTTCCAGGTTGCAATTTTGCGCGGTACTTGTACTGCCCCAGAGCTGTCCAAGGAGCGCACACGGGGATGGCGGCTTCGATCTCATCACCGCTCACAGGAGTACCGACCAGAGCCGGGAGTATCGAGAAATCAAGCTTATGTTCTTCTCCAGAAGCATCCTCGACGGAGTTTCGTGTAAAAGCCTCTTGCTGGCGTTTTACAGCCTGCAGAGCGCGTTCATGTTGAGCTCTTCGTCGTTCTTTTTGTGCTTCACGTTCAGCTTCGATGTCAGCCTTTGTTTTTGGTTTGGTGGTGGGAGTCGAAGGCCCAGCAGCGGATCCTAGTAAACGGAGCGCCAGATTCCTATCTTCTTCATCTTGATCCTTGTATTTGGTAGCCAGCTTCTTTGCCTTTCCTCGCTTACCACGGACTGGTGGCTTGGATTTCTGTGTCCCTGATGAGCTGATGACTGACGGTGTTGATGACCGTGACTCCCGAATGGCAGAAGAAGTAGCCAGTCTAGATTCATCGTTAGACTCTCCAGAATCCTCGGTCTCCTCTGCATTCTTAGATGGACCTTCTACAGGCTGATTTTCTGCCTGTGAAGCCTCATACTTGTCTGCTTCCGTAACTTGCGCTGCATTTGAATCCAAGGAGCCCTCAACATGTATAGATTGCAGCTGTTCTCCTAGGGGCGCAACTCTCTCATCACTTATATCCTTTTTGGCATCCTCGGACTCTACCTGGTGTTCATCCTCTTGCTCTAGAGGAACGTCCTCTTCTTGATCCGATTGGTTAGCTTCAGACTGGTCCATATCGGCGGTGCTGGAAATCGGTTCCTCATTTGTTACATCATCCTCTGGCGCAGACGGTAGAGATTTTGTGTGGTTCTGAAGACTCCGATTCGAAATTTGGAATAACACGGCAAATCCCAGTACTATCTGTCCAGGAGGTATATGATTTTTCTCGCCTTTTATCATGAAATGACCGGCCTTGAGGATGTCACCCGTAGAAGTCATCTTCGACACCTGCGACGCATGAACCCACCATCCTCCCATGGCTGCCTTGGTATCCCAAGCCTTTGATGAAGCTACAGTGTATGCACTTGCCTGTGAGATTGTGTTCGGGGGAATGGGGTCATCGGGGGCATCAGGTTTATTCTTGACAATCAATGGAACACCTCCGTCCAAGTCGGTATGCACGTATATATCTCCCTTTTTCAGGTATCGTTGAAAAAGTATCTCGTCTTGCTGATGGTCTCTCCCCCTATGATGTACATCAGTATAATGGCACCGGGTAACTATTGGAAGATCATGTGCTTCTACTTACCCTATAACGAGATAGCCATCTGAGGAGATGAAAAAGAAAAATTTCTCAAACCACGTTGGGTTTCTGGTCCGACGTAGGACTGGCTTTTCCTGCTTCAAAGCCATCTTAAGGTCTGCCTTAACCTTCCTCTCAGTGCTTTTGATGGCTTTTGTGGAAGCCTTCAGCGTTTTCTCTTCCTTCACAGCCGCAATTTTCTTCTCATCATAGTATTGTCGGGCATTGGCCCAGGGAGAGATTCCCAAGTCGATATCGATACTTAGCCGGGTATCTTTCTTCTCTTTCTTCTCCTTTAGGGGTTTCGCCGAGTGTTTCTTCTGGCTGGGTCTCTCATATTCATCGTCGCCATACCCATCATCATCATCCTCCTCCTCCTCTTCCTCAGGCTCTTCTTCCTCCTCTTCTTCCTCGTCATCTTCGGTTCCCCCTTCATTCAATAACACAGTTATTGTATTTTCGTAGAGTTTAAGAGGCAACTTGATAGACTGGGCAACAGGATTGCCCTTCCCCTGTTCCATCTCGATCAGCCTAGCAATCTCGACCCAGTCCATACTCTGTGCCACTAGACCATTGACAGCATTCATTGCTTCCTCTACCCGAGGTAAATTTGTCTCGATAGCACGAGCTTTTCGAACATGAAATTCTTGTTTTTCCTTCAGAGCATTAACCCTCTTCTCATGTTCCCGTTTAGTGCTTTCCAGTTTCTTCCTTGCAGCATCTTCTTTCTCTGTCAAGCGAGATTCGAGTTTTTGAGCTTCTATCGAAGAGAAATATCTATCGACGGCACTGTTGAAATTTCCAAAGCGAAGTATAGTTGTGTTTGGGGCTTCTTTCGACTGACTAGGTTCAAAGGGGTGGAAGTCTCTAAATTCAGCCATAGGTGCCGTCTGTGTGCCGCCCCCGACATCCGAAGCTGCGGGTGCAACATTCTTCGCTATAATATAACCGGCCTGCTGGGTATCAGAGGACAATGCGGTATTGACTCGATCTGCCTCTTGAAGTACCTCCATGAGTTTCTGAACCAAATTATTATCTGTCAATATTTGCGCTGGTTGAAGCTTTGAATCGAACCCGACTACATTGAAGGCATGGTCAAGGAGTGTAGGTGGGTATTCTGGGAATCCGAAGTATAAACTGCGCTTTAACACCTTCGAACCGTTATCTTGTTCAAGGGCCGACTTGAGCCTTTCGATGGTCAACGGAGGTATGCCATTATAGTTCAGCTTGCTCTCTAATCTGTATGTCATGCCGATTTTCACCTCCTCGATATCGCTTCCGGGGGCAACCTGACGCAGAAGGGCAACGATTCCATACTTTGCGTCTGTCAAAATAAGATTCCCTGCTGCAAAGAACTCGAGGTATAGCCGGAACATGCCATCACTAATCTCAAACTCAATGATGCGGTCTGTTCCTATCTGGCGGACACCGGTGATTCGTCTAGTTTTGAGGAGTTTCCGGAGCCGGCTAACGAAATGAGAGGGCGCATCTGCGGTCGTGCGTGATGACTCCGTAAGGTGACAGTGGAATCCAGCGTTGATGATAAGCTGCTTTTTTATATCGGGGAGAGCGAGCTTGAAAAGGAAAGTGCGCTATACAGTAAATTAGCAATCAGAGCTAAAAAGGACTCCTCCAGGGCTTTGGGGTTTGAGCATACTCCGGAGATATCATAGATGTTTGCGATTCTCAGGCCAAGGATATTGGCGGAGAGCTCACGGCTTATGACCTACGAGCAGTTAGCATAGAAGACGTAGGGAAATATAGTGGTGCGTACCTTTACATCCAAGGAAGAATATCTCTGCTTCATTGTTAATTATGTCTGCTCGTCGTAGTTTGCGCAAGGAAACGCCTTTGGTACCAATCGATGAGCAACCAAATTGACCAAAAATAAATATTAGCTAGTTAAAAGTGACGTAGGCGGGGCTGACAAAGCACACGACCAAGTTGATACCAAATGAAGGATCCTAGCAAGAATTCACCATATAGATCTAAGATCTCTAGATAGATTTGATGATGATGTGCAGGAGGTTATAAACTCTCTTGTGGTTCTTGTGGCCAAAATTAAGATAGTGTAGATGGAGTGGACCAAAGGAAACTGAATATCAACCAAACATGCCCAAGGGACACATAATTATAGCCGTTGACAAACATACACGCATTTTTGTGCGAGGAAACATGTAGAAAAAGACATTCATTCAGAATCAGCCGTTACGCCGTTATGCCCACCAAAAGATAGAGCGTCAAAAGAGAAACAGTACACAGGCAAAGAGGAAAAAAATCTATGCCGAACCTCCTCAAGTCATGAAACACAGAGACAAAGACAAAAATCAGTGCAGAGTTGCTATTATAGACCCTGTCGTAGCTGTTCTGCAAGCCGTCTCTTCCCAAACTCCCAGGCGTTCAACAGTCCCTGCTCAGACAGATCTATGTTCTTCATGTTTGGTGCATCCTGAGCAGGAGCCTTGCTGACACGGGAGGCAACCTGGACAGGGTCCGTCTCGAGGATAATGCCGTCGTCAATAATCTCGTCAATTGCAAGAGAGACAAGGTCATAGTTCTCGATGATGGTGCGCTTATCCGTTGAGCCCCTGTATACGTCAGTTAGCTACGTTCACATTTCTTTGTGTAATGACGAGCCAATGCATACCCTAGCAGTATACTGAGCGAGTCTCTGAGAGTAACAACGACATTATAGAGCATGACTTCGTTCTCTTCTGCGCTGCCCACGATGTAAAGCATGACATCGCCCTCGAACTTGAAGACGACCACACGGTTGTCGTACAGTATTATATCGCTCGACTGCTTGTTCGTCTTCTCCAGCAGGCCCTTTTCGAACGACTTCTGGTCTTTAACGGCTGGGTAGGGGTTTGCACCGGGGTAGTCAGTCGAGTCCGCTGCTGCGCCAGCTGGAGGGTGCGGCGCAGAGTAGTACTTTGCGAATATCCGCGAGCAGTCGTCGGTGGCCATGATCAGGACCGCATTGACGGAAAACAATGAGAGCGGAGCGAGCATCTTGACTTGGTGTCTTCAATCTTTCCTTTGTCTTCGGCTTTTTTTCTTCTGGTTTTCTTGTCTTGTCAACGGCTTGTCTGGTTGTTCGTTGCTTGTTCCTCTTAGACTTGTTGGCTTCAAGGTGTGTCACGTGATATCAACTTTTCCAGTCGAACTACCAGGGAGAAAAATAACACGACGAAGACGATGACGACGAGAAAGACGGACGAGTTGATAGTGAAATACGTGCTTGTTGTATAATTATTATTACTATACCTGCTATAGTAGTAAAACAATACTTATATGTATAGCCGGATACACCATGGCTGCGGCAGTTATGTCTGCTGTACCGGTATCACTCTACCTGTCATACTGCAATGGATAGACTAGCTACCAGGTTGGCTATAGCAGAAGCCCGATTTCATCAATATGAAAAGGGTTTTGTTAATGTCCCCGGCCTACTAGTTCCAGACATTTGTTACATGCCCTTGAGCTATCCAAGACTGCACTCAGGACAGCCTTCGCGGCCTCTTCTTCATCCCCCCTAAATCCGCCAGCATATCTTTTCAGCCTGTCTGGATGCCATCTCAGCTTTTCCTGCACCATCTGCGCTTTCAGTGCGTTCAACTTAGCCCGTGAAGCTCCCCGGATCCGGATATCAAACACTATACCCTCCCGTGGCTCTTCAGGGGCAAGTGTCTCTCTCCTGATACTATCTGCATGCACATAGGTTGGATACAGACCAAAGGCCTGCACGAAGAAACAAAAGGCATTCCACTTCCTGAGCTGAAAAATATCCTCGCTGATTTCCTTCGGTAATCGGCGGTGTTTCATGAGTCCGCGGCTTGGTTGGGAATTTCTGGATAGAGGACTAGACTTGAGGCTGCTAGTCGGCCATGGTATGGTCCAGTGTTGACCATTTGATGTGCTCTTTGTGTCAAACACTGCTTTCCACGCAGTGTTATACTCCTCGATAGCCGCCCTGGATGAGCTTGGAGTTGGGTTGTCCGTGCTAGGCTGCCTTGTCTGGCTTGTATATACTCCTCCACTGAAGTTGTGAGTCCGGGGTCCTTGCTCCCACTTATTCTCCCAGTGAACATGCCTCTCCTTCGCAAGGTATTCCATCATCTCCGCAACAGCACCGCGTAGGCGCTCAAACTCGAGTTTCTCACATCTCATCATCCCTTTCAACTCCTTAACCTCTTCTTTCAGTCTCTTCACAGTTTCATGTAGAGATTGATCCGCATCATCTTCCTTCTCCCCGGAACTCTCGCCCACATTCTCAAACAATCCCCCTAGACCTGACTCCTGGTGGCCCCCCATAACCGTCTCAGTACCTTCCATCTCCTCTGTACTTGACACTTCGTCTTCTGCGTCTACTTTATCCACGTACTCATCACTGTCCTCGTCAACGGACATATGCTCGCTGGCACTCGTCTCCCCCCAGCCCGGTACATGTCCATTCATAAAACGGGGAGTACTGTTAAACTGCGGAGCGAGAGGTGGCTGGAAGCTCAACGGCACCGTCCTTCTACCCCCTTCATTCAAGTCAACAAAGACAAAGGGTTCTGTGGTATAGCTCTGGCTCCAGGATGGTGTATCGAGCGGAGGGGGCGGAGGGGGCCCTGTGTCGAGTACATGGCAGATATCAACAAGTCTTGGAGTGTTGGTTGGCTGCATCCAGCTGGTAGCGAACGGCCGTCTCCCTCCGTGGTGATGTTGTCGTTTATAAAACGAAGACGGGTGTCTTGCTGAAATATAATCCTCCAAACCTGGTAGTCCATCCCACATCGTTTGCCTCGTTTCCATTTTAAATAGTATTTTCTTTCGTTCAGGGGTTGTCTGTATCAAAGTGTGTTCATTATGGCCTGCCAAAGAGCGATGCGATGAACGTTTGAACCAGCATACGCCTTATGAGCAACTCTCGAAAGGACAGATTTACGGCTAAATGCCAATTTACAACAATGCAGCCTTATTGTTTGCTCAAGTCACACTCAAGTACGACTTGTGTAATGTCAAACAACGCCCGACACGACGAAGCGGCTTCGAAAGGCGCCGACTATTGTGGCACCGCATCAATACATGTTTTATCCATCATACATGTATCTACAAGGAATGGATGCTTCTGCCGGGCAAAGAAGACGAGAACTGCCGTTTCATTTTCCACACATTGTCTTGGGAATGTGCGCAGTAGGTAATATGCAAGACTGATATACCAAGAAAGTAACGTGCCATACGAATGGAAGCATGAAAGGCAATGCGACGATGTGATGAAATGCAAGACCAGCAACCAACGAGAAAAAGGATGGGGGAAAATGGGCATACCATGGGTATAGATATAGGTAGATCAAATTGCGCAGCCGAGCTTGCATTGCAGTCCTAAATCAAAGGCATTAGACAGGAATATATTTATGTGAAAATGGCATCAGAGGGGAGGGAATAGGACAAATGAAAGATGACAAAGAAAAAAAAAAAAGGGGGGGGGGGGGGGGGGGGGTGGGGGGCTAAACAAGGAAAATAACATAGTAAATGACATAAAACTGGGGGATATCTAATACACTATTTCGAAATAGATCTTTATCTCAAGCCAAGACGAGGTAAGGCATAAATCAATAGTGGCTGCGTGGATAGATGGATGGATAGAAAGGGATCAAGACGATGGCCGCGAGTTGCTGGAATCAGACATCGTGAAGCTGCCGCGGTTGAACCATCCTGCCCAACTGCCTCTATTTGCCTTCTTGCGGGCAGCTTCATCAGCCAGGGTATCGGCATCCATCTCCTGGTTCTCCTGCACCAGGCGTAGTGGACGCAGCTTGTTCTGCTGCATCACTGCCCCAGTATAGTTGTTCATTCCAGGGCCGGAGCGAGGAGGACTGGCTGATGCAGCGCCGCCTTCCATAGACCCAACATCTCCACTTCTTTCACTGGTCAAGCTTGCAGCACCGCTGAAACGGCGGTCAGCACTGCGCGTGGAGATAGAGGTGCCCGTACCGCCTGGTGCAGTGGCGACAGATGAGCGCTTGGATGCTGCGCCAGGAGCAAAGAACGGGCCGTTGTTTGACAGGGTCGGGCTGATGCCAGGGCTGAGGGGGCCTGTGGATGGGGAGCGGCCGCTGGGAGGGCCGCGGTACATCTGGCTGATTACGCTTGCCGTTCCAGCTGCAGCGCCGGCATTGTCCAGCTGGTCTGATCTTGTTCGACGGTGCTGGACGGTGCGAGAGCGTCCAAGCGGGATTCTAGGAGCAGTGTCGGGGTTTTCATGAGCGGATGGAGTGGGCGGTTCTGGGGGGGAGGACTGAGGAGGGGAGTGAGTAGATGTAGATTGTGTGAGTTGACTAGGTGGTCTCTGTCTATTGTTAGAACGGGCAGGTTGGCCGGATACAACAGATTTGGCCTGCTGAAGGAATGATTGCTGTTGCTCTGGTGCTTCATCTTTCTCAGCGGGAGGCGGTGGAGGAAGTTCCTTGTCCTTGTTTCCGCCCTTGGGGCCTGTGTTATCGGCATCACTTTTGTCGAGTATATGTTCGAAGCCTTCGTGTTGTAACAGTCTGCCAATAATTCGTTCAATGTAAAGGCTCAGAGCCTTGTTCTGGTCCTTGTAACTCTTCAGCTCGCTCTCCAGCTTGCGTTTCTCGTTGTCTTCACCTCCCTCGCCGACGGAATCTAGTTCATCAGCAAGCGAAGAGCCACCGGTCCCGTTGGCGTTAGCAGGCGGGTGGGCCTCGTGCATAAAGTCTCCCTTGGTGAAATCCCCATTCAAGGTCCGCTCGCTGAGCAGAAGCTGGTAGCTTTCGTTGTCTTCCATTAGACGGGCGTTGGCCATGCGGGCTTCAAGGAGTTCTCGTTCTAGTTCCTGCTGACGGCCTCCTCCCAGATTCTCCATTTCAACGATTTTGATCTGTGCTTCGGCCAGCTCGAGCCGTAGGGATTCGATGAGCTTGTCTTTTTGAAGTATCAGTTTCGAGTTATTTCTGGATGGACTACGTTGAAGCTGAGATGAAGATGGAGCAAATTGTCCGTTTTCTATGTCTGGAGATGAGCGGTTACGGAAACTCGCTGCGTTTCTGTCAGTCATGTTATGAATAAAAGGGGGCAATGTAAAGGGATACTGACGAGAGCGAGAAAGGTTGCGTTCGCCGTCAACTCCCATTCGAAGGTCCTTTTGAGCAATAGTCTCCTTTAACCGCTGGATGGAAGCCTCGAGCTCTTCCTCCCTCTTTGCCTGGTTCTCTTTGTCTGCCATCATCGACTCACGCTCGGTCTCATGCTTTTGCTCCAGATCCCGGATTTGTCTGTGAAGCTCTTTGATTTCGTCACGCAGCGGGTTTATCTGGCCGTCTTTCTCATGTGCCTGTTCCTCGAGCCGGGTCTGCTCGCTGACTGCCTCATCGAGCCTCATCTGCAGCAGGCCGAGCTGTTTTCGATACTGGTCAGCGACAGTCTCCGCCTTTTGGACTTGATCCTTGAGATCTTCGATCAGGGCCGTGCTGGCTGCCCGGGCTTCCTCGTCCTCATTATTATGGGGGTAGTGCCGTGGTACGCTGCTCATGCTTAAGTTGGATCGGCCCAACCCAGCCCTCCTTGCGGCTGCGGCACGGGCTGAGACTGGACCTGGTGACCCTTTGGTCGAGGGGGAGCGGCCAACGCCATTCGTCGCCGCGCCAGGAGACTGCGAGGAGACCTTTCGCGGTCTGCCTGGGCTCGTCTGAGCATCAGTCGAGGGCGTCCTGCGGCCAGTTGGCGTAGGGGACGATGGTTTCTTGCTCGCCATGATGTTCTTGAGTTGTACCCAGTAACACGAAGCACGTCGAGATAGGTCACGTAGCGGGCCAACTCAGGCCGGTTCGTGTCTGGAGGAGCCCTGTAGCTAGTTTTTAGCAGTTGAGACGAGACAGACAGAGAGGCTGCCCGTGTCTGATGCTGTGATTCTCGTGTTTCGGTCTGCAGTTGCCGTATATTTATTATATATATGCGGGTGCCCGTCTAGGAGGAGGCGGCTGCGCCGTGCTGCTGGATGGTGACTGGAAAGCTATGCCGCCATCTCGAGTCGCTGCTCATTGCGTGGCTCGCGCGTCCGTTTGCCTGTCTGCTCGTCCGCCCGCCTGTCTGTCGTCTGTGCCAGCGTGAATTCAACGCTGCCGCTGGTCTTTTTCACCACCTCCTGGCTGCGACTTCGTAATTAAACCCATGAAAATCCGCAGATTAAGCGTTTGGCCGCGCCAATCAGAGGTGGCAAAGAGGATCGCTGACTAAGCGAGGAGATGAAAAGGAGACGCCGTTGAAGCGGCTGAAGTTGGCTATTTTTATATTCAAAAATATTCAAAGACCAAGGCAAGGACAAGGATTGAGAGGCAGACAATACTGCGGGTGCGCTGGGTAGAGAAGAGATGGCGGCGTGAAGGGGATATGGTGAAGAAGATGGGCCCCATAGAGGCAGCTGGCTACAAAGGTGGACTGGCTACGACTGATAGTTATTGATAGCATAGAAATGACTAACTAATTGGATCAGTAACTACCAGTGATTAAAGCAGAAGGGATAGCCCCGCAAAGTATCATTTCTTATCGACAGCCTCTCATGGCTTCCAGCCTGTCCTCCAGAAGCGTAGAGGAAACATCCTAGGTTTCATTAGGCCGTGGAACCCTGAAAGTCAATGATTCGCCTGATTCAGGAGTTCCAGGCGTCCCAGGAGTGCCAGAAACACTAGCCGTATTATTGCCATTAACAGAGGTTTCAGCGGCAGTGGATTGATTCGCTGCAGTGGCAGAGACCTGAGCGATCCTGGGAGCGTCAGACTGAGGATGCTCCTCAGCGGTTGCGGTCGTAAGGACCCTTTCGAGCTCCTTCAGATCTTCCAATGGATTGAATGGGAGAGTCACTTTGGCTAATGGATCATGGTTGAGAGACTCCACATCCACATGGCAATCTTGGCCTAGTGTCATCTTACCCCGGGCAATGGGGGTGGCAAGGTTGGTGAGTAGGCCCGGCCCGAAGGCAATGGGCGCATTCGGGTCCCTGAAAACTTTGACCTCAAACTCCTTGCCTGGGCGGAAGAAGAAGTGTGCATCTTTCTTGATCACCTCGTTTTTGTTCGGGAAAGGTTGCATGGTGGCCTCGCGATAGTCACATAGCGTCAAGATCAGTCCTTGACAGATATTTTCGTGGACCACCTTGGCCAACTCGGTATCAAGTTTCACATTGCTGGCAGAGAGACATACGTTTGGCGCCTTGAGGAGGACGTGTGAAATGTGGTGCTGCTCTTTTGTCCCGTATAGGTAGAATGGCATATTGTGCTGCGGGTAGGAATGGTCCCGGTTGGCCGAGTTGAGCGGACGACTCTTTATAATGCGAGTAGCCTTGATGGTGCAGTCCATATTCTTCATCACACTAGTGACAGCGATGATTTAGCCAGTGTTCCTGATAGCAAACTAAAACTGTTAGTTAAGAAGAAACTTACTCGTCTTTCTGTCTTATCCCAATAATGCCCTTGAGGGTTGGGTTTTTGCGATTTTTCACATCCTCAACAAAGCCTTCCAGATCAAACGGGTCCTTGGATTGGAATGCTATCTCTCCAGACTGATGTTCCTTCAATTCCACATATTTCTTCATTTCATTGTCGTCCAATTCAGCCGCAAGAATAATCTGCTGACGCCGGGTAGCTTGGTGGAAGCTGGTATGATAGTCCAGGAAGATCTCATCCGTGCCTCTCATCAGGAAAACACCTTGGTATTTGCCTCGCTTGTTACGCTCCCAGACCTTCTTGACTTCCTCTTCGATTACTTCCTCGAACACGTTCATCAAAGAACAAATGAACTTTTTATGAGTGGGGAAAGGACTCATCACCACATTGCGAAGAACAAACAGGTCCTCAGCGGCTGGGGCTAGATGCAGCCGCTTCATGAAGTTCTGAGCACACTCCCCGTAAAGCTCAGAGGAGAACTGAGTTGAAGTCAGGTAAAGTGGGATCTCTCTTGGGTTTCCGGCAGAGCTGGTAATGGAAAGGCGGTCCACAATTCTCTTCATAAAGTAGTTGGCTTCTTCAAGATCATCGTTCAGAGTGCCATCCTCGCGGTACCAATTTAGAGCGAAAGCATTGATATTCAGATCAGATCCTAGCTCACGAAGATATTTCATGTCTTCCTTGTTCTTCATGAGTTCCTCATTGGTCTTCTCAAGTATATTTTCTTGGACGTGCTTCCTCCGCGCATTTACTTCTGGAGATAAGGAGCCATAGCCAGCATGCTCCATCGGGAGTCTGTTGAAGGGAATGCATATGTAATGCTTCTTCTTTTCGGCTGGATCAGTCTCTTCTTCATAATGCATAGCTGCATAATGGGCAGACAACTAGCAAAAAATTATCAGCGTCCGTCAAAAGCCATAAACTCAGGCCGAGCCTTTATCTTTGGCTTACCCGTGCGCTCGTAAAAGCTGCTTCTCCTAGTAGTCTGCCATAGCCGTTACGGTCAAGGCCAATAGTTGTATTTGAGAACCATGTAGCCATGGCGGCTGCTCCGGGTTTACTATGAGCCAAGGGATGTAAGCAGCTAATTCTTATGTAGGACGAAAGTATGAGCTACAGCATATGCGCAATGGGGATACTTACCTGCCCTCTACACCATAAACCCCAATGTTTTCCGAAGAGCCTTGGGATAGATACGGACTAGTCCATGTCACTAAGAACCTCATGCGCCCATCACGGTAAACCAAACTGCCAGCCGGATAAGGGATGTATCCTGCTTTGTGAGGATCCACAGTAATAGAGTCCGCATCCTTGAGTGCAATCATATTCGTCAGAGTGCTTTCCTTCAGTGGAAGCGACGGAACAATCTCTATGACTTCCTTTCCGCCAGTCTCACTGCCACTCCCTGGCATCTGTGGAGCCTTGGCATTTTTAGGAATCATGGTGCTGAAGTACCCTCCCCATGCAGCATCAGCATGAACTAGGAATGACAGCCCTCTCCGCTGGAAGTCCGCTCTCATATCAAGAATGTCTCTCAGCGGATCCGCAGCGCCTTCTTCGGTAGAGCCCATGATGGCTACTACTGCTAACACTGCTTGCTGTTCCCTTAGGCAGCGATTGAGTTCCATCTCAAGGTCCTCAAGGGCAATATGGCCATCCAAGTCAAGCTTGATTCCGTGCATGTTTCCCGACCCAAGCCCAGCGATGGCTAGAACATGTTAGCTGTAGACGAGAAGCAGCTGAATCGAGTCAACTTACCGCCTCCTTTTGGCCATGAATAGTGTCTAGTCTTGGCATGGAAATACTTCATGGGCTTGTTAATACCAAAGTAGGCTTCAAGGCGGTCTTTGCCGACAGTTTGAATGCTAAAGGGATTCAAAGCTTCCTCGAGATACTTAGATGTAATGCCAAATTGTTCATGTAGGCGATCAGCCAGGCCCAAGATTGTCTGAGAACTAAGGTTGAGCAGCTCCCATGGAGTAAGGTCTTTGAACAGTTTCTCATTACCAACACAAGGGGCAACCTTGAACTTATCAGCAATAAACCAAAGCGATCCTTCTTTCATTGCCCAGGACAAGGTGAGCGGGTAAAACTTCAAGTTGCGAGCTATTAAACGGGTTAGACACGCCTTAAATGCAGTGAAGTTCAAACCACATACCAACCCAGATGGATTCTAAGTTCGCCACGGTGCCATCACAAGTAATGTGTCCCCATGAAAGGGGGAGGCTCTTATTTTTTGGATCAATGTTATATCCAAACATTTCAGCCAGTTGTTTCCCAACTTCTAGCTCGATCACGGTGGTTAACGGACTTGCTTCCACAGCGACATTGTTCGGGTTGTAGATCATAGTCATAAAGTATCCCAGAAGCCCAGGAGTTGTCAAGTCGGTACACATGTGGCCCTCATATCTTGGGGACCAGAATGGGACCGATTGTTTTCCCAAAATCTGAGAAGCTTTTTTGACAGCGTTGTTGAAGTTCAAGACAATTTGCTTGTACTGCTCCGACTTTGTGACATTTTCTGTAATAAATACCTAGTATTGTAATCATTTAGCCAGGCAAAACAAAGGAGGATGATTGCTGGTACCTCATCATTCTCAAAATACTTGTTCCTAGCATCCCGTAACTCATCTAGGATTGTTTTAATATTGATCCTAAAGCTGTCCAGATTCTCTGCCTTGGGCCCAATGAAATAGGAGCTAATGACATCGTGAGGATTGAGTTTAGTGGGCGGTGCGGACGACATGTTGGATCTAGGATAGCAAGATCAGTCTTGGGTAGAGGTTTGTGAATTGAATTGTCGTATACAACACAGATTTCGTAGAGGGAGACTCGATATTTATCCTTTTCATTGCGAACTCTTTATAATTGAGAAACAGCCCCTCGCAATTTGGGTGGAACTAGATACCGCCCCAGATAGGTCGATCGTCATGAGGGGTATTCGTTGGCCTCCTGGCCCGTCTTTGCGTCTGTAGATGCATGAAATACAGGGTAGTTCAGCTCTCTTAGTAAATAAAGCGGGCCGTTCCTCTAGCGTCTAGTGGCTCCAGCAAGAAGACAAATCCCAAGAAGATAAGAGATGATCTTTGCAACCAGTAGGACTAACTGGGTAGGTTCCATGCGAGCAGCATCCTTCACATGAAGAAAACCCTGTCCACACACAATAGATGGGGGGCAATGGCGTAAGAGGAGGGCTGAATAAGTGGATATACATGCTCCTGTTAAATGATATGCGGGGTATCCTATAAACATATGCAGAGTACTGTCTTGATGTGATGCGCCATAGTCTCGCTTGACTCAAACGGGCAGTTAGGGTATAATTAAGGCCTTCTTCTTGCTGTTGAATTGTCGGGAAGGGGGGTATCGGAGCTATTGGTATCGATCTGATAGTACTGGTGATGTTCGACATTGTAGGTGACCTACGAGTACAAGATGGCAGGCTGGATAGAATTCAATGATCATCCTTCGGTGAAGTACCGCATATTTGCTGGCAGGGCATCGCTTGATGAACGAGAGGTTTAGAGTAGATGAAGATGTAAAGGACATAGATGGTTTGCAGCAGTGGGAGGAACCACTCAAATTCGGTAATGCGTGCATAATGCAAACCACGTCATCGCCAAGCGGGGAAAGGCCGATTCAAAATGATATTATTATTTTTTCCTCATTTTCGTATCATTATGCACGAACAAATCTTTTCATTGGTATCGCAAGTTGGGGGCGGGTTCTCTAACATAGATGAGGCTGGCTGGTAACATCTTCGATAGCCCTATGTCGATGCAGAAGTCGAGTGGAGAACGGGAGCGGCGTTCGGGATGCATAGTCCAGGGGAACAGGGGGTAGAATCCCCACTTCTCGCTTGGATGTTATTTTGATACGGGCCATGAGTTTCAAACAGGTCAGATTGCCATGTCACTGTGCTGTTTGGGCCAATGTGTCCCCAACCAAGCGGTGATAGAACGAATCCCTCTGGAGCAAGGAGTCATTCGAGCAAAGCATACTGCGAACAGGAAAAAACTTGGCAAAACCTGTATTGTTATTGGCAAAATACGCTTGCCTTTCCTGCCTAAAAAACCCCGTTTCCCCCGATAGCACTTGCTTTAGTTAGAAGGATTCAAACTCACTGGGTCATCATACGCCGGCCACTCATTTTCAGGGTCACAATTTGACAGAAGTCAGCAGTACCTCAAGAAATTCCTCATACATCATCTATATCCCGGGGTATCCTGTCGCTATATTCACTGAAACTAGATAGATGAAGGGGTGGTGCAGTAACTCTGGGTAATACGAGTAGACGAGTTGACAACAGTCCAATCGATTGACCTCCAGTTATGAATAATTCACAAGTATAACTGGGAGAAATGGAATAAACCAAGAGTGAGAACGCCTTGTATCATATATGGATGAGCATCGCCTGAGAGGGGGCTGAAAATGACCTTGAAACCTCCAATGAAAATAAACACGGAGGAAGAGGCATGGCATTAAAGGATGATCAATATCAACACCGTCGAAAACATATAAATATTATAGCTAAATGTACTTTAAGTGCATGGTTCTTTGCGTCGGTCGATGTCTTATGTGATTCAAATTCCGGGAAATATTTGAATAAGAAGATAGAATCACTTACCAACTCCCAGTTAGCATTAGCCTGGACTTGCAAATGCGGCAGGATATTCCCTATTTCAAGATGCACGACGCTAGCTTTACCAGCTTGATCCTATCCGAATAGCCGATTTCAGTCATTGTAATCAGCATCGTCGTTATAATGCCTATAAAGCAAAAGGGAAATAACCGCGGAGCATTGTTCCAGGAGTCTCGGACTATTATTAAAGCCACATTGGTGCCGAATAAGGTCTATAGGCTAGAAAAGGTATAGGGTAGACACCTGACAAAAAACATTGTCATAAAGGAATTCAGCAAACGTGGTTACTGGTCAGTCTCATTCGGGGTCTGGAGGGATCTCAAGAAGATCTAATTTCATGCAGTCAAAAAATGCATAAGATATTAATCTCTTAGGATGCCTGGTGTGTAAACTCAGAGGTGTGTAAGGCCAGGAGTGGCCGGGTATATTGGGGCCAGCCTCCATTCCCTCGGCTTCCTCAAGGTTTTGCTTTCCCGGACGCTCTTCCTGGAAAAATATATTGGATAGAGGCAACGCTGATCATGTTATCCAGCGGCTACTGGCGATAGTGACCAGCCGTGGTAGGAAATATGCAGCCCAATTGTGTCAATCGCTAGACATAGTTGCTGGCGGTATCAAACTGACAAAGCCGTATAGACCTTGCTATTAGATTGCAGTCACCACTGTTACGAAGAAGACGAATTCAATAGAAAGTGTAATAAAGGAAACAAAAAGAAGAAGAAGAAGAGAAGATGATGATGATGATGATGACGAAGAATGTAAGAGAAGTTGACAGCAAAGAGCGACGTTGGAAGTTGGAGGTTGGATATTGCCTGTTTGGGCGCCAAGTTAGGGTTTAGGGCTTGCTTGGAAATCAGCCCGCTTATTAATTATTTCGGTGTGTGTGTTCGACTTTCGCCCCGAAACGGGAAAGAGAAACTTCTTCTCTTCGCTTCTCTGCTGCGTCGAGAATACTAAAACCACTACCGTAACCTCTTCCAGTCTTGTCGTTCGCAGGAAGTGCTCGTTATACACGCTCGAACCGATAAGATGGCGCGCCGTCCAGCAAGATGTTATCGCTACTGCAAGAACAAGGTGGGTTGAACCTTTTGAAATGCTCCCGTTATCATGCGCTCCCGCGGATTGCACTCGGAAGAAAGAGAGGGGTATCAGGATATCTCGTGGATATGCGCCTGGATTCGCTGTTGCCAGAGATACAGAATGGTGGATGCCGCATTCGAGATGCAACCGTGGCAGCATTTTTTTGGACGGATACGAATACACGTTGAGAGGAAGGATATGAGGCTAACTTGGAAATATCTAGCCATACCCCAAGTCCCGTTTCAACCGTGGTGTCCCAGACCCTAAGATCCGAATCTTCGATCTTGGACGTAAGAAGGCCAACGTGGATGACTTCCCTCTCTGCGTCCACATGGTCTCCAACGAATATGAACAGCTGAGTGCCGAAGCCCTCGAAGCCGCCCGTATCTGCGCCAACAAGTAAGCTACCAACCACAACCACTCCAATGACCACCTACTATTCGACTGGCATCGGTAAGAAAGAAGAAAAGTACTAACATGATGGGAAACAATCAGGTACCTTGTCAAGATTGCCGGAAAGGAAGGTTTCCACCTGCGTGTCCGTGCCCATCCATTCCACGTCGTCCGTATCAACAAGATGTTGTCGTGCGCTGGTGCCGATAGATTGCAGACCGGTATGCGTGGTGCTTTCGGTAAACCCAACGGCTCCGTCGCCCGTGTCAACATCGGCCAGATTCTCCTTTCCGTCCGCACCCGTGATGCTCACCGCGCCACCGCCGTCGAGGCCCTCCGCCGTTCCATGTACAAGTTCCCTGGTCGCCAAAAGATCATTGTCTCCAAGAACTGGGGCTTCACCCCTCTTCGACGAGAGGAGTACATCCGTCTCCGACAGGAGGGACGTGTCAAGATCGATGGTGCTTACGTCCAGTTCTTGAGAAACAAAGGCCCAGTCGAGACCAACATGCGAAGATTCCCAGATGCTTATGAGAATGTTTCCCAGGAGGCATAGAGCATGAGTTTTCAAAAGCGGGTTTGGGTTTGAGGTTTCGATTTGTTTGCTTGTTTTGATTGAGGCAATACACAACAGTTATCTCAGAAAGGAATAAATGAATCAAATAATGACAAAAAAAATGAGCATAATACTCCCTTTTCTTGCTCATATACGAAGTACCTATGGCTGCTCTGTAAGATGAACGCATGTTTTGAACCGGATATTCGACTGTTTTCACACTGAATTTGTTGGCATGTCTACAAAACGGGTCGTTTCTAGTGGATCACAGTGAGATACTTTGCTCTCGACCATATAGTATTCATGAATATTTAAAATCAGCGTAAGGTCAGCTAATATAGCATTATTATCTATCCAGTAATATATTGGATACAGACAAGGTATGCAATTATATGAGTGGGAAAGTCAAATAATGGCACCGTATGCTGCAGAACTCATTTCGTCTTGTTAGTAACGTTATGGCGAAGGGTGACTTAGAGGAATAATATAGGAATTATATGAGTAAAGAGAGACTCCCATCTAGGTCAACTGCTCCAGTGAGATAAAAATATCAGGTAAAAATAGTCGAGGCCATCACTCCAAGGCACGTCAAACCGAAAAACGCCGATATCCTCACAGACACTCAAAGTTACACGCGGTTATGCAATTCAATGCAGGTCGATAATGAACAAGTTCGAGACACCATGGCAAGTTTAGATGTCTCCCCAGCTGCCCATGCCGCCACCAACAGCTAATGGAGCATTGCTACTGCCAGCACTCCCGCTTATGTCCCAGTAATGCCTGCTGGAGCCGGTTCGTTTTGTTGAAACAGACTTACGAGTACTTTGGCTCTGGCTTGCACAGCTTGGACTAATGGAACCACGCATATGATGGTGGTGGTGGTGATGTTGTTGATGGCGATGGATGCGTGAAGATTGTTGGCGGAAACGCGAGTTTGCTTCCGCACGAGCAACTAGTGGGTGATGCTGGCGGATGATTGCTGCACGGATAGGATCATGTTGACGCTGTCGTTGAGCTCTATGTTGTGGAGAGGTAAGCTCGGTGGTATCGGTGTTATCGTTGGTGCTACTAGCGTCTCCAGTCGCTGTTGCAGCGAAACGATTGCGGAGGTATCGGAACACCATCTTGATGTTTAGTTCTCGTTCCCAGTACTCACGGTCACGTTCGCGGCGTTCTGATTCCGAGAGGATATGGCTAGTTTCAGTATCTCCCTGAGTAGGTGCATCTTCTTCTATGCCCCAGAGTGCTGCGTGCCTGGAAGTTGCAGCATCTTGCATCGTTGGGTGGAAAGTAGGTGATGGCACGGAAGTTGTGTTTTCATGGCTGCTGTGTGATTCACGCCTGGAGGTCATGGCTGACACAGTTGGTGTTGCCGTAGGTTGAGATATAGGCATACCAGCATATTCTGTTGAGGGATCAATGTTGGTCCGCATATATGCGGTGAATGCCCCGGGGTGTTCGTAGATTTGATGGACGAGAATACCGAGTTCTCGAGCAATTCGTTCGAGTAGGCGTTCTTGCCACCACCCGTCCCTTGTTGATGAGCTCATTACGTTGGGAATGGTTTCACCTATGTTGACTGAACTATCGGTGGTTAAAGTGGTGGTTCGTGGGTATCTGTTGCCAGTGAAGGAGCTATCTGGCTGATTTTGAGGTGGAGTACTGTTGGTATCACTGTCAGCTATGTCGGTGACTAGCGATTCTCCAAATATGACGGCGAGAAGAGAGTCATCGATTCCAATGAGACCATTGATGACACTGCGAGTAATTCGTTGCCAGAATGATTCATCCGAATCCGTATCATCACTAGGAGTGGTATCAACCGTGGTATCAAGTGCTGCTTGGCTAGCAGTAAGTGATGCATCCGTCTTGGATGTGATATCTTCCGAGACTATGGATCGAAGTGGGTGCATTGTGTCAGAGTTCTTGCTTTGTGCCCTTTGTTTTCTCTGTCTGCGTCGTCTCGTTTCCTTTTCTATCTCCTGTAACAGCACTTTGCTCTGTTCCATGCGCCACTGCTCGATTCTCTGCCATCTCTCCCTCTCCATACCAATACCCATGGTTTGAGATTCATTAGCAGTGTCCAGATGCCTCTGCACACTCGAGCTGCTCCTCTGCCTTGTTTCCCCAATCCTCCCGGGATTGAACTGTTCATGCTGCCATAACTGCTCTTGTACGTTCACCCCAGAAGGTGAAAACGTTCCCAGTCCATCATGAGCCGGTAGCATGGCAGGGCCGCCGCTCTGGTCCAGCTGTGGGTCTCGAAACGCCTGGAGTCCATCATCGAGACTGTCCAGCTCCGTGACATCGTCCTCCTGCAGGCCTGTGTCCTGAAGTTGCCCTTCCTGGCCTTCTGTCTCTCCGTCATTTCTTTCGCTGTAAAGCGGACCTGACGATTGAGCAGCGGTCTCCAAGGACCCAAAGTCACTCAACCGCGACAGACCAGCTGTCCGGGGCGTTCGTTCAGTAGACGCAGTATGGCTGTGGGCTGCTGTGGACTGGGCCTCTACGGGAGAGAAGAGCACCCATTCCTGCGAGTCCTCCTCGTCTGCCCTGGCGTGTGGCTGGGGTACATTTGGCGGTGTCGTCAGAGCACGACCGGAACCTGGATACGGGTGTTGTCTCTGCGGCGTCTGGTCGGGGAGACGAAATGCCATGGTAGGAGCTGCCCCCGAGGACGAATATCCGTGTGTATATCACGTAGGATTCTGTGCTGTTGTGGCACGGCGGTGGTGATGCGAGGGAGGCCCTTGTACTTCCGTCGAGTCCTGAGGCGTTATCGGAAGATAAGGAGCCGTCTAGTTAACGAGCCAGCGACGAGGCTAAACAGACAAACAAACGAAAAGAAGAAGACGCTAGGGAACAGCCGTCTCCATGCTGCCAGATAAGGATAGACCAAGATAACGGACGAACGGCGAGTGTGTCTGCGGTATCGATCAATCTATTTTGATATCTGCTCGTCTCCGCCCCCGGCTTGTCTATCGTCGTTTGGAATCTCAAAGCCGGGCGTGACGTGCATCAACATCAAGTGGCTTAATCAGCAGACTGCTTAGTCATGAGGCTGCTGCTGCTCGATTTATATCACATTTAGTATTCCAGGACATCCCTCATCCAAGAAGTCCTTCTTGCATCCTAATGCCCACGGATACAATCGCCGCCAAAGATATTCGGATAGGTATGAAAAGAGTTCTGAAAGGAACGCATGCATATGTAGACGTCTTGCAGCCAGACGGGCAAAAATGAACAGTCCTAAGCTGCACGTTGTTTTCTATCAACCCCGTTACGGACAACTTTCAACGTTGGGCATTGTGTCTTAATGCCGATGATCTCGATGTAACCTTTGAGGCTACTGGATCGCATCCACTCTTCCAGCCCGATGTCGAGTATTCGAGACCGGAACATTCGAAGAATTATGTTGGAAAAGTCTTCGTTGCTACGATTAGCGATGAAGACATTCAAAGAGTGTACGATGTTTCCGATGCGACACCTGTGAATAACCGTAACGTGGAATGGGATTGTCAGGACTATGTGCTTGATGTTCTTGACAGGCTAGAAAATGAGTGCATATTGAGTACCGTACAGCCAGAGAGGAATTGAAGGAAAAGCGAGGCGCAATCTTCTAACCTAGTTTTCATTGCTATCTAGTGTCAATTCTGAGATTCCTCCATTCCCTCTCAGAGCCAAATGATAATCACTCCACGAAGGCCCCCTGAGCGTAGTCCGGTAACCACCACATGCCATAGCGTTCTGGTGAATACACTCAGGTAGGACAAGTACCAGTCATTATCCACAGAAGGGCTGAGACCGTTTGTGCTCCTAATCAACTCGTAATACTCGGGATAGAACCCACTATATTCCCAATCTAGAAGACCCGTAACTCGGAATTGGTAGTCATCACTTGGTTCCACAGTGATATTATCTGGTCGTAGATCACCATGTGTAAAGACACATTGAATTTCTAATTGCTGGGGTTAGGTATAGCGTTGACGGAGCCGGTTAATAATCTCCGTAAAAATAGAAGTGCGTAAAGAAGGGAATAAAAATCTCTTGAAAGCTTCAATAACTAGTCAGAATATGGTTAGTACTACGGCTGAGATGTCTCCTGATATCTTTACAGCCTACACCACAAACCCCTCCAAGAGGTGTCCCAGTAGGGTGTGAAAGAGACCTTAGATCGGTTAGGATTTGGTTGAGCTGATCTTGGATGGACCTTTTCTGTGATATATCCAGCCCTGCCCAGATATCTGCCAGTGTTGTCGTGGAGGTGTAGGTCATGAAAATGAGAGAGACATCGTTCAATCGCAGTAATCCAGATGGCCTTGGAGCAGGAACAGTCAGCTTGTGCACTTCCAGGTACTGCAGTGTTGTTATATTCAGTGTAGTCCAGCGCGTTCTTTATTGCTTTGATGACGATATTTCCATCGCATTTGAAAACCATCTTCTTTCTTGAGGAAATGGGCTTTTCCAGAGAATTTCACAGCGCCGCATAAGCCCCTACTAGCGCCTCGGACACGTCTGCATCCTCCAGCAGGCTTCGGACCGAGTCAGCCAAGGGAAATATAACGGCGGTGGGTTCGGAAGGCCATAGAAATACGCGGATATCTTTTTCAGTAGCTGATCCTGACGTTGGTGCAGCAGATATAGGTGTTACTAGCAGAGAAGTTAGAAAAAGCAGCCTCTAATGGTGGAGGGAATCTTAACTCGTTGGAGGGAGTAACGGAGTCCGCATTTCAGACAGACGCCTGGAGTAATCCTTCGGGAAGTACGATATCAGGTCAGTTTCCAGATCTGCTGCCACAGCCTTCTGCAGCCGCTTCAATGTGTGGATGTTGAATCGTGCTGCTTTCGACTCTTTTTGAGCCTGCGCCATCCAGCTCCTCGAGTCTTGTTCTTTTTCGACATTGTTGGGCCAGAAACTAAGCCTTGACCTGAAAGAAGGTGAAATGTTGACCATCCAGCATTGGATACCTGAGGTACTATAGCCGGTATAGCAATGAGGATTAGATTAATTATATTCCGTCAAAATGGCATTTCTTTCCCTTCCTCCGCACTAGTTAACTATTTAGTTACGAGTTGATGATGACGTTGACTTATTACACGCCATACACGATAATGGGATATGCCTCCTCTGTACAGCTTTCCATCCGTCCTCCTTTGCCTCTGGATGTAGAATTGGTATGATTTCTCGCCGGGAGAAAATGACTGCCATGAAACCAACAGCCGACTCAGCCGATTCTCCAGCTTCACTCAAGTCGTTCCCCCCGATCACCTCACCAGAGCTTCAAGGCAAGAAAGCTGCTACCCGGTTCGAGAAAATGCGCGAAGACATGAATAATGAAAGCCCTGAGGAGATCACTGCGTATATACAGAATTACGCCCCAGAGAGTAAGTCTTCCTGAGTTCCGATATATTCAAGTAGTTATAGTACATCTTTTTGGTGCTGAAAGACAATAGTTGTCCGCGAGGGTGACCCTATCCCTTACGATACCGACGCAGGTATCGAGTACGCCACCGGAGAGGGGCGTTAACATTTCCTGAGGGTTGGCTGTATGCGGAAGCAGATGGCATTGCTACCTTATTCAACTGGGGGATCTACAGGGCCTAATACGGAGTACTGGGCTCATACTTGAGTTTACCGATATAGGGCTTAACCATTCAAATATCCAGATCTATCCATTTGTTATTACTGGAGCTTATATCACGTACAACTCGCCATATGATCGACGGCGATGAAGGAAAACGTCATGGCAGGCGCAATGGTAGCGCCAGCGCCAGAATACGTCCTGCCCATGACGCTCGCGCTGGTGTTGCCCGCAGCGTAGAGCCGTTCAATGGGCTTCCCGTCACTGTCTCTAAGCACCCTCGCAAACTCATCTGTGAGCAGTCCTCCCTTGGTGCCCAAATCACCTGGGTAAATCCGGGCTGCATAGAACGGTGGCTTCTCAATCGGCCCCAAGCTAGGATTGGGTCCTATATTGGGATCTCCAAAGTACTTGTCAAACGCAGAAACACCCCGGTGAAAATCTTCATCGACTCCTGCTCTCGCCATCTTATTAAAGCGAGACAGTGTCTTCTCAAGTCCGGCAGGATCAACGCCAATCTGTCGCGCTAGATCTGGGATGGTATCGGCTTTGAACAAGTGCCCAGACGTGAGGCTGTTCTTTGGATCAGGCTGCAAAGGGAGCAGGCCTCCAATGCTATATCGCTTGCGGAACGAGTGGTCAACGATCAGCCAGGCTGGGATAGCGTTTACGCTCTGGTGCCGTTCGTACTGGTGGTGACCGGCATCTGTATACGGTTCAGCTTCGTTCATAAATCTGGACCCGGATGAATCGACAATGATACTGAACGGCCGGGCTCGTTCAGTCAGGGCAAAGACGTTTGTCCCGTTCAGCGGGCAGATGACAGTTGGTCCCCACCAGGCATCGTCCAGCAGAGCAGTGCCAGCACCGACCTTCATGGCCGCAGTAATAGCGTCTCCTGTATCCCCTGGGGGAGCGCTCGTCCATTCAACACTGGCCGGCGAAGGACCCCATTTCTCCCTGAGCTTCTTATTGTGAGCGAAGCCTCCTGCGGCGAGAAGGACTCCACGAGAGGCGCGGATGGTTTTCTGGCCGCCTTCTTGTTTGACCGTGGCTCCAACAACCGTGGACCCGTCCATGATCAAGTCAACCAGGGCAGTTTTGCGTTGTATCGGGGTGCCAGCTTGCTTGTGAAGGTAAAGCAGCTGGGACACCAGTGCCTGGCCCATTGCCGAGGGAGCCTGTCCAAGAAGGGTGAGCAGGGCCTGGCGCAGGACAATTTTAAGCAGGGCATTGAAATCACTCCATGAAGCCCCCGATCTGAGGGCACTGTTGGTCTCCGTCACGTATGCAGCAATAGGGGGTCCAGGGCGTTTTCTAACCAAACTCCTCCAAGACCCAAGTTTCTTCATATTAAAAATCTTTGGCTCCAAGGTCCGACCAAACATTAAACCGCCTGGTATCTCCGGGAAGTAATCAGGACATCCTCCTTTTCCCAGACGCCATTGGAACCCGGCCTTCTCCAGGAACTCCACTAGTCGAGGCCCGTTGTCGAGAAATGCAACTTTTCGCTCTCTGGAAGATACAGGGCCAACATCTCCAATAGTTGCTTCGAGGTATTTCAAGACGTCTTCCTTGCTATCCTTTACGCCGGCCGCTTGAGATAGATGGGTGTTTGGGATCCACATCGCACCGCCGGAGTAGGCGGACGTCCCTCCTATGGCCTCATCTTTCTCGACCACCAGGGCCCGAAGTCCGTGAGACTGCGCTCGCAGAGCAGCAGTTAAACCTCCCGCACCACTTCCTATCACCAAAACATCCGTTTCTTCGTCGAATGTTGTTGGCACATTAGTTGTTGTAACGGTACGTCTGCCTCGTAGAACCAGATGGGGCGGTAAACAACAGACTGGTCGACCAGCCCCTGCGAGGCCTCTGTATATGTATCGAGAGATCATGACTGCATATCCTTGGGACTGTCAAGAAGCCAGTCGAAATACCCTGAAGGGCAGGCCAGAGGCATCTTCGCTGATATATCTAGCGCCCAGCGAACAACTGTGCATCGTGCATGGCTGGCTCCACGGAGCTATCCCGAGTACAGTTATTCCTCGAACTTGTCGTAGCGACACGGGAGCTTCCCCATGTCCATCCAAGCTGACTTTTAGGCAGCGTGGCACTGGAGTGTGTCTTTGCTGCAGTGTCCCGACTAGGGTTCAACCCCTGGGGATACGAGATTGGCAGCAAAAAATGCAGGTAATTTTTGATAATCTTGGAGGATCAGAGTCTCCATCAGGCGAACTTTGCTGAGCTGTCGGTAGTTAGCCGGTTGTCCATTGAGCCGCCCAGGCAAAGAGAACGTTTGGATTCTTCCATCATAATCGAGCTTAACAATGGTCGGCTGTGAGATTCATAAAACCTGTACGGAGTAGTGAAAAGACGGAAGCACCAGTGACACCACATTCCAGCCTGGCGAACTCCCTCGCTAGCCAGTCAATATCGAATCCTTCAGAGGCGAGAACAACGGAATTCTCTGCTGCATGTTGCCGCTCTGTAAAGCAACGACAGAATCAAGTAGCTAGCCGTCCATGAAGTGATACTCCTTGAAGGGATCTCGCGTCAGCACTATGAACTCCTTGATAAATCAACGGAGTCCCCGGCGAGTTGTCTCACGGCGTACTCCATGTAACTACAGTAGTTGTAATCCTGCTGAACTTGAACGTCCTCTTATCCGAAGCCCGGAGGTTGCGGGAGGTTGGACTCGCAAGGGCAGAGCTTGTTTGAATCTCGAGAATCCACCGTCATCAACAAACGTCTGAAGGATTCGATGTGTTTACTTCTCCTATTTGCCCCGTTTCAGTCATCATTGTTACCAATATTAGGTCTTAGTTATCGAGCTGGCTCGTTCGTTGCGATAACTTATAACCAGCTATTCAGGGGCAGAAAAACACCAGCAGAAATTGAACTGACGTCTCCCAGTCTTGTCTCTGTCCTTCCCCAGAGCTTGACAGCAAACAGTCAACCGTAAGGGATTGTCTCGCATACAGCCATATAGCTACGTCTAACCTCAGATCGAAGAGCTGCAGCTGCGGCCGCTGCGGCTGGTCAACCCCCTTAACTAGTTAACCAGCTGAGCCGCAAGCCGGAATTTTCAGGCTCCAGCATTCTCCATCGTGAAGCTGGACGCAGAACAAGAGGCCATCGCCAGGCCAAATAGACGAGGCTCAATCCGTACGGAATGGTTTCTGGGTCAATAGGCGAGCGAGACTGTCGGTGCCTTCGCTTCAGAGGGCAAAGGCCGGCACGCTGTTCAATGTGAACGTGGCTGAACAGATACAAATCAGCCTGCTTCATCGCTTCCAGCAGACTCGCACTAGTTGAGAGCTTGTCTTTGCCGTATCGTATCCGTGGCGCTGTTGACCATACTGTTGATATCTTCTTCGGCTGGAGCCTCTGCTGCCTGGCCAGATGTAAAGATTGAATGGTGTCTGCTGGGATGCAGGTCAAGCCACTCTTCTCAGACTATCCATCTCCCTGTCCCAATCAGCACTGGGGCAGGGAGAGTGAATGGCTAGGCCTAGGCAGATACATACTTGCTGCAGGGGCCTGGAGGCAGTGCTTGTCTCTGTTTTCTCTTGGTTACTCAACCAGGTTGCTGCTGGATATAAATCTGCCTGCTTGCTGCGCCTGGTGCAGGCTCACACAGAGAGGCCAGCAAGGCAGCTCGCAGCTCTTCTGCATATATAAAACCACAGCAGATTCACCATTTTGTCCTTTGAAAGTCTCTACCACAAGAATCCCTTTGTTTCCAATTGTTTCTTCGGCTTTTTTTTTATTTTTATTTTTATTTTTATTTTTTTTTTTTTCTCACTTTGCTCTGTCTCCTGTTGTAGTTATCTGAGAACTACTGCCAAATATCATCAACCAGACAGCCAGCCACCAAACCTCCCAGCAGCTGTAACTATTTACAGTCTCAGCATGGGATTCAACGTCTCCGAGGCCATCTGGAGGTGGAGGTGCAGGACGTTTGGAACTGGCGACAAGATCAAGCCTCGCTCACAGGCTCGAAACAGCGCGAGCGCCCCTGAAGAGAACGTCCAGGGAGCAGACGCGCTTATCAAAATCCTCTATGAGGCCAAAGACAGCCGCGAGGACAACCGAAGATGGGTAGATTACCCCCCTAAGCAGCTCAGCAAGAGTGTGTCCAGGGCCCAGGATCGAGCAGCCATCAAAGTGTACAAGATCGTGGACCCAGACAAGCCCGTCATCAGCGGCCGCCCTACACTGAAATACTTCAAGATTACCGTCCAGAGTCCCCTCCTGGTTGCTGCACTTAAGGACATCGTTGAGAAAGATGAAATATACCTCGAAAAGACAGAGGCAGCAGAGTTCACCACCCCCTTTGCGCCGCTCTACTTCAATGCAGACGAAATTGCGGCGCTGCTCAAGGATGCAGGCAAAGGCACCCCTTTCCGCGAGCATCTCGAACTCCTCCTGACCTTGATGGATGACATGTTTGCTGAAACTCGAAGTCGTATCCAGCCGTTACAGGCCAGCGGCCTTGCCTCGTTCAATCTGCTCTGGGCTTATTTTCCTACTGGTGCCCCAGTATATATCTGGCAAGGAGATTGCGAGTTCCTCGGCAAAGTTATCAATACCGAAATTATCAAGTGCAATTCGCGATCAGTAATGCGCCTACGTTGCAATATCATGAAGTTTGATGGTCAAGATTACGTCTGGGACGAGTATAAGAGTGTAATCTGTGCCTTTGAGGGGAATATCCCCATCACAGATTTATCCTTCTACCCGCTCAGGTTCCATGATGATCCAGAGGCCGTCAAGTCGCGCCTGATAAAGCGAGCGAGAAAGTCGCTTGAGTATCAGGGGCTTTCTTATGGTTCTTACACTGGTGTAGCTCTCTATAAGAGCAAGGACGGGATGATCAAGCACAATGTATGGCTTCTACCAGTTCGAACATTCCAGTGAATACATATAGCTTGCTAACCGAGCTTGTCCAGGTGGATGGTAGGATTCTGATTGATGTTGTTGGATACAATAAGCACCATGAGGCTCAAAGAAACCCTGAAAACGGAGTTGAGAATCCAATTAAACGCAAAACGCGTATTCTTCCAACGGATAAGGACCCCGAGACTGAGAAGTTCGTGTTGCATATAACTGGGCCAAACAATGCCAGCCTTACCGGTGGAGCTAAACCGAAGACAACAAAGCACATTTCAATAGAAGAACAGGAAAAGAACAAAAAAGGAATACTTGGTCTAGGGGATGAGATGATGTATATGTGTCCGTTCCTCGAGGGCTTCGCCCTGAAAAATAAGGAGTGGCGTAAGTGTAGCAAATATCTGAAGGGTATTCATAGTGCTGACGGGTACAGTCAACTTTTATGTCGAGGATATTGAACAGGTCAAGTGGAATGATGAGGCTTATGATCACTTGGTATATGACGAACAGCAGAAGGACCTGATACTATCCTTTGTTGAACACCACTATAGTTCGATGAAGATGTCGGATGATGTCATAACTGGGAAAGGTCAGTCAATACTCTCGTTTTTGAAATTTCAGATATATTGTGATGTCTGACTCGGCCCAGGTCAAGGATTGAATATTCTCCTCTCCGGACCTCCTGGCACAGGAAAAACCCTCACTGCCGAAGCAGGTAAGAAAGCCACGTACTCCAGGAAGCGAGGACATCCTGCTGACAATCCATATAGTTGCTGACAGATGCCGCAAACCCTTATTTTACCTTCAGGCTGAGGACCTGGGCATCCAGGCGGCAGAGTTGGGAAATAACATCAAAAAGGTATTCGAGCTGGCCCTGGAATGGAACGCTGTCATCCTCCTTGACGAAGCAGACGTCTTCATGGCAGAGCGTAACCCAAACGACATCCACCGCAATGAACTCGTATCCATCTTCCTCCGCGAACTCGAGTATTACCGTGGTGTCATCTTCCTGACTACTAACCTTTACGATACCATTGACACAGCCTTCAGATCTCGCATAAACCTCCATCTGCTGTTCAAATCGCTATCCCCGTCCGCCAGACTTCAGGTTTGGACCAAGTTCCTGAGCCGGCTGCCTCCTTTGCCTGCCACGGCGGGCCGCAACGAGGAGAAGAGCGCCTTGGATGATTTGAACGAGGAACACTTGAAAGAGCTTTCCATGTGGCAGCTGAATGGACGTGAGATCAAGAATGCAGTCAAGATGGTGAAGTCATGGTGCGACCAGAAGGGCTATGACATGACTCTTTCGCGCATGGAGAGTGGTATTAAAGTCTCCGCGCCCCAGGCCACAAAACGAGATTTCACTAAACCGATGGATTTGTATGATTGAATTGCTTGTCAGTGGTTGGTTCCTTTAACTACTTGCCCCTGACCCGTTCCACCATTTGGTTCAGTTAGAACACAAGCTCATGAAAGCCCCGTTAACCATCAATAAATGCATTATTAAACATCTTCTCGTCCGAAATCTCGTCTGAATCCCATCTTATCAATAATAACATGCATATCAAATAATACATGTTGTCTACCTCGGCGTCGTTGTCGATAATATAGCACACGCCCCATTTTGCACACGCTCCATGCGACAGGGATTGTGCCGAGGTCCGGCACATGCAAACTAAAAATAAACTCAATGTTCGGCGTTTCAAACTTTTTATATCTATAGAAGAATCCCAGGATGTTACGAGCAGACAAGTTCAAGCTTGGGGTAATATCTTTCAATATATTCTTTTTATCTTCTCCGTATAATTGCTGCCAGGTGATATCGACCATGGACGCAGCTTATCCTAAGATTGAAGCCGGCTGGGCCTCTCTCGTCTCAAGCTACTCTCCCACAACGATAGAATTTGTCGGAACCTCTCTCGTCCAGCTGGTCGCCTTCTGGATACCGTCAGCTATCTACCTCAGTCTCGATAAATGGGCCCCGGCGTTCTCACAAAGGCACAAGATCCAACCAGCTACAAAGCAGCCCACGGCCAAGGAGATATGGCACTGTTTCTTCTATGTGCTGAAGAACCAGTTGCTTTCTACAGCTCTACACATACTCCTGCTCACTCTGGTCTATAAAAATATCATTCCACCTTCATACCAGGTGCTTCCGACCTTGCCACCATTCGCAATTGTGGTCCGAGACTTTGTCCTTAGCATATTGATGCGTGAAGCCCTCTTCTACTACGCTCATCGACTCCTCCATTATCCGTACTTTTATGTTAGGATTCACAAGCGGCACCACAAGTTCACTGCTCCGGTAGCTCTGGCGGCCCAATATGCCCATCCACTAGAACAGATAGGAGCAAATGTGCTACCAATTACTCTTCCCCCGCAAATACTCAACAGCCATATCATTACCTTTTGGTTATTCATGGGCTATGAGCTATTCAATACCGCAACTGTGCATAGCGGGTATGACTTCTTAAATGGAAAGGCAAAGATGCATGATTTGCATCATGAGAAGTTCAATTTGAACTACGGATCTATTGGGTTTTTGGACTGGTTCCACGGGACAGATAGGCTGAGAAGTAAGGAGAAAAAGAACAACTAGGCAAGGTTGGCAGTGATGTCTCTTTGTTTATAGCGTGTGAGGGTCATTGGCGGTATCTGGTGGTATCATTGCACTTGCAACATATGTTTTCTATCTACTTTATGTTTGTATCTTATGAAGGACCAGCCAACACTTCTCCAATCCAGTTCATCTGCACGGCGCTAACACCCCTTGCATAGCTTCGAGTTGTAAAAACGAATTCATTGTACATGATTGCCTCAACTTTCCTGCCAAAAAGCACACTGGACGGATGTATGGCCACAGTCTGATTTCCTACCAGAGTACGATAGCTGCCATCAGGGAAAAGACGTGCTGTGTTTGTGGCAAACCCAGTAAGAAAACTGGTCAGTATCGGGACTGGATCTTCGTTTCCCAGGGGCGTAGAGTCGTCGTCTTTAAAAGACGTATCTCCAAATAACTTTGACTGTTTACACTGGACCAACAGCTGTTTACGTACATCCTAGCGGTCTGTTAGCTAAAACCATGGGAAATTATGTCAAGATTATAGACGTACCATAACTGCCTGCATTGCTCTATGAGAGACAAGGTGGCGTTCAGCCCATGCCCTTCGGTCCGCATTTTCAGCCGCATACGCGCGGACAGTGGCAAGCATGGTCAAATGGTCCCCTTCTCTCCTGTACAAATCGCGCCTTGCCAGATCTCCCTGTTCCTTCTTCTCCTCTGATGATGTATTTAAAAAGATATTCTCTACACTCAGACACGAAATAATATCGATGACGTCTCTGAGACAACGAGGCCCCTTCTCTGCTCCAGCGAGAAGCACCCGACCTAGCGGCGCGGTAAGTGGAAGTTTGGCTATGCGGCTACCGATAGGGCTAATCTTCCCGGTTTCATCCAGAGCGTTAATATTGAAAAGCTGTAATAACGCCTTTTCAATTGCATCTCGAGGAGGAGGCGTGAGAAATGGGAACCCAACTATATCATCTACTCCCCTGGCTTTCATCGTCAATATAGCTTGGCTCACATCACATCGTAGAATCTCGGGAGTGTTGGTCTCTGGTAAGGCAAGGTATTCCTTCTCAGGATATAACCGGTAACATTGTCCTGGCGCTTCTCGACCAGCACGGCCTTTCCTTTGTATAGCAGCAGATTTTGATATAGGTTTAACCAGCAGCGAGTCAAGGCCAAGGCGTGTCCTGAACTGTTTGGTCTTAGCCTTGCCGCAGTCAATAACGTATCGTACTCCAGGAACAGTCACGGAAGTTTCAGCAATATTCGTGGCTAAAATGACCTTCCTTGTTCTCGGAGTTGTGGGCAGGAAGACTCGTTGTTGAGCAACCTGCGGAAGGGCTGCGAAGAGAGGTACAGCTAGCACTTTTGGCAGTTCTTTATCCATGGTACTAGCATAGTCATTGACCAGATACTCCAAATTTTCCACCGTCTCTTGACCGGTTAAGAACACTAGAATATCACCGGGCAAAGGTTCCTTGTAGTGAATCTGAAAAATGGTTTTGAGTGCTGCATCCACAAAGTCAGGGACTGGTACCGGAGAATATATAGTGGTAACAGGGAACTGGCGGCCCTTTATATGACAGACAGAAACCTGATCCGGTTTTGTTTGAATCTCTTTCCCCTTCGCTGAGGGCGTTAAAGCATTTGCCTTCTGAGATTTAGAACCGGTATCATCTTCCTTCAAAGATTCCAGCAGAGAATTTGACGTTTGTATGTATCCATCAGTAAAAAACGACAGTAAACTCTCCATATCCGCTGTGGCACTCATAACCACGATCTTGAGCGGGACTCCTCCTCTCCCTTCCTTGCATCCTGTAGCAATGTTTCTCAGGAACCCAAGAAGCAAGTCAACATTGATACCCCTCTCGTGAACCTCGTCAACAACTATAGCGCTATACTTCGTCAACCACGGATCACTCAGCATTTCTTGCAATAGCATTCCATCTGTCATGAATTTGATACGTGTGCTCGGCGAAACAGAGGTATCAAAACGCACAGCATAGCCAACCTTGCTCGCAGGTGATGAAGAACCAAGCGGACAGCCAACTTCTTCTGCCACTCTTCGTGCCAGAGAGACGGCTGCTACACGACGAGGCTGGGTAATGGCTATGCAGCCACCGACGGTGGCTGTTTGCTTGTTCCCGGAAGATGGTATCTTGACTGATTTTGGGCGACACCAGTGCTCGTCGATAAGAAATTGAGGCACTTGGGTACTTTTACCACTTCCTGTCTCTCCGACAAGCAACATGACATCTGTCCGGCGAAGATGAGCACGAATCTCGTCTGCGTGCGCAAAGATAGGGAGTTTTTTTCTCGTTTCAAGAAGAATCCTGGCCTTTTCCTTGAGATTGGATACGCTTCGATTTGGGCCAGATTTGGTTATGCCATTTTCCGAGTCGCCTCTGGGGTTGGATATATTCCTTTCATGGGCAATGGTGTCATTTTGAATCATCTTTCGAGATCTTTGCTTGGATTCAATGCCATTCGCTGATACTCGAGCCTTTTTGATCCCATTCTCATTATCGTCGTTTCGGTTACCACGCTTCCGCTTCCTAGCCCGTCTAGAAGCTGATACCACTTTATCTTCTCCATTCCCCGTCTTGCTGTCGAGGGAATCCATCTCTGTGTCTAGTTGTTGCTGGTTTTTGTTGATTCTTTCCGTGAAATTTTATAAAAGGATTTTGAAGTGTTATGCTTACGGTAACGGGACCGTATCTCGAAATTTACTATCCAATGAAATTGAAGAACCTTAATAAAATACACATATGCAGCTAAGACGACATACGATATCTGTAATCATAAAATACATTCAATTTGAATATCGATTTTGAAAGATATATTGCAAGATAGAATGTGTTACCTATATGCTATGTATCTATGATATCTATAGAAGAGGCCTGCCTCTTGAGCTATGGGAAAGTGTCATAATCGATCATTCCTGCATAAGTGTGAGAAGAGTAAACGTATCATCAACATGGCCACGGCTCAAACGTTCAAGTCGACTAATCGTAGCTGGCGAGATATCTGTTCGACCTTCGGGGTCATTACTACCGCCTGCCCTTCCGCATAGTCATTCTCGTATGCCTTTAGAGCAGCTTCAATGGTTTGCCTTCTTGCAAGGTCCCCAGTAGATATCCACGCCATCATTAAACACATGGGTACGAAGCTTGCCGCCAACGGCCTGTATATCATCGCAGAGCCCGCAATTTCAAGGATCTCGTCAATGTATATTGACGGGTCTACCACAACAGCGTTGCCCGGGTCGATTCCAGTAACCACACAACTGAGAATGATGACGACGGTAAGGCTCAGGCCGAAGGAGCGCTGGTAGAATGAGTGGGCCATAACAATAGGGTCCTGGAATGAAAACTCGCCCTTTGGGGGAAGCCGGGCCTTCTTGTACTTTTCTCGTAACTCGTCTGCCGCCCCCTTTGCCATGTGGTATGCTGCCAATGCATCTATTAGCAGATTCTCGTCTGTCACTCCGTCTTTGCGGGCCTTTCTGGCTCGGTTCAGGAGGCCTGGCACTTTGGCAACGCCACGCATCATCCTGCCTTCGGGAGTTACTCCATCAAGATGGTTTTCCACAAGGGTTTTCCATTCCTCTGGAGTAAACTGGATCTTCTGGTTGAGAAGTCCTTCAAAGACCTGCCAGAGAGGAGTGAGTATAACTGCAATTGCTAGAATAAAGCTACAAACGGGGTCATACCACCGGCCCTCGCAGTGAGAGAACTAGTTTGCTTTCGAACTCGTCGTTTGGATCGTAGTATCTTCTGGCCCTCAGCAACTGGGCAGCACCTTCACAGTGGCCCGTAAAGTCACCCTCACTGACACCGATAAACCGCTACAGAGAAAATGTCAGGAGATTGTAGAAAAATGATTTTGATATATAGACCAGTAATTCGGCGTCTCACCTGGCACATCAGCAAGACCATGACCGAGCAGAGAGTTTCAGACGTTCGCGCCTTGGCTGGGTCGTCGAGGTATGATCTGAGCATCCTGAGAGCCCTGGAGTATCCTACCAGCACCCGCGAAGTAACTCCCAGCCCGGCACAGAAGTCCTGATGCGAGTCAACCAGCACCTGTACCGCCGAGTCCAGGGCTTCATTGACCCCCAGACGCCGTGGAATGTCCACCAGAAAGCCGCCAAAGGACCAGGCGAGGTTGTATCTCAAGTCGGTCGTCGGCTTCAGGGTCTCGATAAAGCTGTTCCGCAGCGCCGTTATCCCGTTGACAGGCACCCGGGGGATCTCTTCGATAAAGACGAGGGTCTCGAATTTCGGTAACTGGTCGACGGCGGGCTTCTTCCTGGTCGTCAAGCTCTTCGACTGGCTCTGCTGGCTCTGCTGGCTGCTGCGAAAGACATTCTCCTGCTTGAACTTGTATCTCTGCAGGCCCGCGCCGACACACGGGATATTCAGCCGAGTACATCGCGCACACGAAGGCCGTCCTTGATCACACTATACAGTCCTCTACGCATCAGCAGTCTGTTGTTTGTTTGTTCGCAGCCGTTCATACTCAAGTGGCTGCAGCACCTTTTTCTTCTGCTTCCTGCAAGCATCGCAACCGCGGCCTGATGGAACTCCCGGCATGATGATAGACACTCAACGCGCAAAACGGCCACACTCTTCCATGAAGCCTCGAACACATCTTTCGAAAGGAGAAAAAGTCAGCGACTCTGAAGCAACCTGATCGTCCTCCGGCTGAGCAGAAACGGAGCCCAAGAGCTGAAGGAGCTGCCTTGGCGAGGCTGGTTAGTTAACTAATTACAAGGCGAGCAGGCGGGCAGTGCTCCATATATAGACCTTCGGAAGGCTGCTTAACTATCTCAACGCATCTACGAGTAGAAAAGATGGTAGGATATATAGGATCATCATGGAGACAGTGTGGAATATGCATAAAATCATGTTAAAGTGGAGGAAAAATCAGGTCAGTGACCGGCGATGATAGCTAACCAGCATCTTCGGCGCCATAACCAGCCCCAGCCATAACTACGGAGTAACTAACTTGTCATGGCGAAGTAGTTGAGTGACTGGTGAGTCCCGTCTAAGACTGATCGGCATTCGTGATCGGGCTCATCAAGAGCCTGAGGAGCTAGTTATATAAAAAGGACGAAGAAAAGTCCAGTCAGCGACAGGCAAGCTACTTCTCCTACCAAACGCAAGGACAGGCTTACCCATTGCTCGAGTCGAGTCTCATTATCACGGAACTTCGCAAACTTCTCGTCCAAGCTGCCTGTATGATAGTTAGTGCCATTAACTTCATGACTCGAGGTTTTTGAGATCTCCTTGCTCACCGGTTGTGCAGTACAGAACATCCTGCAGCTGATCCTCACGCATTAGAGACTTTAGAAAGGCTTTTGCATCCTCGTCAGTTCCGATTTGGCTGATCTGGAAGCGGACCACTGCGGGTAGTTAGCAGGAGATGAATAGCTAACCGTTTTGTTACTTATTTCTCCTTACCTGTTCGTTCGTATCCAGCAGCCTCCAAGAGTCTTCCGCATTCAAGAATCGCTTGCTTTAGCGTTTCAAGTTTTTCACGCGGACCCTGTGGACAGCCGTCCGTGATGATAGAGACAAGAACTGGCCGTCGCAGGCTGTTTGTTCTTAGCGGCTGATATACCAGTGGTTCAAGGATCCTGCTTCTCAGATTCGTGCCGAGTTCTGTTGGTCCGTAGGGAGCCTGCTGTCCCATGAGTTGTCTGAGATCCTTGAGGGTCCGCTGGTAGATCATGATCTCTGTGTTGCGGTTGATGAACCGCACCTTGACGCCTCCATCGTCTGGGATGATGCGTGTGGCGATGCTCGCAATGCGCTCGACGATATCGATCTGGTGCTCAACTCGATTACCCTCGTTCATAGAGCCACTGTCATCTATGTATATCATCCATTAGTCAACCATCGATCAAATAGTTGTGGGATATCTGACTGAATTCGAGATTAATACCCACCACAATACATGACTGGCTGGAAGAGGGCCAACCGGGCCAAGGCCTTTGTGTCGAGGGTATGTCAGGGTTGGGCTCCAGCTTGATGCCCTTATCAACCACCGTCTGCAGGAAAGGGTCATTGGACGGAAAGACCTTGTTCATGTGGTTCTCCAAGATGAAATCCTTCGCATCTTTTAAAAACTCTTCCTTGGGCTCGGGTTGTTTTAGCTTCTAGCCCATCAAGTTAGTATAGCTTGGACCAGGGGGTTGCTCCCCCGTAGTCCCCTTTTCATATCCCATCACATATATCAGGTCCAGAAAAAAAGGTTCGGGGCGTAGTCACCTCTGGCCAGACCTTCTCGTCAAAAATCCCACTCATATGGAACCTCCTTTTAATCACCTGTGTTACATACGGGCCGGCTGCAGTCGCAGCACCCGCAGCGCCAACCACAGCAACCATAACGAAGGCATTCACCCACGCAACGACGCCCACTATGATGCTGACAATCACACCAATCCAGTGAAGCCATCCCAGTGACCGTTCCTTTCGCTTCCGCAGCGCCTTTATCGTATCAGGATCACCGCGGGCCTCCGCAATTTTCCTGGGTGTCTCTTCATGGTTATTTTCCTGGTCCGGGTTTGCGCCCTTGTCTACCAATGCGTTGAGCAAGTGAGGGGATCTGTAGGTCTTCACAGCTGCGAGGAGAGGGCTTGAGTTGTCGTCCACGGTAGAGACTATGTTCGGATCCGCGCCCGCGTGAAGGAGCAGTTGCATCATGGTTCCCACTCTCTGCTTGGACCTTGCAGCTGCAACCCAGAGCGGCGGGCGTACTGGGCTATCGTTATGATTAGGGTCTTTGCCATCGGGATTGGCGCCATTTTTGAGTAACAGTTTGACAATTTTGACATAGCAGTACCAAACTGCAATGCCGAGGGGAGTGAGCTTCGTTCGGGGATGAACAGTATTCAGGTCGCGAATTGTTTGCTGGTTAGCCATGTGCTCCTTGGTGAGCTGGCCGGATTTTGCTAGCTCGTAGATGGATGCCATGATCGTTGGTAGTTGGTAGTTGGTAGTTGGTAGATGGTAGATATCAGGGGATGAAGTGAGTTTGGTATAGGTTTGAATCAATGCAACAAAAGAAGACAAAGTAGAATGGGATAGTTATAGCCAACCGTAATGACTATGGTAGGAATCCGTGGGTATATAAGACTGATTGATCAAGGGTATTTGCTCAGTCTCGGATCGTACTCTCCTGTTCATGTCTCCCTTTAATAGATTAGACTGATGTATTGAGACACACACCACCCCCTTTTTTTTCTCAACAATCGCTGTCAACCTGAATGCTGGCATCTCCATCCGAGATCCCTACCTCCTGATCTTCTTTGGGAGAATGCGCTGGCTCTCCTTGTTGATGGTGGTTAGATTGACTGCAGGTTGCAGCACGCCAAACTCGTGGCTGCCCGCTTCGTAGGCGTCCTGCATTCGTTGTTATGATATCACCCTGCATGGATAGGGGTAGAAGGAGATTGGGTCGTTGCAGAGAAGATCAAAGTCGCCTAAGGCCGATCCCGATGAAGTGCTGTCAACGAACGAGGCTGATTACTTAACTATCCAGTTCTCATGTCTAGATATTGCATTCCAGACTGCTACCCGCCTCGTCAGTTAGGCATCTGATGCCCTGGCAGGAAGCTCGCCCACCACTAGCGGACACGATCTGCCAGAATAAATCATAGATGTCACTCTTCTGTGAGCGGTTCAAAGTAATAAAACACCCACTTCCCATAATCTTACTCCCCTCCTACATCATCCCGGATATCATCCTCTTTGTGAAGTATCCCGCCCCTTTTCCTGCTCCTCAAAGCCTCACCGGACACCTACCCAGCCTCTACCCAACCATGTCAGCCTTGTCAAACCGCGGTGAAATTACAATCGGTAACCCTGAGGCAGCCCAAGATCTTTACGGATTGGGCGTGCGTGTGGGGTTCTATTTACAAGGCCTAGGTATGATTCTCTACAACTATGGCTCTGACGAGGTTGAGGATAGCAATACCACCGCCACTGGAGATGGTGAAGAGCCCAAAAACGAATATGGCAAGGGTCTTACGATAGCTGCGACCTCAATCGCCCTCGCTATTCTTGCATCATGGTTCGTATTTGCAGCGCGTGCTAAATTCAGTGCCGCGGAAAGCGTCATCACATTGTTGATGGTGTTCAGCGTGTCACTGATGGCAAAATCGACACTGGACAATGCTCGTGCGATTGTCGGGGAGCTGACAGGCGTGGTGGCTATCCTCCTGACAGAACTGGGGCTATGCGCGGCGCTATTGTGGACGTTCGCGGTGTTGGTGAAAAGGCTTCCACTGTTGGGCACGAAGAATCTGGTGTTCTTTTTTGCACCGGTAAGGCTTGATGGATGGTTTAGGTACCTCGCGCTGGTGTACTTTGTAATTGATGCAGCCACATCATTGAGCTTTGCGTGGAAGGTTTTGCGGATCATGGTCATCGTATGCGAGTGCTGGATTAATGGGAGGACGGAGGAAAGGACTAAGAGGGACGTTTTGAAAATAGAGAATACCCTTGGGTGGAAAAAGAACGAGATGGCCCCCTATATCCATGCCATGAGATGGATAACTTGGATCTTGATGGTATTGGCAGTGGAACTCACGCTGCACTGGAATCAGTTATCGCCTACAACAGACCTCCTGGTCCCCGGCCAGCTGATCCCGTTTGTCGCGGGAGTTATTATCCTAATAGACAGTGGAATCATTGCTGGTCGTGCACTGGTTCCACGCTGCCATAAGGCAATAAGGTCGTCAAAAACGTGGATACTGCGGACTTTGCAGAATTTGCGGGGCTTGAGTTCTAGGGGAATAGGCTCATTCAAGAGGCATATAGCGGACCTAGCCAATAAAATTAAGGGGGCCGGTCAGACACAAGTCTAAGTTATGGACAAAAATATAAGCGTAAACCTGTGTCTACCTAATGGATACCTTGAAGGAACTAAGGTTCAAGCGCGGTTCCTTATTCAAACCCCCGTTCACTCGAAACACATATTATTGAACTAACAGTCCTCATTAGTCGAAATCCAAAGGGACTAAACAGCTGCCTTAAAACATACCTTAGCAGGTTTATTGATATAATGCTTCATAAACCCCACCTCTGGTGTATCCATCTCTTCCATCTCGATATCTTCCTCTTTAAGTAGAAAATTCGCCATGCGAAACTCAACAAGCTGACCTATATCAGCAGGGTTCCCTGGATCCTTGCGCTCTAGCACAATACGAAACGTCTCGGAACTGTTTGTTGGTTTCTTCTTTGAATTCTTTTTTGGCTCGATCCGGACAAGATAGGGGAAACAGCAGTCTTCTAACTTATCAGTCAGCGTCACTACTTGCCTCACGTAGTCCCAGAGGACCCACCGCTGCTTCTCTCTGGATTGAGGCCATCCGCGCGGATGTCGGAACCGAAATACATAAGTGGGTTTGCCGGTCAGGTTTGATGTGGGTGCGTAGGCTGGGAAGATATCAAAAGTGGTTTCAAGGCCCTTCTCTCCCAGGCGTACCCAGCCATGTTCCTCGAATGGAGGAAAGCGAAGATATAGACCTTCAGGAGGTGCATCTTTGGAAGGAAAGACTCTGAGAGTCTTCTCTTCGTGGCTTACTCCCAGCCAGTGGAAGATTTGCTCCAGGACTGTCTCGCTAAGCCGGCACCCTTTGCTATTTCCACGATGAAGATCACTCCCGTTTGTGCTAAGATATTTCTATCAGCTTGACACCGTGTGGTATGTATTTATAATGCATATAAATAAAGACGCACTGAATACCAATAACCGTGTCATGACCCTTGAATGGCATAAATACCGGTGCCCCACTCAACCCCTTTGCCGTGGCTATCTGGTATTCTAAGCGATTCCTATTCCAGCGCTTGCAGTCCCCAGAGCTGGTAGATGGTTCAGGTCGAGGGCAGTCCGAGGGAAATCCGCAGATTTGTAGAGTTTTATCACGCAGGCTTTCTTCAGCAAGTTTCAAAGCAAACCCAAACCCACGGGGTACAGACGTGCTAGTCGGTACACGGATTGCTCCAAAGTCAGTTTCGGTCCGTGGCCTTGACAAGTATGAAGGGGGTATGAAGATTTCAAGATCTCCGGGTTTGATAATGGCGCCTTGTAAGGGGTCGTAAAACTGCAAATCCTGGGACGGCTTCTTTTGGTTATCAACGAGGTTATGCGCAGCAGTGAGGATAACGTGGGCTTTGGTATCCGGGATATTGACATAAAATCCAGTTCCGTGGCTCTTCTCCCCCTTCGGTGCTGTATGGGCCAGTGTAAGAACATGGGTCAATCCAAATTCTGTTGTTTTCTGACATGAGAAGATGAATACTAGACGAACCCGAATTTTGCCTGAAATCAAGTCTGACGATCCAGTTATTGCGTATCTGGGTTGAAGCAAACGACAGCCCGCCAGTGGCACCCTTATCGTTAGGTAAAGCAACCCAGCTAGGATCAAAGAGATCCGGATCCAAGCGTAGAGAAGAGGGAGTGGTAGCCATAGCTAGCATATGCGGAAACTGATAGTATCCTCCTCATCATTTCGTGGAAAAGAACAACTTCGATCTTCGTGCTCGACTTAGCAATTGTATGCTACGTACGCACTTTTGTATTCGGGAGGGACAGGGAATAATCGTGAAGTTGCGATTGGTAGCCCCATTTCATGCCCAACTGGAAGCCTTGGAGCTTTTCATCGGCGGCTCCTGAGAAGAATAGACCCCGCTTCCTGTGACAAAGTACATATATATACATACGCGGCGGGGGAAGATTGAGTAGATCGAAGAATTTTGAAAACGTAGTGGGACAGAATCAAGAAAAGAGACAGATTTCAGCCCTTTTTCCCCCTCTTGACTCTGAGACAAAGATCTAAGAAGTATGGATTTTAAACCCCAAGATTTCGTTCACTATCTCCTTGCCGCCGCTGGTGCTTTCCCACACGACCAACCTGGGATTTCCCTGATATCGGAGGAAGACGGCGATTTGATCGAAAAGCTTTGGACGGGAACTGAAATCGCAAATCAAGTGTTTGTTGCGAGTGACGTACGAAAAAATACACCAGGTCTATACCTTTTGGGTGAAGAAGAGGTGAGAATATAGACCCCATCCTGCGTAGCTAGCCACAGAGGCATAATGTCCTAACAATCAACATCAATTTTAGCGAAGCATTTTCTTCGTCGACAAGTCGGACGTTCTTCAGTGGTATCGATACGACCCAGACGAAGAGGAATGGAGCGAAGTTGAAGTTGATAACCAAGGAAAATTGACCGTTCACCAATCGAGCCGATTAAGTGGTTGCCTCAGCCCGGGGGGTGAAATCGTGATATTCGAAGGTCCAGAAAATGGGCTTCGAGCGTACAGAGTCACAGAAGGGGATAAATTTGAAACCTTACCCCCATTGTCCGCAAATTTGGAGCCAGGGACGCCACATCAGGCCGTCCTGCTAGGCGATGATACTCTGCACCTGCTGTATGTCCACCGTGACAGGCGAATTCATCATCTCGTTGCAGAGAGTCCTGGACTCAGAGAATGGAAAGGTATAGAATCTAGCCCCATCCTTCCGCTTGAATGCAGGAAGCTAACAAGTGGCCTTTATAGACACGGGCAGTAGCTTTCCTTACCCAAGCTTCAATCACGATGAAAAGATTGTCAGCTTCATCGTCATCCCACAGGGGGATGGATCTCTGGAAATATGTGCTTTGATGTCGGGAGGCGCGCTGGTGCAAGTGAAGACCAACGGGCAGATTACCCAACTGGGAACTGTCAAGCAGGGCCGGTTCACGGCTCACACGAGCGAAGAGTGTGGTATTGAGCTTATGATAGGCGTCAAGAAGGGTATTAAAGCAGTTGCGCATAAGATGAAAAAATAGTTGGTTAACTAATATAACCAGCGCCCCATTATCGATTAAAATTCCAGTGACTGAATCCCTGCCATGCGTAGCTGCGTATATCAGAGCTCTGCACTTATCCAGCATGTCGGCGCCTTGATGGGTCAGTTAATGTGCACCACTCCTTGTTGTCCACACACAGCTGCAGCCGGGAGTGCTGTATACCCATGATAAGTCGCTTTCATGTTCACACCCAGATCCAGCAGCATTTCACCATGGCTTCCTGCCCAGTAGACACAGCTCGATGTAAAACTTGGCTCCTTCTTCAGTTTTAGAGGGACCAACGAAACCTGCTGTCAAAAGGGATGATGATGATGTTGTTGTTGTTGTTGAAGCTATCGAATGTGATAGTGCGAGGCCACTGGCAAGCGAGAGGTAACGTGATGAGATGACTAATAATCCTCTTCGAGGTCCTCTTAAAAGCTACCGTCGACCGGAAGTCTGGCCGAGCAGAAGAGAGGCATTGATGTTGTTGCACTGCCACGGACGGCGATGACGATTGTGTATCATCTCCCAAGGCTTTCACAGTCAGTGCTGCTGCTGCTGGTGGACGACCATGGAGGGAAAACGAGTTGCCAATGTAACTGCGGACAACTTCACGGGAGGGCCCACGGTTAATTGAACACAGCCTAGTACGACCTATCATTGATGGCCTGTTGACAGCAGTGCAGCGTTTCTCTCCAGCGCTCACTCCATGATTGGCCCTCCAGAGCGGTGATATCAGCCCTATCTGTCGTTCTTTGACGCAAGGGAGCCTCGATGATTGGCATGAAACTAGCCGTATCTGGTGCTATCCAGCGCTCCTCCACCTCGGATCCTTCGGCGGAAGAAAAAACTTTGCGACCTGGAAGCTGATGGGAGACGGGAATACCTTGATCTGGGGAATATGCAGCGCTTGCTGGCGCCTGGCCGGTGGGTTCTAGCATGGCTTGGTCGAGCGTGGGAAGATCTCTAACCGCTCCTGGTCTCATGTAGCGCTGCTCATTATCTGTGCAGGCGATGGGCCCCAAAGGCAGTGCTCTTCAGCCTCAATTGCGTCCTAGTACGGAGTAACTAGTTCAGGCTTGAAGTTATGGAAGAAATGATGATATATAAGCCACCATGATGCTGCAGCTGTCATAGGAATTCAGCAACACACACACACAACCATTGAACACCTAGACAACAATAAATCGCCATGGCTTCATCATCCAACATGGAATCGACAACTTCAACATTCTATCCATACACACCAAGCAAAGCCCTTGCGGCCGTCTTTGCAGTCCTAGTTGGAGTCTCACTTAGTATACACATATGGCAGAACTTGTATGTCTCCAGCCTTTACCCATTAGTTACTCAATATCACTGCTAACATCTCACCAGCCGATACAAATACTGGCGCGTTATGTTCTTCATGTGCTGGGGAGGTCTTGTCTTTACATCCGGCTGGGTCATGAGAAGTGTCTCCAGCTTCTACCCCGAGAACAGAAATTTCTACATCTCAGAAAGCATTCTCATCCTCTGCGGACCGCCAATCTACTCAGCAGCTGAATACAATATCCTCGGACGGCTTATGCACTATCTCCCCATGCACGCGCCTCTCAACCCAAGCAGACTCATCTACTTCTTCATCTACCTGGGTGCACTGGTTGAAGGTCTGACAGCCGCCGGAGCCGCCCGTCTATCCACTGCAGGAGATGACCAGAAGCTCCAGCGCAGCGGTGGCACACTCGTCGCCGTTGGCTCTGTTCTCCAGGCAGCTGTGGAGTGTATCTTTATCGGGATGATTGCCCATCTCCACAACCGCTGTGTTCGATCGAATATGCTCACCAGCAACGTCCGGACCGTCTTCATCATGCTTTATGGTACATCCGGTCTTGTCTTATTCCGATCTATCTTCCGTGCCGTCGAGAAATTCAGCACCCTCAACGTCATCTCTACCGGCCAATGCGATGGAGTCTGTGACGCTGTTCTAAGACATGAGTGGTACCTATATGCCTTTGAAGCAGCTCCCATGGTTCTATACACCTATTGGCTCAACATAGTTCACCCCGGGAAATATCTACCAAACAAGACTACCGTCTACCTTGGATTCGACAAGGAAGAATACGAAGGCCCCGGCTGGACTGACAAACGTTCGAAGTGGGAGACCTTCGCTGACCCATTCGACCTCAAGGGGGCCATTAATGGACAAAAAGAGCATGAGAAATTCTGGCTCCTATCTCAAGATGGCACTCATCCCAAGTATCACAATGAGCTACAGGCGTAATTTATCATTTGCTATCAGTGCGTTTCTTTTACCATAGAATGCGGTGCTTTGGTGGCGACTTAGTACGTGTATAGATACCTTTTTTATAATTTTTGGATTTTACCTATCAATGACGACGCTAATATATTTCTTCTTTTCTTTCAAGTGCTTTACAAGTGCCATTAATAAAACATGAAACACTTTCTCCTTTTCCCCCTCCAGCCTATTGCCAAACCATCCCCTAAACATTTCCTTTCAACAATGGATCTCCTACTTCATCACTTTTCCAGATCCTCAGATAAATATATAATACCCCATAGATCTTCAATTGATACAGCTAGAGCACTAGTCCATTGGCCCATAACCAGGGGATGAAGGAAACTCCCGTCCTCCAATATCTTGCCCATACATGCCCGGTGTTGAGTCCCCAATGATATCACTCCTCGTACGACGAAGCATTGTCAACCCAACACACACCAAGAAGCAAAGTATAGTTACCATCCAGTGTAAAGCCAGAGAGACAGATCCGGCTTTAACCGTATGTGTGCATCCGAAACCAACAGCGAATACGCCGCTCACTTCTGTGATTGCAAGTGCAGCTGCTAGAGTAAAAGCACAAGCACTGTATACACACCCAAGTGAGGCCTGACGGAAGAAGTTCTGGCGGCGTCTAGAATCTCTCTTCATGGGCAGTTTGCGTGTTCGTTTAGAGCTGTGGGACCGGAGTAAGTCAAGCATGAGGCTGGAGTAGAATAATGCTACTGCCACCAAAAGGATGTTGATAAATACCACAGCTTGAAGTTTGACGGCTTCATTGACGGGCGATTCGGGAAGAGCCCCCTGCACTTCTCTGGCCAGACGTTTTCTGATGGTGTCGGGAGACAAGATTGCAATCGATGTGCATCTGATCTCTTCATATGTCTTCACGCAGATGCCTGGTTATCATTGTATATTATTAGCATACAACCCTTAATGCTATAATGAAAGAAAGAGATACAAAACTATCCTACACGAACAGTAACGCCCTTGTTCGTCTGCACTTCGGCGAGGTATATACCAGGAAGCCCGACTGTACAGCCAGCAAGGAGCAGAGCTAAATGCCGAGTCAGTATGAAATTCGGGAAACACTCAGGGGGGTGAGCTGACAATATAGAACCAAAGGAGGAATAGCTAGAAAGAAGATTCCAATTTTCGTGGTGATTCCTGGAAGTGAGCGTGCCATTGGAAACGAGGTTGATAATGTATAGATACAACAAACTGACGAGGTTTTCAAAGATAAAATTGGTCAATTAATACCAAACTTAGTGAAGAGAATATTCTTTCATGTGAGATATCTTCTCTATTCTAAAGAGTGTCCATGACGGATGGTTATATATTCTCAAATTCTCGATACCCTTCGGCAGCATCTAGATCCGCTACAGCTAGATCAGGTAAATTGGATTATATTTAGAAGTCCGAGCAGTTTCAGTTACCGCCAGATTTGACTGACAAGAGCATAGCCTGGCCCCTCGGAGGATAATGATCTTCTCGAAAATCCCTAGAGAAGCATACCCTGCGCTGCTGCATGCATGAGCAAATCCTCTCGATATCTTGTCGTCTCCACTGGGCGCTTATTTAATTTTGCGGCTCCGCGTTACTTTTTGGGCCAACAACATCCAAATATCATTAATTCTGTAGTATGTATCTTGCCCATACAGAGTCAACCGTTCAAGGGACTAACTCTCTGGAAGGCTGTCTACCACCTATCTTTGCTTAACACTACGTTATCCTTGTAAATAGCTAAACTTCGGAGTCATTCGGTATCCACTCGCCTTGATGCGTATTTTACCGCTCGGTAAATGCGTGTGTACGAGTGCTGGAGGTAAAGGATCTGTGCCCTGCATATCTACATCCCGGATAGTTGACGGCTGACATGATCTCTCGCTAGTTATGCCAGCAAGCATCTCTTCCAATGGTTTGGGCAGGTGGCGCTAAAATAGGAAAATTATGCATGCATTACCACGCCCCCACGTCCAAACAACTTTGCACTCCCATCTCATGGCGCTTAGCTATGCACGGCTGCAATGGCCTTCTAGATCTATCACTGTCTGTCAAAACCTGCATCGTATACGGAATAAAGATCCGACAGCCACTCATTCTCCCCACTTCAGACCTGTACGTAGTCGGTGTAAGACACCTTTGGCCAATATGTTAGATGTTGGACTCTCTTTGCGATCGTTGCATGAAAATCACTGAGCCCTCACTAACTTAGTGTGATGGGGCATGGGAAAAAACTTGGTTATTTCTCCCGTTTTTACTTCCTAATTATTCTTCCAAGATACCTTGTGCGCGGTCCCTTTTGATATTAGGCTGCTGCCACTGGGCAAAGAAGGCATCTGTAAAGCCTACAAGTACGAGGCTCTCTGGCTCCGAATGTCGGAGAAAATTTTTACTTTCCGTCGCGATTCCCCATGTCAACGACGGCGCTAAACGAATTCTCCGGCCAATTGGAGTCTAGCTTAGCTGAGACGCGGAATCGCTAACTAGTTAATTAACTAGTTTGCTGCCTTATCAAATTTTACCGCCACGGAGCGACATCAACACTCCACTCTAGACCATGCCATTCGCTTCGTGAACAATAAAAATGAGCGTTAGCACCACTTGCTCTATGTTTGGGATAAGCATGCCCAATGCTCCTATACCCCCTACTACATACCGCTGTTTCTGAAAATAGAAGGACGGGATTCTGATAAAAAAAAAAAGTTCCAATAACCATTGTGGCATCTTGAGCCTCCCAGGATCCAATGAAGGACTATTGTCTGAAATGCATTACTAAGAACTGGGTAATATTTACCATTAAAGACAAGGTCTATGGAATCCAACTATGCCAAGCTGCGGTCTCACAGTTTGCTTGCTCCAGTTTCATAACTTGGATATCGGCTTTCCTCCAGTTGATCTAGATACAGATCACAGGGAAGGATGAACATGTCCCAATGGTATATCATTTAGCCGCCCACGTCTCACCACGGAAGCTGAGAGTTGGGTCGGCGAACTCTGTCTGCCGAGCGGGAAACAGCGGGTGAGGAAGATGACGAACGTAATCAAGTACCTATATCTACACTAGGGTTCACCATTCTTCTGGTCACTTTCGTTTACAGGGGTGCTGGTCTACTTGGCAATTTACAATATCACCATTCGAAGCAGTGTTCATCCTTGAACAGTTATCTAGCTATCATTTCAGCTCTATGATTGCTTTCGATTAGGTTGAAGAGATTTCATCGGAGCGTCTCCCAGGTGAGAACATAACCGAAGCGACCTCGGTGAAAAAGAACTCCATAATGCTCAATAGTACAGCTGTGCAGTTCATGAAATGAAACGTTGGGTTCACTGGATTTGGGTGGTCGACATCCCAGGCTACTGGTGCATCAGGCCGATCCCATCAAAGAGCTGTTACTGCATATTGATATTTAAAAGCGAGTGGGGATATCATGGTCATTGACGATCAAGCGGCTGGCAAACTAACGGCGGGGACGAGGATTGCCAACTTGACTAGGTCTCGAAGGAATGTTGCAAAGCCCAAAAGCCCTGTAACTAAGACCAGTCGAGACTAGAACGACTCTCGGCTTAGGCTCTGTTACGCTGATCATCGGCTTGGAGGTTCTCAAAAAGCCAGAAGCCTAAGCCAAGGGATCTACCCATCACCATTTCGGCGATATTGCCATGGATTTTTTTTGTTAATATTCAAGTCCGCAAGCACTTCGAGACTCCGTGCGAATTCCCGCCGACATTCAAACATACAAACTGCCCTAGGATTTATGCCGTGTGACACCCACCGGGACCATGTTTAGCTACCCGTCACGAGCTTGGCTATGGAAGCATGGGACCGAATCATCTTCAAGCCTATAGTGACTTTGTCCAACGCCTTTACTTGTCACTGGCGGGGTTGGCCACTAGTTACACCCTGTCATCTTGTGATGCTGACTATACAGATGGTGCACAGCTATGCCCCCGCCGCCTTATATAGCGTTGCAGCACCGGATGAACGATATTCTCTGACGACAGTGTGATTTTGTACATTCATGCTTCTTATTTACAGGTAGGACAAGCCAGTTTGTGATGAAGCCCGGCGATACATACGTCTCCTCCTCCACTGAAGTGTCGGAGGCAATGGACAACATAAAACGGGGCCATGAACCCCCCCGGATTCCCGCTACGCTTAGATGTGAACACAGGATACGTGCCAAGCTCTGAGGATTCGGATATAGCTGGGCATCTGGCATATGGTGCCCTACTGCGAACTGTGGCTAAGAAGAGATCACCATGAAATTGCTTTACTTTACCGTCCTTCTCCAGATCTCCCTGTTCTCGGCAAGCTCCCTTGCGCAGGAAGGTGGAAACAATACTGAACTTCAAGTCCAACAAACACTTCCTGGTTGGCTGCTATCTCCTTGTCCTTCCCACCGCTACTTACATCCTCTTGGCAGGATGAAGATCGTGGGATGATGCAATATTTATAGAGGGAGACTGTCTGACTTCTTTCTGCTAGGTACCGGGATCGCTGCCGTCAACTCTGTTAATTTACTACGGATCTATAGCCAAGATACTTCGGGTGGCATCCGGGAGGCCAGATTTGAAGGCTATTGGAGCGGAGGCCTCGCAAATGACACAATCGCAAAGGCCAGGGCTAATTCGTCAATTGCTGCCGCCTCCGATGATCTCGAGCTAGTAGGTGACATGTTCTCTAGATATGAGGTACAAGAGTTTTTCTTGCACTAACTTCCTGCTTAAGATCCGCGTTTACTATCTCTTGCCAAACAACACACTGGGCGAAGCTGCATCTGATTCCCAAAGCCGGTGGTATACTGGTTCGCTTAACAATTATAATTTTCAGGTTGCATCTCATTCAAGGCTCGCTGCAGTATTTGTTCCCAGCATCCAACGTCCCCGATTGCGCATATATGCACAGTTAGGGGACAATACTATCCAGGAGTTTGGATATGACGGTAAGCAGCCACGATATTTGGCCCCATCTCGCTCACCAGTATTCCCGTTATTTCAGGTAGAACCGGATGTTTGCTAATCATTTGAAAGTTGGTCGTGGATGGCAACGTCTGGCCAACTTTGGTCCTGCCTTACCAGGCACAGGTATAGCCGCTTTGACGTATACTACAGGCCTACGAAGATCAACTACTCGGTACGTCCCGTTTTTTCATTTATCATCGTCATCTTACGAATCAGTTTACCCGATCTCCCGTAAATTCACCGAGACTAATGACAACTTTACCTTCCTCTCCCTTTACAGACTTTATTTTCAAACCACAGACCGCCACGTTGTGGAAAGGGTCTATGATAACCGGTCGTGGAGTGATGGAGGCATTGTCGTACGAAAGGCCAAGTCACGCACCCCCTTAGCTGCCACCAGCTTCCTACTTACACCCGGAAACCCGCAAAGCGTCAGAGTGTACTATGGCAACGAGGACAATCGCATCCTTGAAAAAGGGACTGAAGGCGGTACTTACTGGTATGATGGCGCGTTTGAGCATTCAGCCATTCCCAGTTCCCAAGTGGCTGCCGTGGATTGGGGAAATGGCGGCGTGTTCAACATCAGGCTTTATATCCAGGATGGGGCCTTTAAGAACGGGATAAGTGAATGGGCTTGGTTCCGCCGTTCATGGCGCCGAGGGATCCTTGCAATCCCGCCCGCATAATTTTGTGCCAATGTACCTAATTACTCTAATGATAAGAAAGGATTTGATGAATGACGTGGTAATTAGTCAACAAGTATATAAGCCAAGTTGGTGAGATTAAAGGAGAATAGTTATAACTAGTTATATATCGCAGATACATCATACCATATTAAGCCGCTGCAGTGACGAAGTTAGCTCCCCACTATGGACATATATCTGAGACTCTACGGAGTACTTCTGTCCCAATAATTCAAAGAGATGCTTATGTTGTATATAAGCTGAACTATTGATTGAACAAGGAATTGATAGGCACGCCAAGTTGTGCGGAGTAATCAGTTACTGGAGAAATTGAAACTCCTTGGCATATGTCTGTGACAACCTATGCAGATCTACGGGTAGGCTACATAGAGAATAGTGTGGGGGGATGTTTTACTAAGAGCATAGTGTGAAAATTGCTATAAGGACTTCATTGATTTCGTTAAACGCCCAGATTTTGCAGTTGCAGATAGGAAGAAGAGATATAGGTAATGAAAGAGTACAGGAAAAGTCTCACGGACGAAAAGTAACATAGGAAAGAAGAGGAAACAATATGGTAACAAGTGACCGAGTGTTTCAACAGTCAAGTCGGGGTATCTATCAGTTTTGGCTTTGGTGGCTGAAGGGTTGTCAAGTGGAATAAGGGTGATTTAGTCGGCGTCCAAGTTGGCGACTGGAGCGTTGTCGTTGACCTGGATACCACCACGCTTCTTCTCGTTGGTGTCCCAGAATGGGAGGTTCCAGCCACCCTCGTCCTCAGGGGTAGAGAGCCAGAGTCTCATGAGGTGGCGGCGAGGAGCTGGTGGTGGGAAGTCCTTGTAGGCAGTACGGGCGTGGAGGACCTGAGAGTTGGAGAGGAACTGGATGTCACCAACATCGAGAACCATGTGGAGGGAGAGGCGGAGGCAGGTGGCCTCAAGGACTTCCATGGCCTCGACCTGCTCTGGGGAGAGTGGTGGGATGATGCCCGCATCGGAGAAACGGCTAAGGGACTGAACATAGTAAGGGTCCCATCTAAAGAAGCATGGTTAATTGTCTAGGCTTCGCAAAAATGTTTGAAACGTTCAAGTATCACGAATGACGTAGACTTACTTGGTGTAGACGCGGCCTCCCTTGGGCTCAAGGTACATAATGGCAGCTCTGATGTACTCCTCTTCACCAACACTAACCTCACCCTTACGATCAACGTACCAGTTGGGCTTGGTCAAGGTCTCCAGGACATCTGGGCGCTCCTCAGCGAGGACATTGTAGACGTGGTGAGAAGAGATGATATCTGACTCGCCACCCTCAAATGCCTTGGCGACGCAAAGCAAACCAACGATGTCACAGTCATCGGTGTGGAAGAATTGTCTGTTTAGGCCATGTTAGTTTCCGGCCCCTGATCACCCGTAAATTTAAATCGGAACTGGGCAAATTTACCTAGCGTTGGTTCTGTAGATACGGACTTTGTCGATCTTTCCAGAGTCTTCGCCAAGATCCTTAACGTGTCCCAGAGCGTGGCCACGGCTGTTCTGGCTGACGAAGTATCCAAGATAGGTTCCGAGACCCATGTAGGCAATGGCAGCCTTGCGGGTTCCCCATTCCTGGACTGGGAATCCCTTGAAAAGGATGAATCCCTTGCCATCAATGATATCCTTTCTCAAGACTTCTAGGAAGCTGGAGAACTTGGGGAGTCTGAAGTTGTCCTGTAATTCAACATATCAGAAAACCTATCCTTCATAAAATATAAAAGACCAAACAAAAGGTAGGTGGGAGTATCTTACTTTGGATATGGCAGTCAGGGGGATGCCAGAAGCAACAAAGGCATCAGCAGCAGCGCTCATCTCGGCGCATTCCTCCTCAGTGAAACGATGGGTCCATTTCTCAGGATTGTTCTTGTAGTCCTCAGCCTTCCAGACTGTTGGGCCGGTGATTTTCTTGGGGAATTCGGAGAACGGTCTGATCTGGTCGTAGAGAGGGGGCTGCTGGCCGGTGGTCTTCAAGCCATCGGGGAAGATATCCAAAGAGACCGCTGGCTTCTGGGAGGTGGTGGTCTGCGTAGCAGGAATGTCGTAGGTAACGGGGGCCATTGTGACGGATGGTTGATGAGGGAGAAGAGGGTGAAGTATAGAAGGGAAGGGTTGAGATCTGGGGTATAGAGCCGATCAAGAGTCAAAGTTATAGACTAAAGACGGGAGAGTCTGATCACTAGCTTTTTGCTTGCGTGCTTGCGTGCTTGTGAGGGAAAGTGATGAGCTGTTGAGTTTAGATTGAGAAGAATAGTTCTAGACGAAATGGAATCTTCCATCTCCCTTATATAGCTTTCACTTCGGCGTCATCCTCAACGGAAGAAGATGAACGATCGGCTTTGCCCAGCTTGCCGAGCCCGTTGTGTCTGTTTCGAAGAGCTAGACACCCCGTTTCCAAGGGGTTGAGACCGACTGCAACACGCCAGGCAGAAGATTTCACCACAACGGGCCGCAGATAGGAGTGTTGGCGCAAGGATGATGCACACAAAAGGCCTTGCTAATTGCGAGATCGCCTATCAGATCATGACATCTCGGCGATAGAGGACAAATGAGGGCGGAGCCAATCCGCATCCTCAGAACCGCCGCTGAGTGGGTATGGATTCCCGCCGTGTCGGCGATTGGCAAGTAGCAACATCAAGGTACGTCGGGTCCTGAAGTCTATGATCAGACAGTGGACATGGGGGGTTACACCCTGCGACACCCAAGTCGGACTAGCAAACTAGCAAACGATCCCCAGCTGGTTGTCATCGAAGTTAATTCCCAGCTCGCACTGCCTGTTCTGCTTTTGTCTGCCTTTTTTGCAGTTAGTATGGTAACTAAAGTAGAGTTGTGTATATGGTTCGACCATACAGGCGTCGCTGCACACCAGCCAAAGTCTCACGGCGGATCGAAGGCTAATGTCGCAATTCGGCAGGCAAGCTTCGCCATGGCATAAAACCTCCCCTATACCCTCCCTCCATCAGCAGGATCCGGAGAATGGGAAACCAGACCACACTTAATCTTATCGATCTCGGAACCCCTTCTCCACGCCTCACGCGATGGAGATTTGACTCGAGGCGTTTTCTCCTACACTTGGCAGTAGTGAGATTCGTCAAAACAGCTTCGGCTTGAAGGAGTTTTAACCAAGGCGGCGAAAAGAAAAATCTCCCACCACCGAACGGGGGCCCGTCGAGCCGACAATGGTTCGTATAATCGGGACAAGAGACTGAGACCACGCTACTGCGTGATACGCGGCTTCTTGAAACAAGCTTCTTCTCGGTGAATCGCAGCGGCAAAGAGTCGCGCCGAGTGCCCAGAACCCTTCCGCCGTTGTTGCAGCAGTTACAGCTGGCTCGTAAACATAGAATGCGATAGAATAATGCTGGAGATTCCCTGTTCTGCTCTCCTTTCTTTTTCCCTCTCTCCTCCATTTGACCATCAGGGTGTTATTTTACCCTCTCCATGCTCTGCAGGGAAGGCCGGCATTGGGAGGGAAGTAAGCTGCTTGCTGGGCAAGCTTAGCCGCTGGTAGCCTCTGGACACGATATAAAATAATGAAACCAGGGATCCAGCCCTGTCGAGTTTTGACACATTTTGCCGTCAACCGGCGCAGGGATCCTGACAGCCAAGGGCCCTGTCTCGATATGATCCATACATATGTACATACCAGTTGATAGATATGAAGACCTGACCCGAACCGTTGTCTCTTGCCGTCGCCGATGGGCTCCGGGACAAAACACCCATGGTCCAGATCAAAACATCCATGATATATTGAACGGCTCAGAAATACGAAGTAAATTGCTGGTTTTATTATCAGCTTGAATCCAATACTCCTAAAACGAGCAAAAAAGTCAAAGCAAATAGGACTGATTCGCGCTTCGTTATCTAAGTTGCCGTTTTTCATGCAAGGCAGCCCGGCCCGGCCTAAGCACTATGTGGTATGTGTGGTCGACTGCCCAAACGAGCAGTATGTTGGCAGCAGTTGGCCGAGTTATGCCCGTAATAGTGATCAAAAAGAGTTCAAAAATCTAGGTACAAAAAAAGGAATTCGGCGATGATGGGAAATGCCGAACTCTCGGCTGTTTGTCCACAGGAAATTGCCAAGCTGCAAAGGAATGGTGATCTTGCTCCGACATCCAAACCGTATGGTGACGACCCTGGGCGGTAGTTCCCGTTCGTTGTTTATTGGGCATCTCTCTGGTTTGGAATCTACAGGAGGGCACAACGAACGTCAACGTAAAGAGTCTTCTTATTCCCCTTCCTCCCAGGCTGCCGGAACCAACAAACGTCCGACTCAACCATTCTGGTCAAATTTCGGTCATATTTACCCCTTAAATGGCAGACTGGACACGTCTTCTCCGCGGCCAGTATGGGACCTCCAGCATCAAACGGAAGGATGTCTTTGGCTTTGAAAACTTTGCATTTAGAAAATCCGGGATCTTTGGCGCACGGCTGACCGATAATTATCCAACGGTGCTTGCAGCTTGGGGACTTGAAATAAACCGTTCGACACATGTCTCGGCGTTATAGGAGCCAGTTCTTTTTTTGAGAGGGCTGTGACTACTGCAAGGCGATATCCTGTCGGACCTAGACGGATCCTGAGATGATGTTTCTTTTCCTGATAAGCGAGAACAGCCTTCGTGTTGTACCGTCTAGCATCACCGGGCATACGGTTCGAGGGCCCAAGCATCTCCTGGACAGATGAACGAACGGACGGACAAGGGTAGCAGAATACACTTGGAGCCTGGGAGGCCATGTCTAAGAGACTTTATATAAGTATAATCCATTCTGTCAAGCAACCGTTGAGGCGTCTCATTCACACCTCTTCGAGTTTTTAGCAACAGGGTCAGCGTGAACAAGGCGACCTCCGGGTGTCTCACCCTGTTGGGAGAGTGTCACTGAACACTTGCATTTACTCATGCGGACAATCACGAGTCGCCTTTATTGCTATCCCCGTCTCCCTTTCTGATTGTCTGCATAAGCTCGTATAGTTGACCAAGTTGCTGATCTGTTCATAGCAGTCACCATCAGCTACCAGCTAACATTTACACTCGAAGTAGTTTGGATAATTTACCGCTCATTTTGTCAATCTTCGCCTTATCAAGCTTTCCATCTGCCCACGAATCACCTTCAAGCTGCTGAGCGTAGAGTTGCCACTCTGTCAAAAACCCGATCTATAATAGATGGTTAGTGAATTGTTCCAACCCCCTTGTAGCTGATCGGAATAATCCGGCGGACAAGGGCACAATCTTACGATATGGATGGGATTTTCCACGTTTCGGTGAGCTCGGAACTCGCTCTTCACGTACGAATCCCCCAGAAACCTCAAATCAGTAGGAAGTTTTTTCCGGTGAGCTCGTAGTATGCGTCGATATAGCGGTATTGGAGGCAGCAGAGCCATTGGCGTTTGTCTTAGTGCCGACCCAGAGGGAATTGACGAGGAGCTCGCCAAACGGAGCGGCAGGGAGAGCCTCATGGTCGTTTGCCTTGTAGCTGTCCAGATGAACGGTCAAGTGCGTTTCTTCTGTTGATGTTGAAGCTGTTGAAGTTGAAGGGGTTTTGCTTCTTTTTCCGCTCTCGTTAAAATAAAAAACATGCCAAGACTTGTCACATGGTTGATTTTGATCTGATAAGACAGAAGAGTTTTACTTCAAGTATCATTGAGGTCCAAAGATGATGTTTGACGTTAACAGGAAATCACCAGATGATAATGAAGAAAGAGATGTTGGATATATTGGCCGCTGCTATATGCTAGAATAAAAAGAATAATAGCCGGCCACAGAATTAGCTTAGGGATGTTGCCCACCCCGTCGACCTCGCATGTGGCCTTTGACACAATCTACGAACCAGCAGAAGACAGCTATCTCTTCCTTGATACCCTATCTGACATCGATGAGTCCACATGGCTCTCTGGAAGATTTAGTCCGGGAGCATTTGATCAGGGAAATGGTCCTCTTCCCACCAGTACCACCTCTCCATCGCCAGTCGTCGTTGAAGTTGGGACAGGCTCCGGAGTGATCCTCGGGTTTCTTGCTGCAAACTGCAAGGCAATTCTAGGAAGATCTGACATACTAACTATAGGCACTGATGTGAATCGAAAAGCATGCAGTGCAACTCGACAGACTGTCAAAGTTGCCATCTCAGACAAGTACTCGGAGGAAAATTTCAGAGCTACCCCAGCAAACAAGGAGGGAACGAATGCAAAGGTGCCAAAACCAGTTCAGCCCCTTGCTGTGATTACAGGAGATCTCTGCTCTCCATTGCGCCCCGGTATGGTTGATATCCTATTATTCAATCCTCCATATGTACCAACTCCAGAGCTCCCACGTCCCCCTTCGTCGTCAGAGGCCACCTCTAGTGCAAACGGGATGTCCAAATTTGAAATTGAATCTTATTTTCTATCTCTCACTTATGCTGGAGGCGAACATGGAATGGAAATTACGGACCGCTTGTTGGACTCAATTCCTCATGTTTTAAACCCTGAGCGTGGGGTAGCCTACGTCTTGTTATGTGCGCAGAATAAGCCCCAAGAAGCCATGGACCGGATTAATGGGTGGGGAAACGGCTGGAAGACAGAGATAGCTGGTAGAAGTGGTACGAAAGCTGGATGGGAGCGACTAGTTATCATCAGGATATGGAAGAATTGATGCCAGATGTCTTACGTCTTATGTGGCATGCCTTCCGTGTACCAGGGGACCAAGACCTTAAAAATCGCAGTATATCGCAATGGATATACTTGATGTGAATAGATCATTGGATGCTATACATTAAATTAGGCCTCTGGTTGTAGTTGAAATGAATTCTCGATCGTCCCCCCCCCCCCCCCCAAGTGAAAGAGGTTCACAATCTGTAGGTAGCGGCCCAGGTATTAGGGAAGAATAATATATAGGTCTCTGGTGCTCATACCATTTCCCCTTCTCATGAAACCGTACAAGCTTATATTTGTGAGATATTTCTGCCGTCTTTCCTTGCCATCACAGGGCACATTTTGTAAAAGAACGCCAAACCTGGATTAACAGCACTGCAAATTCAACACGCCACAACGGACACTTAGAATCCACGGCCCCGGCCACGCCCTCTGCCACCTCCTCGTCCACCTCTTCCTCTAGGGCCACCTCTGCCACCGCCGCGCCCACCACGGTCACTTTCCTTTCGTGCCTTGTTCTTTGGTTTAGGCTGGTCATCGACAAGTAGGGTATCAAGAGGGAGACTGTCGGGTAGGATGTAGTATCTTATGGTGGAACCGCGTATGTTTATTGAATCGAGGGAGATTGGGTCACGGCCCTTGGGGGTCATCTTGACGGTGCGCAGCGCGGTGTTCATTTGCGGGGAGACGGAAGCTATTGTCCCATGGAGAATGGTTCCTACGGGTAAAGTTCGTTAGATTTATTCAAAAATTCCCACGCAGGTGGGTTTTAATCCGCATTTAGCGCAGTGTGTGCCTTGATCTTGGTGGTATTGAGAACCGCAAAGTTCTCGCTCACATCTGTCTATCGGAGGTACACATCGCTTAACCACTCACCATTCTTTAGTTCGATTGTAACAGTCTCATTCGCACATTTCATAAGAAACCTATACGTATATATAACCATTAGCTTCGGTCCCAAAGAGCCTCGAGTCCTGTAATCCTGGTCCAAGCCAGTCGCGCGCACACACCTGACAAGCTTCATCTTGAAGATATAGAATTAGTAGCTGGCACGTGTACACAAGTTGAGAAGGGGACCAGAGTTATGGCAAAAGTATGACAAAATAAATGAGAATCCCCAATATAGCTAGAGAGATTGAGCTTGCAGAGCTGATGATTTGGTCTGTTGATATCTTTATTCGACGACCGAAGCTTCAAAATTGGAAGATCTTATCAGCCACGTGACCTGATGGAAGCTAAAGCTGATTGGGCCAAGATTATGACTGATCAGGCAAGTTTTAACTTCACCTCTTCTTCCTCTGCTTCTTCTTTGCTATAATTACAAGAGATGCCCCCAGAGACTTGGATGAATACTCTGTTTAATATACTAAAAACTACGGTATAATATGTATAGAACAAGAGGACATGGCCTTTATCTTTTATACCAAAATTGTACTATGACTTACAGTATAAATTGATAATACTGTATTCTGAGTACTATACTATTTAAAAATAGTATAAATTAAGGATGCTCTTCTACCATATCCCCTAATACCCCTTTAATGTTATCTTACTACTTATTAAAAGTTTTATTTATTTCTGAGTCTATATGATTCTGCGCTCTTGGTAAATAGAGATACAACTCTTTATTAAAATATTGCATTAACTGGCTGTCCACTAGTGTGGGCTTACTAGCGCGAATTCCTTTTCGCACAGTCAAATTTGATAGATATAAAGTCTAGATGGTGCATCTTCTGTACAGATTTACTACATTATAAGACTCCCAGTGTGTGCTCACTCTTTTGGCTCAGTTGTTTTGATATCTTATATTTCCTCCACAGGAAACTTCTAAAGAAGAATACACGTGTCAAACTTATACTATAAGGTAATACTTTCACTTCTTCTCTTCTCTATATCCCAGACTTCAAGTCACTGTTTGGTTAATCCAGGCGTCAGGGCTTCAATAATTGGCGACTAAGCATGAAAATTATCACACGATGCGATGTGAGAAAATTTGCCTTCATGTCCTCTTCTCCTTTCTTCTTTTCCTTCTTCTTTTTCTTTTCTGTTCTTCTTCCTCTCCTATACCAGACCATCCTCCTCCATTTGACCTCAAGAGATTGTGCCTCGATTACGTTCTTCAAGTACTCGTTCTCACACAGCCATTGCCCGCTCCCTTCTTCATCATATATCTTGCGTGCGAACATTCCAGTCTTCAATCATGAATGATATTGACCTCCTTCCAGCCACTTTATCGGGTGTGACCTCGACTCTGGGGGCGTTAGGTCTCTCTGTTGAAACCCCAGAGTCGAGGTTCGAGCTGCTTGCGGCGGAGCTGCTCAGCCAAATATTCGATTATTTGGACACAGATGATATCAGCAACGTTCGCCTGACTTGTCGGGTATTCGCCAACGCTTGCATTCGATACCTGCCCAGAAAGTGCGCGGTTAGCTGCACGAAGGCCGGTCTTGAGAGGATCGAATATATAGCCTCACACCCGCTCATCTCTCAACGCATCCAGTCTCTTACAGTAGACTGCAGCCAATTTTGGACCCTCGTTCACGGACGACCAAACCAATCATGGGACTATATACCTGCAGTTGGCCCCGAAGAATTTCCGTGGTGTGAAGCATACAAGAGAATATGGGAAGAGCAGAGACAGATAAAACAAACTGGGAAAGATAACGATATTATTTCCCAGGCTATTCCACATTTAAAGAATCTAAAATCTGTCCGCCTCTGCATGGGCAGATTCAGCGAAGACGGACGCTTGCACCGGGAAACTTACAACTCGGCGTTGGGACACTTCAGCTTTTCCTATGATAGGCCTGTTTCTTGCAGCATTCTTCAGTATCTAATGGTCATGGAATCTTTACGTGATGCGAGAATCAAGGTGGAATCTCTCGAGTTACTCGATGTTTCTTATGGGATATTCTACCCTATCAGCCGAATAATTGGGGGAATGGAGGCCAATTTCGAGCATCTTACCAACTTGTCCATCCGCGTTCAAGTTCACCCCGACAAAGTGATGAACTCTGCAGAAGGGAAACCAGAGCTTGGACGGGTTCTATCTTACGGCGTGCTGGCAGGATACCTTGAAACGGCTACACGCTTACGTTCCTTATCACTCTCATCCAAGGATGACCATGGAGGAAGAATGATGGTTTGTGATAACGCATTTTCTTCAAATATCACTTGGGAGCATTTGCATACTCTCACACTCGATAATGTCTGGATCGCAGAGCATATACTAGTTGGTTTAGCTACCCGCCACTGCAAGACGCTGAAGAACTTGACGTTGCACAAAATTATTCTCTGCGGTTCGTGGTTCACTGCCTTTCCCGCTATTCGCGAGGTTTCTTCTCTTGAAAAGGCTGTTGTTTATGGCTGGATTGGAAATCCAGTGGGTGAATATGCCCGGCGTGAACACTGGAGACTTGGTGTCTATCCCGATAGAGAGTTTGACACACCTTGGGGAGACGACGCAAGAGAGCACAGACTTGGACTCCGGGTTGCATCATTCCTGTGCAGAGATCCAGGGGTGATTGCACTGCCATTGGATTATTTAAACATGACTAGGCACTTTTGAGGAAATGCAGGAAGCAGTAGCATGAGCCGTCAACTTTTGATGTCAATCAGTTCCTTGCATTTCAATGTTAATTCACCGAGACAAGAGTTGATCCCTGCGACTATGCCAAATGTACACGTTATAATTTAACTACCAGGAGTCGGAGATAAGCCCTGTTCAATGCATGCTGCCACGATGAAGGAGGGCAACCTTGTTGCTCAACCGTCTTCCTTAAAGCTCCAATGGTCCTATCAGCATTGACTGGACCCTTGACGTGGAAAAAGGGAAGATAAAAGCCACGAAAAAAAAAAAAAAAAAAACAAAAAAATTGAGATCGCCATAAGAATTTGTCATGCCCACAGCAGACCAGTCAGAGCCAAAGAGCCTCCAACTTGACAAATACCCCCATGCATTATTCGTATCCGTGCCAGTTAGCCTGCTCAGGTGTATGTATATCAAGACTCATTTGAACCTAAATAAGAACAAAAGAAAAAGGATTGAAAACTCCTATCACATCCTCGAGCCGTTCATCAAAAGCTTAAGAGAGGGCTAATAATAAGACCATCAGTAATCACTTTATTACCGACCAGCCGCTTAATTTTACCATTTGCTAGCCTTACCGTGGTAACACAGCCTTCCCATGTCCTATTAGTGTCTCCAAACCCATCAATCAAGTTCCTAACCGGCCGGCGGATAGAAGGGAGGCCCCCCGATAGCGCATGGTTTAACCCCATATAGCCTCCTGAGAGCATGGCCAGGGGTGAGTGTGACCCTGAGCCAGGCGGAGCCCTGGTCGATGCCTGGGCTGCTGCGACTCATTGCACTCCAGCAGTCCATTGGGACGGTCCAGGAGATTAACTTGCAACAATATGTATACGGAGTACATGCATGTGTGATATGTGACTGGGTTGTCGCACAGAGGAGCTGGTCGCATGGCGTGCACATCCATTCCCCCTTTTGCATTGACAAACCTGTAATTTGGCTATATGGGAACTCTGTCCAGAGTAAACACTACTGGCTTATCCAGATACTACATGCTTTCCTCAACACAAATGAGCCCGGGAGAATCTGTGGAGCGCACTCCGCAGCCCATTCTGCTCCACATGCGTTACTCATCCATTCAGATACCATGGCCAGTAGTGTTTTCGCATGGTCTTGTGTGGATGGAAGCCGAGAGTTATTCCACCTCCTGAAGATGATTAACTAGCAAAATAACAAAAACCCCTATACTCCGTACTGACGGACTAACTACAGACACAAAGAGTCCTCGGGGAGGGAAACGGACATGTTCGGAAATGGGCTCCAGGTGGGCGTCCGAGATGGTCGTCGATTGTAGGCCTGCATCGCTCGGCTTCGGAGGGCAAGGAAACAAAAAGAGCAGCCCATCCGGAGTTAGAGCAGATCAGATCTCCGAGGCAAGAGCATGTGGTGGACCGAATTGGCGGTTAAGCAGCTTCTGGTGACCGTGGGGTGAAAGTGGACGGGACGGACGAAGCAAATACGAGTCCAAGGGGGCCAAAAGAAAAAGCATGCTTTCAGTTCTAGATCCGGCACCTGGTCGACAGCGTGCATGCGCTTTCGAAAGTTGAAGCAGAAATAAGAAAATTTACCACCAAAATATGAAAAATTAATGACGAGGAAGCCTGGAAAAGAGTCATGGCTAAACCTGAAAGGGATAACGCTGGGTGTTGCCGTCTATCCAGAGAGACTCCAGGGGTGGGTGAACGAGGCATGGGGAGTCTCCAGGAGATGGGGAAATAACTGGCCAGGAAGTTTAAGACAGACAGGTCTTCCAGAACCACGCTTGAAGATACAGCTTAGCTACCTTAACACATGAACTATTGGCTGCTTCCCTGGGCAGTCGAGCAGAGGGTGAGGTGTATCTGTACGGAGTATTTGTTATTATTTTTCCACGAAGAACAGATCACCCTTGGCAGGAGAGCAGGAGGCATGACGAACAACCACAGGACACGAAACAGCCGCCGAGACAATGGCGTTCGTATTCCTGCGTACAGCCTTTGAGGAGGTCGAGGACGACGTCGTACCACCCTCACCTCACGTAGAGTGTGAGTAGCAAGTATTCGAGCCTGGAGTCAACTACTGGTTCAGCGTGTCGACATCCCCACGCAGGCGGAGTGGGAGAAACACAACACCCTGAGCCATGCGGAAGCGGCCTGGTTTGCTCTCTGCGTGGATCGTGCTCTAGAGGTAGCATCATCGTAGTATCGAGGCTGGTTCATGATTCAGTGGCCCGCCCCCGTCTCCAATAATAATGAATCGACAGGCAGTGCACCATCTCAGCCTGCTTAACTCCATCCTCGGGCCGTTAAATCGAGGTTTCTGTGAGACGGCAGCACGGCGAATCGGTGCTCCGGGGCTGCGAAAGATCGTCGCGCTGGTCGAACTTCAGGCTGCAGCGGCTGATGCTACCCTTTTTTTGCTTCTCTCTCTCTCTGATAGTTAGCTAGTGTTAGTTGTTTCGCAAGTTTGTTTCTTCTGCCGCGCTCGTTCTCGTTGGGCTTTTTGCTGGTTTCGATGTTTTGTTTTTTCGTCCGTCTTCTCCGTCCTGATGACATAAGACAAATTATATAAGGAATTACTAAGATACACTAGTCCATTTTTGGCATTTGTAGAAACAAGGTTGATGACATAAGCGGAAAAGCACGGAGCAGGGGCCAAGCTTTTAGGTGGGTCCCGTGATCTTTACTCTTTCGGGAAGGGGGCAAGGTCCACCTTTTATCTGGACTTTACTATATTCTATTTTCGACTTCATGACGAACGGCAGCAACAACAGCAGCGGCCACGAGACAGACCAAGAGACAGGAAAAGGGACGGCGAGGAGGCAGAGATACATGCAGGCCGCAGAGATGAGACAGCGGGTCGGTGATCGTCGCTCAGGCTGAGCGTCGGCAGCCTTTGTCGACTGGCTATGAGAGCGTCGATGCGCCTAGCAAAACCTACCCCTTAACAGCTCAGCAGCAAACCAGTCAGTCGATGATATTAAGTATTCATCACTCTACGGCCACCATGTTGGCCCGATATCAGATTACTCATTACCGCTCTATGATCACCAGCAGCCAATGGCGAGAGTGGACAGACCTGCCCAGCAGCACCTGGGCTGCTGGAGGGGGGTTCAGCCTGGCCCCTTGGCCCCTTTCCTACAGGCTTTCATTCGCACTCTTTACCTGATCTCCACAAGAGCGGCAGAGGAGAGAGAGAGAGAAGAGAAGAGGGCGGGGGGGGGAGGAAAGCAAAAAAGCAACATTATAGGGCTGAGAAAAAGGAATCCAAGGATGAATGCAACATGCAATCATCGCACCTAAAGCTGGAGTGCTGGAGTTATTTTTCACCGCCTGGTGGAAAACACATATATACGGATACATCCTGAGAGAATAGGGTTTTGACTTCCGGTCGACTACTTGCTGCTAGTCTCATGCGGCTGTGCTCTGTCTCAACCCAAATATCATGCATGCCTGCTCGAAAAGGCGAAGGATTGCCCAAGAGCCACATGGGACCCCTGGCCGGACTAGGGTCGTTTAATCGTTTAGCAGGCCGTCGTGGCCGTTCAGGTTCATCGCCCAGGCTCCCGGTCACCCTCACTGCTAGTCGCTTTCGTGCAGGTTGCTCATCTCGGGCACTCGACAACCGCTGGGACTGCGTTAATCTTGATGTTGTACTCTATTTTATTTTTTTTTCTTCTTCTTCTATGCTTCTCCTCCTCAATATCCCAAACCTTCCTCCCCATTATTCCTCGCAACCCTTTCCCTTCGGCCGTTTTTGTAATAATTTGGAATGTTTTTTGAAAACATACTTAACGGAAAAAGCAAAACAGGGCAACGAAGGGGGAGCAAACTGGTTGGTAACTTGACCAGGTGTATACATACATATATCTTCTCAACCCTCTCTTCAACTTATATGACCTAAATCGACATCTAAAACAACATCTCGCTCCGAAACAGCCAGCCCAGTCCAGCATTCAATCGATATATACATACATACATATATTTATATATACGCCTCTCGCGTACATATACGGTCATTCACCAGCCTACACAGAGTACCTCCAGTGCAATCCCATCTATATACCTGCTCCTCATGCTTCAATACAGCAGCAGACCGCACACACCAGGCGCTCGCCGAAGACGAACGAGGAGCTCATGCGCAGACTCAGGCTTGCTCCCATCACCATCTCCGTCGCCTTCACCTTCACCGTCAACACCATCAGACAGCTCGTACTGGCCAGACTCGTTCCCCATGGCCGCGCAAACTTGCGAAGCCTTGTTAGGCATAGCCATCCACGATTTGTCATCCACTCCTGACTTTCTCCAGGACTCTACTGGTGCCATGCAGATGCAGGCATCCTCTCCATGCCCATCGTCTCAGCCTTTCGAAATAGGCCTCTCTCTTCGGGGGGTTACAACTCCCTCCTCCCCAAACTCCTCAACCTCATCCACCTCTCTCGGCCATCACTCCGACGCCGCTGAGGCATATAAGTATGACGCTCACTCCCACACCCATACTGGTGCTAGTCCACACGGGCAATCTTCAGGGTTAGTTGGATTCATAACAATTCATTTATATATTCGGCCTTGAACTGCAACCATCATATAACAAAAAGAGACTGTTCTTTTACATTCCAACTGACCTCTTATCATCTTACGTCAATCATACAGGCCTTTCGTCTGCCAGGTGTCGCCTCCCACGCCCTTGTCCGACTTCATGCACGAGTCTCAGCCCATTTCTGTATTAGATTATCCCAACATGTTCGGTATGTTCGGACTGCGGTTTTAACATTTAAACCAGCAGCCTTTCCCTCCCTCCCCATCTCGTACCCAAGTTTCCACCCACCCCTTCTAACAATCTCACAGTCCCCGACTACAACGTTGACGGTGCTTCCGCTTTTGATTCTCTTCAATTCAGCAACGTAGACACCCCAGTCACTGTTAGCACAGCGTCATTATCAATGTCTCCACCACTTGGCAATATACCATCCCGTCCATCTAGTGTTTCGGACGCCTTTGGCATCTACGATCAACCACAGCATCACCAGCAGCAGCATCCTTCTTCAACCCTGCAGTTCAGCCGAGATCAATGGAACATGGCTCTCCCCATTCCACGCTCGACTGTATACCCGGACCAACAGAAGCTGAGCAGGGCCATGCCAGATAACTGTCCCGGAAGCAACAGGCAGTCCATGTCGTCTGCGCATGGTTACTCAGACCTCTCGAAACCATTAGACATGCACCTCCAAAATCTCGATGGCTCAATACCCACCACCCAGGGCCAGTATGGCCTCTCCGCAACCTCATACCCACAGTAAGTGATGCCGTCCAACTTCCAACATATGTCTCGGGAAACCCCTAGCTGCTAACATTTCTCAGAGCACCTTATTATACACCTGTCCCTTCACTACCAACCACCCCCCCATCAACAAGCTCCCCGACTTTCTCGCGCTCTCACGCGCAGGCACCTTCCCACTCTCATCACCGAACACAGTCCTCCAGCTCCCCGTCTCCAACAGCTCTAAGCGAAGCTGACCTTCGCTCCAAGCCCCAATGCTGGGACCATGGATGCAACGGACGATCGTTTTCAACTTTCAGCAACCTGTTACGCCATCAGAGAGAAAAGGCCGGTCTTTCCGTCAAAGCCGAATGCCCGTACTGTGGAGCCGCCTTCACCAGGTCGACCGCACGCAACGGACACCTTGAGCGAGGCCGATGCAAAGCCATGAGGGAGGAATGATTCGCCTCGCCCATGCTACGATAACGACTCTGCTCTTTATTCACTCCCTAACGAAAATCTAATGTCCATAAAAGCGCCCTTCGAGACCTGCCTTACTTTCTCCCCTTTGCATCAGGATTACACTTTACATAGTCCCTAGTCGTCCAGACATGGAGGGTGGGAGGCCCATTATTGTTATTGCTCACAGAGGTCCATGATTTAATGTTTCAGCCTAGCGTTCACGTCCAACCAACATACTTAGGCGAGGAAAGAGCAAAAAGAGCGCAAGAGCCCCATCTTCCGGCCTCCGATTCACTCCGGAACAGCATTTTCCCTTTTTATGCTGAGATACTCGGAAAGACACGATTGCATCTTCCGATCCATGACATAAAAATGGGGCGAGCCGTTTTCTCAGCCCTCGCTGAGTTCAGCTCATGGCGAGCTCAGTGGTTTCTCTTTTCTTTTTTATTTTCTTATTTTCTTTTTTTATTTCTTCCCCCTTGACTTGCAGGGGTTCTGGGTTAGACAGGGGTTGTTTGTCAGCGGGGGAGGTTCTCTCTCTCTTTTCTCTTCTGTCTGGAGTATCTTTTTTCCCCACTTCTCAACGTATATACTATTATCTTTTCTTAAGCTTTCTTTTGTTTTCTTTTTTTCTTTTTTTTTTTTACCCTTTCTACAGGAATGGGTGGGAAGCAAGTTTACTGGGAGTACTGGCGACTGGCAGACTGGCAGGAGTTTATGGATGTGTGCATTAACATGTCTTGTATATGGTTGTTGATACATAGAAAGCGAGCGACCCTTTTTTTTTAACTTTTCTACTTAACTTTCTCGATGTCAATCTTATTTCTAATTTTAAACCTTTTTTGTGCATGCATAAAGCGAGGTGCACGTGACTTAACTCCGAGCCCCGTGACTTTTTCTTTGCGACAACTCTTATCAAGCGTCAACATCAACATCAACAGTCAGAAGAATATCAACAAGAGTACGGAGAACTGGAAGCCGAGTAGGTAAAGCGAGAGAAGGGCACGTCATATGTCCTATGAGCTGGCTTGCAAAGTACGATGCTGGCCTTGGTGACTTTCTCGCAGCTCGCAGCTCGTCACCTCCAGCTCCTGCATAATCCCTGCCAGCCAGCACACAGAATGTGTCAGTGAGCGGCTAAAACCTCCACCGCTTATCTCCTAACTCCAAGCTGACAATTCAGTGCAAAAGTGCGAGATCTGAGCGGTGACCGGATGAGCAGCGGTGCATAAGTCCGCTCTCTGCAGAAGACCGCATGAAACCCACAGCATTTCTGGTACGGCTGAATAGCGTTCATCGCTGCATATATTTCCCCCTTGGGATGCAGCCCTCGACACTAATGACCCATACTTTGCAGCATTCCAATCCGTCCGGTCTGGTCAAGCTTGTTCGTTGTGCAACAGTCGCTGGCTCATAACCCCGAGGCCGAAGTTCCGAGCAAGCGGGCCCCTGAAGTGCGGCTTGAGCCACGATTATCGCATCATCTGGTTGTTAGCACACTTGGCCCCCAATTTATGATACAAGAGAGTATGACCCATGTCGTTAACTGGCCTGGGCTGTTGACTTGGATTTGAAAAGCCAGATTGCGAACATAGCCTGGCCCTTTATCTTTAGAGGTGGAGGGAGTACTCCGTATAGCGCTTGGGTAACTCAGCAGCTGGGAAATTTCGCTGCGCAGTCCCATAAATACACAGTTCTAGTTATACCACTATATTTACTCCGTGACTAGAGCGTTGGACAGCAACAGCACCAACAATTGCACTGTCGTTCTCTTGCACATCACGCAACAGGACTTTGGCATCTGCCCACCTACCTCCATGTAAGAGACCCTTTAACTTGTCATTTAGTCGAACATACATGCATGCATGGGCTGCGTGGCTACCAGGGTCCGCCGGCCACGCGCAGTCAGGCTGCATATCAACTTATGATATTAGTTATACGTTTTGGTCGAAGGTCTCTGGGAAAACAACAAGCCTTTCGGGTCACCTAGAAACGGAAAGGCGCACATAAATGGGCACCAAACTATCCCCCCTTCCAGGTCCGTGGGACTGCCACGTTCGACCACCAACGAAAGGGCCCCCAAGTTTGAGAAAGATGAAACATACTCCAGCCCTCTCCTTTGCAGGTTCAGTGCAGCCTTTCCATCTTAATGGTCAACTACGGCCCCATTTCATCTATCATATTCTTATTTCTTGATGGATTCTACCCATGGTCCTTGTCATGCCATGCCACTCCCATGAACCGTTGATATCAACAGACGAATTAGCTTCGTTTCGTCCGTCATTCGACGGAGCGGGTACCTTTGACACGTGGACGGCGTGGCTACCACGTTTGTACCCCCATACCCTTGTTCTTGTCATTTGTCCTTGCAGCAAGGCTATGAGAAGGACTCTCTTTGCGGTATCCAAACTTCATTCGTCAGCTCACTCGGCCAGAGCACTTAAGACAAGGAAAATCTTTAGCAAGCAGCCCAGTTTAGAATACTTAAGCATCCTTTCTATTACCCGCCAATCCATCCTCCATCATATTAAATTACTCCAGAACGCACATGGAACCTCCACTTCCTTCCTCCCGAATAGCCTACCACAGAAGTACACACCTCCTTGCCCGGCCTCAGAATAATACACTTTCCGCATTCTCTAAGGAGGGTCTTGGAATTTACGTTTCTGCAGATATTCTAACTCCCCACCCTCCCTTACGTCTTTTTGTTTTGGGGGGTGCAACCCATGAGGTTCAGATGATGGTTTACTTTTCTTTCCCCATGTCGATCGGATGGAGCCTGATGCTGAGATAAAATTCATACCCAGAATAAAGCCAAATACCCACGACCCAGCTGATGGGCCAAAATCGACATGGGCCTCAGGACAAACCCTTTCTGGTAAAGTCTTGATCATGGATCCTGAATTCCTAGGGATTCCTAGGGTGATATCTCCTTAACAAATAAATTATTCCCGGGAGTTGAGGCTCGGGTGTAGATCCTGGTGGACGCCACGAGGTCGCTTTGCATGCAGGGTTTGAAAGCCGGATACTTTTACTTTTATTCTGGAGCACGTATATTTGGTAAGTTATTATAATAGTAATAAATGATGCTAGTTAATTCTAGTTTGTTAATGATAGTGGTCTAATCAATCTCGCGTGTGATGATTGCTTATTACGTCCTAGGTATTTTTCACTGGAAAGTAAAGACGGAATATTTCATGCAAGCCAACATTTACAAAAATACGTGTACGTGAAATGCTTTAGCTTTCGTTTCATATATTAATTTCCTTCATTTGCAGTTTTACTTTATGAGTTAATCATAGTACCTATTTCACGCCCTTGATGTAGATTAAAAATAATAATATCCAGATAATCTAACAGCATCTCCTTACTTACTATAGAGAAGAGTGCCTTGTTTTCCATACAGAGATTCCCCCAGACCGTCGTCGACATATAGTCGAAGGCCTTTCTCGCCATAGGTTTTATACCCTGAAACACCAAAACCAGATAACAAAGAGCCTGATAACAAAATCGACAAAAAGCTTGATGACAAGCCCGCCAGCATGAATATCCAGACAAGACTGCAAACTAAGTTCAGGATATGTAAGTTGTTGTAGCAATTCTACACACTGGACTTGACTTTGGGCATACCTCTCTTGCTCAGCGCCATATACCATTTCCAATGTAAGTAACACATAGAATCTATACCTGCTGCCTGGCTAGCGATGGTGAACAGTCACTACTTATGAATGAAAGGATGTATTGGGTGGCTGCTGATCAGATGAACGAGGAACGCATGTTGCTCATTCAGCCTAGTTATTATGGTTATGAGTATACCGTGTGGTATTACTGGTGCAGGAGCAGAAGAACAAGCAGGAGAGAAAGGAGGGGAGAAAGACAAAAGAGAGAGGGAGGAGTGGTTATCAGGTGGTATGTCGTCGGAAATGGGCCTCTCTCTTACCGTCTCCTATATTACTATGGGGTATAATAAGAGGCATAGCAGGATCCTCTCCATCGTGGTCCTTGTGGGATTGAGATTTCTCTCTTCCCTGATGAGGAAGCTTGCCGTCGATTTATACGGCGAACGAAATGGCTGGACGGCTTACTGTCTCGTTAGCGAGATGTTAGGCTGGATAGGGCTAGTGTTCCAGCTTACCTCTATGCTTATATTCCTCGGACTGAAACAAAACCTAGGCATATGTGTGATGCGACTATCGCAACGATTTGTTAGTCTAACTTCTAGCCTCTGTAGATAGGTAACATAATTATAATCACCAAGGTAACGTCTCTGGTGTACTCTGAGCATAAATGGGCATGTCCCCATAGTAGAGCAGTGTTTGTCAAGTTTTGAATAGCTGCTCATCTCAACGTCGTTCCGTTGACATATGTCGTTCTGTCAGCTGTGGGATTCGAACCCACACGCAGTTTGAATTGCCCGGAAGGCGGCTCTTACTGAGTTACCAGAGCTGACCTAAAAATAAAGGAGAATGGGTTGAACACGTTTTAATGAGGACGCGATGACTATCACTAACGAATAGCCCTAGAGGCCTTGCCAGAGCAGGTATGACTAGCAGGCAAGCCCAGAGCTTGCCAGAAAAGTGATATGGAATGGCTGGTTTGAAGGAACTTGCCAGAATACACAATAGCCTCCGTGTCCAACCCTGTTTGTCATCGCGTGTATCTTCATAATCGGTCACTCTCAAAGATGGTGTATCCACTCAAAAGCATGGTTTATGCCATGCTCCCGGGAGTTCCAGTCCTCGATACCGGTTGACTGGTTGTACGGTTGAAAAGGGCCGCTCGCGCAGCAATCGGGGATGAAATCCTAGAAGGGCGATCACGATACTGCGCTTTTGTTTCGAGATAGCCAATCAGTCTTTCCTGCAGGGCGTCATGAGCTCAGTTTCTGTAGTCACTAGGCACCTGACGCCACTGGGCCAGCGAAACACCCGGACCTGCAATATCAGGGGTCTTTAGCATGCCATGAACAAGTAGCCACATATTGAGAATGTAGATGCCGCCTTCACTGATGCATTTAGAGACCAGCGAGGCCTGGTGATAGCCTCTGTTAGGTTCAACGCTTCCTAAATACCCAAATGCAACACACTCTGAAACCAGGGCGATGATTGCAAACAGATACATTGGAACCTTGATCCAGTCATAGCTGCACCGGGGGAAGAAAATTATAGTAAGCTGGTACACTAGCCCTAGCCATCCTAGACCCTCACTCACAAGGAAATAGGCTGTCCAGCCATTATGCTTGTGATAGAGGTCAATAGCGGGCTTCCTCAGCAGGGAAGAGCAAATTCTAAATGCCACAAGGAGGAATATGTAAAGGATCCGCTTCCAACCCTCAAAAAACGAACGCACGAAGCTGTTCCAGGCTCCAGATTCGGACACTGAGGAACGCAAGGAGGGAAGAAGAGGAAGAAAAGAAGAAGGACGAGGAGGACACGGGGTTTCGCGCGCACGCGTCTGATCACGTTGCTTGCTTTGTCCTCTTTGGGAAAGCCCCGCGTTTAAGTAGTGCTAAGCGCAACATCCGCGGCTAATTTCAAGGGTTAAGGCGAAAGGCCGGAGGTAATGGATGGCAAGAGGAGAAGAAGCATCGATATCAGATATCCTGTGCCCATTGACCTTCGCGCAGCAGCAGCAGGACCAGAGCCTTGTGGACGGGATATAGTTAGTATATATGATTCCCGTTCGAAATACTCATGGAGCATGATTCCTCATCACTCTGTTTGAGATATATCACTAGGAGCGTCTACAGCTAACAGTAACATTACTATAACAACATTATAGTACGGGTATCAGGATATCATGTTATCAGTATTAGAGTACAGCCGCCAGGTGCCGGGGTATCTGCAGGAGTAGTTACTCTGAGGGCGGCCAGACATCCTTTTCCACCTAATTATCCAACGATGGTAGAGCAAGGTGGTAGTCCAGCCCCTTTCCCTGCCATGTGCCATCTATACTCTCGGTAGTGGAATATCAGATATCATCATAGCAGTTAGTAAGTAGGCAGTAATACTAGGTACTGATGAACTGGCCCAGGACGTTGTTGATATAAGTTAGCCTATTTTTGATCTTGAGTCTAACTAGTTAGTTATGTCTGACTAACTAGTTTCGGGTACCTTAGGTAACTAACCTTACCTACCTAGAAATAAGTCGATTAAAAGAAAGGGGAATTAAATAAAGGTATATACAGCATTATCCATGATAAATTCAACTATCCATTTCCCTCCAAACGATGGAGTACTACTTGTCGGAACATGGACCATCTGCGAGCTCTACTGACACAAAGATGACTCATCCTGACACTAGCCCAGTTGCCCGCTACCTAGATCAGCTTAATGACGTCACCCATCACTTGAGAAACAGCCACCGCCAACTCTGACACCGAGATGGCCATGCATCAACGGTGATAGCTATGTGTCTTATCAGTCCCGTCCTACGCAGCAGACAGCAGACAGCAGACTTGCACATATGAAATCTCATGCTACAAGCTAGCTAGCTCTCTATAACTAGTTAAGTAACTAGATAACTATATCCTGACGGTCTGCGCCAACTACGCAACCTATTAATTACATGGGTAACAATAACAAAGTGTTCCTTCGATAGGTCTACTTGTCTACTCTGCCAACTCGGAACTGCATACCTTTCCTATATCCTCTAGTCCCCGTGCGTGGGCTCATTATATATACTACACAACCTATGGAGGAGGTTTTTAGTGGCATCAAGCATGCCTTCGACTACCTTTTCCTCACGCGAGCTCAGCGTGGCCTATTGGATGAATATGAATGTTTCTGGGCTGAGGAAAAAACGGGAATTGTGGAGTATTGTATATCCTCCTTCGAGGATAAAGTGAAATCGGAATACCGTCACCGTGTTGATATCCTCAACATAATCGAAAAGGTATGGCAGTCACTCCGTGATGAGTACGGTGGGATGCTGCCACATGATTTTATCTGTACCTACTATGCAAGAAAAAGTGCTCGGCAACCTCTTACCCCCAGAGAGATGGAAACATTTCAAAGGTTTTTAGATAAATGGCTAGATGAGCCTGCTCTTGAAAAGGAGTTTTCCTTCTTAAGGCTGGATATTGCTGATTGGGTAGATCGACTTCATCTAAATAATACCGAGAAACAGGTTTCACGGACAGCGGAGGGGATGAAAAGATGGTTACTTGCTAGGCACGGAACCCTGGAGTTCTAGGCAACGATGCGAGGGCTTGGGGGATGGCTTATGTTGTTACATTCCATACTATTGTGGTTTGATTGCCCGTCGTTAATGTGTATTGTTTTTGGCTTCCTGCCTTCTACCGAAAGGGACATATATACCAATTATCGGACACAGTTATACTTTCTCTCGTGCCTGGACGGTGTTATGCTATATCATATCGCAGGGAGTCATGTCCTCTCTCAGCGCAGGGAGCAGGGCACGGATATCTCGAAGTGGTTAGGGCCCACCCTTGGTTGTGTGTTGCTCCCATACCTATTTATCTCTCTAGATTCGTTCTTCCTCTCCCTCTCTTTCTCTCTCGCTTTTTTTTTTCTCTCCCTCAGCACAGTATCACACTTCACAATGTAAGTACTATGTACTCTATAACCCTGTCAATGCTCTTTATAGCCCCCTAAGACGTATTATCGCAAATCTAACTTGGTTGATAGATACGATACTATTTGTCTAAAAAAGACAAAGAGATGAAGCAAGTTAAAAAAGCAACGGCGGCGGCAGCAGCAGCAGCAGCTACAACAGAAAAGGAGAAAGCCGCCAGTAAATGGGTGGAGGCCGCCGCGGCATGGGCGGTGACCCTGCGCGGCGGGCCGAGTGACCCCAGTGCCGGCCCCCAACACCACCAACGCCGCCGACGCCCGCGGCCACACCAAAAGGTCAAACTTAAGGCCAGGAGGGCGGAGAAACGCAGGCAGGCAAGAGAGAAGGAGAAGGAGGAGAAGGAGACGAAGGAGAAGGAGAAGGAGAGGCCAGAGGAGGAGGAGAATAAGGGGATGGATATCCCATTTAGACAAAATTAAAAAGGAAGTTTAAGCGATGCAATAAATGATTTGCAGAGGCCGCTCTCTCTCTCTCTCTGAGCCTCTTTCTACTCTGTACTCCTTCCTTACTTACGGTTTCTCTTACCTCTACTACTATAAGGCAGTAAGAAGTAAAATAGGAGTAGCAGGAGCGTCAAATAAGAGAGAGGTAGGCAGAGAAGGGTATCAAAGCCAAGTGAGAGAAAAGAGGTTGTTCATATGGGAATAAATGACCGTATTATGCTCACTGGTCCTTCCTGGCCATTATTATCATTCATTATCATCATCTGCTGTCGGTATTTTGTGTTTGAGTCTTTGCGTCGACCTCACTGTCTATTTTTAGACCTATCACGTGATGACATTCAGATAGGAATAATAAAATTACGAACGTCAATTATTAAGCAAGTTGTTAAATGCAAACTCTACAAACATACCGTATAGGGCTGTGACTAACCGTCGAGTCGAACTCTCGCAACATCGCAAGGAGTACGGGGTACCAACGTCAACCGCAACATCAAACACCAAACATCAACGTCCATTTGATATTCAGCAGCTAGAGCAGCGATAATAACATCAACCTCATCATTGTATCTTCACGATGACCTCCTCTTTTTGAGCAAGCCGCTAGGAGCCAGCCGTACTCGTCCGAATACCTGCTCCAGTTTGCCTCTCCTTTATCAAAGCGATTTCCTCGATTTTGGGACATACAGCTTTTACAAGATATCTGTTCACTTCAAAATGGTCAAATTACTCTATCGAACCTTACGACTCTACTATTTCTATGCTAGCACTCGGTACCTCGGGTTATTACACTGCTACTCGAGGAACATACGAACAGGAGCGAACTGCTGAATGACCATCTATCTACGAGCATCACCGCACTTCCTGACCAGCACAAAGGAATAGTAAGAAGAATAAGAAGAGACACGAAGAAGCGAGCGCGCGGTACCAGTTACATCCTAAAAGGGCATATCCCCATTTAGATAGGGTGGACATCGGTGCCTATGGCGTCGATATTTACATTCGATCCCGACCTTCCCCGGGTTTCATCTCCATGGTCCAGCTCTGGAGCAACAACGCCACGCTATCAAAAGGGTGGCCAGAGTAGTTCCTGTGGGCCAAGCCCCATTGACACAAGTGACCCTGGATTTCTCGAAGCGTGTGGCATCAAGAAACTGGAACCAGAGCCTCAAGATGGGCCTACAGAGTATAAACTACATTTACTCTTACGCCCTAGGCGGCCTTTCGTTTCGCTGTCTTCGGGGGCTCAGGTCTCAGGTTCACATCATTCAAAATCCCATGTCAACAGTGTTGCGGAAAGGGATGTTTCTGAGTCCCCTGAGCCGGTTTCACGAGGTGCACAGTCATCTTCAAATTCGCCAAGACAGGCTCGACTATGTCAGCTTACCACCCAGTTGCTGTGGAGGCTGCAGCAGTCCTCACCATTTCATTCATCCTCCACTGCCAATCTAGTGCTCCCTGCCCTCCCGGAGGCAACCGAGTCTCTAAATGTACCTAGTACTCTATCCCCGCTACTGCCGGGGCTCGAGGAGAGTCAGGGAGCGTTATATGAAATTGGCGTCACCGATGACGGCACCTTTGCGGGTTTAGCGGAAGATGAACTGGATGAGAGTCTTGTCAACCTTCAAGCTATGGCTGCAAGCTTGGGCTGTCGAGTTGAGGTCCTCCGCCGTGTTGCAGTCGGGTACTGTAAATGGGTGGAGAAAGATGGCTTGTCTACTCGAACCGAGAAACTTTGGGTCGCGGAGGCCTTGGTCAGCCCCGATTTGAAACAGTGTCGCTCTCAGGTATTAACGGATGACCCATCCGGGCGTTGGAAAGAAAATGGTGGCAGGTCATCTATGACGCAGCAACCAGTTTTGACTGAACAGCTTCATGTGGCAATTGCAGGGGCATCAGGATCTGGAAAATCCTCTCTTCTTGGAATACTATCTACCTCTGCACTCGATAATGGGCGTGGGAAAAGCAGGCTAAGCCTTCTCCGACACCGACATGAGATTGCCTCTGGTGTCACAAGCTCCATTGCGCAGGAGATGATCGGGTATCCAGCTCCAGTAAATGATGACAAACAGGTAACTGCCTCCTCGGATGTCATAAATTATGCATCTGGAAACATAAATTCATGGGATGACATTCATGTTTCTGCACGTGGTGGTGGACGTGTTGTCTTCCTGTCAGACCTTCCTGGCTCCCTGAGGTATGTAAAGTCGACGCTCAGAGGACTAATGAGCCTCAGACCGCATTACGTGCTTCTCTGTGTCCCTGCAAACAACTCTGAAGACCCTGGGTCCATTATACCACCTGAAGTAGGCATGTCATTGGCCTACCTTGAGTTATGCGTCAAGCTAGAAATTCCTGTTGTCGTGGTAGTAACCAAGCTCGACAGCGCAACCAGGTCCAGCATTCGACAGACTCTAACTCAGGTTCTCTCTGCCATTAAGTCAGCCGGCCGTAAGCCTGTGATGCTTCCTGTTCCTGGAGAAGTGAATGAGCAAGACTTGGACCTTCGCAATATCCCCCCAGGTGACCGCAAGGACGCTAATGCTGCTATTAACTCCATGGGCGGTGACTGTTTAGACGACGTTCCGATTATCATTACCAGTGCAGTTACGGGTGCTGGCGTCGGGAAATTGCACGCCTTGTTACAGACGCTCCGTATGCCTACTCTAGAAAAAGTCTCACCCCCAGTTAAAAAGTCCAATGAGGACAACGACGAACAGCCGAAATCCCTTTTTGATATTAGTGAAGTGTTTGAGATGCCGCTCTTCAAAGTATACTCTCTGTCGAGTGAGGGACAGCGACAAAATGATCGAGGCATCGTTCTCTGTGGCCGTGTTCGCCGTGGGGTTATATCTATCGGAGACCGTCTCGTTGTGGGACCAATAATCCCCGAGTCTCGTTCTCACGAACCAACCCATACACCACCACGGGCGAAAGCAGCATATAGCAAGTCACTTCCTGATTCTCTGCCTTCTTCTCGTTTTCGGAAGTTTACTGGAGACAGTCTTGAAGCACAGTCTCAAACGCATGCAGTTTGGAAACAAGTCCGGGTTGTTAGTGTACGTAACTTGAGACTTCCCGTCAAAGCTCTCTTTGAACATCAAATTGGCACCATCGGAGTTGACTTCGTTGACTCTTCGCTTTCGACGTCGCTCGGACGAATGCGTAAGGGCATGGTGCTTGCGGATTTTAACTGTGGGTATTTATCAAACTCGCTACTTTCTTCGCAGAGACTTTCTACCTCCGCACCGCCCTTTCACTCTGGTTTCATTGCTCGATTCCATGCATCCGACTTCTCGGCGTCTTCTCCTGTGCTGGTTTCAGGAAGTACCTCGGTGGTATACATCGAAAGCATTCGGGCAGCTGCCCGAGTAATACTGGTGGAACAGGCACGACCGCATATTTCCATTTCCCATGGGATTGAGCCAGAGATTTTCATGCTTGACGCTGCTGACCACAATAATACTGAACGTTTCCATGGGGACGATGAGATCAGCGTTACTTTCTCTCTCACATCTTCAGCTGAGTGGCTTGAAGTGGGATCGCTTGTGCTCGTAGTTCCAGGTACAGGTGTAGGAGTCATAGCCACTCCTCCGTCGTCCTCGTCAAGCCTACCATCGATGGCTCGGTCTGGCCTACCTAGCGCTCCTGGTCTCAACGGCCTCGTTGGCAGAATTTGCGAAGTCCTCCATGTTTGATATATTGCCTATCTGGCCTCTTACTGCCTACCTTACGCCCCATGTTTGACTGCTGCCTGTCCGTACTGATACCCCTTCACACCCATAACACATGTTATGGCAAACACGTCTTTAGGAGCCGTTTGATATTGGCGTACTTTTCTTTATATACTCTTTCGACTTTCTTCTCTGCTCTTCTCTGCTCTCATTTTGTCCGTCTTTTGTTCCTATTAATTATCTACAAGCCACAACAATCAAGTAACTATATTCACCAAGTGATGTATACAGTAGGCCAGGGCCACGTACACGTATTCTTAGGCCCAGTACATCTTGTAATCCTGTCTGCCTGGCGTCAAGAGTACAGCTTGTTCATTTCGGCTGTGACGTCGCTGGCGCCCGCAAGTCTTTATATAAGCGGTTAGAGTGGGGAACGCAACGCTTACTATTTAAATCCCTTAAGTTATCCGCCGCCGCAGCAAAAAGGAAAAACGTCCAACTCGCATTAAACAAATGACTTGATCTTCCGTGAGGTCACAGGAACGCAGCAGCTACCAGCTTCTCAAGGGCACATTCATATATCATCCGGCCTGGATAAAGCACCTGTGTAAGCTTGTTAAAAGGACGAGGCGGAGTCCCGGCCTGACGGTTGCGGATATCTCATAGCCTGACTGAAGCCCGCCTCGATTCTACATCCTCTGCACGCGCCGAAAGCTTCGACCAGCAATATCCCGACAATATATTACAAGTCCCCTGCGATACGTTTGAGATACATAAGTGGACGTCAGCGTGAGCCCTCATGGCGGAGTTTTTCCAGGAGCTGTTCTCCAGCATCTTCACCCCCGGAGCAACGCCCACCCTCCTCCTCGCTACTAACGCTACCTTCGCCGCTCTCCAAGTCGTCTTCTTCGTTCTACTCGTGGCTACCTACAGCATTCACTTCCTCATCCTCTCCTGCATCAGTGGCGCATTATGGTACTCGATAAATTGGTTTGCGAGCGAGGTTAAGGCGGAGAATGAACGGCAGAACAAGCTTGCAGAGGGCAAGGAGAAAGATGATAGGGGATCTTCGACAGATCTCAGTAGTTTACGTGTGAAGAAGGAGGCCTCGCCTGTCGCCCGTTTATCGGGAGCGATGTCCGATTCAGCTGAGAGTGGAACTGAGACGGAGAGCATACGTGCTGGTCATATTGGAACCCCAAAAGTATCGGGCGCCTCTCCGTTGAGCGGTGGTGCTACTGCGAGGCGAACTACACCCTCTGCGTCGGGCGTACAGGTGACGCTGACGCCAGAGAGTAGTATGGACGAGCTCACGCTACGAAAGCCATCTGGGGATAGTTCTGGATACATCAGTACCGACAGCGAATGGGAAAAAGTCGACGATAAAGACCGATAAACCATTTCTGACGAACATGTTCACGAAGTAATAGTGATGTCTTTTCTTTGATTTTTCTTTAGGTGAAGTAGATCGAGAGATTTTATGTTTGGATCGTCTCCTCCCCACGTTCATTCACACCTTACACGTTATGTATGTCCGGATATCTTGGGTATATCAGATACAACCTCCTACTTTACCATAACTCATAAAATATGTTTTACAAGATACCCAGACCGGATTGTATTGTCACTAATATTCCGTGTCTCCCCCTTTGCACGACTGTGGTGTTAGCTGTTGCTTGCCTTCAATATTGATGTTTGACCTGGTTATTTTTGCCTGCTTAGCCTCTGTGCCCATATATAGAGACAGAGATAGTCATAATACACAGCTCGCTACTCTGGGTATCCAGGCATTCCCTGAACCCCTGGAGAAGTCATCAAGAAGGTGATCGTTAGCCTCGACAGTCTATGATAGCTTTCAACGCGCTTGTCGCGTCTTTAAATAGCCGCTTATCGCTTGGTCCGCGATAAGTATCACGTGATCGTGTTTATTGATAAGGAAGTCGCCAAAAAGCGTTGAAGAAACAACAAAACGAACAACGAACAAAACTGACGAACTCATTTCATGGTGATGGAGGGGATGAATCGTGAATCTATACCACTAGAACTCAAGCAATTTTTAAATTCACCGATGTGAGCCATGTTCCAGCACGTTCCATCTTCCATTGGCCAAAAACGTGTTTTCGACTCTGTCTTCCCGCCGTCCTTGCTCAGCGGCATATCTTCAGATGTCACTCGGGTCCTAGGATACGCACCTCCAGGCGCGTTATTTGGCAGTACACAACTATCTTCCGATTTGGAAAATGCTTCATCAACCTCGGAGGAGCCAGAACCAGAACAAGTCACATGGGACCGGTCATGGCATACAGCAACGGCATTCCTTGCTATCCCAGATAAGCGATTTAATATCAGTAATAACGGCAATTGTGATGACCATATAGGAGATAGGGTGCTGCTAAAACGATGGGCCCGAGATCCACCTACAACGAAAACACGGGATAGTCTATATTATGTAGGTGCCGACGCATCCCAGGGAAAAGACCTGAGGAAAGAATTGAAAGAATGTGATCTCAAACTGTGGTACATAAATGAAACCCGTCGACACTTTTTAACTAATTTTAAAGATTCTCTTATTCATGTAGGTTTACAGATGCCTACCTCCCATTAACCACGTCCTGTCAGACTGCTGACTATTATAGATTTTACAAACCACCGAGAAGAAGCATGTCCTTACCCGGCTAATTCGATATCTTCGTCTTATTCAGAATATTTATTATAGCCCCTTTTTGAAATATATATTACCGTTATCAGACCCAATGGCGAGGGATACGGGTTTTACGGCTCTTCGTGAGAGTATACACGCAGTCACCACGTTTTCTCTTCCCCATTCATTTTTTGACATTCTTGCCACAGAACTCAGTGCTGCGTGTTCTACAATTCTCGGAACAAAGAATAGTGGTGAAAGACTCAGTCCTGCAGATACGGACGGTGATGAGATGGATGTCGATCCAAAGTCTCGCATGTGCTACAGTAGCTGGAGAAAACAACCACCCAGCGATAGAATTTCTTTGATCTCAGAAAGGGAGATACCTGGAGCCATCGACGCGAGACATGGTCTGATCCGCATACTAGAAGGGCTTCAGGAAGTCGGATTGGGTGGTCAAAAATGCCAGACTATATTTGCCAATGTGATGAACAATATGATAACAGAGTTTGTAATAAATTCATACTCTGGGCTATGGGATACTCCGTCATTTGCCATCGAACACTTACGTCTGTGGATCGGAAAGATTTTTGGGCGGCTAGTCCTTCAAGTTCTTCAATGTTTGAAACAAGGTGGGCATGGGGTACCACGAGGTGAGGAAAGCATCGATGCTACCTTGACAGATATCCAAAAATGGCAAGAGATTGCTGTTACTCGACTCGCTGCCTTACGGATAAGCGAACTCTTCGATATAGTCGTTGAATGGGACGCAAGTAGCGGAGCAATTGAGGATCTGAAGAGCTATACTACCAACCCAATGACACGCCTTTACCTTTCGAGCATGTTCAATACCTCCATCTTTCAACGACTCCTTCACCCAGGTGCCTCTACTGTCGAAATATTGCAACTCTATATTTCTATAATCAGGGCACTTACTCAACTAGATCCAAGAGGAGTGTTGTTAGATAGGGTGGCGCGACCTATACGCAGGTATCTACGTGAACGAGATGATACAGTGAAGGTCATCGTGAATGGACTATTGGCTGATGTGAGTGAGACGAAGGATCAGGAGAACACGGATCCAAATACGCTGGTGGAACTGGCAATTGAATTAACGAGTGCACGCCAAGCATCCTTGCGGAATGATTCTGGGGAGCTTGACTGGGATGATATGAACTGGGTCCCTGACCCTATTGATGCTGTGGTTGACTATAAGAGGTCAAAACAGTCCGACGTTATAGGAAGCATGATAACTCTATTTGAATCCAAGGAAGTCTTTGTAAAGGAACTTCAGGAAACATTGTGTGGCAGGCTGCTAAGCAGGAGCGGATCATTCGACCAAGAGGTTTCCGTATTGGAGCTGCTGAAGGTTCGCTTTGGTGAATCAGCACTCCAAGCTTGCGAAGTTATGCTCCGTGATGCACTTGACTCCAAGAGGATTGACACCGTTATCCGAACGGATAAAGGCCTTGACCAGGGACCTACAGCCGGCATTCATACTAAAATCCTATCCCGTCTGTATTGGCCTGAGCTCCAGGAACAGGAGTTTAAAATTCCCACCGAAATTATTGCACTGCAGGAAAAGTATTCTGCAGGTTTCGAGTCTCTGAAACCTTCCCGAAAATTAACTTGGTTGAACGGCTTAGGAACAGCTACTATTGAACTTGACCTTGAAGACCGCGTATTCAAGGATGAGGTGACGACATGGCAGGCTGCTGTCATATACTCATTCCAATCAGATGAGAATGCCACAGTGTCAAAGTCGGTCAACGAACTATCCAATGAGCTAGACATGCCTGCATCTCTTGTCCGCAGCGCCTGCTTATTCTGGCTGAGCAAGCGCATTCTCATCCAACAACAACCCGATACCTTTACTGTCCTCGAAACACTACCTGACGATGAAGATCCTGGAGCCTCATCTCAAAACCAAGCACAAGCTCAGCCAAACTCCGACGCTAATGCCGCCGCTGCCGCTGCCGCTGCCGCGGCAAAGGAAGCGGCAGAAGCGGCAACAATGGCGAAAATGGATTTGTACTGGCAATTCATTAAGGGTATGCTTACGAACCAAGGAGCCATGCCTCTACAGCGTATCATTATGATGTTAAAAATAGCTGTTCCCGGAGGATTCCCATTTAGCAGTGAGGAGCTTAAACAGTTTATGGGAAAGATGGTTTCAAACGGGGAGCTTGAGATGGTCAGTGGTGGAAATTATAAGATAGTATCATAGACATCATTCATTGGTATGGCATAACTAATAGTATCTGTATGTAACGGCGAAATCACTGCCAAAACCGTCAATGGAGACACAACGGGAAGTTTAAATAAGCTTAACTTCAATTAACTTCCATGCACAGAATATGGAGCGACCAGCCCATCCAAAACTTACATCAGAGTCTCTTGCTCGTATTGTATTGCTTTCCCTTGCAGAATCATTAGAATGCAAGTGAGCAATTCTTGACCGTCTAAAACCTTTAAATGAAGTCCAACCACTGATGGATCGTTGGCCCTAACCAGTTTGCCCTCATGAATGACCCAGTTACCCAAGCAAACACCCGCATCATCATTATTATTTCCAAATACTTCCATATTCAGCTGAGCCATGAGTCCCGGAATTGCTTGATCGATATATTTCATGTTCTGCGTAGTGCTAAAGGTATTTTCGACGTACAGCCGAAAGAGTCGGATTGTCTTTGTTGCACCGACTCTCTTCAGCCTCCCTAGGGCTTGCTGCTCGACTGATATTGGAGCTGAGTCCCAGAATACCAAATTACGGCAATGGCCTTGCAAATTTAGTCCTGTGCAGCACACCCAGAATGATGTTATCAAGATATAACATCTGTCCGGAGACCTGTGAAATGTATCAGTCAGGATTTGTCGGTCTTGCACATTCAATCCCGCCCTATACGAATGCGCATCTAAGTCAAGGAGGTGTAAGACCTGAAGAGTAACATTAGCGGATCTCCAGGACAAGGGATGATGCGGATAATTCATACACTCTCTAACCAAAGGACCTGAGCAGGCATGGTAACGAATATCAGCAACTTTTCCTTGCGTAGAATTACCAACTCTGCTACTAGTTGTAGAAGATATCGTAGTTTTGGCGAACCACGACAGTGGCTCCGTAGTATCTCCCTGGTATCATCTTTTGAAGGCAGAGGATCTATCTGGGTTTTTGCCAGACCTTCTGGAGAGTCTGCTATTTGATAAGGCCTCTGTCGTTTTGCGTTGTTAACATCACACAAGATCGTATGTGCATGCAACACTCCATTTTTTCGACGGTCATTTAGCTTCTTGGCTGTATATGAGGAGATAATATGGTCAAACTCTGTCCAAGTTGTAACTAGACAAAGTCTTCTGAATTTTGGGGCGCTTAAGGTGGCTAGAGCATCGTTACCCTCATCGTCGCCTTCTTCATTCTTGCCCCGTCGACGGCTACGAGCTGATGCCACACAGTCGCCAAATATTCCTTCATATATTTTTTGCTCTTTCGGGGTGAACGCAAGATTGACAGATATATTCTGAACGGCTGGTAGAGCCTTGCCCACAACCTGGCCATCAACTAAAGACCCGTATGATCTCTTGATCATACATGCTTTTAGGACCTCCCTCATTCTCTCACCCTTAGCGACTAAACGAATGTCTCCTTTGATTATATGACGTTCAACAGATTCCGAGGTATATCGAAGACAAGAAGCCGGTTCGTCGGATTCAATATCCCAGGGATCAAACCCTTCACCACCGGCCGTGTTTTTCCACGCGTCAGTAACAAATACACCAAGTTTTTCTAGAGATTTCTTTGACCAGGGATCCTCATGCGGCTCCAGCTGGTAGAGAAGCCCCAGAATGTCCGAGAGATCATTCCAAATGGGGGTTGCGGTAAGCAATAAAACCGATGGAGCCTCCAACCAGCGTAAAGTGACTGCTGAATGTATTGTTTTCCTCCTTATTTCATGAGCTTCATCCACGATAACTCTTTTGAAAAGCCCTTTCAGATTATGACACCACCACTCAGGAGCGCTCTCCATCCCTTTCATTATGTCATTCACAGACTCCATAACAGAAGTGTAAGGGATAGACTCATCTTGATCCTTAATTTTATTCCGAAGTACTTTTGTCAAGACAGAGGGCCCATGCCGCGAAGTCAAGGTGCGAAGCGAGGTGATAATAGTCGTTCGTGCGGCTTCCTCGGTCTGAGAGAATACTTCATTGTCTTTGGAGAGAATATCTGTTAGATACTCTATTCCATCTGCGCTAGTTTGGCGTTTTCCCCCGTAGTAGATTTTCACAACTAGGTCTGACGATATGGCTTTGATTGCCGAAGCCCACTGATGGATCAAATTTGGTGGGACGACTATGAGAGTTGGCCGAGGAGCGACTACCTCTAGGTTTGACTCCAGAGCAGCCTTTCTCAGGTTCCAATGCTATAGATGCAGTTAGTCGACACTTAGATAAAACTAGACCAGGGGGCTCACGTATTGTTCCAAACCGATGGCCTCAAAAGTCTTCCCTATTCCTACCTCATCGGCAAGAATACCCCCACGGAGATAGCCTTCTTCAAATTCTTTGATGGCTTTTATAGCCAGAGGCTGCCAGAATTCGAACTTGGCGCTGACCAGCATTCCTGGTAAACGGGGTATATCCGGGTTTGGGATCCCAAGGGCTTTACAAGCTTCAGGATGGCCCTGACGCTGCAGATCTTTGTTGTCAATCCACTTTTCCTGCTCACGGTATCGTTGAAGGTCCTCGTTTGTGGGCTCACACAGTATGAGTCCATCTCTAGCTTCTCCCTGGACTTCGTCGGAGTCTTTTGATGCATGTAACCACTATAATTTATTAGTAAACTTGGATAATATCGGGGGGTCACTCTTGCTCACCCTTATACTGTCCCCTCTAGCATCAATACCTCCCGTCAAAAGCTCCCACTCGCTGTTAATACGTGAAGGAAAGGATTTAGTCACCTCTTGTATCAAGGACCATTTGCAGAATCGGTTTTTCAAGTCAAACCCTGAGGTCACCTTTTCGGAAACCATGATGTCGAATAATAGCTTCCTCGAAGCATCTTCATTTTCGATCGTAGGTATATCTAATTCTGCAGGACAATTCCTGGTAGTCAAATCAACTGTCACCTTTCTCTTCAAACCAGCAGCACGTTTCGAGAATTCCTTGAAAGAATCGCGGAAGATAGGGTCATCAGCAACAAATAATTCATCGATTTCATATCCACACTCCTTCAACTGCAGTCCAGTGCAGATTTCTTCAAGAAACTGCTCGTAGGTATAGTGGACCAGCCCGGTTAGAGTAATCATTGTCTTCTTGCCGTTATTTTCCATGTCCGTCGGAATATCCGTCCATACGACACAAGCGGCTCCACCGTCCGGATTAACAGGCGTAGGAATGGCTTCATTGTCTTCGGTTCGCCAGTGGTCAAACTCCCCCGCTGCCTTCACCCTTTTATTTGGCCTCTGTTCACGGGACGCATCCAAGTTCAGCCGTAAAATCACTTGCCAGGCTCTGGTGGCCATCTCAATCTCATTCATATTCTTGTCATAGAAGATGCCATGTCTATCTGCTTGATTCACAGACTGTATCTTGTAGAGAAGCCTTGCCTGCCAGTCTATGAACTTCCAAGTAGGCGTATCTGGAAAGTCGCTGGAAAATTTCCGGGCCCCTCTTGCTTCGCCTTCGGCAAGATGCTTCAGTACCGAGCGACAGTCTACCAGCCTTGCTTTTTTATCCCTGGATAACTCAGTACATCCACGCGTATATTCATCCCAGTATGGTTTGCATAACGTTCCCCCCATCCATAACTGGAGTGCTTGCACTGTATCGAATCCGAGGAGCCCCGCAAGCTTATCCAAGGATTGATAGACTCCAGTAACAGCGCTCATGGCAAAAAAAACCAAGTGCAAGGCTGACGGTTCTAAAAGTAAAGAAATGTAGACACCATCAGCGGTATGTAGAAGAATATGCTCTAGCGTATTGGTATGCTGCGTATCCTGCCAACGCGAATCCAACCATGTAGACAGGGAAGCAAGCAATTTCATGCATTTATAGCGTGTCTGATCCAAAACAAAGCCAGGCTTAAGCTGTAATCATGCACTAAAAAGGAGGGTCCAACTAATCCATGTATCCAGAGGTATTGATAAAAACAGAAAGTACAGGAAATAAGGGGACTATTGTAAAGTTAGTGATAAATTTGGAGTGGCTGATATCTATCCAGGGGTATATTTGAGGATTACAAGCAAAACACTGAGATATTCATGGAAAGTACCGGAACTCGCCATCTGGTCCCTTTTATGAGTCAAAGAGAAGTGTCTAGCTTAATAACACAATGGAGTCTGGGAGGGAATGATGCCCAGGGAGCGACGGGGGCTTGTAATTGGAAACGTGGAACCATCATAGAGGTAAAGAAATGTCTTATTTCGTCCTTGTGTTTAATACACCTTTCCCATTTTACTCCCTTACGGGCCATATTGATACTTTCTTTCTGGTCTTCTAACCCTTTTAAGCTCCCAACCTAAGCACAGGCAGCGACGGAGGCAGCAACACGGGAACAGGCTCGTCTAAATTCAGCAGAAGTCACTAGAGGCCTGCTGGACCCAGCCACAATTCGCCAACTGTCATCCTCGGGACATTTTGCATAACGGGTCCGCGAAGGGAGGAATCATCGAATGACCATAATGGCATACAAGGGTTGGTACAAGAGCTTCATACGCCCCCTCACACATGTGCATGGGGGGATATACAAGACCATGAAGCCAAGTAAGGATGAAATTTGAGAGAATCCAGTATTAAATCAAGACGACTCTTCGTTAGCAGATTTCCGGAAGAGTCCCTTAGTTTCTCATCATATACCGCTTTGTCCTTCATCTTTGTGGATAAGACTTCGTCCGCATCAGCAGCCCAGTATTTGTATGTAATTTTTGGATATCTGAGCCTTTGCGATAATCTTGAGCATATCGTGGCTGCATATGTTGGTGAAACAAGTTATATAACCCTTTCGGGCTGTCGAGTGAGGGCAAATACCAAAACGTCCCTTTACTCAGCCCCCTCCTCATGATACTGGTGCGATACAGCTCAACGCCATTAATAGGGGCAGGCACCAGTAACCTCTCCTCTTCCTCAAAAATATCGGTGGACTCTTTACAAGTGTTGGTGAAAACTCTAGATGCTCGTCTGTAAGCCCATCCACAAAGCGGCCTGACATCCACCAGGGGGAAAATAAATGCTCCACTGGGAGCGAGCATGCCCACTCGAGGTCAATCATATACTTGATGTGCCAATCCTCATCAACAAATATGTTGCTCTGGTGAAGGTCGGTCAATCAAAAGAAGAACGGTCCGTGGTGGACGTCGCGGCTTGTATAGTCTGAGAGTATCGTTCGCGTCATAGCAAGATTGGCCATCTGGGAACGACCGTCTTCTTCATCATTCATGGAGTTTGGCTGATACCGTATACGGTTATCGTGATAAAACAGCGTGTCACGGAAGTAAGCCTCTGAGGTAACATATGTCGTCTTTCTGTCAATACCCGTAGGTATACCCAAGTTCTCAAATTCATGCAATCGAAGGGTAAGCGGCCGATTAGTTAGATGGATCAGACCCTCTGAATCGATAGTCCAAGAGCCAATACGAGGCTGGGGTACACGAGTTAAAGAAAGCATAACGCGCGAAAGGTCCCTGAAAAGGGTCTGTCTTACAGTCATCTTGGCGTTGTTTCTCCCATTCAACGGAAAGCATTTGTACGCCTGGATCCGCTATGAAGTCGACGAGAATATATCCTTGCTCGAAAGGCCTATCCCGAATGCAGCTTATATATCGGCAAGGTAGAGTGTATCCAAGAAGCCACAAGACATATCGTCGGAAGTACCAGCACCACCTTGCAGCTAAAGGTACAGTACTAGGGTCAACGAACTAGAAACCATTCAATAAGTATTTCCAAGAGTGGAAATGACTTTACGAGTTAAGTTATACCGTTTGGCCATCAACAAATCCAAAACCCCATAGCTTTGGTATGGGAACATCCGGACAGTTTTCCTGCATCCATTCATAGGTTGCAACCCCGCAACGGAGTTTCTCGTCCGCGTTTCCCGGATAATTCGTCTCTCCGATTTTGTATGGTAATGGAAAGCGAATTAGAAGTCGCTTCTCAGTTGAAGTGACCCCTTTGTTCACATAAATGGGGGCGCAAACGTTGAAGCTGCCGTGAAGCCACTCTCTAACATCGCCAACACGACATTGCTCTGGTGAACTTAAGCCCAGTTGGAATGAAACGAGTTCTTGATCCCTTTCTTATGTTGAACTATCCACAGAAAGAAATCAAATCGCTTGTCAACCAAAGAAAGTCGAATAAGCATGTCCTCCTCCTGAATGAGAGCATCCTCAAGTGTGATCTTGCCTCTTAGAAGAGGGAGGGTAAAGAGTTCCTTGGCTTTTGAATCTTCAGCCGTAGAATCTTTAGAAGTGAACTCCGTAGTTGTCGTGCCTGGAGTTGAAGACTTGGCAGTCCCCAGCTCATTGGAGATTTGCTCAGTGGCTGTTGACTCTGTAGATGTTGACTCTGAGGCTAATTCATTGGTTGTCAGTGCAGCCTTTGGAGATGCTTCGATCTGAGTTTCTTCCGCTTGTGTGGTCGATTCTTAGACTGTAGGTTCAGTGGAGTTATGAACTATAGTCGGCTCGGAAGCCGGTGGTTCCTGAGCCAAAGGCTCTTCAATAGCCGGTGGGTCTGCCGAAGGCTTATCAGTAGCCCCATTCTCAATGGGTACTTCAGGGTTGGGGGCAGTATTTCCAGCCATCATATCAAACAAATGCGCTGCACAATCGGTCGAAATGTCGTAGACAAAAGAAACCGAGATCACCAAAAGGGCGATCTTGAAAGTAAATATAGAGTTTTGATGAGGCTGAAAAGCATCTTAGTCAGCAAGCAGAAGCCCCTGAAACGACGGCCAGGCAGCAACATGCAGGGGGTGAAGGAGGCAAAGCGGAAGAAGAGGAGAGAATATCGAATGTTAATGCATAGGAAGCGGTTGAGGGTGTCGAACATTGTATTCCAGAGCGCCGAGTATCTCATGTCTACTGTGCATCTATTGGCCTGGCTGATCTATACCGGCAGCCCCCAGCCTCTAACCCGTCTAAAGACAAAAGCGCGATCATTTCTGAGCGTGAACTCGGCCCAGTCATCAGTGAGACGGTTGTAACTCCAGAAGCCCTTCCATGCAAGTTTTGTGTTTTTTGATTTATGCGAGCCCGCAGAGCGCAGGCTAAGATGCATTGAATAAGTATACTTTGGGTCTACGCCTTCGGTCTCGATGAATAGATCCCGTGGGTCCGACGTGGAGGCAGATGGGGGCTCAGCGCTGGTGAGCCGGCGGCTAGAAGGCTGGCCACTCGTTGAAGCAGAGTTTGTGGGTGCCGGGGCTGTATGGCTTAGAGTTGGCGGGGCAAGTCTCCATCGTCCACGCAAAGTGTGCTTTAGCGCAGCGGCGGCGGTAGGCGGCATTGGACTTGCTGTTGAGGTTGCCTGAGGTGCAGGAGCTGGAGTGTCTGAGATGTGCCTTGTATGTTTCCGTCCGGTAGAGCTAGCAGCCAAGAGATCTATGTTTTCTCTTGAGAGGTGGTGGACAACTTCGACTGGTTCTGTGGTGGAAAGTAGTGATAACACAGTGCCATCGGGATAAAAGCGTAGATATCGATAGTAGGTGACTATATGGATGGGTGAGTTCCATGAAACGCTCTGCATGGCTGAGTTTGCACCCGGACGCATATAGTTGACTGTACTGAGGTAAACACCTGTGAAACGCAGTCGAGGAAAAGCCTGGAAAACATGGGACCAGCTGGTCAGCGGTTTAGGTATTGTAGCCGTTATCTGTGCTGTGAACGGGTGCGAGTGGACAATCTGAGAATCCGATTCTGAATCTGAGTCTGAGCCCAGGACGTAGCCTTTGTCAATAGGTGAGCCATTGATCTGACAGGCAAAGGAATAGTGCATGGACGCGAGACCGAACTCGGTTCCTTGACACAGTCGACGCCATATATGTTGTTCATGCATAAAATGGTAGGCCAGGCGCTTGCACACAAGAGATAGTCGAAAGAACAGAGCCGGATCAAGCAGGGCTACATGCTTCAGTATCTCTATCAGTACCTCCGAGGGCAGACGAGCAATCGGACACGGCGGAGGAGGCGTGTTTTCTATAGTTGGATCCACGGGAAGAATCGGTAGATTGCCAAATGACGCAACATCTACCTTTTCCGGTGTTGACGGGTGTGTCAAGCCCGAGACCGATGCTGCTGGCGGTATATATGGTTTGGCATTGGCATGATGCTTTTCCCGGTACGCTTGGTCAACTTTGGCATCGAGCTGAACGTTCCAGTCAGTATACGTATCTCTTACGATCAACGAGAGCAACATACACGGTAAGCCTTGCGGTACAAGCTCAGACTGTCTCCCAACCTGCCTTGGTCCTCTTTCTCAATGGCTCGCTCAAAATGCTCAAGGGCTGACTGGGGCGCTTTCTCCTCTGTCTTCTCGCTTCCCAGCTCTAACGACTTGAACTCCCCATCTAGCTCGGACGTGTCAACCTTGGTATAGCCATCCTCATCCGCCTCATCTGCCAGATCCTGTGGAAGCTGTATTGGTGCCTGTGGCCGCGGTTGCAGCGATTTCCGCCGTTCCGCTGGTCTGGCTTCTGATGCCGGCTGCTGTTGCGATTGAGCCGGCGGTGGCGGGTGTCTTGTACGGACCTCCTCCAGCCACTGGCGTCGAAACGACTCAAGCTCATCTTCCTGCTGAACTTCACTCATATTTTTGTCTATGCAGAGTCTCTATATCGCTTTAATTGCCGTGCGTAAAATGGAATATCAACGGACCCTCAGCTCTCGCTCCTTCGGCCATGACGATTGTCGGGATTATGTAATCAATCAGATAAGCGGTATCAGAGATTCTCCGAGGTCCGACCGGCTTATCAATCTAAATTTCTTTCCTAACGGTTCTTTTTCTTCCTTTTTGATGAGTCGAACAGAAAAGAAAAAATCCCATTCCAACGCATTTTCTGCACATTTTCACGCCCTTTCGGAGTTACAAGCTCTTCCTCCGACCCTCCGGATAGTTCTGGATAGCTAAGAGAGTGATCGATAAGCACCTGAACGGTGGATGAATGCCTCATGACGTTGAGTCTGCGGGTGCCTTGAGCACCGGCACCGGCAATTTCAACTCCAGCGAACAGACAGCGTACACGAACAGCAACGACAGAAACAGCAGAAACAGCAAATATAACAGAATCCCGATAGATACGATGACCCCTCGACCGAGCAGCGGCGCTGGCAGCCGTGAGAGTGATGCCTCGGCGCAGTACGAGAACATATCAACCAGCCAGAAGATGATATCCGCCACCTGGGGGAGCCTTCTCACGTCATTATTAGGTATGGCCTCCTGCGTCCTGTCGGGATTGAATTGCAGCTGACAATGATAGTCACACCGTTGGATGTGGTCAGAGTGCGCCTTCAAGCGCAAACACCGGTTATCCGGGCCTCGCTGCCTACATCGCCACAGCCTACAACGCTTACATCTGTCTCCCCATCACCTCTCACCTTCTTCCGACACCTTCCTCCCAACCTCGGCGTAACGGCGTGCTGCCGAGAAGTCTTCTGGATAGGAGAGAATGCACAGACACAGTTCTGCCTGGTGAACCAGCCACCACCAACTGCTACGTCCAGTGCGTCTGCTCCTACATCTACTATAACGTCACCGCAACCATGCGTGGTCGAACAACGCAAGTCATATACATCTACCCTCGACGGGCTACGCAAGATAGCACGCCATGAGGGCCCATTGTCTCTCTGGCGAGGGCTTTCGCCCACTCTAGTCATGGCAATTCCAGCCAACGTCATCTACTTTACCGGCTACGACTGGCTACGGTACGACAGTGCCAGCCCTGTAGCAAGCTACGTCCCGGCCAGCGCGGCTCCGCTGGTAGCTGGTTCCGTAGCCCGGATAGCAGCCGCATCTGCCATCAGTCCGATCGAGATGTTCCGAACACGACTGCAGGCGATCCCGGCCGGGGGAGGTATGCACGGCCCAGACCACTTCAAGGCAACGCTGCGAGATCTCAACAAGATGGTGCATCGAGAAGGCTACACTTCTCTCTGGCGAGGTCTGACGCTGACTATGTGGCGAGATGTGCCCTTTTCTGGCCTGTACTGGTGGGGATACGAGCGCATCAAGCGACAGCTCGAGTCAATGCGAGGCCATGCTTTCCCACATGCTTATGTCGATCCAGTGCTCAAAGGAACCCCAACAGCGGCAGCAAAAACTACAACAGCAACTGCAACTGCAACTGCAACATCTGCAGCAGGAGCAGCGTCTCACTCGCCAAGCTCGACGGTGGTGTTTATCGAGAGCTTCACAGCCGGAGCCGTGTCTGGGGCTGTGTCTGCGCTGGTAACAACGCCCTTTGACGTGGGCAAGACGAGACAGCAGGTGGCCTCGGGCTCGTCTGGGTCCATCCCGCGCTTCCTGCTCAGCATCCTGCAGGAAGAAGGGCTCCAGGGCCTGTTCAGGGGCTGGGCAGCTCGCTGTCTCAAGGTCGCCCCGGCCTGCGCCATCATGATATCGAGCTACGAGGTCGGCAAGCAGGTCGCCAGCAAGGCCAACGAGGACCACCCGTAGCCCATGGACCCCCATCTACCCTATCTGCCTGTACATTTTTCTCATGAATCGTGTCTATATAGCCATACAGTCAATTAATGCCATAATATCTACTCCGAGCTCGTCGCCTTTTTATATGCTTGTCTGGCACCGGCGCTAGCCACCTCCTACTGCCACGTCCTCTCGTACTGCCACCCATTAACACTCAAGCAAAGTCCGTAGCCTGAGAGCAACACTAGTACGGGGGAAGGGCGTGCCCCGAGCAGCCGGTGCATGCGAGTGGAGCTTCCCTAAGCTCGGGCGCTCCCCGCGCTTTTTCCCACTTTGGCGCTTTTTCCAACTTCAACTTCAACCTCAACTCCAACCTCGAGCAAAAACCGCCAGCACAGCTTGAGCAGCGACCCGACCAGCTCGCCAGCCCGCCCGCGCACTCGAGACGACCGCCTCTGCGTAGTGACCGATGCCCTGATGCTGCTGCCATGCCCCGGCCGTCTCTTACAAGCTCGTTCTCCGTCTCGGACGCCACCAACGAGGTCGTCTGTCCGCTAGCAAACAACGATGGCTCGAACTGCCGCAAGCGATGTCTAGGGGTTTGTCCTCGTCTCTTAAGCTCCAGCTGCCGATGGCTCTACCCGTCGAGATGGATACTGACCGTTCTGTAGGAGAAGCGGTACCGCTCAATGCAGGAGCACATCCGGCGGGCTCACCCGAACCACTACATACCAAAGCTGCCAGCTACCGAGGAGAGCTTCCAGCTCATGGTCAACACGCCACCGCAGCAGCCACCACAGCAGCAGCAGCGCCAGCAGCACCAACAGCACCAGCTTCAGCAGCAGCAGCAGCAGCAGCAGCTCCAGGCCAGAGAGAAGGATGTCGAGCATCCAGCAGCTACTACGGCTGCGGTGGCGTTGGCGCAGCTGCAGCAGCACCATCGTCTCGACTGGGACTCAGAGCCGGTATTGTCCTGTCCCTCTCTCTTC